ACATAAGTGTAAACAAAGCTTTACAAACGAGACGTGTAAACAACACAGCTATCATGTCCAATCCCACATCACTATCTGTATCTGACTGCTTCAGGGCTTAAACTGGTAGGTATAATACACAGATTGGGAAAGGTAAATAGGACTTAAATGTAAATGTTAGTATCACGTAGATATCCAAGGATGCGGGTATTAAAAAAGAGGCAGAGGTGGGATTATCGAACCACATCTGTATCATATAATGTACAAAAATCCATTGTACTAAAAGGTCGGAGTATTGACATATATAAAACGGACTGCTTGGAAACCCAGGGTAACCGATAAATAACAGTATTTACTGAAGAAATGCCAAATAAAACAGGAAATAATGTATTTACTACATTCTATCAATTAAACGAATGACTTAATTAACTGCAGAAGATACCATAAAATACTGTCCTAATTAGATACAGATGTAACCAATAAAATACTGTCCTAATTAGATACAGATGTAACCAATAAAATACTGTCCTAATTAGATACAGATGTAACCAATAAAATACTGTCCTAATTAGATACAGATGTAACCAATGAAATACTGTCCTAATTAGATACAGATGTAAACAATCAAATACTGTCCTACAGATGTAAACAATAAAATACTGTCCTAATTAGATATAGATGTAAACAATTAAAGACTGTCCTAATTAGATACAGATGTAACCAATAAAAGACTGTCCTAATTAGATACAGATGTAAACAATTAAAGACTGTCCTAATTAGATACAGATGTAACCAATAAAATACTGTAACCTAATTAGATACAGATGTAACCAATAAAAGACTGTCCTAATTAGATACAGATGTAACCAATAAAAGACTGTCCTAATTAGATACAGATGTAAACAATAAAAGACTGTCCTAATTAGATACAGATGTAACCAATAAAAGACTGTCCTAATTAGATACAGATGTAACCAATAAAATACTGTCCTAATTAGATACAGATGTAACCAATAAAAGACTGTCCTAATTAGATACAGATGTAACCAATAAAGGACTGTCCTAATTAGATACAGATGTAACCAATAAAAAACTGTCCTAATTAGATACAGATGTAACCAATAAAAGACTGTCCTAATTAGATACAGATGTAAACAATAAAAGACTGTCCTAATTAGATACAAATGTAACCAATAAAAGACTGTCCTAATTAGGTACAGATGTAACCAATAAAATACTGTCCTAATTAGAAACAGATGTAAACATTCAAATACTGTCTAATGTAAAGCAGATGTAACCAATAAAAGACTGACCCTAATTAGATACAGATGTAACCAATAAAAGACTGTCCTAATTAGATACAGATGTAACCAATAAAAGACTGTCCTAATTAGATACAGATGTAACCAATAAAATACTGTCCTAAGAAACAGATTAGATACAGATGTAACCAATAAAGGACTGTCCTAATTAGATACAGATGTAACCAATAAAAGACTGTCCTAATTAGATACAGATGTAACCAATAAAGGACTGTCCTAATTAGATACAGATGTAACCAATAAAAGACTGTCCTAATTAGATACAGATGTAACCAATAAAGGACTGTCCTAATTAGATACAGATGTAACCAATAAAATACTGTCCTAATTAGATACAGATGTAACCAATAAAATACTGTCCTAATTAGATACAGATGTAAACAATAAAAGACTGTCCTAATTAGATACAAATGTAACCAATAAAAGACTTAATTAGATACAGATGTAAACAATAAAAAACTGTCCTAATTAGATACAAATGTAACCAATAAAAGACTGTCCTAATTAGACACAGATGTAAACAATCAAATACTGTCCTAATTAGATACAGATGTAACCAATAAAATACTGTCCTAATTAGATATAGATGTAACCAATAAAAGACTGTCCTAATTAGATACAGATGTAACCAATAAAATACTGTCCTAATTAGATACAGATGTAAACAATAAAAGACTGTCCTAATTAGATACAGATGTAAACAATAAAAGACTGTCCTAATTAGATACAGATGTAACCAATAAAAGACTGTCCTAATTAGATACAGATGTAAACAATAAAAGACTGTCCTAATTAGACACAGATGTAAACAATAAAAAACTGTCCTAATTAGATACAAAACCAATAAAAAACAGATGTAACCAATAAAAAACTGTCCTAATTAGATACAGATGTAACCAATAAAAGACTGTCCTAATTAGATACAGATGTAAACAATAAAATACTGTCCTAATTAGATACAGATGTAACCAATAAAATACTGTCCTAATTAGATACAGATGTAAACAATTAAAGACTCTCCTAATTTGATACAAATGTAAACAATTAAAGACTGTCCTAATGAGATTAATAATGATGTAACAATGAGGTTTGATTGGTTACCGATTAGTATTATATATTTCAGTATTATCATGTGTAACTTTAATATGACGTTGGCCCATTTTGAAATGTTTGTTGGAATGAATATTTAGTTTAATATAATTATAAATTCTAATTATTGTCTTTCACTGATACAATCAAATTTCATTCCTGGTCTGTATCTACTTATACAACTGAATGGTCACATGAGCCATTGCGACACTTGTCGGTAGGTTTGTTTATTATCTATTAGTTTATTTAACGGGTTTTACCGTCACTGTCGGTCAGATTTCGCCTTGCTATTTAATTTCATAAAATTTCATTCATAAATGTCAACTTTGACCAATCAGAACGCTGCGTGTTCATTACTTCTTTAGCAAAACAGGCTGTGAATTCTTTTGAATAAATTCTGTTCGAATGAACTGTAATTTATGGAATATTTTGATATATGTTTGAAAGCATCTTCCTTACAAATAAAACCTTAAATATTCTTTTATGTAACGTTGATAATCATACTTCATGAAATTTTGGACACCGCTCCTGAACTTGGGTTCGGACGCAATACAACCTGTTCTCGGACTACAAGTTAAAAATGATTAAAATCATCAGATCGGAATTATCAATTAGCTTTCTTTTCTCTACAAGTACAAAGTGTTTGCGTGGGAGTGATTTTCAGGCCCTGTGGTCAGGGGTTAAGGTTAATGTCACTATGAATAGAAAATCGGTTCCTGTGAAATTTCTTCATGTCTATTTGGTAGATACACTTTTCCAAGACGTTGTATTTCCTCACAAGAAGTGCTAGACCTCAGTTGCTTTTCGTGTCCAGTAAGCAGAGGTCAAGGTCATCATTATCAAACAGAAACGGAAATTGCTGTAAACACAAACGAAACGTGAAGGGTCTGACACAATTAACAGTAATCTTTAAAGTTTTGAACAATGATGATATTTTCTTATACCTAGATGTACATACAAAGATGTAAATATACACAAGCTTACATCCTTTTTGGTGTACATTAATTTCATCATATTGTTGACTAAAAATGTACTAGCGCGTGTATTGATATTTTACAGTTTATATAACATTTGGATGACATTTTTATCGGCTGTAGTGTACAAGATGTTGTCATGAATTTAAGAACCAGTTGTCCTCAGGGTGGCACATAAATTACGTGATTCAGCCAAGCTGTCACAAAGATAGTGTAAACACACGAAAATTAGGTTATTTAAACGTCCATTTCATTTGATTACGGTTAGATGAATCAAAGGCTGGGTTTTGTTTAAGTATTTCTGAAAGCTTTCCGGAATATAAAACACCATGAAATGTTCTTCATGTGGACACTAGGCTGGGAAGGGAAGACAATCATATTTACAAATCAGTCCTAGACAGGGTCGGAAGACATTTAATATGTGCAAATCAGATGACTGTTCCTTTTCTGATTGAGTTTCGTACTGACAAATAGCCGAAACGTGTGTACCACGACGCCGAGAGTCAAACAGTACATTATCAACAGCCCCAGACCCTGCCACCCGGCGCTGGTTTTCACTTAGCAATTATCTGTCGTGTGGTCGTAAATATCTCTAATTGTTATGCTGATGGTCTGTTTCGTATAGACATTGCGAACAAATAGAAGTGTTCCATATTCCATTTCGTTTTGACCTCGACATTTTTCAGTCTCAATCGTTCTGTGAATATTTCAATGATTAAGCAACAAAAAGTAACATGTGACCTTGACTTTCTCTCATATATACATCACATAAGGCCCACGTGGCCTGTCTCGCTCATACGGACATCGGGAAAAAAATGGCGAAACATTGAAGGTAATATTGCAATATCATAACATATTCTTAAGTTTTGTTCAAGGTTTCACTGCACATTATACATAATTTATGCCGCTGAGGATGCTTTTATCTTCTTTCATGTGTGGGGCCATAAAATTGGTCAAGGTCATTTAGGCAAGAAACTTATTACCTTTTTAATCTCATTCCTAATCACGATTGAATAAAAAAAGAAATCATGCTTAAAAATGTAGTTTCCCTATGTCAACTGCTGGAAGCCCTCTCTAGGCGGAAATGTAAGAACCTAGGTTAATGAAATTCACAATTTTGGTATAGCACCTCAAGACACTGGCATCGTTGAAAAGCATTCTAAAATATCTTGGTGTTGAGAAGATGATTTCTGAAGAGTCAATTCTACCTGCCTCTCAAGCCCCTAGAGGATAGGGGTGCTGACCATGTAATTCACAACTATGATTCACCTTTGGCAGGTTCCTGCAAAATTTCATGAGGTTCTCCAGAAGTTGAAAAAAAATGTTAAAAGTTTATGACCTAGAACAAAATGAGTTCCTAATAGGTCACCATGAGACTTAAAAAGATGGCAGAATTTGTGACACTTTGTGTCAGTTTAAATATTCCAAAATCATTTAAATGTTTACTTTAAAGGAACGTTTTAGTGAGATTGCAGTCCTGTGGTGCTGAGCAATATTAAATACATATTTGTACCATATGCTGTAAACAAGTAATGATTGTCAGACTGATGTTTAAGACAAAATAACTGATGTGCTGACAATACCAGAGTACTGTGTACCTCAACGTCACTACCTCAAAGATAATTCCAACTCAAACTGAGCTTTTGTTTGGTTTTTATTCACTCAAAATAATTTCATTTGTATTATTAACCAAATGTACAGGTATCACACTGACTTGACCTCTCATCATTGCTTACTTCTCTCCACTAAACACACAAGCTCAACAATGTATATCCCATGTTGTAAGTTATTGAACCATAAATAATAACACATAATTAATGATAAAGTGATGACCTGATTATTGTTAATCTGACATTGAATTCACAAATAAAACCATTCTAAAAAGTAACAAAACAAACACTGATCAATGAAAACACGTCCTGAAATGAACAAAGGTTTTACTCCTGACAGCCGCAGCTTGATGCATTAAAAATATGAAAAGTTAAAATTCAGAAGTAAAAAACTCTATTTTTGACCTCAGGTAAGTTCTATTCTTTTACCTGTTGAAACATAAAAATATATCTGAATAATTATATACATAGTGACTGGTTTTTAAAAATCTGTTTTTTGCTTCTTGAAGATTTAAAGCTCTATACTAGAATTCCTTTCCACCATCATTTCTAGTTTTGGAAAACTACAAGTGTCATTTACTATGTTAGTATTTAGCTTACATCACTTTTAATTGAGCTGTACTAGTCAACATGTCATTCCATTATATTTGTATATAACACACTTCTCAAAACACAATTCCACTTAAAACAAGATAATTCATAAAACAGTAAAGCTATATATTCTAGAAAACAAGAACAATAATATTACAGATCATACTCCATTTCTACAGATTCTAAGCAATAAAACACTGTTGATGCAGTATAATTTGTTTGTACCAACTTTTATCTTGTGTCATATTGAAAAAAAAAACATTCATTCTTTGTCAATTTAACTACAATCAACGCTGTTAGAACACTGATGTTTGTTGGTATGGCAACACTATGCAACAGCAGGAGACCTGAGATGGAAAAATCTGTAAACAATGAAGAATACAGTCGGACTCCTACCAACTCAGTTTGGGAAGATTTCTCTTCTCCCTCTTCTATAGAGCATTAGCCTAGTCCAGTAAGTTCGAGGTCCCAGGTCCTATTTCTCATGAAAGCATTAAATATTATGATCTCTTGTTACATAACCAGCAATCATACAAGTTTTCTTTCAAATTAGGAAATATGAAGTTTTTTTGTAATCTTGATGCAGAAGCAATTAACATAACAATGACTGTATGAGATGATCGAATATCTTCTTCACATAATACTACAGATATTGAAATATACACAACATAGTAGAAATCTACATACTACATATATAACACTAGGAAAGCACACTAAGTTTGTAAGAAGCACGAGTTTCGTAGAAACTGTTCAAAACAGGACATTACATATATATGTATCTTCTTTATAAAGATCAAATTTATATAAGAACATCCATGAATTTGTGTATATCAGACACAAATTAAATGTAAGAATTATGCTCTCTCACTCCCTATTACCACCAAAAACACTCACAAGGGTATATATGTGTAGGAATGCCTTCTGAGCACCTGAGATGCAAAACTCTCCCCATCCCCAAAAAGTCTGGGATTTTTTTCAATGATCAAAAATCCCAAACTTCTCATCTGATATCAGGAAAGATACCTTTTTTCATGATTTATTAGAAAAACAAATAGAATATTACTCAAAGTGGTTAAAAGCATTTTAAAACCTTTGTAAAAATATATATTTATATACCAATGTATATATAATTATATGATATCAAATAAAAATACTGAAAATCTGAATGTGACTGAAAACCAATCAACAAAATTCCTTAACTACTTTTAATTAAACAAGATTTCCTAATTGGATTTCATTGGTTTATACAAACAATGTAAATACATTGTATACATACTTTAACGATTTTAGACATTTATGATGAAGCAAGAGGGCGATACATCCAACAGAGTTATAAACATATCAGAAATACCAAGGAGTAGCTACTGTTTAGCTATAAAACATATTACATAGATATGTGGATAACCCACAGTGATTCCAGATCTCTATCAAATTCTTCCATTGGATTTACTTTTTATATAAAAGAAATAAAAAATGGCCAAAAAATCAGGAAAGAATAAAACAAAAATGAATAGCAGTATTAAAATTATTGAGAAGACCTCATAAACTGGTAAAAAACAATTACCTGTTGGCATTCTTATCTTATTATATTTATTTGACGATAAGTCCATGCCAGGTAATATCCCAGTATGTAGGAGTTTCTGTAAGCTTACTTACATGATACATCACTACCCTGTATTGCCCATCTATAGGATTTTCAGTAAAATTACAACAGATGATATATCACTGTCCTGTATTGCCCATCTATAGGATTTTCAGTAAAATTACAACAGATGATATATCACTGTCCTCTAATAAGCCCGTACATAAGTCTGTAGGATCCTGTAATGACCCTATCCTCTACTTTGAATTTGAAGTGATGTTCAGTCTTGTTGGGCTGGACAAATATGGTATACTACACTAATGTGCTTAACCTTAATTACATAAAAAGTATAACCACTATCATCATTTTTAGAATTTCAAGAACTTTCTGGAATTATTACAAACTACTGTATTATGAAATAAATCATGATAAATCCAATGCTTCATTAATATTTTGAATAGTGACAAATGAAATGGTAACACTCAACTATATGTATTATAAGACTATGTTCTGCCTATCTTCATTCCAACATATTATTATGTTTTTTAAATGATGAGTCATATTTTATATTCAAAATGACCTCAACAGATGTGTAGTGCCCACAGAGATTCTTATTTGTCACAAAATTATATTTTTAATGAATAATTAATCAAAACATTTGAATATAATATCAATATCATGTGTGGATTTACAGTTTTAGCCTTTGATGATGAATATGTCTATAAAAATCATATATGTATTTGTGTCAAAATGCAATAGGCTTTTTCTGTGCCAGACACCCTAGGACTGTACTGAGATATGAATGACTGTGATAACAATGTCTGAATACGTTTCATTCTCGATCTAGCTCCATATAACATGATAAAAAGAAAACAACGCATCTGCCCCCTTGACCTCCAGACACATACATTTCTAAAATGAATTTCTACAATGTAGAATTGATTTTAAAATGTAAAACTAATCTTCTAAAACTATCTTTCATATGTAATTACAGTGTCTGTAAAGTATTGTATTTTGCTACATACCTATAATGGAAAGACCCTATTGCTTATACACTATCTGTACCTAAATACACAACAGCAGTTGAGAAAAACAAAAGGCAGTGGATTACCCAAATACCTAACTTCTAAAGAAAGAATTTGGAATAAAATAGTCAGGCTATTACAGATACGAATATTTGTGATAAATAAGATGAGATTTACAAACCTTACATATTACTATGATCAGGGACCCATCCATGAGGTAAAATCTATAGATATGGTAAATTATCAAACTGTAAGGCTAGGTATAAACACTTAATATGGCGTAATACTGTGTTGTGTGTGTATATCTATCAGATCTTCAATACTTGTATAATATATCATAGTAGTACAAGCACTGTGTACACTGTGTACACTGTGTACGATACATTAACAAAAATATCACATTTCTGAAATAAAAAGGTCAAAATGTCCACAGGTGACATATGATTCTAGGAAATCACATCTGAGCATGAGAAGGAGCAATAAAATGAGACATGTTTTAACGATCTGCAGGTCAGGAGTACAACATAATAAATTATAGCCAAATATCAAAGTAGATATTCAAATATATGTGTATAGTCATTTACATAAATACATATTATGTATTTGAAAATATAATTTTAACATAACCACTGTGCTTAACATAATTCAATTACATTCACACCAACCTGAGCCTCTATATTCATTTACAATTGATAAATACAAACTATCCACAAATAGACCACCTCATCCTAAGGCCTACTCATACTACAAGCTTAATCACTCTCTTGACGACAGCACATTCAGCCTCCATTCAGTAACTAAAAAATCAATACACTTATGAATACATAGTTTGAGACTAAACTCAGCAATATTTAAGTTCAATCCAATGGTATGAATGTTTGAATTAAATGGTATGAAGTTACATCATCTAGACTTATTTAACAGAGAATATCCATTGATGTTTCATTCAGATTTATTAGCTATTTTCCCGTCAATTTGTAAAAACATCAGATGTGCTTACCTTTATCAAATGGTAATTAAACTTTGTCTAATGTTAATACATTATACTAAGCTTGTTCTTAACAACTAGAAATGCACACCAAGTGATTTTACTCAATATAATTTCTATACCCAACAATCTTTCAGGTGTCTATCATGAAAATCATTCGATAAAAAGGAGCTGTTTCCGCTAGCAGCTATATACTGTATAATTGTCTGGTTAAGAAGAAGTGGTTAAAGAAATGTAACAGATGTTTATGGTTTAAAAAAACAAATACAAAACAAGTCTAGGAAGATATAGACAATACATAAATTTAAACATATCTCTTAAATATTTCCTTTTCTCTTCACCGTTTAAGAAAAATTAACAGGTGGTAACATGGATGGGATATTCCCACTTATTTAGGTTATACACACCATAACAAGCACAGTGAACTTTCCCTGCCAGTGACAATCCAAAAAGGAGTGGGTCATTGTATCTGATAACAATAATCTAGTTTTAAAAACCATCTATTTCATTCAGCTGCCCGAGTATCCTTCCTTGCTTCAATTGCTAGTCATATGGATTATCACGCCAGAGTCTAAGGTTTGATCCCTGTTAAAAGCTCAGAAGGAAAGTGTCTTTATGTGACAACATTATGCTGAAGAAGCCTTTCCAGCCAGAGTGACCGAGACACATGTACAAGTGACACCGACCCACTCCTTTTACAATAGCAAAGTTCATGGCGGTGGATGAATGGAGATTTCATCAGCACAAATAAGATACACAACTCATAAAGGCAAATAGAAATCAAGGCCTACATTTCTTTTCCTTCATATTTTTCTATAAACTGAAGGTATAAGGACTGATGTTTATTCAAAAAGATGAAACTTGATATGTCAACATATTGCATGATCAATCAGTTAAAACTCTCGAAAAAATTAATAACAGTTAGTTAATTTTTGAGAAATGAAGAAGTGAAAGACTGAAAAAACCCATCTTGAATGAAGCAGTTCACATTTGTATTAATAGCTCAGTGTTGTGTACAACAAATGTCTACACATATCTATAACAAGCCAAACTACCCTTAAATCATTTGTGAATAAAAACTCTTCTTTGTAGTTATAAATTCAGTTTCAGAAAGACGTGAGAACTCGGTTCACAAGAAAATACAATTTAGTTTTATGATGTAGAGTTACCTCCCCTGGGCCATCTGTTAAAGTATGAATTTTCTTGCCTACTCTCTTTAGCTGTGAAACTAGAACTGAGAATACTTTAAGCAATGTATTTTTTTTCCAGCTTTGGTTGACCAATAGTTAGAACTCAAATGTCAGGATTTAATATGATAAATATGGACCTAGGTGAATTGGGTTGGACTATCACTCAGGAAAAAGACAAACAACAAAGTGATTTATTTGGTGAGACAGATTGTCTGTTTGGACTCTATTTTTTGAAAATTTATGGTCAGCTGTTGCAAGTTTTTGTACATCTGATGTTGTTTTCATAAAGAAAACCATTTTGACAGCTAATGGAATTTCTGACAACATGAAGTTTCTACCTCAAAGAATGGGTGGATGGAATCAATTTCTAAATTTCCACCTTTAGTCAGTTGAGCATGAACTTGACGATGAGAGAAAATCTCTGTCACACACAGTTTTCATACTTTTCATCTGAAGTAGCAAGAAAGATATCATTTTGCACGTAGAAAGACGAAAGATGCAAAAAATCCCAAATTTCAAACAAATCTTACTTCATCTATAGATACATCACTAATACTTTAAATAATGCAACTGATCACATTGACATGAACATCCCTTACCCAAAGACAAAAAAGATCATAAAACCCAACATATAATGTTTTCTATACTTACACATAGAATGTCATGATGAACGTTCATATGAGTTCCTTGAAAAATGGCACCTACTATTCTAAATTGTCCCATTAAAATTGAGAAATTTACCATGCCATCTGTTGGGAATGGCCCATTGTTTTCTTTTTTTTTCTGGAAAATATCCATTTGTTTTCAAATGTCGATAAACCACCAATAGTGGTGTTGTTGCTCCCTTAATGATTCAGTTTGTCAATCACAGTTGGCCCAGCAATGTGAAGAAATTCCATTCTATTTCTTGGCAACTCAAATAACCGTTGAGGTTGCACAGTGAGACTCCATGAAGTTTTAATACAAATGAGGACTGTTGATGGTATTATTTCTCCAAGCAAATATCTACTCTTCCTTTGAGGCTGTTTCCTCAGGTATGACAATGAAGAACTTTTGTAGGGCAAGGGTTGCTTTGTCTGAAAGTATAAACACAAGTAGTACACAAACATACAAATAACTTTTTTACAAGCACCATCTTAAATATAAATAAAGGTAAATAAAGAGTACCTGAGGAAAACCCAAGTGAATGAGCAAGTGACCAAATACATTTTTATTTTTAATTGGGGAAATGAGCCGTGGCCAACTAGGTATAAGGTGTCACCTGTCCCACCCTACCTTCAATCTTAATGTGTTCACACATTTATCAAATGTTAACAATACAATAATACTTACATAAAGTATCAATATATTAATTCAGAAGACAGTTTAACCTGTTGAAATATCCAGCAAAGCACACCCACTATTAAACAGATAATATCTCCCTTCAACTTGCTCCCCTTAAGGACCATGTATTGTATGTATGTACACCTTAGCAAACAAGCATATACATAACATAGCAGTTGAAAACCACATCATAAAGAATTGAATTGAAATGTTGTTTTTTCAGCATTCAACCCAATTTTTTTTCTCTCTGGATGTTGGGCTGTCTTGAATACATACCTAGGAATTCATAGAATCCCTTTGGTTTGTTTTCCCAGTAAACAAATATGATATATACAGGTATACCACTGGCAATGATGGCCATCCCAAAACCTGCAATACAATAACACAATGGTTAAATCTGTATTCTTTTAATTAATGCAGCACTTTTACATTTGTGATAAAGTTTGCATTTCATGATAAATGGATAAAAAATTCATTTTCTGATCTTTACACTTAGAATATCCCATTATATAAGAATACTTACCAGTTTCTACAGGACTGGCAATGATCGGTAGAAGTACCAGAAAGAAAGTGACAGTAACATACAGGATTGGCCAGAATAAATGGACCTGGAAATTTAAAATGATACATTTCAATTTCAACAAATTTTATTAACTTTTCATATGTTAATATATTCTGCAATACATTAAATATGTTAAAGTAGGGAAGGGGAGTAAGTCTAATTTGTTATAGAATATAAAGTAGGGAAGGGGAGTAACTCTAATTTGTTATAGAATATAAAGTAGGGAAGGGGAGTAACTCTAATTTGTTATAGAATATAAAATACATATCAAATTAACATAGTTGGAAGTATGCTTTAAGCATTCCATCATAATTATGCAAATAATACAAATTTGTTGATAATTTATACATGAATCCAGGGATACAGGTCTCCGAGTCCTTTTGTATATACACATTTTGACCATCCACCCACTGGATATGTATATCAATTTGTCAACAACTTTGTATATAATTGTATGGTTAATTGTGATTTAGTTTTCGGAGATGTAATTTTTTTCATTTTTATCAATATTGGAGTTGGTCATCTTATCACAATATATGACAGAGTAATTATACATATATATAATTAATATAGTAAAAACTACATAATATACATCCAATCCAGTCATTGTTTGTATATTATATAGAAATATACACTTAATAATGATTGTTTACATCAGGTTACACTTTGGTAATCACTGAATATAAAGTACAAAATATGAGAAAAAGTTACACATTAAATCTGTTAGTTTGATGTATGTATTCTGTATGATAAGGATAATAGCCATGATCTACTGTTGTACTTATTTAGATTATGCTACGATTCAGTAGTTCTCTAAAGTCAGGATATAGTGGACATTCAAATGATCATTTAACAAATAAGGATTTAAGTTACTGGGTTTATTTATAAGCTGTCAGAGTAGTACGTTATATTTTCTTGGTCCTTTGTATCTAAAAATATTGCTGATTGCTGTCATATCACTAACAACAGGTTTAAATTTTTTTTTTTTTCAAACTGTTGTAAAGAGCTGATTTAATATATTGGCAGGAAGTAAATTAAATTCCCTCTAGCTTTGATGGAAAAAACTATTTATAGTAACTCTTTAATTCTACAAAGGGGAAGATTGAATAAGCAATCATTTCTTAGAGGAGGTCTTACATGCTCATTACTATGAATAAATAAATGGTACATATTTAGACATGACAACAGGGAATATCAATAGACTGTAATACTGGACATCTGTAGCCATGGCCAATAATTTCCAATAGACTGTAATACTGGACATCTGTAGCCATGGCCAAAAAATTCCAATAGGACTGTAATACTGGACATCTGTAGCCATGGCCAAAAATTTCCAATAGGACTGTAATACTGGACATCTGTAGCCATGGCCAATAATTTCCAATAGGACTGTAATACTGGACATCTGTAGCCATGGCCAAAAATTTCCAATAGACTGTAATACTGGACATCTGTAGCCATGGCCAAAAATTTCCAATAGGACTGTAATACTGGACATCTGTAGCCATGGCCAAAAATTTCCAATAGACTGTAATACTGGACATCTGTAGCCATGGCCAAAAATTTCCAATAGGACTGTAATACTGGACATCTGTAGCCATGGCCAATAATTTCCAATAGGACTGTAATACTGGACATCTGTAGCCATGGCCAAAAATTTCCAATAGACTGTAATACTGGACATCTGTTGCCATGGCCAAAAATTTCCAATAGGACTGTAATACTGGACATCTGTAGCCATGGCCAAAAATTTCCAATAGACTGTAATACTGGACATCTGTAGCCATGGCCAAAAATTTCCAATAGACTGTAATACTGGACATCTGTAGCCATGGCCAAAAATTTCCAATAGACTGTAATACTGGACATCTGTAGCCATGGCCAAAAATTTCCAATAGACTGTGTTTCAATGGATGTCTGTGAAAACCTTCTCTGTGACAAATCACGAAAATAAACCAGACTCTGCTAACAGAAAATAGGGTTTGACACTCATATGTTTATACACAGAATGGAACTATATTTACATCACCTATGACCTCTTCTCCTCCAACATTAATAACAAAACAATCCAAATGTCAAATCCTGCATAGAAGGCTGTATATATATAGTACACATGTCTATTTAGTAACATGGAGGAATCTTACACTCCCCTGATGTTAAAACAGAGACAGACAGACAGACCTATAATGATAATCCCACACTCCCCTGATGTTATACCAGAGACAGACAGACAGACAGACAGACCTATAATGATAATCCCACACTCCCCTGATGTTATACCACAGACAGACAGACAGACAGACCTATAATGATAATCCCACACTCCCCTGATGTTATACCACAGACAGACAGACAGACCTATAATGATAATCCCACACTCCCCTGATGTTATACCACAGACAGACAGACAGACAGACCTATAATGATAATCCCACACTCCCCTGATGTTATACCACAGACAGACAGACAGACCTATAATGATAATCCCACACTCCCCTGATGTTATACCACAGACAGACAGACAGATCTATAATGATAATCCCACACTCCCCTGATGTTATACCACAGACAGACAGACAGACCTATAATGATAATCCCACACTCCCCTGATGTTATACCACAGACAGACAGACAGACCTATAATGATAATCCCACACTCCCCTGATGTTATACCACAGACAGACAGACAGACCTATACTGATAATCCCACACTCCCCTGATGTTATACCACAGACAGACAGACCTATAATGATAATCCCACACTCCCCTGATGTTATACCACAGACAGACAGACCTATAATGATAATCCCACACTCCCCTGATGTTATACCACAGACAGACAGACAGATCTATAATGATAATCCCACACTCCCCTGATGTTATACCACAGACAGACAGACAGATAATCCCACACTCCCCTGATGTTATACCACAGACAGACAGACAGATCTATAATGATAATCCCACACTCCCCTGATGTTATACCACAGACAGACAGACAGACAGATCTATAATGATAATCCCACACTCCCCTGATGTTATACCACAGACAGACAGACAGACAGATCTATAATGATAATCCCACACTCCCCTGATGTTATACCAGAGACAGACAGACAGACCTATAATGATAATCCCACACTCCCCTGATGTTATACCAGAGACAGACAGACAGACCTATAATGATAATCCTACACTCCCCTGATGTTATACCAGAGACAGACAGACAGACCTATAATGATAATCCCACACTCCCCTGATGTTATACCACAGACAGACAGACAGACCTATAATGATAATCCCACACTCCCCTGATGTTATACCACAGACAGACAGACCTATAATGATAATCCCACACTCCCCTGATGTTATACCACAGACAGACAGACCTATAATGATAATCCCACACTCCCCTGATGTTATACCACAGACAGACAGACAGATCTATAATGATAATCCCACACTCCCCTGATGTTATACCACAGACAGACAGACAGACCTATAATGATAATCCCACACTCCCCTGATGTTATACCACAGACAGACAGACAGATCTATAATGATAATCCCACACTCCCCTGATGTTATACCACAGACAGACAGACCTATAATGATAATCCCACACTCCCCTGATGTTATACCACAGACAGACAGACCTATAATGATAATCCCACACTCCCCTGATGTTATACCACAGACAGACAGACAGACAGATCTATAATGATAATCCCACACTCCCCTGATGTTATACCACAGACAGACAGACAGACAGACAGACTATAATGATAATCCCACACTCCCCTGATGTTATACCACAGACAGACAGACAGACAGACCTATAATGATAATCCCACACTCCCCTGATGTTATACCACAGACAGACAGACAGATCTATAATGATAATCCCACACTCCCCTGATGTTATACCACAGACAGACAGACCTATAATGATAATCCCACACTCCCCTGATGTTATACCACAGACAGACAGACCTATAATGATAATCCCACACTCCCCTGATGTTATACCACAGACAGACAGACAGACAGACAGACCTATAATGATAATCCCACACTCCCCTGAAGTTATACCACAGACAGACAGACAGACAGACAGACAGACAGACAGACAGACAGACAGACAGACAGACAGACAGACAGACAGACAGACAGATCATGATAATCCTACACTCCCCTGATGTTATACTGCAGACAGACAGTTCTATAATAATAATCCTACACTTCTTTGATGTTATACTACAGACATATCTTCAATGATAATCCCACACTCCCCTGATGTTATACTACAGACATATCTTCAATGATAATCCTACACTCCCCTGATGTTATACTGCTGAGAGACAGATGTAGAAAAAAAAATTCACTGTCTTGTCTTAAAAAGGTTCCATACAAAACTGAACAACAATTCTTGGCAGTCACAATTGTTTGATCTTTATTTGTACTTTAAATGCTGGATATTTTCGCTTCTCTCCTTTGCTTTCACTCTTAATGATACAAAATTTGAATATTTCTTTGCAGAAATAATGATATTAATCTTTAACTATCAAATCCAAGATGTTTGCTATATTGCTTTTTTGGTTAGAGATCCATCCAGTTCCTTCAAGAAATAGTGACAACAAACTTTATTACTTGAAATCCAAGATGGTTGTCTGTTGGCCATTTTGTTTTTCTAATCAGTCATAAAATCACACTGGCAGAACTAGGGACCAAGGGGAAGATATGTATAAAATTTGAGAAAGATTCATCCAGTCCTTCTCAAGAAATAGCAAGAACAAAATAACACAGATTTAGGGTAATTTGAATAGTCCATATCTGATGATAGTGGCCTAAAAATATTTCTGAAAACTGTCGCCAAGGTTTGCATGTATTTTTGCATTGAAGAACAACATTAATCGATATATAGGGCATGTCAAGGTTTACCTTGAATCTAATACTGTAAACAATAAACCTGGTGACGATCTCTCATACAAAAATGACCTTAACTTTATCTTCTACAGATAAACTTAGCAACATCTGCCACATTCTCATGGCTTCCAGACTCAGATCATGCCAGATATTATCTTTTTATGTAAACATGTTTTTCAACTATGATCGTTTTCTTAGGCAATATAGTTCACATGTAAGTATATATACCTCAACATGATAGAAAGATTGATCTTTTAGCCTTCTTTTACACCTAATGATTAATCTTTCATAACTGACCGACTACAATATCCCAAGAAACTGACATATCACACCTAACCTGGCCTATAACACTAGGAAATAGGGCCACCATACCTACCCATACCCTAAGAAATAGACTTACTACACCAATCCTAATCCAAAGGAAATAGACATACCACATTTAATATATATCTTAGGAAACTGATCTACCACACCTAGCGTGGCCTATCAAACCAGGAAATTGACTTAACACACTAACTTTATATCCCAGGGAACAGACCTAAAACTGAAAACCTAGTCTATATTCCAGGAAACAGAACTACCATAACTACCATGCACCTTAAACATCACAATTTCACCTGCCGAAACCTTAAGGCTATCTCATTTCTGTCTTATTTTTTTGCCAATGTAGACATTTAGGCCCCCAAGCTTGGTGTGGGTTTTTATACAAAAAGGACCCCATTTCTTTCGACATGTAGGGAGATAAAGGGAGATAAAGGGAGGTGAAGGGAGATAAAGGGAGATAAAGGGAGATAAAGGGAGATAAAGGGAGGTGAAGGGAGATAAAGGGAGATAAAGGGAGATGCACTAACAAGAATTCTGGTAACAGTGAATAACAGATTTTTTAGGTTAAAGATGTCTGATGAAATCTGTGACAGGGCTATAATCTACATCAGTGGGCTCTCCGTATCATATGAGAGTAATGTTCTGTGTAACTAGTTGTCCTGGATATCAGCCTACTCACCTTTATTGGCCTTTCCATGTTGGGCCTTGTTTTACGAAAATAAAGGAGAACCACGACAGACAGTCCGATGGACATCCAGTTCACAAAGCTGACGTACTTGATGAGGGCAAACATATCAGCAGACACCAAGTATAGCAATGAGGTCAAGCCCTGTATGACAACAATAGTTTATTATTATGATATTTACAGAAAACTAATGATACCAAGAAATATGAGTTGATTAACTGATGACACATCTTTTTTACTGTAAAATTCTGATTAAGTCTATAATCTGATGACTGATTTGTATTAATTACCGTAAAAATCAGACTGGGGTTTTCAGAGTGAGTAGACAGCTAGTCGATGAGAGATTTTGAAACGTACACCTAATTTATGCATCATTCAGCATGAATATGCAATGTTAGCTTTTCAACTGTGATAACAAAAACATCCTCAGTTTAAGGGTTGCAGATGTCTTAAATAATTATATAAATTCAGCAATTTCTGGTGAGAAAAAGAAAAAAAAAGAAAAGAAATTACCATGAAGATGACAGCTGGCATGGGCGTAAGTCTCTGGATCTGGACCATACTGAGAATCTGTGGCATGTGACCTTCTCGACCTCCGACATAAAAGAGTCTGGAATAACACAGGTAAAATAAATAAGTGCCATGGAATTAAAATGTCATATAAACATTTTAAGTCAAATGAAAGTAGGACCTCTATCTCTGAAACATTATAGTGAACATAACTTCAGCTTTACAAAACCTCAATATGTTCAAAAGGAATGAGGGTAACATCTCAAATCTAAATTTTTTTTCACTTTGAAGAAAGATATTGTTGGAGTAAAGATATTACTTACATTCCCATCATATATAACCAACTGTCAAGAGTACATGTAAGTATAATATGATTATCATAAAAAATATGAGAGAAAGAAGACATGACTGAAACATGCAGGAAATAGTTACTGCACAATGCACATGTAGAACACTCACAGAGGTCTGTTACATTAAAACAGCCAAAAGTGTCCAACAGATTCAACAATTCAAACATTATTATATCATAGGGAAAATTACCTGGCAGTAGTGAAAAGGATACCATTCACACCTCCAAAGGTTGAGAGTGACACAAATACTGGCATCACCCACCACATAACACCATAGAGCCGTCTAGAAAACATCTGTAAAGGAAAAGCATTGTATAAGAAGACGAAATACAAAAAAAAAGAAACAGTTTTTCATCAGACTGAAGTAAATTTTAAAAAATTATTCTGATACTCATAACATAAAATCAAAATAAGTAACAAAAATATCAGAGTTGTTGATATTTACCACGGCAACAGCAGCACCGCTAAGGGTCTCCTCACGACTGACGGTGGTCAGATATGCTACATTGGACAGGACATATACAACCGTTACTAGGATGATGGAAATCCAGATAGCTTTGGGAAGGTTCCTATGATGGAAACAAAATGGGAATTTTAAAGGCATAAAATTAAAAAATGTTCATAAGATATTAATGTTCCTGCCTTCTTGTTATATATAAGTAAACCAGGGTCTGATCAGGAGTAGAACTAGAACTTTTATGTTATAACAGACCTCATGGGTCACACTACATGCCCCTATCCCTAAAAATATTGTGGATGATTTTGACTGAACAGATGTATTGTCCCTGATCAAGAAAAAGATAGAGAATTACTACTAGTGATTCGTACTACAGGTCATCAGGTACAAAAATACAGCAAACGTGATTCAAATCAAATCTAAATATGTTTTATTTTAATGTTGAAACATACTTAGATTGAAAATCAGTATTTGTGTTGAGGTATTTCCAAGATATGATAATAAAGAAAATACATACACTAAAACGTTACATTAAGAGTAAGCTGGGTATATGTTAGTAGCCTTCCTACTACGTTACTTTTTGAATCCACCCCATATATGGTCATTGTATCAATAAATGAGGTGAGTCATTCCTGATTGTGCTTCAGATGTTTCGCGATTCTATTAAAAATATATATACCCTCCGACTACTGGTACTGACAATTACTCATCTGATGGAAGGTCAGATCATCTAGTTGATACAGAATGACTGTAATAACTAACAGTTTTCACAGCTGCTGAATACAGGAAGGTTAAATAGGTCACCAACTGTACCATGTCATTCAATCAACTTTTATTCACAGTTGTACCATTTAATACCACACTAAAATCTGTATCCATATTTTGAAAAAAATAATTTTTAATTGCTGTACAATATGATTTTTTTACATTGTAGGTCAACACATGTATAAATAAAATGTAGAGTACGGAAGTCTCTGTGGTTTGTTAGTAAGATATATATGTACAACCACAGAATATCAATAGAGTGGGTTTTTACAACTTGAAGTAGAACAACACAGCAGTGTACTGTGTATTAGTCACATCATTAACATAATGTGGAAATACTGCCTACTAATCCTCCATATCGTGACATTTCTGATAACCATCATTGAAAAATCAGAACAAAGTATTGTAATTTTATTTTTCTTACACGGGAGTGTGGTCAAGATAATAACTTGATAATAAAACTACAGCCAGGCACTTTGTCCCCCAGAAAATAACTTCATCTCCAGATATAGCTAACACAATGCACTTAAGTGATGATACAGAATTTATCTCACACAGTAAGGAAATACTGCCGCTGGTACAGAAGTACTGCTGACATTTAATAGTAATTTCTTTCTATTGTCGTTATTCAGGTCTATACAGACACCTTTGGTATATATTTCACAGGAGTAAATGTAATTATTTATTCAGAGTCATTTCATACCACAGGTAAATAAAGAGAAAAGTCCACACAATTTTTCTATCAGAATGGCAATAGATATATATTACAATTTACATAGTTTTGTGGTTTTTTTATGTTTCATGCCTGTATTCAGACTGAAGTCCTTGTATCAGTTACTGAGATAGATCATGACTTGTACACAAGCAGGTGATACAGCAGCCAATTTCATGTCTCTGACCTTCACTTTTTTTTATCTGTGTAATGTCAGTGCTTTATGTAGATGACATATAATACATATATATTCATATTCATAATCAGTCCATCTACACAGATTTACACATAAATACCAGTGATGTATAATACAGTTGATGGTTTACTGAACATTATAAAGGTGTATGTTACCTCTAACATTGCTACCTGATAACATACTTGGTTATGATAAAATGCAGAAGTGTTTAAAACTCTAAACTACATACAGGTAAAAACTGATATGGAGTATAATTTGTCCTTAAAAAGTCTCTTTGTCAATGAAAATAACAGAAAACATTTTTTAATTCAAATTAAACTTCATCTGAGCTCTCTTTTTATACTGAAACTTTTTTATACATGAATTATGCTTAAAGCTTTACCATGCATACAAATCAACTCCATCATCCACCGGAAATTTAACTAACTTCAAAGAGAAAAAAAACACATGAAAATCTATCAAATGTCTATTATGAAAATGAAATAGAAACATACTATGCTTGAAGATGTAGAAGAGGAGTAGAGGAGTGTCCACTATAAAATTTACATATATATTTGTTAACAGTCAATACGTTGTATTTTGATCCATTTGCATTAAAGCAATGAATGTTTACAGCTGATATATCAATGGTCCTAAAATACACATTACTATTGATAACCTTGAGACAAATATAATATGGAAAGCCATAAAAGATGTTTGACATTTTTAGTGAAAAACAGAATAATTTGAATACTTAAACAGCTGAAACTGTGTTTCTTGGTCAGGTAAAACATATATATAACTATCAAATCAGTTTAACAACAGACCTCTATGATAGTATGTTTTCAGATTCAATACTTTGGAGAAATTCTGAATAATTTGGTATTAAATTCTAATGTAACTTATAATAAATACAAAGGCCACAAAAAAATCTTCAAACTTAATTGCATATATCTAATTTAATTTCAGAACATTCATCTGCATGTCATCATACTTGGTGTCACTTATCTATCACAGAGCTCTATATATTTTGTTCTCCTTTCTGACAGTCAGAGAGAGGAACAAAATCTGTAGAGATCTATGACAAATAATGTATGGTTTCACATGGAACTTGACTTAACAATACATATGGATACAATGATGATTGTGTCAGTGTTGTGAAACAGAGCATGACTATACCTGGATATATGACATTATCAGTTATTATTAAGCCAGAGTTTCATATGACCTATGCCCATTGGAGGAAACTCAAACTTGAAGTGTCATAATTGTGGAATGTTTTACTTAATCTCAAAATCATCCCTGTATTGTTTCTAACATAATGCACTTTATTCAGCAGCTCTTGTTTCTAACATAATGCACTTTATTCAGCAGCTCTTGTTTCTAACATAATGCACTTTATTCAGCAGCTCTTGTTTCTAACATAATGCACTTTATTCAGCAGCTCTTGTTTCTAACATAATGCACTTTATTCAGCAGCTCTTGTTTCTAACATAATGCACTTTATTCAGCAGCTCTTGTTTCTAACATAATGCACTTTATTCAGCAGCTCTTGTTTCTAACATAATGCACTTTATTCAGCAGCTCTTGTTTCTAACATAATGCACTTTATTCAGCAGCTCTTGTTTCTAACATAATGCACTTTATTCAGCAGCTCTTGTTTCTAACATAATGCACTCTATTCAGCAGCTCTATGTAGTTGTGACAGACCACTCTGATAGTCAATAAACCTACCATTGTGCTATGTAACATGTATTTGTGAATTAATGAACTTGTCTGCAATATCATTTCAAAGCATTCAGCTTTAATAAACAGTTTTTTTTCTCTTGGTATTTCTCAGTCAAAAACAGTCAGGACAATTGCATGAAATAGCATTTTCATAAATGTCTCTTCAACAATATATAACGTACCAAAGTTAAATCCAAACTTGAAGCATAATACATTGCATTAATTATGATCTTTTCAGTTAGAAAATTTGTTTTCCCTACCACTTACTTTAAATGAAATATTAACACGACCTACGTAACAACCATACATATACATCATATGAATATTTAAAAACCTCAACTACCAAATGGAAGATCTTTTACGTGTACAGAATTTCTATCAGAATTTGTTTTGTGTTGATCCCATCAGTCATTCACCTCACAGCTAAGTTTCATTTAATAACATCTACATATTTTTTTTTCAGAATCATGAGACAAATTATATGCAAATGACACATAAAATGCCTTCACTTGTCTGTGTTTATCATTTAGATTTGACAGTAAGATCATGCGTATTGTTTCGGTGATCCAGCTTCCTTTTTAGTCTGTCTGATGTTACAGTTCAGTGAACAGGTTATGTTTGTAGAATACAGATGATAAGCTGACAGTAAGCATTGATTTGCCCCTCCTCATAAGCTAGACAGCTGGTGCACCAAGTATACGTATTTAACAACATCTGTCACATCACAACTGACATCACAGATAGAACCAACGTAAACTAGTCACACCTCAGGGAGTTTCTAATGATGGCAGAAAATATCAATGTTCACATCACAGTATAATTATTGCTGTATAACATGCTTTACCAAGAAACATCATATATGCATATCAAAGCAGACTTCCTACACATATATACACTGTATATATATAAAAATTCACATGTCAATTTCTATCAACAAAGTAATATTTGTCTACTTAACTGGTGTTCACATGTACATCCGCAGTAAGTGTTGCATACAGAATATGAAATGCCATTTTAATGAAATGTCGTTTCCCATACTTCAATATTATGAAAGGTATACAAGATACACTACCAAATGAACAGCAGGTAACAAAGACGAGGAGACTATCAACATCTTGATACATACATTTATAGATCGGGCATGTTTTATTTGTGAAAATGTTACACAGAAAGGATTAGCTGTTTTTACTTACTTTTTAGGCTCCTTCAGTTCTTCAATCACAAAGTTCAGATAGTTCCTATCAAACAGAAATTATGGAATTAATATTGCTATCAGGAGTGTGTTATCAAAATATAAAATCTTGATTTGTGAATTCCATAGTATTTTTTCAATGAATAAAAGTTACAATCACATTATTTAGAAGCTGCATTTCTACATAATACATTTCCCTAATGCCTAAAGAAAATAGCAGTTTCTGCTAATCTGGTGTATGTTATATTTGTTAGCCTGTTCTGGAGGGTTTCTTGATAAAAAAAATTCAGGGTAGGTCTTTTAAAGCCAGGATTCCCTCTCTACATACCCTTAGTAAAATTTATCTAAAATAACAAACAGATTTCAGGACCAACTTATCACATTTTTATGGTATGTTAATAGTATTAATTTGTTTTGCCTGAAATATAATTACCAGTACTGAAATTTACATAGTTAATTACTTTTTAAATGGAACTGTCAAATTTTTTTCCAAAAGTCAATAATAATGTGACCTTTATTCCAGTACTTCATTGTTCCTGAGTTTATTTACTGTTATAAAACACATGCACCAGTAATTCAATACCAAACTTTAATTTTTGAAAAGACCGTACCAGCCATTGTAGGCGAACAGTCCTGAGTAGAATGACAGTGCGATCTTCGTAATGTCAGTCTGAGTGTGTTCCCAGGGGTTCTGGAAATACTCCACTTCTCCTGAAATACAAAATGAAAATTGACCCTAAGTAAAATAGGTCAGATGATGGCGTGTTGATGGATTCCTGTGTTATTGTTATAAAATTTCTCTAAAACCTGAAATTTGTCCAACACAGATAAATTGACGAGTTCTAGTATTGCATCATATCTTATCAGCATATCATCAGCTTCCACATCTGGTGATGTCAATACTGGTCGATAAGAAGCAAATGAATACATTTAATGAACTTCAAAAGTTCAATATTGTTTAACATCATACTGCCTTCACAATAAATACTTTACCTCTTCCAAGCTGTACAAATCCAGTGAGAATAATGAGAATCAGGGCAAGAACTTTGGCATATGTGAACACATCTTGTACCCGAGTGGCCCAACGCACGCTCATACAATTGACAAACATCAAAATTACTGGAAAAAAAAATGCACATATTATGAAATATGCATTTTGGAAAAATTTTCAATAAGAAGGGAATAAGTATGTATTTAGATGAGAATGTTTAATTTATTACTATATATGGATGTCATAAATGTATAACCAGTTTACCAAAGTCTGTAAACCTGAACAGAATTATGATGAAATCGACTGCATGTAATATCACAGCTGTTGTTGATAATGTAAACATCAAACATCACAACATCATTCTCACAATACTTCTGTATTTACATGTATGTAATAATTATGGAACACTTAATCTGGCTATCTGACCTGAAAAATGCTGGAAATAAACACAGACCATCCTTAGTTTTTTTTCTGTTAAGTTGCTGCATTCAGCCTATAGATATTGAGGTTTCAGACTGAGTATTTTGAGTATTATAGATTATGTACATACATGCATCCAAAGATATCAAATTGATATTACGATCAATACTGGGCCAGGTGTGACATGATCTTACCTGATCAAGCAATCTACATCCAAGACGAGACAAAAAAAATGCTTTTCCTACTTGCCCTGACTTCAATTACTACCCCGTAATCTGTTTGTACTAAAACCATTTGTGAAAATATTTTGCAAAATCATACAATTTGCCTTCCCTCCCTAAATTCTTTGGAGAACCCAAAAGTAGAAACACATTAATGATACCATTTGGTTTTGGTGTCCTGATCATATAATTTGATGCAAATTCATTTTTACCTGTATGTTAAATATTCTATTACCCAAGTTGACAGCACCACAATATATGACAACATCATAATGATATTAATCCTTCACATCCTGTGCTTTATATCATTAAAATCAAATCCTCAAACAAGTTTATTTAAAATACCTCTGCATCCGGCCAGTCTAGACCCAGTGGTACAAACACCTGATAAATAATGTGGACATTCAAGATAAGAGATTCTTTTCAACTGTTGACATCAATTTATAGTACAGTTCGTCTAACATATTACATATAATTTTAGGAGGCCATCAATCATTAGCCCAGATTAACCTCTTTATGACCGTAGCAACAAATAATGCTGGTGTCTTTATTGATGGCAGTGTTTAACTTCTTTACCATTACCATAAACAAATATAAATGACACTCCAGGAAAAACAGAAGGGTTTGAGAAGTTGTGACAAGAATATCGGTACATGTGTCATCTCTCACACAGCTCACTCTGTAAACAAGTTTATCAAGTTTTAGACAGTTTCATTTTAATAAGTTAATAATGGCCCCTATGTCTTCTGAAAAATCTTAAAGAGATGGCGTCAATGATGCATACACCAAAATGACTGACACACTCACTGTCTACAACATGAAGTTTTAATTCTGTCCAGTGAAGAGTGATCTTTTTAAAACTGTCTCATTTAATTTAATTAACATGTATATCAAAAACAGTAATAGTTTTACTGGTAAGTTTGTATATAATTGTAAAATAGAATTTCCTGATTTTATGCAGATATACACTGCTGTGTTAGTAGGTAGAAGGTTTAATTAAAACTTGGGCATTCAATCTTTCTTATGATTCCATCAGAAGTCGATCATGTGCATTGCTGAACATTTTTAATTTGCTGTAAACAATCCATTAGGATAGTTGGGTGACGCAGTGATAACATACTCCATTTTCACCTTTCTTCCCACAGGCACCCAATGCTTCAATCCATGTCAGTATTCAAGTAAGCCATAAGCTTGTTTGTAATTTTAACTACATACATGTGTAATCTGATGGATAACATTAACAGCACAGAAATAAATTAAAGCTTACAAATTCATGTATAAAACCTTTTTTAGCCAAATAATACTAAATCATACAGGTTGCAGGCCTGTCTTCCTCAGTTCTAATGACTGTATAATAAATAAACTGTTCTGAAGTATAATTTCAAATTGGACGACAACATAATATTTGTAAAGTTTGTGAATAAATTGAGTAATTTTTTTTATCCATTGTGCCCCCCTTTTCTGTCCCTAAAAATATGCCAATGTAGAATGCCATAGGAGTAAAATGAGTTCAATGGCATCATTCACAAGATGTATTCTATCAACATCAAATTACGAATGCTTTCCAAATGCTTTATGTATTGGCATCATTCACAAGATGTATTCTATCTACATCAAATTACGAATGCTTTCCAAATGCTTTATGTATATATGTATCATGTCTATGGTACATTAAAAATTATTTTCATGTCCAGGCATATAATTTAGATTTTCACTTCCAATCACTGGAAATTTTCAGTTTTCACAATGTTTAGACATTCTTTTTTAAACTGTTCAGACTCCTGGGGTTCAAACAGTGACCTCTAAATAATGATATTGTTTTTTCCTCTAAAATCCTGATTTAAACATGAAATCATTTCTAAATGGCTGGAAGGCCATCATAGTTAGCATTCAATGTTGATAAAGACTTTATAACATTGTTGATAATACCTGGCCTTGGTATCTGATTTATTGTTAATGGTGTACTCCTGCAATAGGTTGAAGTTTTATGTCACTACAGATAGTAACATCTGTTTTATACATTTCTACTTGACATTACCTACCATTATTCTAGTAAATGCCCTTGTGGTTTGATACCATTAAAAGGATGTTATTCCTAATTCTATTTATCAGTCCTGCTATCTTTAATCTAAAACATATATTTCTTTGTTTCTGTCATTTTTGCCTTATCTGTAAGTTTCCTTTTAGCTAGCTCTCGTCTTCTGCCATACAATATACTGAGGTTTGGATATTTTTTCCCTAAAATATTAGGTAAATATAGGGAAGGATGTGTTTACATATATAACATTTATCAGAAGAAAGCTCTTTTATAACAGATATAATGATATTTTTTTCTTCTCTAAAACAACATTTTTACGCTAATGTCCCCCTTGACATTCACTGCCTCTTCTGCCCATGTGAGGAAACTGTGGGTTCTGTTCTGTGACTAAGACATAACAAGGTCTTATAATATGGTACATGTAGTTACAATTCTTCCTGCTTAATGCTGTGCGTTGTGTTAGTGTAACAACTAGTTTGGCCGTTGACAGTATGATCGCGTGAATGGGTTGGGTTTTCTGCTAGGTGCCTGTCATACCTAGATCTTTGGTAGAATACTTCTGTACTAGCACTAGTAGGTATTGCAGTCACCCACAAACATACACAACAGCTACACTCACCTCACAAACATTATAATGATTACAGAAAGGGTAACCCTAAATGACAGTAGCTGTTCAGTGATGTCAGCCAAACTAATGAGTGCAAAATCACATGCACAACTGAAACATGAATAAAGAATACTGATTTATCATGGAGATGAAGCTTGCTGTAGAATTACCATACCATCTCTTAAAAGACTTGTCAATGCATAAATGAACATCAGCAGAGAGAGGAGAGAGCAATGTAGAAGCAGTAGCAAGTGTGTACAACAAGTTAGTGGAAATGAGTAGTATAGTGTTAAGTATTTAAGCAGCTGGGGAATCCTACTTATACTTACATATGCAAACTGCTGCTAATAATCGAACGGCAATTAAGGGCTGCTCACAATCAGGAAACAGAGGCTCAATGACATAATACGCAAAAGTGAGTGCCACTATTGCCTGAGAGCATGGTCTCACAATCATACATTCAATCCAAAGTCTTAAAAATGCCACAACAGGTCCAAATGCTTCATACATGTACGCATAATCAGCTCCTGATCTACGAATTGAGGTACCTAATTCTGAATAACAGTAAGCCCCTACCATTGAAAAGAGTCCACATAACACCCATATGATCAGTGAAAGTCCAACACTGCCAGCGTCCTGTAGAACTCCTTTGGGACTCACAAATATACCGGAACCTATTATGCTGCCAACTATTACCGTGACGCCGTTTAATAACGTGATTTTTTGTTTTAAGTTAACCGTTTCATCTTTTTCCTGGTCAGACGATTCGCTCGAGTTCTGAGATCTGTCTTTCATGTCCATTGGCACCGCATCATACTGTTCTGAAGCCATGTTTTGTCCTTTTTAATCCGTCTTTTCTCACGGCGATTGAAGTGTGTAATAAGAATGTTTGAGATTCCCTAATTGTTGATATTGCGTCACTTTTTGATTGCCTCCAGTAGTTTGGTACAGAATGATGAAATCAACTTCCCGACCGTCGTTTAGACAACGTGGTTCACAAATATGGAGTGTGATCAGTCAATCGGAAAGGTCAAGGTCACTTCGCAGTGCTTTGTTGTGATGATGCAACAAAATATGTTTGTTATAAGATAGTCAACCTCCAGTCCCTTTAATATACTGATACTTTCATATAAATTCGTAACATATGGCCTTGTTTTGTACAATAACAAAGTTGTAAACAGTATTTTTAAAAAAGTTACAAGCATGTTGAATCCGGTATCAACCAGATTTTACTCGTCAGAACGAGGTTGGCTGTATATACAACCACGTGTGCAACTTTCGATTTGTATGGGGGCGTGTCGCATTGTAAAAGGGAGCAGCAATGAAAAATATCCTGTCATCTCTGGGGGTTTAAACTAGCGACTCTTCGCTCTCGAGTTGTACATTGTACATTTAGGTTTAAAGGAAATTCTCGCTAGCTGAGGATATATTAAGACAGCTTGTACTAGTTATTTCTACACTACTTATTTTCTCTTTCACAAAGCGTTATGCCTGTGATGATACATTGATCAATTCGAGTCCAGCGAAAAGGATCCTTAACGAACCTGTGCTGGAAAATAGCATTATCATTAAGTAAGTATTACTGCATATACCGTTCAGAACATGGACAAACACTTTCCTGCCGAATGCGCCGACAGACACAGGAATCCAGTCAGTGACTCCGGCGTGATTGAGCTCACGGGTGACAGAATGCCATATTTTACACCTACAAATCTTTGAGGAATTGTCCGAATCCTATCCTTTGCACAAGCGGAACTAGGGAAATTTGACATGAAACTTACAGACTGCGAAAATTATTCAACAACCATCATTGACAAATATATCTTAGAAGTTAAAAATCCATATGGTTATATACTCAACGAAAAAAACAAGGATTAGGATATTTTCTTGGTGAATACTTGCAACATAGGAAAATGCCAATAGTTAATGTTACAAAATGCAAGGGATTGCCAAAACCATATGAAAGGGTATCACGGCCTTAGATATTAAGTTGAATTTCATTTTCAAAAATAGTTTGAAGAAACTCGAATTCACTAAAATTTGCTATTTTTCAACTAATACAAAGCGAAAGGATTGTAGACATGCATCATCTCTGCAATTTGGACAGCTTTGACGTTTGATTACTGTGTCAAAACTAAACCACAGTGGTCCATTCAGAGCACCGGACCCATTCTGTTGTGACGTCACTGTAACGTAATTGCCTCAACTGCACTAAGTTCTCATTAGCAATTTCATTGACACGTTCTTTACTTTTAAATAAAGTAACAAAAACCGGGAAATGGGATTGGTTGCGACAAAATGCAGAAACGTTATTTTTCAGTTAAAAATATGTGTGTCCCCTAACTCGAAATCCTGGATCGCGATTTTGTTTGCAACCCGATGACACCGGTATAGGCGGAGGACCAGTCTGTAATGTACAAACAAGATTGTATGATTTCCTTAATTTTTGTAATCATCATATTGCTTGCAATTGGAAGTGGGTGTTATTGTAGAGTCTCCGATTTTTTATCAGCAACAAACCAATGTTGAAATATGAATTTCGAGTATTTCTGAGTTTGGTATTTGTCCTGGTCAGATTGTATTCATAAACCAATGATTTTATAGATTTGTGATGCTTTAGGAACGAGTTAGCGTCCCTTTTCATCGATATCTTCTGGTAACGGGATACTTAATTTTGATGTCTCAAGTCAACCGGATCTTTAGAAAAGAAAGTTTAATGCCACGAGAAATAGTGTTTAATTATAATAGGTCCATTAATACCAATTTAAGAAAGTAAAAGAGTTGAAGAGTCTGAAAGGTATGGTGACTGATTTCTGTCATTTCTTTGTTTGGTTTTGTCGCTCCAACAGAACAATAATCTTCGTCTTTTCACCCACGCTAATTAGCGTTATGTCGCCCCACTAAATATCGACTTTTCGCCGCCACAAAACCGGATAATTATCGTTATGTAGCCCAGTGTGGGTTTCGGGAAAAAACTGACCAATTACAGACTGAAAAGTCCTTTGAAGATTTCAAAGGAACAATAAAACTTCAAAGTCAGTACAACATACCGTTATTCGACCTCGATATTCGCTTGCAGCAAAGACCTTCAATGTCAATCTCACAATGACTAATTTTGATAAAACAATTATCGTTATATAGCGACTTCAATCATTACAGGAATTTGAACAAACCTCATACATGCACAAGTGACCTGAACATACTATTACACATTGGTAATGAAACTGTATTGTTAAATTGTCAAACCTTTTCACTGCATTGATTCATGAAAATCAGTTGCAAACTACATAATTGTAATTGTATATTTTCTCGTAATGGACACAAAACACAGCCATCTTTATATATTCTGACAGTGTAATCAATAATAGTTTGTGAGGCCAGTAGAGGATATGTCTTGATTTTTAAAGTCCCTAAGAAATAACTATAACAAACTTCAAAATCCAACATGGCCACCTGCTAGCTGTTTGTTTTTTTTTCGTCAAATCCCTTAATTCAAGATGCACAAGTAGGGATTAAAGGGACATTTGAGAAAGATCTCTCCAACAGTTGTTACAAAATAGCTACAACAAATAAATCTACTATGACCATCTTTTGGCCACTTCCATCAATCCCAATATTGATCATGACCAAACTAGAAACTTGATGAAACATATATGATATAAAATTTGAGAAGGATCCATCCTGTAAAGTTCTTTATAAATAGTGATAACAACAATTGTTTAAAAACAAGTGATGACGAGGCACGGTCAAAAAAAAAAAAAAAAAAATGGCGAGTTGAAGAGCCCACCACATGGTGGTCTGATGACGGTGGTCTATAAAATGTCCATGGCATTAACTGAAATATATGAAAATAATGAGACCACATGAAAACCCTCGTAGTCTGTACATCCTATCACTTTAAATAGAAAATTTATATCTAGTTTGATCCTTAGTATGCAGAAAACGTAACTGGGGCATTTTACTCTAAATAGAAAAACCGTTTCTTGCTCCCCTCCCTTTTTCTAAAAGAGTCATTTACGTATGGGAATTTTCAGCTTTCATAAACATACTACACGTTTTTTATGAGAGAATCGAGAGAATTGCGGTATAAAGGGCAACATAGCACCTTGCTGCCTTCCTTAGTCCATGTTAAAATCTAAACTTAGCAAGAAAAAATAGGTTACAGAAGAAAAACACATAAAAATCTCACATTTTCTTTGAAACCGTAATTACGAATGCTCCTGCTCAATATTGTTGGCAGGGAAAGAACGTTAAGTGCATGTGTGATGTTTGATCAATACCCCCAGGAAATCAAGCCTCAAAGCTGTTGACAAAGTATTTTTTTCCTCGAAATAGTAAAGGTGACATTGATCTTGACCTTACAGCCATGGAACTGGAACTTGTGTGAAATATCATGTTGTCCCCGACGGATAGCAGGTTTCGGTGTGGAGTGCGTCGCTGTATTGAGAGCGCATGCAGTGCTAAATTTGGATCCGTTTCGCCACACGCAGATCACTATTTACCCTACAGATCTGTTTGTATTCCTGTTATGTCTATCAGACAATGTTGGTTTGTCGGTTTCAAGGTTTCGAGGTTCTATTTACTAAGACATAAACTTACCAAAGGAAGGTCGGAAAAATACGGTTAATGTCAATAAGTCTGGTGCCATGAATTAAAGACGTGACACTGAACCAGACAGATACTATAGAAACTGAGGAAGGTAAATTAACATATTTATAAATCTAACTGCAGAACCCAGTCTAGGTGATTTATTTTCTTGAAATATCTGCAATTTGTCTTAGAATTAAGCAATTACCATACACCGTGTTTAAAAAAAGCGTGAATGATTACAGCAATTAGCCAGATATTAGTTCATTTTTGTGGTTTGAAAACCAATAAACTCAACACTGAAATGTCTCCAAAATGCATTGCAGAGAGCCCCTCGGAGAAATATATACAGAAGACCATAAGTTACAAAAAGGTAAGCGTCTTCTTCTCGAACTAAAAAAAATAGCAAAGGCAATTAACGAAGCCCTTGGGTTTATTGACCACTATCATATACATTTAAGTTTTCCCCCTACTAAGATCATGTTAATAAGTAAACATTTGGACGTAAATCTGTTATGGTTGACATTTATTCTTTTAACAAGCAATGAAATTCAAAGCTGATTTCCCGGTGGTTTTTTTTGTCAACTCTGCGGCAGCATCAATCTGATGCTTTAAGAGAAACTCTCCTTTACCAAAGGGCATGAATGTTTTTGAAGTTTATTTGTTCATGTGATTGGTAAAGAACGGACTTTATTGAAATGTAAGAGTAATTTGTAACTCCAAAGGTCAACAAACCGTAAGTAAGCGTTAGTCACCTCTAAACAATTATATACTGTATTTTATCTTTCAAATAGATATTTCATCAGCGAAAACGGGAAACTGCTGACGTTAAAAACCACGAGCTTATTGTGCCAGATAGCCATTGGTCTGACTACCAGACTAATCACTGATTAATGGGTAGTGTCTGTGCTATATTTGTCTGACCATCATCCTTACACATTAATGGGTAGTGTCTGTACTATATTTGTCTGATCATCATCCTTACTGATTAATGGGTAGTGTCTGTACTATATTTGTCTGACCATCATCCTTACACATTAATGAGTAGTGTCTGTGCTATATTTGTCTGACCATCATCCTTACACATTAATGGGTAGTGTCTGTACTATATTTGTCTGACCATCATCCTTACACATTAATGGGTAGTGTCTGTGCTATATTCGTCTGACCATCATCCTTACACATTAATGGGTAGTGTCTGTGCTATATTCGTCTGACCATCATCCTTACACATTAATGGGTAGTGTCTGTGTTATATTCGTCTGACCATCATCCTTACACATTAATGGGTAGTGTCTGTACCATCATCCTTACACATTAATGGGTAGTGTCTATATTTGTCTGACTATATTAATGGGTCTGACCATCATCCTTACACATTAATGGGTAGTGTCCTTCCTTACACATTAATGGGTAGTGTCTGTACTATATTTGTCATCCTTACACATTAATGGGTAGTGTCTATATATTTGTCTGACCATCATCCTTACACATTAATGGGTAGTGTCTGTACTATATTTGTCTGACCATCATCCTTACACATTAATGGGTAGTGTCTGTACTATATTTGTCTGACCATCATCCTTACACATTAATGGGTAGTGTCTGTGCTATATTTGTCTGACCATCATCCTTACACATTAATGGGTAGTGTCTGTACTATATTTGTCTGACCATCATCCTTACACATTAATGGGTAGTGTCTGTACTATATTTGTCTGACCATCATCCTTACACATTAATGGGTAGTGTCTGTACTATATTTGTCTGACCATCATCCTTACACATTAATGGGTAGTGTCAGTACTATATTTGTCTGACCATCATCCTTACACATTAATGGCTAGTGTCTGTACTATATTTACTGACCATCATCCTTACACATTAATGGGTAGTGTCTGTACTATATTTGTCTGACCATCATCCTTACACATTAATGGGTAGTGTCTGTACTATATTTGTCTGACCATCATCCTTACACATTAATGGGTAGTGTCTGTGCTATATTTATACTGACCATCATCCTTACTGATTAATGTGCTACAATGCTATGCTAAAGTTGATTAACTGCAAGCAATATTTTAACATGGAATTCGGTCAGTTATATGTAACCTCATTCAGTAACTGAAGAAAGAATAATGATACTGATCTAATAACAGAAAACACGCTTTTAATTTAAAGATCTATAATCTGAGCAATGACACCCATGTTTTTTTTGTATATTACCAATCTTAGCATAGCTGTAGTGAAGGCCATTCAAATGAAAAGTATGAATACATGCTTTCTGTGTCATCAGATGTATTATCCATGTCATCAACATACACCCATGTATGAAAAAAAAAGATGAAAATGATTTTCTTCCCTTGGAATATCAACAGCAAATAAAAATAACAACAAATGTGAATGAATTACCTTTTTAATTATGATAACATATGAATAAATAAACCTAAAATAATGAAATCCTTATTTATTAAATAAAAACCACGAACAACAGACTAAAATATTTCCAAACAGAAGCTGTTCATTTGCATAAAATAGAAAATCTCCTCAATCTGTCAACTTTCATACCCAACAGCCAACCAAATGAAATAAGCTCTGTACCATGAACAACAGACTAAAATGTTTTGAAATAAAAGCTGTTCAGTAGTGTAGAGCATAACTATGTTTCAACAAATACAGAATTATAATACATACAGAACAGATTACATGGTTTCATGTTTTATATTCCCTGTGAACACAACTACCTTCAAAAATACCAAACTTCCCTAGAGCAGTGTGAAGCAGGTAGATATAATAGTATGTACTGAGCATGTTTGTATTTTAAACTTGAATTGTCACTTGCAAAAGTCGAAGCACATTTTCAGGAGATTCAGCACGGAAAATCTCACCTCTCATCTGTTGTATCATACCTGTATCAGTTTTCAGTATAAATAAAGAAATTTCACAAAGATGGCTTCAACTTATCCACAAGAACTGAAGCTCTTAAAAATATATAAACCTTTGGAAATATTCATCTGTTTACAGATAATAGATTGTGTTGTCAAAATAGATTTTTGCCAGAACTCATTTGTTCAACTCTGGACATATTTGATGTGTAATACTGAAAACAAAATTTCAATACCAAGTGAGAAAGAGAGCAACACCTGTATTATTTTGGATATAAGGAACACTCTCATACAAAGGTACAATAACAATCATTAATGTGAACATAGATTTAAGAATATGCATATTTAAAATTGACTTAATTACATCATGTTGTTTCATTTAGAACAGGAGAACAATATGAATATAAAGTGTGTTTATAATGCTGTAATGACAGATGGTGTATCATCACACTGATATACACTTCTTAACGCCACTTAAATACTGAACTTTTTAACTAATAAACGTAAATAAAAAGGATGACAAATCTACCTCACTAAATCAAATACACTCTGATACCAGTATCTGAACAGTACAAGAGACGAGTATACTGATAACACAACATACAAAATATTAAATTGTCAATTATTTACATATTATATAACTGTATGACCATGATGAAATTACTCTTATGCAATAAGCTGAAAACTTTTTTTGTTTTGTATTTAATATCTGCAGGAAGTTTCCAGCAGATAACCTACAGGCTTGGCATGAACTTATACATCTGTAGTCACAAGTCATTAAGTCAAGTCATCGGTGAATAATTCCAACATTTAGATCAATGTATTTTACAGGTATAATCTAGCCCTTTAGATATTTTACAGGTGTACAAATCAGACTTTTAGATATTTTACAAGTATATAAACAAGACTTTTAGATATTTTACAGGTGTACAAATCAGACTTTTAGATATTTTACAGGTATATAAATCGGACTTTTAGATATTTTACAGGTGTACAAATCAGACTTTTAGATATTTTACAAGTATATAAACAAGACTTTTAGATATTTTACAGGTGTACAAATCGGACTTTTAGATATTTTACAGGTGTACAAATATAAATCAGACTTTTAGATATTTTACAGGTGTATAAATCAGACTTTTAGATATTTTACAGGTGTATAAATCGGACTTTTAGATATTTTACAGGTGTATAAATCAGACTTTTAGATATTTTACAGGTGTATAAATCAGACTTTTAGATATTTTACAGGTGTATAAATCGGACTTTTAGATATTTTACAGGTGTATAAATCGGACTTTTAGATATTTTACAGGTGTATAAATCGGACTTTTAGACATTTTACAGGTGTATAAATCAGACTTTTAGACATTTTACAGGTGTATAAATCGGACTTTTAGACATTTTACAGGTGTATAAATCAGACTTTTAGATATTTTACAGGTGTATAAATCGGACTTTTAGATATTTTACAGGTGTATAAATCAGACTTTTAGATATTTTACAGGTATATAAATCAGACTTTTAGATATTTTACAGGTATATAAATCGGACTTTTAGATATTTTACAGGTATATAAATTTTTAGATATTTTACAGGTATATAAATCGGACTTTTAGATATTTTACAGGTATATAAATCAAGATAAACAAGACTTTTAGATATTTTACAGGTGTACAAATCGGACTTTTAGATATTTTACAGGTGTACAAATCGGACTTTTAGATATTTTACAAGTATATAAACAAGACTTTTAGATATTTTACAGGTGTACAAATCGGACTTTTAGATATTTTACAAGTATATAAACAAGACTTTTAGATATTTTACAGGTGTATAAATCGGACTTTTAGATATTTTACAGGTGTACAAATCAGACTTTTAGATATTTTACAGGTGTATAAATCGGACTTTTAGATATTTTACAGGTGTATAAATCAGACTTTTAGATATTTTACAGGTATATAAATCGGACTTTTAGATATTTTACAGGTATATAAATCGGACTTTTAGATATTTTACAGGTATATAAATCGGACTTTTAGATATTTTACAGGTATATAAATCGGACTTTTAGATATTTTACAGGTATATAAATCGGACTTTTAGATATTTTACAGGTATATAAATCGGACTTTTAGATATTTTACATGTTTATAAATCAGACTTTTAGATATTTTACAGGTGTATAAATCGGACTTTTAGATATTTTACAGGTGTATAAATCGGACTTTTAGATATTTTACAGGTGTATAAATCGGACTTTTAGATATTTTACAGGTGTATAAATCGGACTTTTAGATATTTTACAGGTGTATAAATCAGACTTTTAGATATTTTACAGGTGTATAAATCAGACTTTTAGATATTTTACAGGTGTATAAATCAGACTTTTAGATATTTTACAGGTGTATAAATCGGACTTTTAGACATTTTACAGGTGTATAAATCAGACTTTTAGATATTTTACAGGTGTATAAATCAGACTTTTAGATATTTTACAGGTGTATAAATCAGACTTTTAGATTTTTTACAGGTGAATAACTATGACTACTACTAGTAGACATTTTACAGGTTTTTAAGTAGTTATGGAATCTCTTCGGAAAGAGATAGATTCCACAGTCTTAAAGCATTTATAAAATACACAAACACACAGATATCTAATTATTCTGAGGATAATATGACTGTTAGAGTAGTGTTGCTTTACAAAACATGAAAGCAGAAGAATGATAAACAGGAAGATTATACAGACAGGATACATGTATCAATAAATTCATATCATTTTAAAAAGGCCAAAAATGGAAATGAAGTTTAACGAAGAATTCCACCATTGTGATAATTTTACTGTGTAGACTGAACAACAACCAATAAATAATATGGTATTGTTTTTAACATTATACTCTGAATCTGCATTCAAATATGCAAATTTAGTTACTCTGATAAGTTCCTAGTTATGAGGCAGAAGTTTCTAACAGTAAAAATGACAAATTAATATGCAGGGCAATATATTCTATTGATTATAATAATCATCACTACAAGCACCCATATTACAGATATTGTTTTCTATGGAAATATAAAGCTTGACTGACAAATGAAAACTAAATAGGAACATGGAGGCAAGTATTCAGTGACCAGTCCTAATCTATCATTAAGTTCTAGGACACAGTGTGACAATGATATACCAGTGAACCCTGGAGGATAAGTCCCTTCACAAGTAAAAATTCCATTAATCCCAATAGGCTGAAGATAACTATAAAGTTTCCCTCCCTCAAAATAATTTCTGGGAGGTAAAAAATGTATTTTGCACTCAGTGATGACAAATGGCCCTGCCACTCAAAACCCCTCCCCATGAGTAAATCAAGTGACCATATAAAGACTGAACAGCTCACACACCATGTGTATTTTCAGTCTTTTTTCTGATATGCTACTGCACCTACATGAACATAAAATAAGACTTCTTGATTGCACTGACCTGATCAGGTTACTGATAGACATTCACCTACTGATACATTACACCAGAAGTAGATGAGGTTAATTTGACTTTTGTGTCATGGAGAGGATGTAAACCTATCAAACCAACATACATCTAGAAGACAAGTATAAGATATTGGGTAAAAACCTAGATTAAAAGTTTTGTTAATTAAAGAAATGTGTTTAAAAAATCAATTTAACAAAATGACAGGCTACCAAACACAGGATATCCTATGAAAAAATATGAATTTCCACTTCCATATCTTTCACACATGAAATATGTTGATGTCTGTTCAAACACAGCATTGCCTTTATATCCCAGGTACCACGAAAGTTTTCATTAAAACAATGGACTCCCTTGTATCCTCAGGAATGCAAAACATTTAAAGATTGAGTGTGGATATCTTTTAGATACCAAGGCAGTGTCCTCTCACAGACTGGATATCCTCTGTGTCGCTGGACTCTTGGAGAGTGCCTCCCTCAGATGTCAGGGAAATGTCCTCTCACAGACTGGATATCCTCTGTGTCGCTGGACTCTTGGAGAGTGCCTCCCTCAGATGTCAGGGAAATGTCCTCTCACAGACTGGATATCCTCTGTGTCCCTGGACTCTTGGAGAGTGCCTCCCTCAGATGTCAGGGAAATGTCCTCTCACAGACTGGATATCCTCTGTGTCGCTGGACTCTTGGAGAGTGCCTTCCTCAGATGTCAGGGAAATGTCCTCTCACAGACTGGATATCCTCTGTGTCCCTGGACTCTTGGAGAGTGCCTCCCTCAGATGTCAGGGAAATGTCCTCTCACAGACTGCATATTGTCTGTGTCCCTCTACTCTATGAGAGTGCCTCCCTCAGATCACAGGGAAATGTCCTCTCACAGACTGGATATCCTCTATGTCCCTGGACTCATGGAGAGTGCCTTCCTCAAATGTCAGGGAAATGTCCTCTCACAGACTGAATATCCTCTGTGTCTCTGGACTCTTGGAGAGTGCCTCCCTCAGATCACAGGGAAATGTCCTCTCACAGACTGAATATCCTCTGTGTCTCTGGACTCTTGGAGAGTACCTTCCTCAAATGTCAGGGAAATGTCCTCTTACAGACTGGATATCCTCTGTGTCGCTGGACTCTTGGAGAGTGCCTCCCTCAGATGTCAGGGAAATGTCCTCTCACAGACTGGATATCCTCTGTGTCGCTGGACTCTTGGAGAGTGCCTCCCTCAGATGTCAGGGAAATGTCCTCTCACAGACTGGATATCCTCTGTGTCCCTGGACTCATGGAGAGTGCCTCCCTCAGATGTCAGGGAAATGTCCTCTCACAGACTGCATATTGTCTGTGTCCCTCTACTCTATGAGAGTGCCTCCCTCAGATCACAGGGAAATGTCCTCTCACAGACTGGATATCCTCTGTGTCCCTGGACTCATGGAGAGTGCCTTCCTCAAATGTCAGGGAAATGTCCTCTCACAGACTGAATATCCTCTGTGTCTCTGGACTCTTGGAGAGTACCTTCCTCAAATGTCAGGGAAATGTCCTCTCACAGACTGAATATCCTCTGTGTCTCTGGACTCTTGGAGAGTGCCTCGCTCAGATGTCAGGGAAATGTCCTCTCACAGACTGGATATCCTCTGTGTCCCTGGACTCTTGGAGAGTGCCTCCCTCAGATGTCAGGGAAATGTCCTCTCACAGACTGGATATCCTCTGTGTCCCTGGACTCTTGGAGAGTGCCTTCCTCTGATATCAGGGAAATGAATTGATATCCTTTGTGTCATGAACTTTCTCACATGATATAAATCCTCTGTGTCTCCACACAACAAGGTAAACAGACTAGTTTTCCAAATTCTGCCACACATGATTTCCTTTGGCTAATTACATGCTACAAGCACAATGTTTGTCTATGTCATTACACTTACTGCAGAAGAGCTTTTAGTGAAAGCAAGCATCTTTGTCTCTTGTGTATTTATAATCACTCTGTCTTGTGTACAAGCACATAATTTCTTTTGCATGTTCTTCTGTGGTTGAAAATGCAATGACCTTTGACTTTCAAATTTGACCAATCATTCATAGCTATTGGTTGAGACTGATCTTTCAATGTTGAAAGAATAGGAATACTGAAAGGAAAATAAACAGACATAATTATGAAGTTGAAACACATAAAAAAAATATTAAAAGTTTCAAGCAATATATATAATGTAAATATGATCATTATAAACACTATAACAACTTGTTAAGTTAGTCAATAGCATTTATAACATGTAGCGACCTCATTATATCAAACCATACTTTGTCTATCAATTTCAGAATGATAGTTTTCATTGAATGAGGTCAAAATGAATGGTAACTCAAATTTCATCTCACAAACTGCTGTGTTTTATCTATGTATTTTATATTTTAGAGTTAAGAAGCATGATTCCGGGTTCTTTATGACAGTCAATGAATTCTGTTATAAATTATGTAATATTGAAACAGATAAACAGAAGATAATACAAAAATATATCTAAATAAAAAATATGTGTAAAAATTATAAGAACTTATATGTAACATGCCAAATTATGTTTAGCCTCAAGCCTCTTGGACTGAGAAGCCAACCAGAAGATCCTGAGTTAATTACGACGAAGCTTTCGCAAAATAAATAGTACAAAAGATACACTATTACATTGTCGTTTAGTGCATCAGAAAGTTCAGACATCTGAAAAAAGTGTCAACTGTTAATGTCATGTTTAGCTTACTTTCACATTTTTCCTGATAAATGGAACATGATATTAAGTGGTTTTCATTGTAGCATTACTAACTATGACTTCAGTTACAGATACAACACAGTACAGAAATATACCATGGATATGACTTGTCACTGCTGATACATTGACAATAATCTTACCTCATTTTCTATGTCCATGATTGACTTGTAACCAATCTGAGGAAGTGTAATCTGTGAAAAAAATAAAGTGAGAAAAATTGTCAGATTTTTGTTACAGAAAGAATTTCACTTATTTTGATACAAAACAGGCACAGTCAAGATAAAAGCTTTATAGGAAACAGATTCCTTTTACTTATAACAGTGAGAATTTGTCTTTTAAATATTTGATAATCTAATAGTGATAAAGACACCCATCAGCCATTGCTGAAACTCTAAGGGTTTGAGAGACACATGAAGACAGTATTTATCAGATGATAAGCTCATGCTTGGGAGTAAGTCTACTTAATACTGATTTCCCAACAAATTTTATATCTATAAATACTGTTCCCTGACAAATATATCATCTATGAATAATGATTCCTGATAAATGTACATCCCAGTATGTATTTTTATGGTTACTGTAAGTTTTATTTCCAGTATTTATTTCCATTTCCAGTGTCTATATATGCTATACTTACATCCTGTAGCCTGGCCATTTCAGTGTAGCGTGGATTTATCTGCCAGGGCACACCAGATAAAGCTAAATACAAGATAAATATTTCAAAATGACCACAATTTTCAGATAATAAAAATAAAACAGATAATGCAGGATTATTCCTCAACAGGATCCCTGATATGAATTTTATGTGAACTATTTCATTTTGGAATATTCTAAAAATTCTGGTTTGGCCATGCCTACAGTTACCTTTCATGCAATCAAATTGAAACTTTGGGGACATGAGAGTTCAGTTTAACTAAGTGAAGATCTGCGGTGTCTTGTTCAATTTGGAGACAACTAAATTTCCACAAACAAAGCATTCCAACAAATAAAGAGCCACAGTTCAGAAAACCACTTTACCAGTAAATTGTAGTTATAAATGGGCTATGAGCAATAATTGCATGCATTAAGTATGGCCTGTAAAAAGAACAAGATTATACCAAAACAATAGGTGATAACTAAGAAATGAACTATCAATCATCAATAGGTTTATATGAAAACTTAATCACAACTCCATCAGACATGGACAGTTAATAATGGAGAAGATGGGGCCTGGTTTTATCAATGTTCTTAAGTTTATTTAGTGGGATTTTCCCTTGTCAACAGCCAGATATTTTAAGGCAGGGTCACAGCCTTGTAGTAGCTGCTGGTTTAACCTCACGAAACATTATATTTGAGGCATGTTGTATGCTATCCAGAGCAGTTGAGAAAACTGTTTTGAACAAAGAACATGGCAGTACACACAGACTGGTTCATTTCTCAGTAAATGTGTTGATCCACACAACTCCAATCTTAATCTGAGGTTTTGCAGGCCAATGCTTTCCCAATGTCCCTTAATGTTCCTTGGAAAATTTCCAAACATTAGTATATTACGAGAAGAAAATTTCCAGAGTTGTTCTTATTACCACTGAACGGCTCTTTCCTATAAAATTTGGCAATAATATTTGTAAAACAAAGATCATTCAGGCTTTTTTTATTTTTGATGAAATGTTTCAGCAGCAATAGCCACTACCTATATACTGCTGGGATATAAACACACAAGTATATCAGTGGACAAACTGTCAATGTAGCAAATCTAATGGATGGTATTATTATTTTAAAGTGTTCTCTATAAGATTTTAGTGGACTTGAAAAATGAATTTGTAATTCTAAGACCATTTTTTCCTACATACATACATATGACTTTGAACCATTATTAGTGAAAGAAGGAAAGAAGGACTGCAGTTTTCAATGAAAAGTTTGATTTATCACTTATAAAAGTTATAGACTGTAAAGCAGGGGCTAGTTACTGCAACTTCTGTGTGATTTCACTTGGTAATTTACAAAATGTAGCTTAAAGCAAGGTCGGTGAACAGCACAGTGCTAGGCTCTCAAGACATACGCATATCACCATTGAAATAAAAAATGTGAATTTGGATTGAGCATGTGAACAAGAAATTCTGATTTTTATCAATTTAATATATATTTTCTTCAGATTGGTAAGTTTTATATGTGAGTGGAACAAATGTTGTAATCAGTGATGATATTGGAACATCTATACACAAATAAATATCTTCCTGGTTTACTTTCAATTCTCAGCAAGTTACCCAGGATATTATAAGCAGCATGAAGTTATGTCTGTACTAACGAAATAGAACAGCTACTTGAGACAAATAGAATGTAATTCACTGTATATTTGTTAATGACAATATTGGGACCAGAGGAAATTCAGGCAAGATTCCTCAATGAGGAAGCATGCAGATAATTCCTAGCATTTGCGTTTACTTATATAGCACAAAAATGAAACAAAATGACTACCTTTGTTACATAGTTACAAGCAATAGATGTGTTAGTGAAAGTGTTATACACAATGATAACATTTATAGTTACATCTCAATACAGTGAGAATTTATCTAAAGTTTTCAAGACTTAAATATTGAAGATCAAGAATTGAACAGAAATGGAAACTATCAAGTTTTCATCAGTTGGTATTGTGTTCTTAAAGTTTTGCCATTAAAATCTTTCAAGAAAAGTAGAAGATAAGAACAATAAAAATTCGAAGATAAGAACAACATTAGTTCGAAAATTCAAAGAAAATAATTCTATTTCCATAGGAGAAGCACATATAACATAAGAAAGCACAGATAGCTTGCGAAGAATAGGAGCTTGAGCTACAGCCATTGCTTCTATTAGCTTCTAAGTATATACCTTGTACCACTTGTTGGGAACCATTGTGTACATGGTTTTGTTCTGAGAAAACAAAAATAGCATTATGTTTTACAAGAATATGTATATCTTAGCATGTTATTCATATGAGGGCATCAATATGGATATATAACTTAGCTATGTATTCAGGAGATTTAGATGTTAAGTAAGCTGCAGCTAAATTTCAGGAAACATTCTTGTCAATACTGACCATGGTTTTACACACAAATAAATTGATTGGTTGTTTTTGTCTCCTGTATGATAGAAAATAAAGTTATCATGTCGATCACGCTTTTATGATGATAGCACTGGTAATATTTCTAAATCCTGTGTATTCTTTCTTTTTCCTCCTGATGTGTAGAATATTCCTCAGTTGAAACATAACTCAATCAAAAAGACCCAAGACTCTCTTAAAACTAATGTCATGCAGTGTTAATCTTGAATTTAAAAAAAAAATTGAATCTTGCAATTTAGTCAATATCTGAATATGAAATGAAGGGGAGTAACTCCCATTTCACATTTTCTGTAATTCCTGACAATGATTTAAGATCCATTTTATCTTTCTACTAAATGCAGATTTCTTCATCTTATATCATGTTTTTTCTGTTTATAATCCTGAAATTAACAAATAACTTGTAAGCAGCTTGTGTACCAGTAACTCATGTTGATAATACTCCATAAAATTACAGTAAAGCTGCTAACTATGACATCATGTGTGACTCATATTTCAAACAAATACCATGACCTTTTATTTGACCTTTGACCCTTGAAACATAAACTAACCCCAGATATTCATGATTGTAAAATTTGATGAAATTTCCTTCAGAATGAAAGTCATTAGAGTGATGTCACTGAACTGGTGGATGATTTTCTATAAATAGCACCAATAATGGTTACCTAGAAACAATGTCAACACAGCACTAATATTCATTGTTGAGACAATGCCAAGTGATAGGAATAGTCATGGAGCCAAAAAATCTGTACCTAGCTAGTTACCTTGACCTTGGAACATAAACTCATGTTATGTATTGTCATAGCTGGCCTTTGTTTCTTCTTCAGAAATGAAGTTGTTTGAGTAATGTAATTGATTAGTGCCTGGGACAGTACCAAAATTGGACAGGACAAACAAGAGGCCCATAGGGTCTGTATTGCTAACCTGGTTTAGTTTGTGAAATTTATTAATTCAAGCTAGAGAAAAAGTTATTAAAATTATTGAATCAATTTCACCGTAACAGGAATTCCTGTACTCCCAGAGGGTTAGATTTATCATTTGTACAAAACTAAGTTCTCTTAACCAAGGATATCTACAGTTACATTAGAAGGATTTTAAAAATTTGCTGTATTTCCACTATTGGGCCCCACCCCTTCTGCCCCACAGGGTTTGAACCCACTGTTCCCCTTCACCCCTATCAGACCAATTTTAATTCCTATATCAGAAGAATAATTCCAAAGCATTTGCAATATTTCTCGTATTGGGCCCTGGCCCTCCCATCCAAGGGGACTGAGACCCAACGTTTATACAAATTTGATTCCCTTTCACCTAAGAATTCTTCAGATCATTTTTGGAAAAAATACAATCATTCCTGCAGGAGAAGTCATGTCTTAAAGAATTACTTATTTCTTCTACTGGCTCCACCCTTCTGACCCCAGGGGGTCAGACCCATTGTCTATAAAATTTCATTTCCCTTCACCAAGCATGCTTCAGACTATATTTGGACAATATCCTGCAATTCTTGAAGAACAAGACAGATTTTAAAGAAATTGATAGATTTTCTCCATCGGGACCCCTGTGGCCCCAGGGAGGTCAGACCCACCATTTATTCAAAACTCATTTCCCTTTATCCCAGCATGCCTCATTTCAAATTTGAACAACATCCTGTAATTCATGAATAATAATACGAATTTAAAGAAACTGATAGATTTTCCACATTGGGCCATGCCCCTCAAGCCCATGGAGCTCAGACCCGAAACTGCTCTCCTTTCACAAAAGCATGCTATATACCAGATCTGGACCTTTTCCTGTTATTCTTTAAGAATAAGATAGATTTTTAAGAAATTTTCCCCACTGGACCCCATCCCTCAGGCCCCAGGGAGTCTGGACCCTTTGGGCCAGGTGAGCTAAAAATAGGAAAATACATTATGCCCCTCCCTCATAACATGGCGGAGTTTCAAAAATGAGCTAAGGACCAGAACTCTGTACAGAGAAGGTTGATATCCAGTTTCAATGTGTTATACCATAACAAAGCCTGTCATAAACAATGATATGTGCTGAACTTCCTGAGTAAATATACATAATACTCTTGGTTACACCAATTTTTAAAACAAATAATTTTTTGTAGTTTAAGCTTGTCTCAGTAATGGAAACTTCAGTCTAGATTGAAATATCTATATTAATAAAAAAAAGCCTGTCTGCATGCATTCATTTATGTAGGAAGTAAGCAAAGATAACAAAACAACAATTACATAAAGTAAAGAAGGTACATCAATTTGTGCAAAAACAATTACATATCTGCCATAACAAGTGCCTTTTTTCATATTACACCTCTTTTTGAAATTACAAAAAAAAACTCGAAAATCACAGCATTCACATTTGAATGCAGACGTGTACGTCCAATATCATTAGAGTTTGACAGAATTAACAGTTACTGCACAAGCTCTTATCAAGGTAAAAATGGAATACAGTACACTTGAGACCAACACAACGTGATCAGAAGAAATCAAAACCCAGCTCCTCAGGGTATGATTAGGTATTCATGTAATAAATGAATTTATTATTAGAAAGACGGACACAAAACAAAAACCACATTATATTAAATCATGTTAAGACACTAAAGAACTTTAAATGAGAAAAACAGGATAAATATTACACTGTAACATTACAATAACTGCAGGGTCTATGTTACACTGTAACATTACAATAACTGCAGGGTCTATGTTACACTGTAACATTACAATAACTGCAGGGTCTATGTTACACTGTAACATTACAATAACTGCAGGGTCTATGTTACACTGTAACATTACAATAACTGCAGGGTCTATGTTACACTGTAACATTACAATAACTGCAGGGTCTATGTTACACTGTAACATTACAATAACTGCAGGGTCTATGTTACACTGTAACATTACAATAACTGCAGGGTCTATGTTACACTGTAACATTACAATAACTGCAGGGTCTATGTTACACTGTAGCATTGCAATAACTGCAGGGTCTATGTTACACTGTAACATTACAATAACTGCAGGGTCTATGTTACACTGCAACATTACAATAACTGCAGGGTCTATGTTACACTGTAACATTACAATAACTGCAGGGTCTATGTTACACTGTAACATTACAATAACTGCAGGGTCTATGTTACACTGTAACATTACAATAACTGCAGGGTCTATGTTACACTGTAACATTACAATAACTACAGGGTCTATGTTACACTATGACATTACATTTACAGCAGGGTCTATGTTACAGTATAATATTACATTTACACCAAATACAGCAAATTAGATAGGAAGCTGAATATTATCATTTACATTCACTTAACAGTACTGAACAGATACTTACGGTGATTACTGCCCATACCAGCAATACTGTTGGTTCTGTCAAGTCCTGGTCTGGCATGGTTTGCTGCAGGGTTGATAGCATATGGTAGAGCTGTCCCAACACCTCCCCTAAACACACAACAACAAGGAAGTGATTAATATATATTCTTCCTGTACAGCTGTCTAAAAACTTCATCTAAACACAAAACAACCAGTTGACCAAGGGCAAAAGGTTTTTAAATGACTTCTTTCCTTTTCAAGTTCAACCAATTAATCAGGACTGAACATTAGTGAGAGGTGAGGCTGACCAGTGAAAAATTTTTAGCTCCAAACATACTGATGAGGGGTGGGTTTTTTCTGGGTTTAATGGCCAGGGAATAACCAGGGAACAGCCATGGTCATTTTAAGGCAGAGTCTCATTGTAGTAGCTGGTGGGTACCTCAATGAACAACATACAGGCGGCCTGTCAAATGGTCAAACTACTGGGTAAAAATCATGCATCACAAACAATAGCATAGTATATTCCTGATAAAAACACAACCGAAATTTACTTAAACATAACAAGTCTAAACAGAAGTATGTTTTCAGAACATTTTTACTTACATGTTATTCAGGGGAGATTCTTTATTGTAGTTAGGCGTGTTCGGCATGTATGTTGGAGCTGCATTGTTTTGCTGTGTGTCGGTTGTAGGAGAACGAAATGCTGCCATCTTGAAACAAAGTGCCATGTTATTTAGTTCTCTAAAATGAAAAACAAAAACAATTTTCATTAAAAATCAGGTTGTAGTGGTACTTACAGAACATATGTATAATATTTTAAAATTTTTGTTTGGAGCATAGCTAACTTATTGATGACATATTTCATGTAACTGCATGTAAATATTTGAACTATTTGATGACCAAAAGCCCATTGATATCTACAATCCAACACTGCTTGAAAAACTTGCTAAAATTTGTAACATAACACTTGCTCCCAAAATTTATAAACAAATTCAGCTGAGCCCTAGGAATAAGAACAAGAGATTCAATAGGGATCTTGGCATCAATAACCTCTTGGTTTTATTATGTTCTTTCAAAGTTGGATCTTTTCACTTCTTTTCTATTCTTCCTCTATTTTTGCTCTTATAAGAAATTTGAAAAATGGTTGCCTATATTTATATATTACACATGTATATGAGATTTGAAAAAAAAATATATATCTGGTACTTCTCAAGAAACAGTGGTAAAAAAACTCAGACAAAATCCAAAATGACCCCTCTACCTGTCAGTCATTCTGTTTTTCTGATCAGTCCCAAAATAAAACAGGCTCTTCACAGACCGAGTGAAACTCAAATGTGAAATTTCAAAAAAGGTCCATCAATCACTTCTCGAGAAATAGCGGTAAAAGGAATTGGGAATAAATGAAGAGACCTCGGACATGGGCAATTTGATCCAAATTCTAAATACATAGTTCAGATAATACTGACAATAATTCATATCAATGGTTGAACTTAGTACTTAATACCTGGTAATCAACAGCTCTTTGATATTTGTGATCCAGTGATGCTTGAAAAGACTTGCTGTAAGTGAGGCAAAATTAAATCTTCCTATAAAGAAGTTGATTTTAGACCCAGTTTCTCCTCAATATCAACCAAAAATTGATAGTAAGAATGTTTCTTGTTTCGGGTATTAGTAGACTAGGGTAGCCTGTTTAAGTATGATCTAGATATTTCCTATGATTTCCTAGATTGTTTTCTGCCCTGCAGACAAGACCTACCCTACTAGGTTGTAGCCGTTAGGTGGGCGTCGCACACCCTTAGACAGGATAATGAGTTCAGCAATGGCATCGTTAGTGAGAGTGCAGGACATGTATCTCACACACAGCATCTTCTTCTTCATGGCCTTCTCACCTACACCATTTAAAAAAATCAGCACTTTTCTTTGAAAGGAAATAGAAGATCCAGCATTTTTATTCTATATTCTATGATTGACAGGAAATAGAAGATTCAATAAATTTCAATTAATTAAGTAGAAGACTGTAGTGCCTACCTCCAAACTATCTACTGTAGTGCCTACCTCCAAACTATCTTCACTCTTTATCATTCTTACATGTAAATGTCTGAGAGTACCCTTGTGAATACCTTACGATAACTTCATGGTATATCTCCTTCTGTCTGATCAGTTTGAGATAAATTTTCATAGAATACTAGAAATCACATCCTTACTATGATATTTGATGGTTTCAAGCATTGAAATTATAACATTCTAAGGGTAGAATGCATATATAATACATAGCAATACCAATTGTTGTACATCGATGATACATAATGGTCATCATTGTTACTGTGTTGTGTACTCACGAGAATCACTGGTGGAGTCTATACAGGTAAAACCAGCAGGAATCGGATCTTTATCATTGATCACTGCTACATCTACCAGTACGTCTTTATTCTAAAACAGTACAACAGCAAGAATTTAACATGTACACAGTACAACTGAATCACTGCTACATCTACCAGTACGTCTTTATTCTAAAACAGTACAACAGCTAGAATTTAACATGTACACAGTACAACTGAATCACTGCTACATCTACCAGTACGTCTTTATTCTAAAACAGTACAGCAGCTAGAATTTAACATGTACAAAGTACAACTGAATCACTGCTACATCTACCAGTACGTCTTTATTCTAAAACAGTACAACAGCTAGAATTTAACATGTACACAGTACAACTGAATCACTGCTACATCTACCAGTACGTCTTTATTCTAAAACAGTACAACAGCTAGAATTTAACATGTACACAGTACAACTGAATCACTGCTACATCTACCAGTACATCTTTATTCTAAAACAGTACAGCAGCTAGAATTTAACATGTACAAAGTACAACTGAATCACTGCTACATCTACAAGTACGTCTTTATTCTAAAACAGTACAGCAGCTAGAATTTAACATGTACAAAGTACAACTGAATCACTGCTACATCTACAAGTACGTCTTTATTCTAAAACAGTACAGCAGCTAGAATTTAACAGTACATACCCGGTAATACAACTAATTTACTGCTACAGCAGTACAGCAGCTTAGAATTCAACTTTACACTAAAACATTACAGCACTGTAGCTAGACTTCACCATGTTCAAAGAACATGTACCACTAAATCAAAGCTACAGCTCATTTATACAACTAAACCTTAACTACACTTCAGTCATAGCTCTATTACAGTGTTATATAACCAAATAATACAAGTACATGTCAATCTCACAATAAAATTCTAGCTACATGTCAATTCTACACCTTAATCTTAGCTATACTTAAGTCTTACATCTAAAGCATATCTACAGTTCCACATGATGTTGTTCAATATTACAACTTAATCTAAGATTAGTCCTACATCTAAATCATAGCTACAGTTCAGTCTTGCTTACTATTGAGGGTGCAGATCTCTCCACACACATATAGCGACATATACGCTTCCCAAAGTACCCATCCCTCCACAGGTCAGCATCATCTCTCTTGTCATATGTTTTGTCAATCTGAAAAAACATCAATTGTTGTTGATGAAGACATATTCCATACTTTGCTTTCCAGCTATATTTTAAGTTTGGTTTCATATTTTCTCAATTCAAAATACTTCTGTTGTACAATGTTTTATAGTTGCATGAATTATCTGACATTCATTTTATGAAGTCTATGTCACAATGATTTCTTACTTTTCAATTTTCTTTAACAGTCCAAACTAAAGACAGTAAAGACAAAGACTTTAATCATATCCCCACCCCAAAAAGTAAATCCTGGAGCATAAATATTTTTGTTTATTGTTGTTGCTATTTTGTATTCCTTGTTTATATATACTAATTACAAAAATACATGTCCCACATACGTTCATATTCATTATTAATAAAAATAGATACCAAGTAGAAACCTTCTGCATATATCGAAATATCATGATCAGAGTCTGGAAATTATTTACCATATTTGACTCTTTTAAGTGTCCAGGGGGCTAAAAAAAATATAAAATGAAAAGGGACTTAATAGGCCTATTTTTGACAAGACCAGAATCATTCATGACAGATACAGTTCACATTATGGTTGACAGTAAAATTGTTGTTGTAAAGTTGTATTGGTGATACATTTATATTCTTCTGTTGCTGAGAGACCAAATTTGTTCAAACAGACTTAAAAATCTTCTTGTGTAGAATGGTGAGTACCAAAACTGGCCTGAATGTTGTGTTGGAAACCTGTAAGTGGGGAGAAGATTGATAGGAACATGAGCATTTTAAGAGTTGAATATGGTAAATGAGTTTTAACTGCAACTACCTAATACCAAAGGTAGAAATCAACAGAATAACAAAATTAAATAAGAAATTGTTTTTGTGGCCAAATATAGGTGTTCCCTTTAACCTGACATGATTATATTTCCTCTTTGTTACAAAACATTTACAAGTAAAGAAATAAATTAGACTTTAATATATGACCCATAACCTTGATCTTGATTGGTAATGGAATGACTCTTCGCCCAACTCCAATCATCTGTGTATCAGTCAAGTAATTTGACCTTATCTATTTGACAAGACACTTGTCACTTAGGTTTGAATAACTTTGCTTCATATTACAATATGCAAGTTCACCTTTACCTCTGACCTCACTACATCTTACTACTGAAAAAGTCTATGACGCCTGTTTGACTATTGTTTTTGAGGTGACAGTCACAGTGATCTAATTGCAGTGCACTCACATCCAGTCCATAACACAGTGTTCATAGATTGTGAACAGCAATGAGCAGAATAATATCTATGGTAAGTACTAAAACATTTTTTCTCTTTAATTCACAGGGAAGACAAGATGATGGATGATAAAGATATTGAAGTGATGTTCTTATAAACAATTTGTGATTTCTCTCTGAAAAAGTGACTTTTTTATGAATTACTGTTGCTTAACGTCCTTTTAACTGCCACAGTCTTTTAAGGAAATGCCAGGTTTTGGTGGTGAAGTAAAACAGGAGAAGTGCCAATGATAAAGACAGTTACAGACTTTATCACTCGGCCACTGCTATACTCTCTGAAATACCCAGTAGTAGGCAATGATATGTAGTAATATACAATGAAAGAGATAATTGAAAAAAGACATTAAACAGAGATGATATTGTGTTATACAATGCACTTACAATGGTGAATCCTGCTGGACATTTTGATGGATCTGTCACCACAGTGACAGAAGTGATCGGCCAGTCACTGTTTGACATCTTAAAGCTTTATAGTATCAAGCACTGAAACAGAAATAAAATAAGTTTCTTTTTTGTTTGCTGGGTTTATCTCAGGGTCATTTTCAGGTGGGATCTCCTTGAAGGAGAAGCTGGCTACCTTACTAAATAACATACAGAAGCCCTGCCATATGCCATTCAGGGCAATTAGGGTGAAAAAACATCAGCACAGACCAGTCTGTATCTCAGCTTCCTGAGATACACAAACTGTTACTGATATCTGAAGTTCTGTATTTTATAGTGATCCACTTATTTCCTCCTCCCTCGTTTCATCTGTGGTTACATAGGCCAACACCATACAAACTGACCTATCTCCATCATAAAATTAACTATTACTTGTAAAGGAGCATGTATGGAGCCCCTGTCACTATGCTAAGTAAGCATTGTATTTTGTAATCCTAATTATTCTGACATGCTATCACTTTTTTGTATCGGGCTGGAGTCAATGAATGTCAGAACTCCAGCCTTATTTAAAGTGAAGGAAATAAGCAGCCCACACCTGGGTCAGCATTTGAATGATGATAGTGAAAAGAAACTGTTATTTTCACATGCATATTGTACATGGATACTGATACCAATGTCATGATTCGAAGTTCAGAGCAAAAATATATATAAACTTTTTCTGCATCTACCCACATTCTGATTGACATTAGGGCAGGACCTCAACAATGTGACTTAATCAGATCTCACAATACGCAAGTTATTTCTCAAAAAGTTATGACAAAATTATTACAAAAACTCAGACAAATATAAACACACACTTTCAGCTTAGTTTTACTATGAAAACAAATGTTCTCAGATAACATTCACTGTTTTTTTCAATCTTAGATGAATTATTTCATAGTCATAATCTTGATAAATGGCTACATCCTACGGTACAGGTGAAGTGGAAAAATGGAGTGCATGACTTCTTTGCATACATTAATTGTCTGAATGTTTGTGTATGCATAAGAAGTGGCACGACTATATAAGCATGTGACTAAAGGAGGCATGGCTAACACAAACGTAAATTAAAACAGAGTTCAGTGGGGAAAATGTATGTTTAGGGAGTGTATAGGAATATGGCTCATGACATGTCTGGAAATACTGTAGATAAAGAACAGATCATTCATGTGCATGTGAAAATGACAATTTCTTTTCACAATTATCATTTGAATACTGACTCAGGCGCTGGTGGCTTTTTCCCTCACTTTATGTAAGGCAGGAGTTCTGAGATTCATCAACTCCAATCCGATTATATAAAGGTCTAAAGAATGTTATAATATTTTGGAATATGTCTTTTGTCACAATGATCTTGATATCCCGTGGAGTGTGTACATGATGTTGTAGAATCTCAGTTGACATTTTTAGGAATTCTCAGGGAAAAAAAACAGCACTCAGCAGAAATGTATTTTTCCCATTGTTATTGCGTGACAACGTAACACTAACAGAACATCTAGACAAATGCATTTCTTCCAATCACCCCAACAGGTTCAATTTCAATAATTACTTGTACAAATTAACAACACTTATTTAGGACAAAACACAATGAGCCAGATCACACTTATTTGAGAACTTATTATAATCCACATGATAATCACATTCATACAATTGATTCTACCAGTCTACAGTCGACAAAAGCAGGGACGTAGATAATGTCCCTGACAAAAGTAAACAAGGAAGTTAAGCTTATATATACGAGTTTCAAATAAAACGTTTTCTGGAAAAAATCAACCAGTGCTACTTGTCATTTACCAGTTAAACTCTGCTCCTCACTAATCAAATTGTAGCGATTAGTATCTCTAGGAAATCGAAAATAGATCAAAGGTAGAAATTCCAGTGCTTTGAGGTTCTTTTTCCATTACAACCAGGACTCTTTAAATGATTGAATTACGACATAGCCGTCAAGCATTTCAAAGATCCTGAAATTGACCTAAAATATTTACCTCTAAGACAAAAGAGTTCGATTATTATCGTTGACTTTTTCTCCAACAGTAAGCTATTTGCCAATTTCACCACAATCACTGAAAGATGTAGTATATTGTCTTCACAAATATTTGCTATGTTTACACTTTGATTTTTTGCGTTCATATAGACGATTTTGTATGATATATGTATATATTGCACGATTCTCATTCCGTTAGAAAGTTAGCGGGAAATTCGAATTTGTTGTCAAAAATCGGTCCGTCAAAAATATGTTTATGTTTGCATGATTTGTTTACAATCTTGTGGTCAACAACTCAGTGACACATTTTGTTTGTCTTTTCAACAAGTATAAATAATAGAGTGATTGTATTGACAAATGAGTTGTGATGTAGATAATATCTCCAGAGACGTATTGAGCTGTTGAGATCTCCGATAATGTCAAAAGAAGTTCTAAATTGCTAAACCTTTCACTAAACGCACAATAAAGTTTATGTCAGAACACAACAAACATTAAATTGATTAAATCCCCTGATATTTGACAATAGCATTACATCATAATGTTATGATGTTGCGTACCTATAACATCAATGTACTCGCCTGGAGATGGCTGCAAATCCTGAAAATGTTAGCGATTTAGAAGTTTATTTGCCATACACATACGCCTATTTAAACATATCAATATAAAATTACGTTTAACTTTGTTTATTTCAGAACAAGCATAATGAGTGAAAGTGCCAAGAAACGACGTGTCAGCAAAAGGCGGTCAAGTTTTGCTGCTGGTCGTGCCAAGCTTCAACAATCTGGGGCCTTTGGAGCAGGTATAATAACCGTAGAACAAATTGATAACCAATTATTCACATGTCTTTTATCATTTTAATGATTTTGAGGATAAATAGTATTCTGCCACCATTTGTTTATTTTTACCACATCATCATATTGAATTGTTTTCAGATATTCAAGCTAGTTCAGTATAAGTATTTTTGCTTAACTTGCCCAAAAATTGATAGCAGAGGGAGTAATCATGAATATAGGAGGCTCTCAAAAAGGAATGGGAGGGATTTTTCTCAATTTGCACTTGTAGTTTTCTCAATGATTTTGAGTGCTATATGAAATATATGGGTATCTCTGATTATCAAATAATGGGCTAAATTGACAATTTACCAATGACTGTCTCAAAAGTGTGCCTTAATCCAAAAGTTTGCCAGGTGATCAGAAAGTAATACCAGTGTATTTTTATTGGTTTTTAACTACATTTATTGAATTTGAAATCTAGTTTTTTTACCACACATTTTTTGCTTAACTTCGTAGCTTGGTAAGTTTTCACTACTTGAATTGATATGAAATTTGGCCTTTGTTTGTTCAACCATGTTGTTTATTCAGTTTTATTATGAAATAATGCAAACTCATATCATACCATATTAATTATTAGTGAATTCAGCTGATGTAAAGTTAACAAGATATAAAGTATTTCTTCGTCTTTTTCTCCTACAGATTTATATAAATCTATAGATGTTGATAAACCTCCTGATGAGAGATTAGCATTATTGACTAAAGCATGCCTTCAGGTAAGAACACTTAATGAATAGTCTGGCTAATATCCTAATATCCTTGTGATTATTGTACACCTGTATATTGAATTAAAAGACACATTAAACAGAAAATAAGAAAGTATAGATTCATAACTGCCCATGAAGTACATTTTAAATAGTCAAACATGAAACCTACATGTCTCAAATAATCAATATTAGCTTTTCAACTTGTTGTTCTAAGGTTTAATTTGGAGTTTGGTATCTATGAAATGTACTTTCTGAGTTCTAAGTGCAGGTAATATCCCCGATTGAAATTGGTAATTCACAAATATGAATATAACATGCCAGATCTAACACCAAATTTGATATCTCCTATCTTTGGACCAAGGACATTGATACCAGTTCTGATCTCCATACAATGATATACTTTGTGAATTTGGAAACATTCTACTGCTTTGGTACTATAAAGAATTTATAAGAATTTTCCTGTTTTGACAGTCCTCAGTAACACAGTTTCTTAGTTTGATCACAAATTCCATTGTAGTACACTTTACAAAAATTGGAAGAAGAATTGACAGACATTGAGGATTTCCAGTCTCTGAAAAAGGAAAGTAAGTAATTTTATTAGTAATCTCTTTTTTTAGCACATTATTGAATGGTTTACTGTTGTCGAATTTATGTTCTCACAAACCTAAAAAAGATAGATATGTCACATATCTCCTACTTCTGATGCCCATTTGTCGGAGATCCGTGTCACTATCCTGTGCATATCAGTGTTTTTCTTCCCCTTACAAGGTCAGTATTGCTTCAAAGATTGGTCATATGGTGCTTATTTATTTATTATTTATTATGATGAATATCTATCAGAAAACATTTAAAGAATAAAAACAAATTGTCAAAATCTCTAGGAGTTTGTCAGCAGAAATTGTTTTTTATAACATTTTTACCTGTTAAATATTATAAGGAATTTATCAGTCTGATAAAACAGTGATGATACAAGAAATCTTAACATCATCATAACTCTTCAAGTGATGGTATAACTTTTGTAGTTTTGACCAATCAGAGCATTGCTTTCTTGCAAATGGAGCAAAGCTTGATAAAGTTGGTTTACCATCAAATCTTTCTTTGCATACATTTCAGGATTTCTATAATTTGTTTGTAATATAGTTTTGTAACTTGTGATTCTTACGTGGATAAAATGGTAGTATAAAATTCAAAATGGCGTCGTCTTGTTATCATGTATAACGTCATATCTATCCAACATAACAGAATGTGCTAATATTTCCTGAAGTACTTTGGACATCAGTTTATGTAGGCTTTGATGAGCTTTTCTAAAATTTGTTTCTCATTTTAAAATGTATGAAAACTAAATGGTTTCCCATTCATTATCATACATATTTCCGTATGAAGTATATGAGATACCATTAATATCCTCTATATACTAATTTAGTTGTACTGTGTTGGTGTAGTTTTTTGTTGTTCTGAGTTTGCTGTCTTTGCAGTGGAGGAAGCTGTATTATATCAGGTGGCAGAGATGGAGAAGGCAGGAGTTTTCAAACGAGCATCTGAAAATAAGCGGTATGTTTAAGATAAACATATTGAAAGTGGAAACTGAATGAGAGAAATGAAAACTATTGGATCTGTTAACAGAAGCAATTTGTAGTCCAAATACACAAGGTCATTGTTTCTTATAATAGTGTTACTAGAATGTGATTGCATATCATTTTCACAAAGGCTGCATAAAGCAAAGATCTCATTTTTAAACAGTGTCTGAAGAAAATAAGGATAAAAACCTTGCAGATGGTGTTCGATGTTGAGTATATGTTTAGACATTATTTACTTATTTATAAAAATTCTCAAATTTTTAACAACTTTCACCTCATTCCTGATTCTCAGTACGACTGATACTTACACAGGTATAATGAACCAATGTTGTCATGTTGCTGTCTTTTTATTTAAAGATGTGTTCCAAATCCTATCAACCTAGAGATGGATCAGACAATCGTAGAAGTGCAAGCTAGAATCAAGCGGTATGTTTTAATGAAGTTGAAAAGAGTAAACTGAAAGCAACAATTTGAGCGAATTTTTTTATATCATTGCATAATCATTACAGTTGAGGTTTCCACTCCTTGAGAAAATTTATAATTATGCTATGATAATTCTCAACCTCTGGTCTCACTTTTAACACTAAGTCTCGTGGTCAAATTGTTAAAATCTCCACTCATATTGTCAAACCAACTCACAGGTTATTTCCTATGAAGTATTCCTAGTCCTAGGAGTCTGGGTTTAACTTCATTCATGCAAAGAGTTTAGCTTCCTATAGGACTGGGGCAACATATGCAGTACTTCTATAATAGAAGAGGGTGCTAGCCAGCAGATTAAATATCTGATGTTATTTTACTGACTGCGAAAAGTCGCCATTCGTAAGATTTTCACTCTATAAACCTCTAGCATTGTTGAAGTACATACACAGATATGAAGTGCAGGCTGTTTAGGCTTCTTATTTTGTATGAAACATCTTTGAAAATGAGATGGTCTTTTTGAGACAATCAGCATAAACATTTGAAAAATTAAGAGATTCTAGACCCATTTGTCTTGTGTCATTTGCCAGTTCCTCAAAACATTAAGAGAAAATCTCATTTGGCATTTGATGTTTGTCTTATGTTACTGTTCAATAATCATAACCTGCAGCTTCTTGCTTATTCAAACGATTTTAATTCAATAATTTAATATATTTATCCCTTATGACCTTGAAAGAAGGTCAACATCTCATTCCTCTGAGCAACATTTAATACAGAATGACATTTTCACTACCACTTATTTGTTGTTGTTTACCCAATGGTTCTCATTGGAAGTTTTGTGTTGTGTCCTACACAATTTTGTCTTGCCTGGGAACTATCTCCAACACAACTGGAACTTCATGTGTTGGGGTGTGTCATGTGTCAAAGGTAGGTCACTGTCACCTTTATTTGGACCTTTAACCTACCATTATTTAGGCTCCATTCCCTACACCAGCTGTCACTAGAACTTCAAACTTGTGGTATGGCTTCATCTGGGTGAGGTGGTGTGTCCTGTACCAAATTAGTCTTCCATTAGCACAGATTTGATCGATTTATGATTTCAGGAAGATAACTAGCTCATGTGTCATTTTCACATTGATTTCTCTTTTCTTTCAGGCTAGAAGATGAGGTTGTGGCATGGGAGGAACTATTCAACAGACTGGATAAGGAGGCTGATGATTTGTGAGTATTTATATAATGAGGTTCAACTCCAGATTCTTTGTCAAGGACTGGTACTGTTTATTGTTCTTTGCTTTCTCATTGTAATAAAATTTGCTTACCATAGTAAATTTCACTTGACCTTAGTTTCATAATATTCTCAACATATTTTTCACAGGAAAGTATTATAAGTTCAAGGAAATTACATATACTGAGGTAAACTGTTCTATTTCATAATTTTTTATAGCCCACCATCACCAGATGTTGCCCTACGTCCATATATCATATGTAGGTTCCCCTTTATCTCTTGTTGTGCCCTTCTTATTTTAGGACTGATCAGAAAAATAAAATGGATGAAAGGTGGCCATCTTGGATTTTGACTTTGAATGTTTGTTATCGTTATTTTTTGAGAAGTACTGGATGGACCTTTCTTAGTTTTCATATGTAGATTCTGCTTGGGTCCTAGTTGTGCCCATTTGATTTTGGGTCTGATCAGAAAAGCAAAATGGCTGACAAACAGCCATCATGGATTTTGTCTTTGAAAGTTTGTTATCACTTTTTATTAAGAGATACAGCATTGATCTTTCTCAGTTTTCATGTGTATGTTTCCCTTGATCCCTTGTTGTGCCTGTTTGATTTTGGTACTGATCATAAAAAGAAAATGACCTAAAGATTGTTGCTATTTCTACAAAGGAATGTTCAAATTTCTTATCATTAGCAGCAAAAACACGGAAGAGAAAAGAAGGGAAAAGATCCAACTTTCGAAAAGCATATAAAGATCAAACAATGGTGGATGCCAAGATCCCTCATGGATCTCTTGTTTATGGAGATATTCAGACAGTAGAATCATAGATTTTAGATTCTTTTGAATCATGTGAATGCCATTGTACCAAGATCCTCAATAGAGTGATAATGAAGTTTGTCTTTTGCAGGAAAATAACCCTTTTTCTGTAAATGTTTTAGGATGAAAATGATTTAGATTTTGTTAAGAAATATCTTAACTTATTTTGATGCAGTGAAAATGTTGTATTGAACTATCACCATTGAAGGACATTACCAACATAAACTTTATAGAATTGAATACTCTCATGGTAGACAGGCCCTAAATCTGAGATTTTTCATCAAACATTTTAATCTAATTTGACCATTTCCAATGTGGAAGGGGCATATTTTAGGGATAATATCAGCCAATTTAGCTCAATCCCAAATATCTTTTTGTAGGCTAAACTATTTGCTGTATGATTATATCCATGTCATAACAAGTTACAACTTTATACAAATGTAACTATTCAGGTCTCTGTTTTGTCTTTACCTGTTTCAGCCAGAAGAAAGAACGAAACGTTTCAGAAGCTGATATTCCATTCTACGTTAAGAAGCTGGGAGAGGAATACATGTCGTCCAAAATAGATTATACCAGCATGCTATTAGACCTGGATAAAGACATGAAATCCACAAAATTCCATGTAAGTTGTTCCTTCTTTTCTTCATTTACATCAAATTTCATAAATCAGCTTTTTCTTAGCTTTGGTTCAGCTGAATCACAAAACTTGTTTTAGATGAGTCATTAAACTGAACCTGCACTCAAATTTGGTATTATTTGTTTACAAATTTTTCATAGTACTTGTTTTTCTCCTTATTCACTGATTTTACTGCACCATATACTGTAATGTGCCTCAAATTTTGATTTTTAAGAAAGGTACAAGACTCAGACTGATACAGGATGTCATACAGATAAGCCAGACTTGTTTTTGTTGCCAGGGATTATTGTGTCACTTCGTAATGTGAAAATGATTTCTATGTCTGAAATATCAAGGTCACGTTTACTATAAGTTCACCTAACATTGGTTTGAAAAGCTTGGGACTGCTTCTTCATAAATCATCAGGTTGCTTTGCTTCATCATGTAAAGGGGGAGGGTAGTGGGTTTGCTTAGTATGAAGGGTAAATGTTACTGCTACTTTATTACTTGTCGATTGGTTGGTTTCAGTTTCCTTTTGTCAATCAGCCTCAAACTTGCTACACTGTAACATTACAGAAGGGATTACTGAAGATCTTTCTTCCTATCAGTCAGTTATTGTAAAATTAAGAATTTTCATAGAGGATTTACTTTCATTGATTTGGTGGGCATTCCTAATCCATGAATTCATATGTCTATGAACTGTTGAAATTAGTATAAGTAGAATATTTGGCTACTTTTACCCATGAAATTGGGTGAGTGTCAACAAAATGGTAATTTTTCAAAAAATGGCAAAACTGAGCCCCCAAAAATATATGATTAAACAGAAATTCTTGTGAATACAAATGTTTTACATGAGCATTGAAGAAGGGAAGTATTGTAATTGAAACCATAGAATAATCTAAGAACTGGTGTTGATATATATTTTATTTCTCACATCTAGATAAACAAGCTCTGCAATACGACAAAGATTTTGCAACGTACAAGTAATACTGCCAGCAAAATCTTGGAAAAACAAATACCCAAATTACGTAAGTAATACCAATGATATTGATTGTTTGTGTAAAATTACCTAGCCTGAGGAAAAGTGCAGCAATTGCATTTTAAGACTCGACCCTTTCTACCTAAACAAGAGACACTCTCAAACAGGTGGTCATCTTACGTTTAGAAATTGAATTTTATTTTTGCTATTTTTGTGAGTTAGTTGGTTCATTTGCCTCGTACTTCATATGTTGGTCACCTTTGTCTCTTGTATTGCCTCAGTTTTGAGACTGATAAGAAAATAGCCGATAGGTGGCATGGTAATGTTGGGATTGGACAATGAATGTTTCCATTGAAGTACTGGATGGATCCAATTGGTCCCAAGCCTAGTTATGCATTGCCCATTTTGGATTTGACAGTTGAAGACTATTATTTGTATTTTCTGAGAGGTACTCTAAAATTGCATATAATTCAGATAAACAAGAAGAATGAAGAGAAAAGAACCAATAGAGACCATGGAATGGTGGAAACTATGATTGATTTGACTTAATATTCTTTATTCTTCTCTTCACAGAGAAGGAAGTATTCCAAGGAACAGCTACAGCAGCCACACCACGAAGGTTGATAGAACAAATCACCACCATACCAAGTTGAAATATCATGAACGATAAAGCTTTTTGAATGTTTTAGGCAGAAGCAACATTATGTTACTCAGTTCTGCGTCACTTCAGACCTTTTGGGATAAGGTCCATGAAATTATAGCAAGTGCTTAAACCCTGGAAAGAGGAACAAACTAACAGTCTTGTAGTTGATACATAAACCAGTGACATGTTACAGGACTACAAATATACTAAAGGACAAATTATATTTATGAAAGGTCTATCACTGGTACTTTTTATATGATCAGCTATTCTCTCCACAATGAAAATCATATAAATTACTTTGGAGGAAATTTCCTTAATGTTTTGAAGTAGACAATGAACCTAAAAGCTTCAGTAATTTTCAATGATCAAAATAATTATCATTATGTATTACCAAATGTTGCATCGTGAAGGTAACATATTCCCATTTATTATCATTGTTATTTATCACATATATTAAGAAAAGAATTAGGTTAATATAAACATGGTCACATATTGAAAGTCAAGTGTTGTATACTGCACAGATATTGTTTTTATTTTTTAAAATTCATCTATTTCTTAACAATTTTTTACTAGCAATGTACAGAAAGCTACAGGATAACTTGGTTCTTTAGTTACAGGTTTTTTGTCTCTGTGACTTACTTTCACTTGGTGTTGTTTCACAGACAAACATTGGTGTTCTGGAGATGTTTGTTATCTCGCCTTCCAGTCAGGGAAGGGGCATAACACTAAATACAACACAAAAGGCATTTATTGATATCATTCTCATATATTTATCTGTTACATCATATACACAAACTATTGCACATTAATGGCACAATCTAAACCAGGACATAATAACAAACAGGACTATTGATAGTTAAACAGGTCATGTAGCTAAATCAATTATAATCATTTATACCACAGTCTCAGAACAAAAACATTGAAACATTAAAAATAACACTAATTGCCTTGGGTATGCATTGCAAAGAGTTTAGGAGTGCATGAAAAAAACAAAAAGGAGATAGTTATTTTTAGGTCCTGTACAACAATTAAATCATGCACCCACAATAGAGGAACATTGGAATTTTTTATCAAACACACCTTAACTTGGATACAGATTAACAAAATATAATAATCTCTTAACTGACATAGAGTTCAAATTCATTCTAATCTTGATAATTAAGAAAGAGAATGTTAGGTACTTAACTTGGATGTTTCAACACTTGACAGGTAAGCTCACAATGAGCCTGTTCAGATACACATTTATTTCTCCAGAGCTTGCCATTGGATTAGCACACACTGGGTTTTATGGGAATTTGAATTGTTTGTATATGTATATATGTATGATTTTATTAAAGTATCGAAACCTGTTCATAAACATGTTTACAACAATACTTGTATTTTATGCAATGAAGAATGTGACTTTCTGAAAATATTAGGTATTTTTTGGTAATAATATGTATAAGATGGAATTTGTGATGTCTATGTTTTTATCATGTATACTTCATGAATACAAGAGGCCCGTGGACTTTAATGATCATCTGAGTTGTAGTTTATATTGTAGTATAACAAGAGAAGTTTGACACCAGAATGTCAGATACTTTCCAACTCCATTTGGGATTCACAGTTTACCTGGAGCCTTCCTAGGAAACAGAGATAAGATATATGAAATGATCATTTGTCTCCGAGTTGAAATGGAGAAAAAATATGGCGAAATATCTTCAATTCAGTGGTGATATTATTTTTGTAATGTAGATGTATATGAATTGTCTCACTATCACAATGGTGACTGGAAAATTGAGAGGAAGTGGGAGGTAGGAAATGAAATCCTACCCCACATAAAATGGACAAATGTTTTGATTTCCTTGAAAGTATGCATATACTGTCTATCAATGACTTAGTATCACAAAATAATTCCATTAAACACATCAAGTGACCAAAAGGGAACTAGAGGTGCTAGGCACTTACTGTTAATCATTACAGGAGGTGTGTGATTATAACAGTTATGACTTAAATACAACATAATGTAACAGCTGTAATAAATGCCAAAACTTTATTAAAAGACCATTGTTACATAAATGGCAAGAAAAGTCTTCAAATAAATCGAGAAAATATCCTCAAAAAAATTCCCAATTCAACCTACCCAGGGTATCAGAATGAAGTTTGTGTAAGAGGTCTTCATGTAATTTACCCTTACAAAATTATGGAAATCATTTGTCAAAATAGTTTAAAAACAGTGAAAATTTCAAAAGTTAATATTTGTCTTCTAAATTGCTTTCAAGTATTAGTGTGAAACCCCAAAACAACCTTAAGTCTAATGCTAAGAATAAGCAGTGTGGTACCACTTTGACTATAGAATGTTTGCTCTTTAAAAATCATTTAATATCACATATTCATAACAAGTATGCAGATGACAAGGATACGGCAGTTCTTATGCATTAAAGTACCATAAAATTAAAAATAACAATGTGACAAAACTAATTTTCATAAAACATGGCTATAAAGATAACAAAATATCACCAGATAAGTACTGAAAACAACCTCCATGTTGATCATATAAAATAAAATTCACAGTTGTGTAATAAATCTGATATCATTTCCACTCTTATTCTGTGAAGTAAACCATTTCTTTCTCTTAAAGATTATATAAAGCTTCTCTATTTTATCACAATGATATAACCACAAAATAATCTGTGTGGTGCCAACTTATTGTGACTGACTAGCTAGTAGTAAGGAGTGGCACACAACAGTTTTTATTGTTGAAAAAATCAGACAGATCAGTCAACTCCAGCAAAAAATCTACCAAATGAAAACACATTCATGTAAATGGTATCTCACATTAACCAGTCAGCTGGCATTAAAAAATAAGTTAACTTTTTTACATTCCATTCATTTACAACAAAGATGTGCACACAATTACAACTAACAGAGTCTTACACATATCACATGAATAAACTACTGTGTTGAAATGTCCGGTGATGTATTATATTAACCTCACCTGGCCTGAAGGGTCGAGTGAACTTTGCCATGATGTGGTGTCCATTGTCTATCCAGCCTTAACTTTTCCCTTTAAATGACTTCTTAATACTAAAAAGCCTAGAATTATGATACTTGGTTTGAAGGTTACTTTGATGATGCACAACAAGTTTAATAAAAGAGATGACCTTGACCCAAAGTCAAGGTAATAGTGGTCAAATTAGTTACTGTAAAACCTTCTGAAAACTTTTCAATAACCAAATGGCGTAGAATCATTTCATTTGGATAGAAGGTTCCTTAGATGAAGCCAAACGAAGTCTACATGAAAAAAAAAGACTTCTCATTAACCAAAACTTTGTTAATGATATGAATTGTTCATGTATTTGTGAAATGCAATGAATACTAGATAAGAGATACATGCTTATTATGCCTCTTGTTAATTTTAGGAAAAGTTAAAATCACACACTGACAATCTCACCCATTAGATGCAGGATTTTCACATGATATTCCATGACTAGAATGAGCAACTTTCTGTCCCATATACCATAAAAGCTTTAAAAAACTGGTAAATTTTGTCTGCAACAATAAAAACTAACACTTTGATAATAGATTATACAGTATAAGTACATGAAATAACAAGGCACATGACATCACTTTACAAAATCTCAATATTGCTTTCATGTTTCTGGGTCTTCAGTGTATCAAAGAATACCACTCCACTAGCTTGTCTTTTCTTTTTGTGTTGATTTCAGCATGGTGACTCCCACAAACAAACCTAAAAAATACACAAGAAATAAATCCTATTGCATTCTTACCATACAAAACATGGTGATGATTCAATAATATTGTAGTTCAGATCAATGTCTACTTCATATTTTGTGGACTACATTATTGTAATAATAATATATACCAACAGAAGGATAACTCATTTTACTTAAAAATTAAAAAGAGAAGAAGATAATATTAGTAAAATGGAAATATTAAGTAACAAAGTACAGGTAAGTTCTTAACATGAAATACCTATCTGTAAGATTTTAAATTTATCGGAATATTTTGGGTTGTTTTAAACATATAACATAGTTCATTTGTCTCCTTGTTTTACTCCTAGTGAACAACTAGGATCATTTTGATGCGGAGTCTCCTTTTATTTGTCAGTGGCTACCTCAATGAATGTCACACAGGTGACTTATTGTATGTTATCTACAGAAAATTGGGTGGTCTCTGCACTCAACAGCAAAGCAAGATGACCTTATAATACTATCAATTTCCTCAAAAACCATCATGAAGCTCCCTAGGTAGGGATTGAAACATGATACATCCTTTCAGTATTTTTGAAGAAATAGTGCACAACTTACCAATAACAAGTAGCCCAAGAACACCAGAAGACAATGGTATAACTAAAGCATAAATTCGGGGCATGAAGAAGCTGTGGATCAGTTGGCCTTCATCAATGAATGGCTGTCAGGAAAAAATCAGTGAGAGATAAACCAATGTCAAAAAGCACTTGGTGAGAAAATACTTTGAGTTTCTGATTTCACCTGGTTCAAAGAACAAATGAAGTTGTATCCTCTAGTGCAGTGTCATTCACATACTTACAGCCAAGGACACTCAATAGTGTTTTTAAAAAATTGGTGTAAAGCATCATAGTGATTTTTGTTTTTATTTTGTATAAGCTATGCTGCCAACACTGGACCAAAAGGGGAAAATAGAATTAAATCAACAAAGTTTGGTTGAGAGCATCTTAAGGTGAAGATCAAGGGATTCAATTTAGTATCAAGGAAGGATCTAAGTCCCATGAGGACACGGCAAATAAAGTAATGAGGTATGGAAAAGTCTTTGGTAAAGGGGAATCAATTTTTGTATCAATAGAATTTGGTCCCCTATGGGGCAAATGAGCGATAAGAAAAAACAAATAAACCTTTGAAAACTCTCGTTCTCTTCAAAGTAAGTTATTTTATCTTGAGCATAATAGAGGCCATTTTTTAAGATATTTGTAGTTTTTCAGTCACATAGACATAAAAAAACTGTACACATGAACTTGTAGAATTTATGTTTACAAAAAGTAATTTCAATTGTGTTATTTTTTCAATCTGTAACAATGGAAGTATAAAATTCTTAAAATATTGTGAGCTTTGGTTGATTAACTTTGTAAAAAGACTTACCAAAATAATAATCCAAGCTGTGTAATATATAAATATTGACATGCTAAACCCTACCAAGCCCCAACCTAGGGCCTGGTCTGTACCAGTTGCCTACAAAAAATAAAAGCATTATTCAGACAAAAGTAAATCTACAAAATAAACATCATGCCATTATTTTGAATAATTCAAGCATTTTGCTAGTTTCTTGTAGCATATCTTGAAGACATTACTTTTGTTACACCTGACACTGAATTAAATAAATGCTATTTTGTATGGCTCTGTTGGCTCAGTTCTGCGTTTCTCTTGTAACTGATAGGAATGGCTACCTAAACTTAAAAAAACAATGAGGTAGATGCAGCAGAGATAAATTGTAAACCAATTGCTTATTCAGTCTACTCTATAAAGATTTCAGATAGGAAAGAAAATGCACTGGCTGTTTTGATTTGTTTACATTTGTACTTATATTAGGAGTGGACCAGGGTTCGAACTGGAGATCCTCCTATCTCCATACTCTACCAATTAAGCTACTTGGATTGTCAACTATCAACCCAGTCAAGTTGTTATAAGTTTTTGCCCCCATTGACACAACTACTTACAACCAAACAAGGAGGGAGAAAATGCACAGTCGGACCAGGGTTCAAATCTACATTTAACCTTCAAAACTCTAGACAAATGGTCTATCAATTAATTTACCTGGATGCCAATGATTAACCTAATTCAGTTCCAATACATATGAATACCAAATGTTATATCAGTGGTAATATTAAGAACTAATGATGATGAAATAATTTATGTTATAAGAGAATTGAAAGAATTTGTATTAATAAAATTGACTAAAATCAACTTCATTTAAATTGGGGGTCTGTCTCTGCATGGGTCTGAGTGGTACAATCCAATAGGTGAAATAGAGGTAAAGCTTTAAAATCCTGTTCAGGTCTAGCCCCTGGAGTAATTATAAACCTTTAAAATTCTTCTATTGCATGAAGGGATTGTGACCAGATCTTTATATGAATGTTTACAATACATTATTCTTTTGACACTTCATGCATTGGGAGGGAAAGTGGGGTTACATGTTACTTATTGTTGCTAGGAGCCAGTGATTGAAGCCTTGAAGGCCTCAGCTGTGACACTGTTGACTGTTTCCTCGTCAAGAAAGTTCCAGGCGATAATGGTACGAAGGAAGAACACATTCTGCAATTCTTCCACTCTTGCATCTAGAACTTTGTGTCTTATATTGTGGAATTAGCAATATTTGTTAATGACAAAACACCTCTAAAAACCTGTTTAAATACAGAACGGACGAAGCCGAATGTGGCATTTTTGGATAATACACCACAGTATGTCTCTGCCAGATTTGAATAATATTTATTCCAGTCTGAAAATCAGGTGTTTCTAGTAGTTACGACACTTGACAACCCATACCTATATATATCTATACATATATCGCATTGACTGATGCATAATATCATACGATTGATAATTACGATATCCCATTTACAATGTTAAAAAATCAATGAACTTTCTCATGCATCAATGGTTTGCTGATAGTTGCTGGAGGGACTAATTATTCATTACCATATGAGGTTAATTTGCACCATCAATAAAATCGTTTCATAACTTGTATATGTCATTTGGTTGTTATCAATTGGTTTTTGGAAAATAAAGGGTGTTTGTCACATACCATTCCTTCTTTTCTCGTGCGGCAGATTCCCGGAAGTTTACATTGGTCTTCTAATATTAGAAACGAACACGGAGAGGGGTCATGAATATTTAATTGAAGAATGATAATTTTAAAAAAGGGACTAGGCTATTACAATATATCAAGAATTCTTGAATGAAAATGGAATCTAATAAATTCCGAGGAAATCATTGAACGATTAATTTTTTGTGGCAAAAACACTGAAATTCGTTTAGTACAGTATTAATTTCGATTGCTTTTATTAGTTTTTCATAATTAACAGACACTTTTTGTTTTCAATAAGCTGTCTTTTTGATGCAAATTATCCTTTTTCTCTCACACGCGAGAGAATTGAATCAAATTTCAGAGATATAAGCGAAAAACTGAGAAAAGATATCTCCATAAAAAATTAAAATGCTGGAATACAAAGGGAAAGCCAATTTATAATAGTTTTTTGTGTTTTTGAAACGTTCACCCAATAAGAACATTATTTGCAGCGAATACCAAGGTAAACAGGTAAGATTTTATTTAAATGAAAAACCCACAACCTTTATAATGATTTAAGTTGCGTTCGTTTCCGTTATTATGCTATGACAGTAAAGACTCTAGCTAGCAGTAAGATATATTCGGGTCCTAATTCTAGCGTTGTCCGCAGTCCGGTCCATTTAGCTCAATCTCGTTTCTAATAATCTCAGTTTTAGTATCGCCCAAGTTTGATTCTCACTTTTCGGCACATGTTTAAATGGTTTGGGCTGTTCGGGACGGCAGTAATCCTTATGATTGAGTGATTCAAACATAGCATGATAGTTTTAGTTGCAGCCTTTTGGGAAATATGCAAGTGTGTTTATGTCTCAATTTTATGTAGAAAAACTGAAGAACGAGGGACGCAGACTGACGAAGAAGAGCAACATGCTTACAGAAGTTTATTAGAAGGTTTCAGTCTTAGTTTACAACAATAAATTACTTGATATACTATCACTTACACTGTCAATATAATTTAATCCTGATTATGAAGATTTGGTATTTTAATGGAAACTTGTTTATCAACGGAGATGTCAGTATATACTCGCCTTTATAGCAGGCAATGATTTCGTAATCACTAACTATTAACTTGCTGTTTTTTACATATGTATTTTTATGTATGATGTAAGCTGTCAGAGGTTGTGTGCTCCAAAATCTGATTGAAAAAAATCTCTATTTCTCAAAAATCATACATTTGATTAGAATTAAAAGAAATATGCATCATAGCAAGTTTGTCTACTTATCATGAGCAGAATATCTTATGCTGTTACACGATGTTGAAAAGAGTCAACCCTGAAAATACTGTACCAGGATTCCATATTGAAAATAGAAAAAAAAATCACAAGGTTTCTGATTCTCGCAAGAAAAGATACAGTTTTACTTCCTGATTTTTATTTAATGATATATAGCAATTTTGATTGATTAAATATATAGAGAGATTTTATGCCAAAACTATATCATCGTTAAGTTCTACAGTATACACTTTCTATTTCTCCACTGACCAAAAAGTTGAGGCAAGACATGGGAAGGGAAGTAAGTCCGTTCAGTCTTTGTTTATGATCTGCTATTTGAGAGCTTCAGTGTCTAAGTCTTTCTACATTGTTATAAACAGAAAAAAGTAACAATAACAGAGATGACAAATTATCTTGCAAGCTGATGGAAGTAATTTACTTCTTAACAAGCCCTGATACTACATAAACATACTAAACTTGAATCGGTTACTTATGTATACAACAAATAATTCTGAAATTTAAAAATACTGTAAACATAATTATTTCAGTGCTAATCTTATTTCAGTACTTTTCACACTATAGTTATGCACCAAAATATGACTGTGCTAATTACAGTTTTTGTACATTGCTTATGTAGCAATTGTTGCTGTGCAAATTCATCTTCAACGTGCAGTGAAAACATGCTTAAATTTGTTTATTCCGAGATACATTTATATATAGTATATAGAAGAGGTAGTGGTTTGGTTTGTTTCTTATTTTCACATATGTGTTAAGAAGACACACTGGTAATATCATGTAGTGATGTGGTACCTAGATGTTGTGATATCTCATAAACACTTAGGTGAATAATTGTATGCTATTCAAACCTACTAGACTGGACTAAAGATAATAAACAAAAATGGCTTTGATAGTTACATTGGAATTTTATGAAGTAAAATACTATGTACATCTTTTCTTTCAGCTTTACCAGCTAATGGAAATGACACTGTTAAGATACTACAGACATCTGTAAAGAAAAGGAGAATTAAATCACATGCCATCTCTATAGAAGCACAGAAACAAGGAATATCCAAATCCAGTATGGCTCAGAAAGAAGTTTCAAATGAATTTGACTTGGTTCCAGGTGGTGCAGAGAGTGCTCATGATGAACCTGATCATTTTTATGCTGCCCATTTCCCACCTCTTCATAAAGGAAAATCTGATTCAAAAACAAAATATAAAAGTTCACCAAAGATCAAAGAAAACAGTTTTAAGCAGATTCACCAACAATTTCCTGTATCACATACATCCAAGTGGATGACAGCAAATCTGGATCAAGCACAAAGGGAGACCACTGTTGGTGAAATGAGACAAATTCTTGAGGAACTTGAAGATAGATGGGGTGATGATACAAGGAAAGACAAGACAGACATGTACAGGATATTAAGGCATCACTTGTCAAAGTCTACCAATCCTTACACCCTGGTTGCCTACATTGTCGAGAAGAGCAAAGATTATCATTTACCCAAGACATCAACTCTAGCCTATTATATTATGAAAGAGTTTGATAATTGGTGCAGTTTAAAAGACAACATTCCAAAACATTCACATCTTCTCCTCACACAGGAGTTAAAGCTACATGTGTTACACATGTGTACTCGTTATCATATGACTATGGTTGGCTTTGCTATAAAAGCGTTCCAGCTTGACCAACCTGATAATAGCTTTTTGGTGCCTGTGCTCAGATGCTTTTTGGAGAAGCATAAATTCAAAGAGGTAAGTTTTTGGGAAATTGTGTGTAGGATATCTTTGAATTTCTTAAAAACATCTGCAAAATAGAACACAAGCACTAACTTTACAATGTTCAATGATATAAGATTTCTGAATCATGCCATCTTTGTATACTGTGCCTTGGATATCTAATATGTTACATATCTTTGTATCCTATGTCTGTTATACCACACCTAGTGTACTGTTTCTGATTCCTTCATTGATGATCAAATTACAGGCTGCTGTTTGTGGAGGTAAACTTGGCTTACAAGATCATTTCTCTGTGGAAGAGGTAAGTTAATACATTTTGTTGTATCAGTTGAAGTGTTTTACTAACTGAATATGGTAATAATATTGTCCAAGTAAATAAATCAGTTGATAGAAAGAAGAAAGAGTAAAGACATCAGACTCCAGGATCATGTAACTATCCTTTAAGTCTAAAACTGAACTAAGTTTTGACTTGACCAATCATATACAATGTAATGAAGAGAAACGTCATATGTGATTGGCTGAGGAAAAGTTTAAGATTGTTTCATGATCTCTAAGAAGCTTAAATGAAATAAGGTGTTGGTAATTACCTAATCAATGTTTGACAAAACCAGGACAGAACATTTTGTAACGATGCATGGTCAGTAGACTTGGTACTATAGTAGGTTACAGGTTTTTTTTTTTTTTTTAACAATAGACTTCTGGGATCAGCATATAAATTCACACTCGGGTGCTGACTTATTGTAGGACAATAAGTTAATGCCTATTTGTTATTCTATTGAACAACAATTTGTATAAATGGGCTTATTTCTTTACATTGGTTTATTGCTGAGTGGTTCTGGTTCACCATATTGATCGTTTCTGTACGGAAATTATCTTAAGCTTCAGTTGGCCATCACCAGTACCTGCTAAGCTGTCGGTCATTTACTTAATCCAGGTTGCAGTAAAAAAATTTTAAAAAGCAAGATTATCTAATTTGAATTAATTGATCAAATATTTTCTTTTCATCATACAATTCTGTTTATTGTCTTTCTTCAGATTTGGGAACAATCCACAATATTTGAATTCTGAAATTGTTAAAAGCATTTACATTCACTTGGAAAGTATACAGTAGGTTGGATTGGATTACCTAGACCTTAAAATCAGTTAATATATACAGGACAAATCTGTTTCAGATTGTTTTACCTCTCATTCTCCAAGATAAAGTGAACTTGATAGAAACATACTTAATTGGTAACCAACGTCAACAACAGCTGGTGGTACAGATGTTGGACAGACTTTGTGATCGATCAGTTGACATGGCTACCATCATTAGGTAACTATAGCACATAGGTGTCAGGTAGAAATGATAATCATTATCAGGTACCATATCAGGGAATTTTCTGTGGGGATCGAAGGAAAGTGATGGTTTTGTTGATGTCAGATGTTAGCAGCTCAGAAACTGTAATCTAAATAGTATCATTTCACACAGTATGAGAATACCATTGGATAGTTGATGTCACATGCTGATCTTCTATATTTCTACAGTTGACAGTGGGATGTTATAGATGGCAATATGGCTGCTGTTGACATTATACACTGCTTAGAGACTTTGAACTATCAAAGAAGACAAATATCATAGCTATCCTGCCACTCTTGTTATCTGTCATTTTCACTGGGTTTGATACCTTTAGAGTTATATGCAGAACTACTTCTTCTTGAATGAATTAAGTACAATAAAGTGACGTTTACAATCAATTTTTTATTTTTACCAATGAACAATAATTTTTACCATCAAAATATACAAATTGCTTTCATTGATGATATTGATCACGGGTATACCTCGTCCCTTACAAAACTGACTGACCCTCTATATATCTATATATTGACAGTTATTGACCTAATAAGAATTTATTATTGACCTTTAGTTTATGAAAGAATTATAATTATTTGTAGTTCATCAGGTGTGCCTAATGCGAAACGAGAAAAGATGCATTGGAAACCTCTGAGTAAGCTAGCAGCCCGCTTAATGAAACTGTATGATATCCCTTCAGGTGAGTCAGATGTTCTTTTGTAAATCTGTATAATATCTGTAAAGGTAAGAACTCAGTATAAGAGAAGTAACTCTGATTTTAGGTGTACTAACTGTGTGATAATGCGTTAACTCTATTTGATAACATATTAGGGAACACATGAAAATACTAAATTTACTTGACATTGTACTATTTCTGCCTTAGATAATTTCATTGTGGATAATACAGGCCCCTTGTGTCTCATGCTTTTTAATCTCCCACTTACATCAGGATCTAATCTGTCAGTGCAGATACTTAGATTGCAAGACTGTATAAAGGGGCTGTGATAGAGGATTGGTCTAAAAAACCTCAGCTCAGGTGAAGATCTGAGGTGCATGGTTGAACATTCCCTACCAGTGGTTGTTTGTGTTTCTCAGAAGGCCTAGAGATCAACTGGTCTGTGTATCCTTGAAGACACTTTACCTCTATTACTATGGAAGGCGTGCAAGGCCTCCAATATGTTATTCATTGAGGAAACTACAAGCAACTATAAGTCGCTGCCTCAAAATGACTCATGTTGTATTTGAGGTGGTTAACCCAGCAAAGAAATCTTTTATAAACAGGCATTTTTCCTGGAGAAAAGTAAAACTTACTTACTTTTCCTTTGATGTTCAACTGTCTTGATATTAACAATATCTTATCCTTCTAGATTTGTGCCCAAACATCAGCAATGCAAGAGGGCTGGGTGCTGTCAAATACCTGTTGTACAAGCGATATATAGAGGTTGGTATACATTGGAATACAATACATAGCAGTCTGCAGTAATTACGTTATTTCAATATAAAAAATATGCTGTACGACTTTTTATAAAGCATTCATTGTAAAACAATATAAAGAAAAAGGAGCCTTTTATTTGCATAAAGTGGTGAGTAGCTCACCTTGTCTGAAGCACCTGTTAGCTTATGGCATACTGTAGTGTCCATTATTCATCAACATTTTTCCTAAAAATTGCTTCTTGTCATTAAAGGCAAAGCAGGTTTTGACCAAATCTGGTCAGAAGCATCCTTGGTGAAAGAAATAAAATTTGTAGTAAAAATTTGGCAATTTTTGATGAAGTGAAACCAATTTTGTATAATTTGTGGGCCTTGTTCCCCTTGGATGGGAGGGGCAGGGCTTGGTGGGAGAAAATAGGAAAACAAATCTTTAAAATCTTTCTTCTGAATTTTGGTCTGAAATATTCTTTGGTGAAGGCAATCCATTTGGTACAATCAATTGGTCTCTGCTCATTTGGGATGGTGTGATGTGGCTCAAGGAGGGTACAAAAAAAAGCTTAAAAAGCCATCTTCGAAGAAATAGATATATATCTTTTAAAGCTTTTTATTTATTTTTTCAGGAGCATATCAAGCATGCTGAGCAATTCAGGCCCTCTTGGCCTTTTGTTTATTTGAAAGGAGTTAAATTTCAGTATGAAAATCATTAATTGACAAGAAGGTTTTCAGTATTTGTTGTCAAACTTATTAATCTGTACACTTTAAATACATTTCTTGTTATCAATACCACTTTAAAAGATCTGTAATTACAGGGATCAATGGGTGCAGGCAGCTGGGAAGAAATGGTTCAGGTATGTATGCTAATAAGGTCTGTGTGCTTCTTATGTATCACAGTGAATACAGAAAGTCAATTTTGTATTAGTTATCAGACTTACTGAAAAGGAAAACAGACCTCATGTGAGGAAACATAATATTTAAATACACTTAAATACAACATACATTGACAATCCATATATCAAACACTTCAAAAATATGAATACCTAGCTTTAATTAAAACTTGTTTTCATTCCCAATATTCCTAGTCACTATTTTGTATTGATCACTTCAGTAAAACAAGCACTATGTTGTGGCCAAAAATGTACATGTTTGATTTTGTGATATTTAATGCATTGACAGACCTTGTTAATTACATTTTTTACTTGAATCCACTTTCATATTAACAAATTATGGAAAGGTTGATCATGTATTTTGAGGAGTTAATCATTACCCATATATGAATATTTTGTTTTTCTTTAATGTTTGACACTGATTGACCTTGACATTATTTCCATACAGAGAGCTGTTGATGATGGTGACTCAGAATGACCTTGACATTATTTCATCTTCATAATGCTGTTGGTAATAGTGACTCTGTGACCTTGACATTGCTTTCTCTACAGAGTGTTGTTAGTAATAGTAATTCAGAATGACCTTGACATTATTTCCCCTGCAGAGTGCTGTTGGTAATAGTGACTCAGAATGGCCTTGACATTATTTTCCATACAGAGGGCTGTTGGTGATGGTGATTCTGAATGATTTAGACATTATTTTCCCTACAGAGTGCTGTTGGTGATAGTGCCTTTTTGAAGGAACAGTTAATAGAACAGCTGATGTGTTACAATGAGACGATTGCTGCAGCGAAATGGGCAGATTACTATCAGTTACCTGACGAATCTGTTCCTCCATTGGTAGCAACACAGAGGAAGGCCCTTAGAGAGTGAGTATGAAATACAGAAGACCCTAATAAGTGAGTGGAACAAGTGAGTGTGGAACATCAGAGGCACTTACAGAGTGAGTGTGGAACATCAGAGGCACTTACAGAGTGATTGTGGAACAAGAGACTTTAATGAGTCAGTGTGGAACATTACAGACACTTAGGGAGTGAGTGTTGAACAAGAGATTTTGATGAGTGAGTATGGAACATTACAGACACTTAGGGAGTGAGTGTTGAACAAGAGATTTTGATGAGTGAGTGTGGAACATTACAGGTACTTACAGAGTGAGTGTTGAACAAGAGACTTCAATGAGTCAGTGTGGAACATCAGAGGCACTTACAGAGTGAGTGTTGAACAAGAGACTTCAATGAGTCAGTGTGGAACATCAGAGGCACTTACAGAGTGAGTGTTGAACAAGAGATTTTAATGAGTCAGTGTGGAATATTACAGGCACTTACAGAGTGAGTGTTGAACAAGAGACTTAGTAAGTGATCTTTGGAACGAGAGAATCTTAGAGATTGAATGAGGAACAGAGACTCTCAGTGAGTGAGCCTGGAAGGAGAGACTCATATGAAGTAAGTATGGAATAGGAAACATAATGAGTGAGTTTAAAAAGTGAGTCTGTTTCATTTTTGAATGTTTAACAGTAGAGACTGTTAATGAATGAGTGTGGAAAAAATAGACATTTTATGTTTGTGTAAGTTGTAAAACAGAGAAAATGAGTGAATATTGAACAGTGGATACTCTCACCTTTAGTTTGTATGGAAAAACAGAGACTCTTAATCTATGAGTACAGAACATGAGACCCTTAAAGATTGAGCAGGGAACACTGTAGAGTGTGAGTATAGATCATGGAGACCATAAAATGGCAAAAAGTATTTGTGATCTATTGAGAATTCTTTTAACACATGTATATTAAGAAAAGAGAGGATCGTTTATCTACAGCAATTATTGCATTTTATAGCAATGGTCAGAACACAGTGTAAATTATACAAAAGCACTCAGTTTTATAGTGCTATGGAATAGAAGAGGAATGAAATAATTTAGGCAAGTTATGAAAGTATATACATGAAAACATGTGAAGTCTGATAAAGTGATAGAGTTATCTACCTTACTTCAGCATATGCAAATTGTTCAGAAATATGAGAGTATTATCAATGCATAGAGTAAGTGTTCTACATTATCAGTTGGTTAACTCCCCTTATTACAAGTTATCTTTCCTCAAATATGGTTCATAGTGTGTGAATATGGAGGACTAGAGAAAGCCTACTGTGTCACAATGTCTATCTGTCCTTTCCTGTCCCATCATGTTTCATTCCAAATCAGTCTCATATAATAAGAACTTCTGAACAGATACGGCTGCTGAACAGATATGACTACTATTTACCCCATAGCATCAAATTCTTCAACTGTCTAGGTGGTCATCGGTCAAGGTTAAAAGGTCAAAGGTCACATTTGATATCTTATGCAAATTCATCAGTTATGACATTTACATACATACATGGAAGCAGGGAGACATTCATGTTTTATATACATTTTCTTAGGCTTGATATGAAACTTTGCACAGTAGATATTTCTTTTTTTCACCAAACACATGTTTTGTACTTTACATCAGAAACCCTGGTCCTACTACAGGTGAGATAGATGGTGAGGACTGGGACAATGACTGCTACACTGATGGTGATATCAAAACATCATGGTACCCTCTAAAGATCTCTCAGGAAGCAATTACTATGGTTGACACAAAGGAAAGCTACTGGGCTTGTTTGCAGCGACTATCTCAGGTTTATATCAAAACAAGTACAGAATTTGAATGCAATCCAAATGCATTAAAACTATATCTTACAAATGTCTTTTTCCCAAAAAAGTGAAAACTTGTGTGACTGTAGATGTCCTATATGAATTGGTCCTAACATATATAGATGTGCTGGTATATGTTCTTTTTTATATCCTGTACTCCCTGTGACCAGGTTGTCTACAAACATCAGTTCAAAATTTATAAATGAATTAGGAGTCTTGTTTATCTTCAACAAAACATTTACTTTGATTCACAAAAATGTTTTTGGTTTTATTTGATGGATTGTGTCCTCTATATTGATGCAACTTCATTGTACATGTATTGTTGAATGTGAAATGATGCTGTAGACTTTTGGCAATTTCAAAATGAATTCACAAAGTGTGTGCTTTAGCTTCGCATATCATCTGAGATTTTCCTGAAAGTGATTTTAGTGTCTCACAGAGCTTATAAAAGATTTCCATGTGTTGAAATAACTTTTTTGTTAAAGATTGAATAAGTCGATGTAAGAGAGGTCAAGCATTTGTCTTTATTACTTTAGTTCAAAGAAAGTCATATGACTGGAAAGACGGATTCTGTAGCAATATTGTTTTGAATTTTTCAGCCAGGAACAACAGTTGGTATTGATTCAGAATGGAAACCTGGGTTTGGTAACACAGTTCAGAGGTAATTTACCTATACACAAACACAACAAAAACGATGTATTTAGTGTTCTGAATAACAACATTACAAAAGCTTATTTTGAAGGCAAATTAATGATGTTATGAAGTAAAATGTAAGAAATCACATGAAAGTTTATAGATAGGAAGCCATGACATCTTTATAACTTTGCATTTTTATAACTTTATAATATTTATTGTTGGTATGGTTTTAATACTTTTTTGGGAGATAACCATTATGACTATAATACAGAGGCAGTATAAGTGTCTGTTAAACTGTTTCTGAGGATATTTGCAGGATCTGTATAATTAGTAAGTCTACTATTGTTTCTATTGTTACCCACAGGGTAGCCCTGATGCAGCTAGCTGTTATGGACCATATATATTTACTAGACCTTGTTTACTTATCTCAACATCTACAGATGGATGACTGGAAGCAGCTTGCAGCACGTTTTTTCTGTAACCCAGCCATACTCAAACTAGGTAAACATATTTTGGGCTCTGTAACCAAGCACTACTCAAACAAGGTTAATATATTTTAGGTCTCTAAGCAAATTCTGATGGATGTCAGTTTGTTCATCTTTCTCCCTCATTGCTGTTCTATTGACAATGATATAATTCACAATCATTTAATGGCTAAATGAAAAGTGTCATGTAGTAAAATTTATATAATACTGTCTTGGATTGTTCAGTTGTTTCTGTTTCTATGTACATGTTAAGATACTAAAAGCAATTTGTGACACTGATGGTTTATTTTCAGGTTATGGACTTGACTCTGATTTTCAGATGTTTGTTAAGACATTTCCTTTTATGAAAGAAAGCCTTGCAAACATGAGTCGAGTTGTGGAGCTTGAGAAAGTTGCTCAAAAGGTACAGAACTAAATGATTGCTTTCCATTGCCCAACAAATATTGGCAGAGGTGATATTGAAGGGATTTGTCTGTTCATATTTGTCTGTATGATGGTTTTCAAAATATGCCTTCTAAAATCTGTGTAGACAGCATCCTGAATATTCTCTTCCTCAATCCTAAGGTCTACTAGTATTCTTTGCTAAAGGGAAATCTTAATGCTTTGGTATTTTTCTTGTTACCATTGACACAGGAAAAGCCAATGTTACCAATTTTGCTGTTTTTAGAAAAATAATCCTGATACATAGAATTGTAAGAATTGTATGTATCAGACTTAAGGTCTTGTACTGCTTTTTGTTGCAATGGAATTTTAGAATTTGCATGTTGTCTTAGTGAAATCTGCATTTGATGACTTATTTATCCAAAGGTCTTACATGTATAACTTATGATCAATATCACTGATTTTTAGTACAATCAGATGTGAAATGAGATGTTGACCAGATCATAGTTTTGGCTTTATCTATGTGATCTGTACTTCTCTGTAGGTGATAGATAAAACAGTGAACCTCCTCCCTGATGATACGGGCCAGTCGGATGATGAGGAAGGTCCTTTAGAGGATAGTGACAGTGGAGTAAACATCAAGTTTCCCCGCAAGGAAGCGCGTGGTCTAAGTGAATTAGTTAGACAGACACTTGGAAAACCTCTCAGTAAAACAGAACAGATGTCAAACTGGGAACGAAGACCTTTACGACCAGCTCAAGTCACTTATGCAGGTACATTGGATGATGACAACTGAGTATAGTATAGGTATTTGGACAGGTGTTTGTAGCATTCATTACCAATGTGACAGCTATGACTGTAAATTGTACCTGTACGACATGTACTTTACCTGTTCGTTGACATACGTTACCTGTATGGTATTTTGTTTTCCTGTATGTATGTTTTCCTGACTTTTGTTGTTACTATATATGAATATCACCTGTGTGATTATTCACTTTACTTATATAACTATATACCTTACCTATCTAACTATAAACATTACTTAATAAGCTTTATTTACTTTATCAGTATAACTATTGTATGACTACATATAACCTGTATGACTACATATAACCTGTATGACTATTGTATGACTACGTATAACCTGTATGACTACATATAACCTGTATGACTTGTATGACTACATATAACCTGTATGACTATTGTATGACTACGTATAACCTGTATGACTACATATAACCTGTACGACTATTGTATGACTATGTATAACCTGTATGACTATTGTATGACTATGTATAACCTGTATAACTATTGTATGACTACATATAACCTGTATGACTATTGTATGACTACGTATAACCTGTATGACTATTGTATGACTATGTATGACCTGTATAACTAGTCATTACCTGTATAAATCTGTATTTTACCTTGATGAAGTTAACTATATATATATTATCTGTATGACTATATACTTAACCTATATGATATAACCTGTATTTATTATCTGTATGACTATGTACTTAACCTATATGATATAACCTGTATATATTACCTGTATGACTCTAACCTTGTGTGAACTTACTTGACAAATACATTACCTGTGTGACATTTTAATAATACATATATTACTTGTGACTTTAGACTATTTTACGTGGATGACATAAACTGTATATATTTATATATATATATATATGTCCTGTGTAACTATGTACTTTTCTGAATGATACTACCTGTGTGACTGACATTACCTGTATATAATACCTGTGTGATTCTAAATCTGTTACAGCATTAGATGCATTTGTACTTCTTGAAGTGTATGATGAACTAGTCAGACAAGCTCAGAGGTTAAAGATGAACATTGATATGGAACCTCCTGTAAGCATGAAATGGATGAAGGCTAGCAAGCGAGAGAAAATGAAGGCCAAGGCTAAAGGTCAAAAGTTCACTTACAAAGAAAAACCTTCCAAGACAAAACAGGTGCTTGTTGAACTATTTATTTTTCAATCTACTATCATTGAATGATGGGCTGATCTTCTTCTCACCTTTCATCTGTCCATCCTTAAATAATTCTTGTCGCTATTTCAACAAATTTAATTGTGTCCCGCATTCCCATGTAGCGAATGTTCAGCTTAGAGACAGATCTCAAAAACAAGATGGCCAAGAGGTAGACATCTTAAGATTTTGCCTATTAAATTTGTTATCTATATATTATGATGTAATTGATTGGTCTTGCTATAATTTTGTTTGAGAGTTTCTCTTACCAATTAGTAATTGTGTCTATATGGATGGATGTGGGGGGAAAAGGATTAGCTTTGTCGAGTTTTGCATCTATAACACAAAACTTGTGTACAAGATAGCTCATGAATGCCTCAACAGATTTGATTCATATTAATACCACAAATAAAATATAATGACCACAATGAGAAGGTCTGATTTAAGTTGTACCAGAACAGATAACATGCAATTCAAAGTAATGGCAGTATGCAACATTAACTATACTGAGAGAGCAAAGAAAAGGAAAGAAAATGAAGAAAGGTCAAACTAAAATGGAACTAATAAATACCATAATGGTATGGATGCAAATATTCATCTGTGATTGAAATTTAATTTTCAGTATACTTCCCCTTCCCCACGAGGAGCAGGTCCAAATCCCATGTCTCCAGGGCAGCTGAAGGTTGTGGTAGACTCAATGTTACAGGGACTAGGGCGACAGCTTAGGAGTTGTGGAGTGGATGTCTACATTCTGGAGAATCATGAGGACCATGACAGAACCATTGAGGTCAGTAGGGGTCACTTCATTTATTTGTCCTCATTATCTTTGTTTACATAGCTACATGACATCATTTGACCTACATACTAACCCTAACTAACCCCCCCACAAAAAAATAGAAGCTGATGATAAAATATGTAGTATTAATGGTTATTGAGCAGAATTATTTAAAATGAATATTATGTATTTATTCCTCTCTTCACATTATAGATATGTAGGATGGAGAACAGAATTGTGTTGACCAGTGGAAACCCCTACATCATGGTATGTACCTATCGTGTCTACTGGTCTATTTTTATCCATCTGGGACTGATCAATTCTTTTCCATTAACTTGAGGAAAACTTTTAAGATTCAGCAACAATGAAAATTTGATAGTTTATCTTTTTCCCATCAAATTTTTAGTGTATGGGTGATGGAATATTGTTTGTTGTTTTCTTTCCACTTGTCCATCAACAGTTTGATGATGTTTTTAGCTTTGGGCAAGTTTCTTCAAAGGCCGTCATTTCAGATAAAAATGATGTTACTGTTTATTACAGGTGAGGTCACACGTAGGGGAACACATGTGTTACTGTGTTCAGAGTGTAACTGCAAAGGAACAGGTTGTAGAAGTCATGGAATACTTTGGGGTGAAGGTCAAAACAAAGGACATCTTCAGTCGCTGTCAGGTCAGTGAGGGTCAGTGTTTTATTATTTTTTTATTAAATTTTAGTTTGATTCCCATATTCTTACTTTGGTGACTTTCACAGGAAATAAATGTATAGAAGACCATATCACCATGACTTTATAAGCATGTGTACTCCTACTACTAGCTGTCTCTTTATTTCTAATTGTTTCCTGTTAAACACTGTACTATACTGATATCCAATTTACATGCAATATCTATCAAGGAACTAAGACAATATACAATTGTAGTGCAGAATCCTGTTTTAATATGAAATTTTCGCTGAATATTCTTTCTGTAGTTTCGAATAAAAAAAAAATCCATTTTATTTCAACCTTGGTCAATTCTGTGTCAACTAAAAAGAAAATTTATTTTTTAGAAAAGTTATGATGAAACAGTAGATTTCACCATTAATCCAGTGATTATCTGATATCTGGATGAGACATCTGTATAACAGTAGATATTACCATTAATCCAGTGATCATCTGATATCTGGATGAGACATCTGTATAACAGTAGATATTACCAGTAATCCAGTGATTACCTGATATCTGGATGAGACATCTGTATAACAGTAGATATTACCAGTAATCCAGTGATTATCTGATATCTGGATGAGACATCTGTATAACAGTAGATATTACCAGTAATCCAGTGATTATCTGATGTCTGGATGAGACATCTGTATAACAGTAGATATCACCAGTAATCCAGTGATTATCTGATATCTGGATGAGACATCTGTATAACAGTAGATATCAACATTAATCCAGTGATTACCTGATATCCAGATGAGACATCTGTATAGATATGTAAGCCAGATTGTAACCAGTCTAATAGTTGAATGTGTCAGAGGTCAAAACTGTTGTTAGGTGTGACACCTTTTTGACAAATAAATATGACTATTACAGGGAAATTATTATGTAAGGAAATTTTAGTGGAAGTAATGGAGGGTGTTCAAAGAATGATTGGTAGTGTAAGGACACTGTAGGGACCAAGTGATTACTTAAAAATATAGAGGCTGATGTTACTCAAGTAATGCTAGGTCAAAGAAATGGAGATCTTCTGTTCATGATATATTGTGTTACAGGTGTGTAATGGTGATCAATACCTGGAGATACCACAGAAACAGGCCCAGCAGTTATGGTACAGGAAGTGCCAACAGTCATCTGTGGCAGGGTCTCGGGTCCTGTCTTTAATGAGAGCTGCCAATCCTGCCAATTTGACTGAAGCCGAAGCATTGTGTATGAAGGATCTGGCTAACTATGGTGTTAACTGGACTACTGTGTCTGTAGCAGTGAGTGGTGTTTCCATACAGATTGAAACAGTACCAGAAGGGGTGATAGGAAAGATCGGCTTATTTTATGTGTGCCAGAGGTGTGGAAAGGTCTTCTGGGAAGGCTCACACTTCGCAAAGGTCAAGGAACAATTTGCACATGTTTTAACATTAAGTGACTGACACTAAAGAAAAAAAAAAAAAAACGCAAAAAAAAAACAGACATTCTGGATAAGGACTTCATTAGCAATGTATTCACTGGGGAATGTATGAAATATACAGGAGTAGTATTACAAGTGTTTCTCACATTGGACCAGTGTTTCCAGTACTGCCATATGGTGCAATAAAATTTTGACCAAGCCTTTGATTAATTGTCTTTCAAGGGAGCAGTAATGAATGCATTAATTGTAAAGTGACTTAATGAAATGTACAAATAGAATTCCGATAACTATATCACAATGTCGTTTGGCTTTGTTTACATTTTCTTTAGACTATTCCTTCTTAATGGTTTAGTGTGGATTTCATCCAAATATGGCCTGAAACATTACTGGGAGAGGACAATTATTTCTTATAAATAAGGTTGATTTGACTTCTAGGGACAGTGAGGCAAAAGGTCTGAAATTGGAATTTAACAAAATGTTTGCTTTAAAATGCTACTCTAAGACTTTCTTAAATCCTAAGAGGATGTTAGCCAAATTTTGTCTGGAAAATCAGTGGAGAAGAACAAAGATTTCATAAATAAATGAGGTTGGTATGACCTCTGGGGTGGGAACCAAAGGAGAAATTAGGTGATTTTGAAAATTCTAACTGATAGATCATTCAAAGGGAGTACACATTTTTTCAGTAAATGAGGTGGGGGTGGCATTCACTAGGGACAGGACACATAGGGAAAATCATGTAATATGTGCTTTAAAGTCTTCTCAAAACTGCCATCTTGGACAGATGTTTAGTGAGATTTTCCAAAAACATTCTCACCAATTTCATACAGTCATTCTCCCTGAAGTAAACCCAGTGGCTGAGTGTTTATTATTTTCAGTTATGGAATGAAACTATTAAATACATTCATTCCTTTAAAATACTTCAAAATTAATAAAGGGAATATCATAATCCATTTCATGATTCTACGAAATGTACATCTCTTTTACATCAATCATCAGTAAAACAAACTGAAAATTGAAATCATCAATTACATGAAGTGTTTCTGTTTTGATCTGTTGTATACCAACACTTTTCTACCTTAAGTACTCTGTACTGTAAACTGGTTGAACAGTTTTATACTGATGGTTATTTTCTGTAAATTATCACATTATTTCTCAGGATACAATTTTCACATTTCTCCCTGTCTGACTTTGAAGTTTGTTCGGACATATGCTGTATAATGGGAAATATTGGGAGGTGCTTTTTTCCCTGGTTTAAACCTATGACATTAACTCCTGGGTAAATATAGATATCACATAACTCTGCACATTTTAAGTCTATATGTTGCATTTGATTTTTACCATTATTTGTATAACTACAAAAACAACAAAAGTTTCTACACACAGAACGTATTACACAATATAAACAAGTGAGGACCAAACACCCACACTAATACCTAGATCTGTTGAAGTGAAAGAAAAGGCATTGATCATTTAACTTTAACCAACGACCATCAAGATAAAATAAAATGTAAAGCTTTTAAACCCTATAGTGATACAAGTGTGAACTGGAGAGGTGAGATGTATTTCACAAAACTTAGTCTGTTTATTTACAGAATTTAATGTTTCAATGAACAGATAAAAGTATGGAATGCTAATATTAATTATTTTGTAACAAATTTTAATGTGAGAGAATTTAATGTTAGTACTTCAACGCAGCAACTTTCAAGGAATGAGTTTGATTTGAAATCCATTACTATTTAAAATTGATAAAGAAATTGATAATTAAAGAGCTAATGAGAACATGTGCAGAGAAAAATGGTCACATGTATTTCCCAGGTCTAGTATGTGTTTGCTGCTTTTCTATAGTGATAGATCCTTTCAGACAGGCTGGAGTTCCTAAGGTTTTACAAACGCAACATATGTGAATAGCATCATCATGGAAGAAGTTAGTGATATATACAGCATATGCAAAATGATTACTAAAACTGTGTCATGTATTTGTCTGGGACCAGATGGGAAGAAATCTGGTCATAAAGTTTAGAAAATGAAAAGGACAATAAGGTAAGTGTACGTTTTGTGGAAATGTCAGTATATTATACAAAATATAACAAGGCATACAGGGTAAGGAATAGCCAGAGGGTCTGTTTAATTCACTGAAACTTATCACTTGTAACTCTCAAGATTCTACACAATAATGTATTTTCCTGTGGCCTAGATTTTGTGGTTAGCACCTGATTTTGTGGGTAAATTGGACTCAAAAAAAAGGACTATAATCTAGGTCAATTCTGATCTGTTTATCATTTCATGGAAACATAAATTTGTTGATGTAAAGTACCTAAAAATGCAATGAAAGTAAGTCCCCCATGAAAATGACTGAAATATACCTAGTATAGAGTAAATGATACATGATAACTTCATTTAGGTGTCACCATCAATTAAAACTCCAAGACAATGATATAGAGTAGTGTAGACAACAGGAATGTCTGAAAAGTTGAGGTTTAAGTAACATAAAAATCTTATATAGTTCCTCACCAAAGATTCCTATAGACAAACACATATAATGTTTATTCTGCTGACTTAATCATGGAAGCAAGTTAATCAGATGTCTTTAAGGAAATTGGGATCTATAGGGATACCACATTGTCCAGCATCCATCCGTCTGGCATCTGTCAACTTTTCCAATAAATCTCTACTAGTCCTGAAGGACTGCACAGATTTTAGCCAAATTTTCTGAACCATCCCAGGCGGAAGCAAAAATAAATTATATTAATGGTTGGTCTGGGGCCCCAGGGCCTGAGGGATGGGGTCCAATTGGGAAAATCTATCTTAAAAATCCAGCCTCTGTTGGAATGATTCGATTTTGTTCAGATTTTATCAGAAGCATCTTTGATGATGATAACTTAGTTTTGTTTGAACAATGAATCTAACCTCCTTGGGAATTAGTGGGGAGGGGCACCTGATAGGGGAAATAGATACAAGTTTAAATACTTTTCCTGATTTTTTATCCATTTCGGCAAACTAAACCAGGTGAGCAATACAGGCATTATGGGCCTCTTGTTTTCATTACAGATTTATTAATTTCATAAATATGGTATAACCATTTGGCATCCGAGTTAAGAATGACTCCCAAGATTTGCATTCTGTTAATGACAATGATCTGGAACCATCACGTTTACAGAAGTTCGTCATGTAGCTAAGATGTTTGCTTTGATGAATATCTCAACAAGTACATGTAATTCAATAATTAATTCATTATTTAAATCCCAAATCAACAAAACTAGTATGAGATAATAACAAAATAAACAACCATACATGGAAGTTATTATACGACAACCTGTAGAAGATTTGAGTGTGATGTTTCAATAACTACACAGTCACCTTCATCAGACAAATGACCATTGTTTTGTTTTGCTTGGGAAAGATGAAAGGGATTGAATAAGGAAAGTAGGGATGAATATGTAAACTCCTTCCTCTTCTGCTTGGTTAAGTAATTGTGACCAAACCAAACTATTTGAGTGATGCAAATCCCACGGGCCTCTTGTTTGAACTTCGTAGTTGAATCCATTAACGGGCAATTAAACAGCATTGAAGTACAGGCTCTCATCAATTGCTAAACATTTTATATCTGACCTTAAACCATTTCAATTAACTTATTTACACTAAATGTCTACAACATAATGAGTTTAAGTAACATCTCTAAATATAAGTACATTTCTTTATCAAGCCAAGCATTGTTGTTGTAGATTGATTGGAAATTATTTATATTTCCTCTTTAAACCATTAAAGCTACAACCATGAATATTACAGTAGACCACTAGCCCAGTATCTATGGTTGTACACTGCCAGGTAAATACAATGTTATTATGTTTGCTGTCTGCACTTCCGTCGTTAACAATTCAGTATTGGGTAGTAATTGTTCTCCTTGTCGTTGGTTTAAGGAAATGTAATAGCTAAAACCATTTATTTTCTATTGAATATTGTATTTATGACGTTGATGGTATATTACCATATGATGTTGAGTGGACCTGAATAATCAGCAACACTGATAATGAAATTAAGCCCCCGGGAACAGGCTAAGAAGTGACTATCCTGCCTTGTCTATAGAGACATACTAACCACCAGTAGATTGTCAGCGAATTGTCTGATTGACATATCGTCTGTGTTTTATTTATTTTACTTCCCGAATTTATTTGACATAGCAATTGGAAGAATATATCTCGTGATTCGTCATTAATCTTAAAAATATACGTTAGTGTGATAAAAATTTGTATTTTTTATTGAGTGGTGTATACAATTACCAGCGAATGAAAGTTGCGTAGAGATGAATCAGATACATACAGATAGTATTGAAGCGTACAGATCGATTCGTTGGTAATGTTTTTAACAGTCGATTTCACGAATAAACATCAAATATGAATTATCTCGGCACCTCGTTTGCAAGTTGCTGAATATCGTTATATTCATATTACATTCCAATGTGCAAATTCAAATGGATGCATTACACGAACAGATATTGGTAATAGTTTCCCATAATTGTTTCCTAACGACCTTGAAAGTAAAGTAAAAGCAAATATGTTATCACAGGACATGGGTTCCGTACAAATTGTGATGGGTTCCGGTCATGACTCGTCGCTTATTGTTATAGACCGCTTATATCTGGTCGCCGTTTGGGGAATTAGTAAACATAGCAATCACGGAGCCCATCAGTTTAGGTAGCTATTAAAACTGCCCTTTATGTGTGGTACCAATTACACATTTGTTAACTTTAGCATATCGTCTACCATTCTGATACATCTACATAAATAATTCAACGTTTATCTCCATCGATATTTGCGAGCCACTCAACCATGACTGAACAGATCCTGTTACAGATAAGGCAATATATTCACATTGTCTTTCCATTGCCCAACCTCAACTGAACTCTAGGTCATGGAATTATAACTCTGCATTGGGAGTTGGAGGGGATTAAGTACTTTACCTCAGCGCCAAATTTTTTATTTGTTTTCGCAATTTCTGAAAGATATTTCTAAATGATGTCTAAACCACATAGAAATATTAACAAATGATTACAGTTTTTATCGACAGTAACAAAATCCCTGTTTGCAATTACGAGGAAAAAAAACCCCAGAAAATGAAAATATCAAAAACCTGTAAAAACAATGATTGAATGGCGGAAAGCAGCACATTTAAATAACTCCAGTACAACATACTGACATAAGTGTAAACAGCTAAATAAACACCCTCTCAAGTACACAAGTATTGGAAAATCAATAACATATATAGCTCCATTGTATCACAGTGTAAATGTACAAAATTTGAAACTACAATAGCTTTGAGTTTTTAGTTACTATAAAAGAACATTTATGTATTTTTGATAACTTTCCATTCTCAACGTTAAACACCAGATTTCATTTAATAGTACAAGTAGCTATTGATGCTGGGACTCTAATTGACTTATAAACGTCTTTAGCATCTTTTTTGCTCCTAAAGAAAATTTCTAGAGTAAGTGTTATAAACGGCTGTGAAAGCTTCTCTGTCTGAAACAGGAGATTAATGACTCTTTTTGATGTTACTAATCCACGGTATTGCAGAAAGTTGGCATCAATATTAAAGTTTGTAAACACTCATCAAAAGAAAAATGAGTAAATTGTTCTAAATCTTGATCAGATCATTCAATGTAAAATCACCTGCTACAAAACAATTATGATAAAAACTAACTTATTGTTAATACTTTGTTTTTTCTGCCATGCCTCATTCCTTCAGAATTGTTTAGTTTATTCCCAGCCTTAAAGAAATCCTTCAAAACTAAATTGCGGCAGTTGGATCCACACAAATGTAAATATTCCTTTCCACAATTATACAACTTTTTAAAATATATGGTTTACTTAAAGACCAAATTCCATTTACCAAAGAAGAGATGTAGTCTTCTTATCCAGCCTAGCTTTAAAGAATGGTTGAAAGTCAATAATTTTAAGCCCACCATCCGTATAATCTTGTATAATGACACCAGTCTTAATTTCATGACAATAACCATTTCATAGTAAATCAAATAATAAGGAATTTAACTGAGTGATATATTTCTCTGGTGAATTTGGTAAGGTAATACATTGTTAATTATGTTGCAAAATCAATAATGACTTAATAATATTGATTTTACCAATCGGAGTTAAATTCCGTCTTTTCCATTTAGTAAGTAGCGATTTAAGTTTTACAATTTTTTTTGTCAAAATTATATTTAGGAATCTGACAAAATCAACTGGAAAGCCTATAACCAAGAAGATGAACTTGTCTTATCTCCATTGCAATATCAAATCTGGTCGATATTTTACATTACTATATTAACAACTACCTAACCATATGATACGAGTTTTATTGGTAATAATACTTGGACCAGAGATTTCTGCATAATTCTGCAACTCTAAAATAGACTCATCAAATGACCTTCCTGACCCATCTAATATCAAACCAATATCGTCAGTATATTGCACATTCAAAATTGGAACATTATCAATGTCATTGCCTTTAATAAGGTTGTTATTTCTAATTTTGGCAGCTTGAACTTCCGCACATAAAAATATAAGGGGCTTCTGGATCTCCTTGACGACAGCCTCTTTCGATATTTATATGTTCAGATATATCACCACATAGATTAATTGAAGCGTATACACCATGTCCGAAATCTTCACCAAAGTTAGAATAATCCAAAACTTTATCTATGAAACTCCGAGTCAAACGCCTTTTCAAAATCTATTAGCATCAGCATACTTGGAATATTTTGTTCTGCTATATATTGCATTCCATTATCACATTTCAGGACAACAGTTCTTGTAACAGGCTTATCAGAGGCATCCCTGTATTGTTTACGCCTTGTATGCATGATCGAGGAAAACTTATTAAACCTATTGTTTATAGCTTCCCCAACGCACCAGATGCATTCCCAGCTTTCTAAGGGAGATATGTGTGATATGGATATTCTTTTGATTGTATTGAATTTGGGTTAGAATCTATTTATTAAATTCTGTCCCAAAGTAAATAGTTATCCTAATTTCTTGACAATAAGCCAAGTTCGAGCTGCAGGCCGAGTGCGACTTATTTAATTTTCGAGAATCCTGAATTGCCACCTGTTATTTGATTGACAAATCACAAGTAATGTTAATGGGGATTGTGATGAAAGACTTTTACCGTCAAATTTGTCAACCTAGATATATTTTTATTTTAATTAGATGTTGTGACCAGCTTATCCCAACAACAAAGTCATAGCTGCTTTTATTGATCAGCCTACTTTCGATAAATGTCTATTTCCAAGATTTTTATTTTTACCCCGGAGTATAAAATTCAGTACCCTCAGGTAGAATATCTATTTCTTTACCCTTGGCAGGTATATCCACAGATTTCATTGTCTCCTACCTGTGCCTATCTAGAGTACATGTGTCCCATGTGGGACATCAATGTGGGCTTATGTAGCTAAATGGATATAGATACAACATCAATATCGACACACACATAATGCTTGTATGCAATTTATGATAGCGTGATATATTTTGTTCTCCTCTATGTTGTGATGTTTGTGGTTGTCCCCGAATGCGTGATATATCTAGTTCTTCCTGTTAGCGCAGTTTTCAGCCGGGTAGTAACTTGTCACAGTTAAACTCTCTCTGAACGTTTTACGGTAAATTTTGTCAGCTAGTGAATATAAAATGCATCTGCATTGAAATCTTATTTTGTATTCACATTTCTTTAAATCATTTTTTTAAAAAAAGACTATATTTAAGTTATAATGTGTGAATCATGTCCGCGAAAAGCATAGTCATCTTCTTTTTATATCTGTCCTAAATATGCCAGTGATGTGGCTATTTTGCCTTTGTAAATGTTATAAGTAGAATACTTAAAAATGTCTTCAGCAATAACAAATATATTTTACTCGTGTGTCTAATATTTAGTAGTATTTAGTTGTCCCCTTTGGCGTGATGTATGTAGTTCTGCCTAATAACGTGCTATATTTAGTTGCTCTCCTAAGCGTGGTATATCTAGTTGACCCCAATAACATAATATATCTAGATATCCCCATAAGCGTGATAAATTTAGTTTAATTTCACTTTCAGATATATTGATGACGTTTTTTGTTTAAATGACAGGAAATTAATTGACCACGCCCATCGAATGTACACATCAGAATTGGAAATCAAGAACATGACGGATTTTTCTACATCCACCGCGAATTTCGATCTACAACGAAACCAGCATGGAGAATTTCCCATCAAGCTATATGACTTCATATACCCTTTTGACTTTCCATTACTAGATAGCAACAACCATCCTGTACACTAACCTATTATGATTATAATTATGTTGACATGTTGCTAAGTTTTTTTTCTTCTCCCCGATAGCTTGATATGTTCAGTTCTCCCACTTATCGCGATACATTCAGTCTTCTCGTATAGCGTGATATTTCCCATTAGCGCGATATATTTAGTTCTCCCTCTTATCGCGATAATTCAGTCTTCTCCTATAGCGTGATATTTCCCACTAGCGCGATATATTTAGTTCTCCCTCTTATCGCGATACATTCAGTCTTCTCCGATAGCGTGATACTTCCCATTAGCGCGATATATTCAGTTCTCCCACTTATCGCGATACATTCAGTCTTCTCCGATAGCGTGATACTTCCCATTAGCGCGATATATTCAGTTCTCCCTCTTATCGCAATACATTCAGTCTTCTCCGATAGTGTGATACTTCCCATTAGCGCGATATATGATTGAATATCCTGAGAGAGTTACACTCCTGCTTTGTTAGAAAATAACCCTGGTGTTTTCTTACCCGTGTGTCCATCACAAAGTGTCTGTTAATCTTTTCATTTCGCACGAGCTTTTCGTCCTTTGAAGTGGCGAATATGTTTCTGACACATCATTGCTTGGTATGTACTGTTAAGCACTTGTATGTGTTGTAGGATCTGTGAGATAAAATTAATGATCATTGTACGATCCAGAACAAAAACTTTTAATTTTGAAAACTTTAATTAGTGGAATTAATTGAATGTTTCAGTTGGTTTACTTCTGTACTTCAAAGAGTGTACTCAAGGCGCACACAAGTACGTACAAGTGAATGGTACCTTTTAATATACTTATAGAGGTAGACAAAGTAGAGCAAACAACGAATAAAGCTCCACCATACAGCTGTTGTTTCCTTCTAGGACTCGTCAGTGATGCTAAGGGTATACATTTCGAAGCATGTGAGGCGAATGAGAAAAATTCAATGTGATCGAAAGAAAATAACAAATCTTAACGGGAGGTTCACTAACACTATTATATAATTAACTAAATTTCGCAATTTTTATTTATAAGATAATTTTAGAATAACGTCAAATACACGTGTATGTTTAAATTTGGTTTTCAAACGTCTTTGTTTTCCAAACTCAGCTTTCTGAATTTCCAACTGAATCCTACAAGGATGCATGATACCATTTGAGGAATCATCTTAATGCCATTAAACTTTTTCGCTAAAACATGTTTAATGAGATACAGTAATGAGTGTACAAAGGGTGTAATTCATAGAAATAGGAAATTTAACAATGGTCCCGTACATGTTCCTCCTGAGGCGAGTTTTTAACGAATTCATTTTTTAAAAGTAAATTTTGAAAATGTTATATAGTTAGATTTGCTTTGTTTCCTCGTCTACCATAATCATTGAAATCAATACTGTGCCTTGTTGGTTACAGACTCGAAATTTCCATTGTACATAGGCATTATCGATTACCTGTGTTACATATATATAAATCAGCACATGTTCATATCAACAGCGGAGCCATGCCGTTGGTGAACGTTATGGAGGCAGCGGTGTTTGTTCTATCTATGTATATCAACGTACAAAAATAACCGATTCTTCCGTCTTGCTTTTGGCAAAATGAATCTGTCAGTGGAAGACATAGATGTATCCCCACCTGTATTTCAATTAAACATTTCAGGAAAAGTTTTTGAAGTATCAGGAGACATTCTAGCTCGGTTTCCGAATTCGCGACTCGGTAAATTAGCTGCTGATTCATCAATGTCACCAACACAAGGACCGGGTATTAAGAAAACATTATTCTTCAGCCGACCAAGCACAATCTTTGAAGATATTTTAGCATACTACCAAACAGGAGAGCTACACATGCCAGCCAATGTTTGTCCAAAGGCCTACAAAAGAGAGTTAGAATTTTGGGAGTTGGATCCGGATGATATGCAGTATTGTTGCCGATTTAAATACTTGGCTTTTTTCGACGAGTTCGAAACAATCTCGGCCTTCCAATCCAGCATTGAGAAGACGGTTTATACAGCACCTGCCAATAACCCTGTGCCATCCCCAATAGGGAAATTTCGGGCAAGGATATGGTCAGTCATGGAACATGAGGACTCAACTGTCAGTTCTAAGGTAAGACATCCGTCGTCGAGTTTTTTTTTTTTTTTTAATTTTCATAGACTTTCCCCTTACATAATGACACAGGTGTTAATTTACCGATATGTCAATGTTAGATGTGGTCTTGATTTTACAAATAACATTTGCTTCACCTGCTAAATGAAACGCGTGCCTTTCAATTCATTGGACTTCTTTGATAAGGAATTCGTGAAAAACACATGTACAAAAACTTTTTTGTTTTCATTATTTCTGAGGTTGCCGAATATATCCATCACTAAAAAAGACCATACTAAACCTTAAGTTGTTATGTTAACATGCCTGGTATTATGAAATGATTTTGTGAGATATCATCAATTTTATTATGCTATTTTTTTCTGTCAAAGTAAATGTGAAATATCTGTAGCAACGCAACGTAAGAGTCATTACCTGTCATTAAAGATGTTTTTAATGTCTCTTTTTTATGTGAACACTATGTACTGTCCTGCTATTTGACTGAAAAATAAAGAAATATTTATTTTTTTATGTGACGAAGTTAAAAAGCAGTAAAGTTTAAATGTTAATTTGTGACTATTTCAATTCTTTGAGACCTCCTTTGTTTTGGTTTTGTAACCAAGCTAGAAACAGCGCACGTGCTCTTCACGTACACGTTATAATTATTGTCCAATTGGAGTAAACTACGACAACCTGTTGGGTTCATTTTCATGGGAGAGGAAATAATGTTCACCTGATTATGCGAAACTAACGCGTTCCGGCAAGCAGGTATGATGCCGCGAAACGTACGCGTATGTAGAGAAAAAAATGCACATTTTTCATTTATTTAATACAAATATACTATTTTATTTAATTTCGATTTATTTATTGTCATTATATTTTGGCACTATAAATTTTATCATGTGAAATCTAAGCTTTGTTTTATGTTTCACTAAGACATTGTTCCCGTTCCATATAAAAAGACAATTTATATAGAACGTTCGTCAGCATAGAGATAATTCGTGTTGTTGTTACTGGTTCGAATTAAAATCATTACTTAAACTACCGCATGCAGTTCAATTCTACTGTATCTGATTACAACTTACAAACTATGGTGTTGACTTGTGTATCTTTTAAACAATTATTCAAAACTCTAGTTAGAAAACAATCTCCCGACGTAAATAAATCATCTGCCTGTCGCCATTTCATTATCTGCTTTGAGTGAAGATGGTTCGTTTACAGCCATCTTAAACAACAGTAATTCTCCTGCGGTGTCTATGACGCAATTGAACTTTTTCTCGGAGTTGTGTCTGAACTATGTTAGTTCTTAGTAAACAGTATCTTTTAAACTAATTTGGAACTTACAGTTGTACCAAGAGATACTAAGATATAATCATTATACAATGTATTATTATATTCAGGGATAAGTTATACAATAAAACTGTATGGTTTGTGTCAAAACGTTACAGTCGATATCATTATGTAGTAATACCAGCGTTTATTGATATATATGATGATTATCTTTGTGTCAATGGAAACTAATTACATGCGAAACTATTGATAAAATTGCTGGACAGTCCCGGCAAGCAGTATATGACAGAGAACAAACAAGAACTTTAAATCAACTGCATCATACTCCCGTTCAAAAACGCAATCTATTATGATATAAGATATATGCATGGCCTTTGAAAAAAAACCCAATTCAAGAGTACAAGAGATATTCCTACAATGAATTTATTGAAGAGATATATCAAATTTCCTGCGCAATAGATTAAATTGTAATTACCTGCTGTTTTTTCTTATCGATCTATCACTTGTAAATTATCTTTTGAAAATTGGCCCTGGTATATTTCACAATTAAGCTGTATGCAAGAATCCTACTGTAGCGACCGTGTGATAGGAACAAGACAGACTCTGTGTGAAAACAACTGTTTAATAAATGCATGTTAAGCGCAGAATAATTAATTTATAAATATAGTCATGAACTCTTCAGTTCCAGGATAAGGACTCTTAACAGTTACTCCCCAAACAATGCTGTACATATATAGGTCCATACATTATCCAACGTGAAGTTAGCTGCCTATTCAGTATTTACCTGACCAATCATTGGTAAAGTCCTACATTGGACTAGGGCATTATCACATACAGACAGATATCACATTAAAACAAACTCGTTCTAGTGTAAAAACATCTTAACCAGTCAACCCTAAACCTGCCAAATATAATATTTTGATTAATTTTCTTCATTATTAAGCTCTAACGTCCCCGTATTTGTATTAACCTATGTTGTTGACTTTCCTTTGTACAATCTTTCCGATGACATGTATGAATTTCGTTCTTGTAAACAATCGTTATCGAGTCATCAACGTCACTGCAGACTTAAGCTACCTACTGGACAACATTCCAGGCTTAAGATACCCACTGGACAACATTCAAGGCTTACTTTACCCACTGGACAACATTCCAGACTTAAGATACCCACTGGACAACATTCCAGGCTTAGGATACCATCTGGACAACATTCCAGGCTTACTTTACCCACTGGACAACATTCCAGGCTTAAGATAGCCACTGGACAACATTTCAGGCTTAAGATACCCACTGGACAACATTCCAGGCTTACTTTACCCACTGGATAACATTCCAGACTTACTTTACCCACTGGACAACATTCCAGGCTTAAGATAGCCACTGGACAACATTCAAGGCTTACTTTACCCACTGGACAACATTCCAGACTTAAGATACCCACTGGACAACATTCCAGGCTTAAGATACCATCTGGACAACATTTCAGGCTTACTTTACCCACTGGACAACATTCCAGGCTTAAGATAGCCACTGGACAACATTTCAGGCTTAAGATACCCACTGGACAACATTCCAGGCTTAAGATACCCACTGGACAACATTTCAGACTTAAGATACCATCTGGACATCATTCCAGGCTTTATATTCCCACTGGACAACATTCCAGGCTTTATATACCCACTGGACAACATTCCAGGCTTTATATACCAACTGGATAACATTCCAGGCTTAAGATACCAACTGGACAACATTCCAGGCTTTATATACCCACTGGACAACATTCTAGGCTTAAGATACCTACTGGACAACATTCCAGACTTAAGATACCCAATGGACAACATTCCGGACTTAAGATACCCACTAGACAACATTTCATATATCAACTTAGTTTTGGCATATCTTAGTTTCATGGTTCTGAGACATGGGTTTATTCCGCATTTTTCAATTTTCTGTCGGAAAGAAAATTGGAAAAAAAAATAAGATACAAAAATCCTGACAACATGTTTTAGAATTTGAGTATTGAAAATGGTCAAAATGTGCATATACCGAATGTTGTTCAGTCGTCATATTTAGTCTTGGCTGAAGATGATGATCGTTGAAACTTGAATTGCATGAGATAACATTTTGTTATCTGTAAGTCGCTTACTTTGATTTAAGCTAGAAAAGTTGTCCAAGAGATACCGCAGGTCTTTGGTAATGCTGATGATCTTTAGAATGTGAAAATCCAAGTCATCAAAGGCTATCACTACTGGTCATAAAACGGCAAAAGATATATGACAATATATATTATAACCTGGATATTGAAGTTAATAAAAATCGATGATCAAGGGCAAGGATATTGTTTTATCTTCTGAGGGCATCTATAATGTATGAAATGGGACACAAGCCTTATGACGTTTATCTGTTAACCTTGAAATCTTAACATTCATCGAAGGTAGCACAAGACGCTATACACCATGACCAGCCTTCAAATCACATTGCTCTGAGTTCGTAAGCCTAGTTTGGCGTTGATGCGTTAAGTAATGTTATAATCTTGGCATTCCTAACATAGCAGTATACATAACTACTGCACATGAACGATGTCATCTTGCACTGATTTTGAAAAGTTCAAAAATATTAATTTATAAACGGAATGTTGCCAAACAGTTTATTTTAACTTGGGTAATGTTGATGTACCTTGGCACGTGAACGAGCTTGATATGACAATTCGTTAATAATTTGCGATTTTTTTAGAGTAACATCGAAGACGCAATCGGAGTGTTGTTCAGTGGGCACTTTAGACGCTACGGGCATTACATAGTAGCACATATGAGGTAAAACGATACAGATACAACTATTTGTTGATAACACTCTTACCCTTCAAATTGAAATTATCTGAGTTCACCTTCAGTTTTGTTGTCCAATGGTGTACCTGTAGCCAGCATAGATTTAATATGACGCCGTTTTACATTTGCATGTGTCCCCACATTGTCTAGACCAACAGCTAACCTATAAATATTCAAAGCTTATAATTATTTTTTTTAGATAGGTTTCAAAATCAAAAATAACACATCAACGTATAAACTTTGTGACGGATTATTTTTAACAAATCACTTTGCATTACAGCTGGCGTGACATGACGTGACGTCATTCACATCTAGTTCGCGTCTTTTTCAGTCATTCAATTTCATTCATGAATGTACCCGTCACATTCCATATGCAAATGTGTAAAACATAACATGACGTATTTTCCCCTTAATAAAACTGATTTTTATTTGTTTTTTTTTTATTGTTTTTGTGTGTCTTTATTAAATTTTTCATTTTTATATGTATTTTGAAATTTTATAGCATTTTGATGCTCGGAAACCTTTTCCTATGTAAAATCTCTGTCGACAATAGACTCGATAATGGTCTTTCTAACACTTATTCTGAAGTTGGACACGGCTCATTAAAATCCCCTCAAAATATATTATAACTGATGTTAGCTTATGAATGTAGTTTATCCAGGAATTGAGTGTTTACGTTTACAATTTGATGATCTACTGGCCGTATAATACCACTTGTTCCAGATGTCCTGGGTTCGATCCTTACCGGGGACATTGAAATAGAAATTAAATAATGACCGCTAGAACTGTGGCACCCATGTAAGGACTCGGGAATGATTCTAATTAGCTTCGCCGTAGACATTTAAATTAATAATTATTTCCATTACATTGATGCTGTGGAAGTAAATCTTGTTATATATTTAAGTGATGCTCCAAAAGTATAAACTTTCCCATTGTTAAAGCAGGAAATTTGATCATATGTTTTATTTACTACCTCCCAGCAGGATAGAAAATTAGCCGTGGTGTTCATAGCAGTATCACATATTGTGCTTTTCCAATTACATAGAGCTCGATATCTACTAAGTGACATTGATTTTTGAAATGTGATGTGACGGAAGGCCAGACGCACCTGATACGCTTAGTTAATACCAAAGTTGTAAAACATCTCATAATCAACTGATTTTGTTTCTTAACTGTTGTTCCAACATTTAATTATATCTGAGGTGTACGGTTGAGAAAATAGTTTAAATAATTCCAAATGTATTTTGTGGTTGCACTGGATGAAGCGGTGCGACATCATCAGGTCTGTGATATGCACTTCGAGATCACGTTTCGGAGATTCGAAAAATTTCTCAATTCTTCAAGACTCGGAACTAAAATCTAACATCCTATTTTTTTCTATCGTAATTCCATAGTATTTGTCTAGTGAAACACATCGACAAAAAATAGATGGTACATTGAATTGATTTATAAGTTCCCAACAGCATGCCCACGGCATGCTTCCGTATGGCAGCTGTAACTGGGTCGAGGTTTAGAGACACTGCATGGTCTCTGTCAGAATGAGTTCGCTGTTAGGGCTTGATTAGTGATTTCTAATGGGATTCAAACAATTTATGGAAAATCAATACGAGTACATACAGTGATCACCTGAAAGACTATTAATAAACTACCCAGACTGAATTGTTATGATTATCTAGTCCCTGTACGACTGGAAAACATATTGACGTTTGACTAAGCTGAGTGATTCTCGATAGATCAAAGATTAATTTTGTTGAAGTATAGATTTTGTGCTACATTTACATCATACTTATTTGTATATCAATTCATAACGCTATATTACACTTTGGGCTACATGGATATTTGAGGTAGTATCACGTGCACAGCGCAAGCGCGTTTTAAAGGCGTCTTTATTTAATGCTTTCCGGGTAAATGGTGTCTGCAGAAGGAAGTGTTAAGGTACATGTTTTTCAAAGGAAATGCAATTCCGTAAAAGTTTTAACATAAATGAAACCAAATGGTTTCCATCGCTACGATAATCACACTGACTTTTTGCCATATAAATTTCCATGAATGTGATATCGTTTTGTATTGTATATAGTAAAAAAAAATCGCTTATTAATATTAATAATTCATTTACATGGAAGACTCGTTAATGGATATTGAATTGCTTCTCGGGTTACTGAATGAGCCAGAATTCCCAGTAGCCTAGCCAGAAAACAACACATTTGTTAAAAATAATAACATGTTCAAAAATTAATAGTATGGACGAGTAATCTAAGTTTTTTGAGGACAAAAGGCATCACTAGAGGTTAGTAAATGTCCGGCATTGTGGCCAGGAAAAGAGCGACCTATCTTCTTCAGGTTTATGATCGTGTGATCGATATGTCAAACATATCGTGCTCTGTTGATAAAAACAAAATATTCACTCTTGAATACATCAAGCGCCAAACAATGTACTTTTTCTGTCGTTATCAGAAAAACTATTTGTGTTAAAATCGGCCTGGTAGTAGTAAAATAATTACAGCTTCATCTCGATTCCATTCCCCCGGACAATTTCGACAGAAAACACATACTCACACGCACCCTTATATGCATGCATGTGATAGTTAACAACTTAAAGTGTAAAGCACTCAGCCGTATTTTTAAAAATTCAAAATTTGTTAGTTATTGTCCTTTTTAAATATGTGTGATTTAAAGATTAATTGTAAAACGTGTTTCCTTTTTTTGTTTGTGTCGTCTCAAAGGTATTCCGATGTTTTATAAATATTTAGCGCACTCATTACGGCTTGAGGACGATATCTGTCGTCTTTTTACAGACTACATCATTATTTTCTCTCTTTTTGTTCCTGGTGGTACATAATGCTTAGCATATGTCAGTGCTTACCACTTCATGACATGGTTTGATAGCCAAGTCAAGCTCAGGATGACATAGGGTTGTGTTGTATACAATCAGCCATCTGAAGAACGAGTGTGATACTTCCTACATCAGACCTCTGTGATGAAATGCATTTGGTGCTGTTCCTGTTTCTGATTCCTGTAAACCTATGTCCGATATCTTCCCAAACTTGTATATATAATTAATTATTTAATTAATTGGTCAACAAACAAACATACAAATATTATCTGTATTTATATATCGTTACTATATTTTTTATAATTAGATGTACATAACCTCTACGTAGAAAAGAGTTCATGAAGAAAATATTGTAATCTATTTTAAAAATATAAAGATGCACAGGGATTGTGTGAATGAATCAACTAGCCATGGCAATATGGATTATAAATATATACGTAAGTTAAATTTTTAAAAGTCTAAATGCAATATCAGCTTAAGATATACGAGCAAACAAAACTTGTTATGAAAGAGAAGACAACTACAAAACAAAATTTTCAAAAATACATTATTTTATCTAAAGCTTCCTTTGTGGCGTATTTTGGTCACGCAGTCTTTCTTCGGGCTGGCGCTACGTACTTGTTCAGCTCTCACAACACAAGATTCATGTTCAAGAACATCAAATCAATTTCACAAGTTCAAAAGTTCAGGTTCACAATTGTCAACGCTCAACAGTTAAAGTTCATCAGTTCAAGGTTTAAACTGCATAATTTGACCCTGGGTACTCAGGGAGTGTCAGCGGTCAAATATCATTAATTGTTTTCATAAATTATGTGTCCTTGGGAACAGCGGAAAAATAGGTAACAAGTAAACAAGCTATTGTTATGGTTGTGTGCTGCGCAAATGCAAAATAGCCAAGACATGTTATAAACGAAAGCAATACTGGATATTTTTATTCTTTACTTATCTATCAAAACATTTTTGTTGGTTATTCTTTTCAGATTGTGATGGGGTTTTTAGTGGCCTGTGTCGTGGTATCTATCCTCAATTTGTCACTTGGAACTGTAGATTCATTGAAGCAGCGCATCAACCTGGACTCTCTCCGCAGTCATCTTGCCGACCTGGCTAGTCAGGAAGGTGAAGATTATCAAGATATTATCGATATTTTAGATGAGACAAACTGTGTTGACACCTGGGAATGTGTTTTAGAAGAAATTTCTGTATATATTGAAGAAGCCGAAGAAAGAAACAACACAGACAATACATACGGAGATATAGAATACTCTCCGGATGAATTGAAGAGAACTTTGGACAAATTTCAAAATCTAACTCAACATAAAGTACGACATGCTTCATTGATAGTTATTGACTTTGTCCTTCTGGTCATTTTCTTTGTTGAATTAGTTGTACGCTTGTGCAGCTGCCCTAGTTTTAAACGATATTTCATGAGTCCACTTAATGTAATTGACATCTTGGTTCTGGTAACCGCTGTCGTTGATGTCGTTATAGAAAGCTGGTTCGCTAAATACCGGTATTCTGACAAGGGTATTAAAATGTTGTACTACCTACAAATGCTTCGTGTATTGAGGATCTTGAGATTTGTCAACAAAGTTCCATCCATACAGGTACTCGGATATACTATAAGAAACAACTTCACAGATCTCGTGGTTTTACTGTTGTACGTTCTCGTTGGTGTCGTAATTTTCTCAAATTTTGCTTATTTTTCTGAGGATAGCAGCACTTTTACGAACATGCCAGACTCATGGTGGTGGGGAATTATCACCATGACAACCGTAGGATACGGAGATGTCGTTCCAAAAACTGTGTTCGGAAAGATAATGGGATGCATATGTGCACTGTGCGGGGTTCTGTCGCTCTCTCTTACAGTACCTGTTTTTGTGAATACTTTCATTTTACTCTATCAAATCTCACGTATTCACAACACGTATCTAAAACCAAAACAAAATCAGATCAGTCCAACCTCTATAACGGTGAAGAAGTCGTCTGGAACAACACAACTTGACACAGAATCAGACTTTACAAAAATGGCAAGACTGCAACCAAACAGGAAGTGACCTGATTAAAGAATGCGGACCTCATTAGACAAGACCAGGTATTATCTGGAGTATAGTTATAGGCACGAAGGAAATACGAAGCGTGATTGGTCTGTATTCAGTCGGTGTGTTAATAAAATATTTAGACAAAAAAAATGTAGAGGAAAAAAAAATCAAGCATATGCATTTAATAAAGTCTGTGAAAGAGTGGTAGGCTTTTAACGATGTGCTGTTATTACTTCATCGGCAGGAACTGTGTTGTTACGTGAACTATAATACAGATGTACATGTATGTATTTATGTATATAAATATATGGTCAATGGATGTTTTATCGTAGGTATGATATAAACCAAACGCAATTAATTTATGGAAAGGCCATTTTATGACTTCCATGAAAATGTGATAGTTTATAAAACAATAATTTAATTTTGAGTTGATAATTTTCAATTCAGCTGAATTCATTTTTATGGTTGTTGAAGTTATCTTTTCTCAGAATTTATTGTCGTCTCTCAAGATGGAAACTTTGTACAATGGAGAAAAGTGAGAAAATTGATATAAACATTGTTTTGCTGTCGCCTGAATATGCGACATGTAATGATTATGGACCAAACACTTATGTAGTACTTCAATTTTGAATTTATTTCTTGGCTGTGTAGTTTTTGAGTCGTCCCATATTCCATTCAATTTCACTAAGTGTAGATGCCATATTTTGTACGATGTAAAATAACATGTATACTGTTGAATCTCTTTCGTGATTTTGAAGATTGCTTTGTTTACATACCAAAAAGACATTTCAGTGTAGAGTATCCAGTCTTAAACACACGGATAGAAAATGAAAAGATACATTTTAAGATCAATTTTCTTTTTCTTATTTTCATTCCATTGTCATGAAAGTTTTTATACAGAGAATAATCAGGATAGGCCAATCGTTCATTTGGAAGTTTGAAACATATCCAACGTGCTGTCAGCTGTTTCAACTATTTGTGAGATATTTATCTATCATATTCCAGTTTCGTGTTTTGTAACTTTTATCAAACTTTGGTCAACTGCATAACTTTCATTTTCCTTTGTTTTCACACAGTGCAGTAGTGACGTTACAAGAAAAGTCGAACAAATCTTCTAGTAGGAGACGATGGCACAATGGATAATGTTTTTACAGATTTAGATGTCCATTTATTACAACAAGATAGAAAATTCCTGTTTGTCGTTTACGCCAACACCTTAATCAGACAAATTATTAATGAAGCGTATATGCATTGAGTTACAAAATAATACGAATCGTCACATACCGCTATGTCTATCTGGTTTTGATATATGAACATTTATTTAATATATACCTGAAAGCCCGAGGAGAAAAGTATTTTACAATGTGTTATCGGCTGAGTTTTCAAACGATTTATCATCATGTGTACTATTTCATTTAAATTTCTTTTGAAGTCAATAAAATTGTATCAACTATCAATGTATCTGTCAAATATTTGTCTTCCATTTTCCTAACAAACAAAAAATAACCACAAAGTTTCAGGGGTTTTTTTCCACCTCAACATCCTACTTTTTATTTCCTTCTTCAAACACTTTTTTCTTCAAGCGATTGATACATAACTAACATTGTATGACACTTGATGTTTCTGCATTATCGGTCACTTTTCTGTCGTGGAGTATAAATATTATCCGAAATCCTATAATTTCAGGGAAAAAGTCAAGTACGTGTGTATATTTTGAATTAGTTAAAACGTGGCATGTAGATACGACATACCTCAAGAAGTAAACAGGCTTCCCACAGCACCCGCACTGTCTAACACCTGAACCAGCAGTGTTTACCAGCAGCACAAGCATGGTTTACCAGCAGCACCAACATTGTCGATCACCTGCACCAGCAGTGTTTGCATGCAGCACCAGCAATGTCGAACACCTGCACGAGCAGTGTTTGCATGCAGCACCAGCAGTGTCGAACACCTGCACGAGCAGTGTTTACCAGCAGCACCAACATTGTCGATCACCTGCACCAGCAGTGTCGCTCACCTGCACCAGCAGTGTCGCTCACCTGCACCAGCAGTGTCTACCAGCAGAACCAGCAGTGTCTACCAGCAATACCAACAGTGTCGAACACCTGCAACAGCAGTGTTTACCAACAGCACCAGCAGTGTCGAACACCTGCGCCAGCAGTGTTTGCATGCAGCACCAGCAGTGTCGAACACCTGCACTAGCAGTGTTTGCATGCAGCACCTGCAGTGTTTACCAGCCGCACCAGCAGTGTCGAACACCTGCACGAGCAGTGTTTGCATGCAGCACCAGCAGTGTCGAACCAGCAGTGCTTACCTACAGTGTTTACCAGCAGTGTCGAACACCTGCACGAGCAGTGTTTGCATGCAGCACCAGCAGTGTTTACCTACAGTGTTTACCAGCAGTGTCGAACACCTGCACCAACAGTGTTTACCAGCTGCACCAGCAGTGTCTACCAACTGCAGTTTCGAAAATTGCAGAACAGCACCTTTTCGTACAAATGTAGAATTAGACTTAGAAGATCCTACTAAAGACTATACAGCAGAGCCAATAGCGCAATCAACTATATCACAGAGCTTTTTCGTCGTTCTAAAATTCGCCATTTGAGCTAAAGGACTAAACGTTGAAATCTTGGAGGCGACTAAGGAAAATCCAAAGTGATCTTCAGAAATGCCATAATTTTTTTTTATATAAGAAGTTTCACTAGACACAGACTTCAATAGATTTCATAAATATAAATTGAATGTCTTGAATACACTCCTATTTCACATACGTAAGGATGACTTGACTACACTCCTGAAACGGAGATACGTTTGGATGACATCTATTCTGTGCACAACAAGTTAGGGGTCACTTTTAAAAGATATATCATCTGTATCAAAAGGCGAAAAGGTTTTTAATATGAAATACGTCCAACAATAAAAAGCAATTTTGACCCATTTTGAATTAATCTTACTGAAGCATGTCGTGTATGATTGCATGAAAAGTGTAACTCTCGAAAATAAATTAAAATTCCCAATGGCACTGAAAATTCAAAATACTTCCATGGGTTCAGTAACACTATCATTAGTGACTGTGCCCTCCATTTACCCTAGTAACGACATGACGTCGGCTTGGCATGCTGCGAATCGGGTGCCGTATAGCCATTTGTGGAATTCGTGATCATTCTTGACGAATAGCATCAGCAAGCAAGGGACAAAACCGTCGACAGGGAGCCGACGACGATCTGTTGCTACCTTATTTGAGATACGATTGCATGACATGACTACACATCTGTATCGTAGATACGTTTGGATGACATGACTACACTTCTGTATCGGAGATACGTTTGGATGACATGACTACACATCTGTATCGGAGATACGTTTGGATGACACGACTACATTTCTATATCGGAGATACGTTTGGATGACATGACAACACTACTGTATCAGAGATACGTTTGGATGACATGACTACACTCCTTTGTATAAATCAATGAATTTCTGTCTCTTAGTTTCAGTCCCATCATTATCTGTATTTTATTGACCACATGTTTGCTTTAATTATTTCTCTTTTTTTTTCATTGTCGACCTTGACGACTTGATTTTGTCAAATTTCTTAGGTGTGATCCTTTATTTAGATAAAGTTTTCTCCGCTTCCTTCATTCTATTCACTGTTAAAACAGCGTGTTACACGATGCGGAACTGGCTTCTTGTTAATGTGACCATTCCTAATTTTCAGGTGTAAATGTGGGATGTATATAAGGATGGTGTTATTTTTGTGACGGTGGCTTTCCCTTTCCTTGGGTACCGTGAAAGATTTACTAGTATCGTTGAAAGCATGCTGGCCTGGTTAGGCAGGAAAGCACATAAGGTTATGACTACTATGGACCCGCTATTATACTGATGAGAAAAATTTAATGTGACGTGCTGACGTGAAAGAAAGTTGGCCAATAGCAGATGGAATGTACCACTACATGAAAGATAACGGGAGCGAGTACGTGTATAGTGACTATAATCATTACGTAGATTATACGGATTAATTCCCTATCCTAATACTATGATAACTCAATAAAAAAATAAAATGTTGTAATGCATTGGCTGCTATTTTTTTTTTTAATCCGCCATCTCTAACAAAGTGCCAAGCTCTTCTGTTACTATTTACTAGACATGTTACAAACGGTTTTTCAGGAACTGGCTAATTGTGTTTGACACTTTGATATCTGTATGCACCTCCTCTTTCTTGTTCGTTGGCATCCTTATCATTGGAAATTCTACATTTTAGACAGTTCAACTCCTTGGTGGTGAGGCCTTATCACTAAGACAACGATTTAATATGGTGACGTTGCTCCTAAAACTGCTCTTGGGAAACTAGTTAGCAGTCTGTGTGCTTTAACTGATGTCACCATAAACATACTCGTTAACACAAACATTGAAGTCTGAAAAGAATACAATCCAGCAAGATCCATCACTGCACCCAAAAGTACGCGGATGACATACCTCAAGGAAGTACTCCTATCCTTGTCTTTTACACAAGAGAGAATTTTGTTTCATTCAGATCAGCTTCTCAACAAACCAGCATGCGTCGAATATTGTGCTGACATTTGTTTGAATATCTTTTAAGTATAAACATTCTTTGATTAACATCAGTTAGTACTGTGGTTTAAGCGTCGGAAGTTGACGACGTCCTCCATGCCAGAATATTCGCGGGAATGAGTCAAGACATAACGGTGTGACGGAGTGCCGACAACAACTCAATAGTCATTGAATGTAGGGGGAGTCCGTTTAATTTTAAAATGTGAACAGTTTTGATAAACCTTGAATATTTTGGAAATGTTAGATATCATTGTGTATATTACTGGAGTTTGCGTTTTTCAAGTTCTTTCAAATAAATACACAGAGAAAACTTTTATAACTTGATAAAATCATAGACCGAATCATTCAAATCTCTGACAAAAAAGGTTATTTTCAAATGAAAGGCTAATAATGTAACTGCTGACAATGTTCTATTTATGATACGTATCCAATGACGTCATTCTGTAATCCGGATTGCAAACATAACAGAAGTCATTCTATCCTGACATCCGGATTGCAGACGTAACAGAAGTCATTCTGTCCTGTCATCCGGATGCCAGACGTATCAGAAGTCATTCGGTCCTGTCATCCGGATGTCAGACGTAACAAACATAATAATATCCGTCACCCAGATGACTGACGTACTGGACGTCATTATGTAATCAGAATGACACGTCGCGGAAGATATTTTATCAGTTATCCGGATGCCAGACTTATCGGAAGTCATTCTGTCCTGTCATCCGGATGCCAGAGGTAACAAACATAATTATATCCGACACCCAGATGACTGACGTAATGGACGTCATTATGTAATCAGAATGATACGTCGCGGAAGATATTTTATCAGTTATCCGGATGCCAGACTTATCGGAAGTCATTCTGTCCTGTCATCCGGATGCCAGACGTAACAAACATAATTATATCCGTCACCCAGATGACTGACGTAATGGACGTCATTATGTAATCAGAATGACACGTCGCGGAAGATATTTTATCAGTTATCCGGATGCCAGACTTATCGGAAGTCATTCTGTCCTGTCATCCGGATGCCAGACGTAACAAACATCATTATATCCGTCACCCAGATGACTGACGTAACGGACGTCATTTTGTCAAGTCGTCCGAATGACAGACGTTACAGACATCATTCTATGCGTCATCCAGATAACATATGTAGCTGACGTCATCCTGTCTCTCTAGTAAAGACTAATTATATTTCCCTATTCCTCTTAGACAAGAAGCTAGTGCCTGTGGATTAGTTGGATAGTAGCAGGATATATCTGTCATTTACCAAAATATTTACGCTGCTGGTTTCAAACACCCAACACTAACAGTTTACTTCATTATCATTTTCCCTGCGTTGAAAAAAATCTTACCCAGGCACAGTATCTTTTCTTTAAAGAAGTCATTTAAATTCCCGCGAAAAGAGTTCAGGTACGAGAATATCTCCCCGAGGTTATATACTTGTAAAAGTATTAGTGGATATGACGGATAAAATGCAAGTATATAGATTGAAGTCTAATCAACATATTGGAGCCATAGTAAAGAAATCCAAAGAATCCGAAGTAATTCATCTATCCAAGCTAAGTAAGTGGTAACTCTCTCAAACTGAGCTGATAGAGCTCTACAAGAGCCTATTCATACCAACGATCAAGAAGTAACAGGTAAGTAATTATGTCCGATCTAAATTAGTGGACACCCGTAGCCACTGAATATCAAAAATAGTGACAGCCAAAAACCCAAGACTGATTTCAGCACATGAATGTAAAACAGATTATCGCTATGATGAATTGGAAGCAACTCCTGTGAAAAATGACTTTCTATTCCGTTCATTTTGGAAATATGCTTCAGTAATGCCCAAGGACGGAACCGTTTAAACATAATTCCGCATGCAGAATAGTATCCGACACTTACTAATCGTTTTATCACGAAGCGGCTGCTTCCGGCAATGTTGCTGTGGTATAAGCACAAGATATACGATTACGGTAGAACCTCTCTTGCTGTCCACCTCAGTAAAGTTAATCTCCCCGAGTAACTTTCCTTCTTTTCACTGTAGCGATAAACTCGACGGCCAATAGGGCCAAGAATAAGTTTTAACTACCATTGCAATTGAAAAGTTGAAAAATGTACACCAGTATATGATACAATCGTTTTTTTGTGCAAAGCAATTTCAATGAAATTTCTATTTGACGTTTAGTTTATATTGGTTACTGCCATTTTTAATTTTCAAGACTAGTGGCTTCTTGCATACACTTAATGACCTGTCACTTGATCCGTTTTAAAATATTTTTTTGTATAATTTCCATCCTGAGCCTCGCTTAATAAACCTCGAACAGAACAGCTGCATCCATTATAAGGTACATTGTATAAGGCGTTTTATCGTCATTCCTTGAATTAGTTAAAATAATCATTAGTATTCCAAGCATTAATAGATCATGTTGAGGATCAAGAACTAAGTTATGGAATGCCCGTCAACGGTTTCTTTCTCCGAGCTTTTGTTATGCTTTCTCCCCAATACCTAAACAATCTGTGTGGTAGATCATGCTGAAAACTAATGGAGAAATGCAGTATATCCAAAGAACATTACACTATCCTCTCAACAGATTCTAATTGATAAGATATATTTTTACAACAGCTCAAGAGTCTTTCTTAACAACGCCAAACAAGAACCTCTCTATGTTCGTAAAATACTGCATTCCTCCATGTGTTCCATGTAGAGACCATACAGTGAATGAACACTAACAGTTTAGTAAAGGTAAAACAGTTTATTTTTTTTTGCACATTTTGCAAAATAAACCCAAAAGTTTAATTGCCACATCTCAAATAGATCATAGTTAGTTATGAAAAGGATATCATAATGTTAAGATCATACTAAGAAGGAGGGGGAACCTGTTTAAATACCACATAAAAGTCTGCACTTCAAAAACATAGGCATATCCCTTGATTAACGGCTTACCTTGCGTCAGACACACTGTCACTATATGAGCTTAGAACACGTGTACCACACATATTACAACTGTACTGGACATATATCACTCTCAACGATTACAGTATTATCAATATTATAATACTCACCTGTTAATAACGTGTTGTGTAATATAGTAGGAACAACAAATGTATGTATTTAAATGTGAACCAATCAAGCAGTGTACTATGAAGGTATGATATTAGTCGTTTTACATCCGATAATTAATTATCACAGATGGGAGACACAAACACATTTTTATTATACCTAGCGCAAAAATTTCTATTTTCCATGATAAAAAAATTCATCATCATCAATTAAAATAACAAAATGGCACATAAATTTTGATACAAAGTATTTATAAACATCCTTGTAATGCTTGCAGAATTTTTTTTCCGAAATAAAACACAAGCTCCATGCTCCTGGGTTCTGCATCATGTAAGTCAGCAACGGGTATACAATGTCTATTACAGTCCCACAGCTTATATCGCCACCTCATATCTAGCTTGCATTGCACGTCATGAAAATAATGTTTTTACATAGCAGCATAAAAAATCTCAAGGTATATAATATATGAAGCACTTTGAAGAATATGATTTCCATGTTTCTCAATATATATATAAAACGATCTTCATTCAAAAACGTTAAATATATTCAATCATGGCATCAACAGGTCAACATTTTTTTCTTTGTATGCAAAACATTGTTTATAATACATTTCTGTAATCAAAATGTGAAGTTTTGAGTAAGTCATTCATAACGGACAATATAATTTTCCAATATTCAATTTGTTGGTCCTAGATGCACAAAGTCAACAGTCTATACAAGTATATGCATGTCATAATATCTACAGTGTTATATAAAGATCATTTATTTAAAGAGAATGAACATATACTACCGTGTCTTGTCAGCAAATTTAGGAATGAGTTGGTGAGGACAATTTTAACATGACATAATACAAGAACGAGTCAACGGTTGCATCAACATAACATATCTACCTAACATCTGAACACTGCAATATAATACAAGATATTCTTCTACTCATATTTCATCAAGATTTTTAAGACAGCTTGATCCCTGATATTGTTTAAGATACGTAGCATTTCACTATCACAGTTCAATTATATCTGTATTTAAAATTCTAAATCTACATTATCTTGTACAAGAATTATTTCCTGAAGATGCACAGTAATTAGCATTTGTATCAAAGTCATAAGTTTATGCAAGGAAACAGGTCATGCACTACAGTAATACAAAACATGGCACAAGTGAAATCGGTATTACAGTAAAATGTTGATCAACATTGAAATTCATGAAATATTGAGACAACTCTTATCAGGGAAAAGACAAAAAATACTGATTATCGAGCAAACAAATAACAATTTTTCTTTTAAACTGAACAAAAATAATATGCATACAAGTTTAGGAGAACAAGTCAAAATAACCTTATACATGGAATTCTGAATGATATTTTAGTTAAGTCAACATAAAAGTGCAAAATGAATACAAAGGGTAAGTTGTAATGAGTTTTGCTGCCATGGTCTAGCCCCAATCAGCCTGTCTGCACCCTTCAGGACAGTCGAGAGCCTGTGCAACCTGCTACCTAACGAGACAGAGAGGTGTGTTATTTGTGTTTATTTTTTTTTTCATAGTATCAAAACGCTTCAATATTGGACAGAAATATAAAACATTGAAAAAAAAGAATATTATGGAATAATCAACATCATCTCAGCAATGCAAGCAATATACCTGGTGACTAGCCAATTTATTGTTCTTCAAAAAAAATATATATATACTAACCTACATCATATCATAATCTGTCAAGTTTCTTAATCAAATTAGCAATGGAGCAAAAATATTATCTATCTACAAAGATACCCTTTCTTCCCAAGATTGTTCTCCACAAGAGACAGACCAAAACATATGTAGGTCCATGTCCTTCAAGGAAGAATATTAGGAAGAAAGGGTATATAATCATAATTGGGACAAAGACTCACAACCAGTATGCTTTGGTAATGATCTGCTTGTAGTAAAAGGATGGGCATATATTAAATTATCAATTTCTTTAAATCCATGATACAAATTTCTAGGTGTCATATGTTGTCTTTTGCATCTCCAGCATCTGCCTCCTCTAACCAAACCTTGTTTTTGTTCCAACATTGTCCTTAATGAAGACAATGTGTGGATCAAGAAAACGATAAGGCAAAAATATCAATGTTTAAAACATTTATTATTTTCCTCCAAAGTCATACTTCACCTGGGGAGACCGGTCCTTGGTACACACGATTCGCCCTTGAAGGGTACATTTAGATACATAGTATTTCACAGCACAAAATTTACATGCTCAAAAAATATGACTGGTAGTGACAGATATATGTGCCGTAAGTATATACATTAATTATGTTCACAATATTAATCTAAAAAAATTTATTAAACAATCAATCCTCAGTCTAATAAAAGCATATTAATTCAAAGACAAAAACCAATGACGGGTATAATGCTACAGAAACCATTTAAAACATGAAAATACAAAGTGCTTACTAAGCAAATATGATGAACTATTATACAACTATCATCATCAACATCATCGACTTCATTATCATATCATAAAGAGTAATAGCTTCAAACAATGGCATTTTAACATAGTTCACAATGTTATTCATGGATAAAAATTAGTGATTTGTATACAAGAGACTTGGCAGCTCGGTCAGGTCAACGAAAACAAAGACTATGAGATATCATTTCAAAGATGCACAAAAAATAATACGAAGACTATCAATGTTTTAAAAATAGAGCAATGTAGTAGGACACATTTATAACGTACACATATTTGGCAATTTGTTATCAATCTAATTATAAAACCTGAAGCATTTTACATAAGTATGAATAAATTTATCTGTTAAACATTATTATTACAAAAATGACTCATCATAAAAATTTTAACAGTGACTTAACCATAAACCTAGTACATTATTGTCAATATTTATGTTTCCAAACAATATAACATTCACATATCTTTATATCTAAACATAACTATCAATTTGCATACATACAAGTATGATTTTCAGTTCAAAATACAATGTATTAAATAATCATAATGTAGTTCTGTGAGCGCCTGAGCATGAATTCTTTTATAACAACAATGTATCTTATGACATGAGAAAAAATTCATCAAGTGTGATATTTCAATAATAAGTTTAGCACAAATTTATTTATCAATCATACTGTCCACTAAATATTTTGTTTCTTATCTATCTTATTTAACATGTTACATACAGTCAAAAAATATTTTGATTTTACGTCACATTATCATAAAAGGTAAACTAGTAGCAATGAACATATTTCATGAACATAAGAGAAAATTATAATAACGCGAGTTTGGAATGTGTAGTTCACTAAAAGAAATTAGTTACTTCATCTACGAGATATTGCGATGCTAGATTCATGTGTTACCAATAAAAACAAGGAAAACCGACTGAAGAGAATTCGATGAACGAGGAAGTGATTGTTTATGATGATACGATAATTATATAAGCCCGATACAAACAGTGATATTACAAGAATAACGATACAAAGATGACTGTCTATTATATCTAGATATTAAACACAAAACTATTAAATGGAGATTAAAATAAGAAAATAAAGGAAAACAGCACATCATTATGTTATAGGTGTCAGAAGCCATAATGTAGTTTTTAAATCTTCTGTCATCAATTCCTATTCAGTCTGAAGTGAGTGATATAATATCTTGTCCCTTTTTCCAATAATTATCCACCAGTTGGCCTACACAAAAAATAGAAAAGGAAAACACAAAAACATAACAATATGGTCTCCAAATCATATCCGCTTCATGATAATTCATCTACCATCTTGAGGTCAAATTGCAAATAACCAACATCTAAAATGAGAATTTGACCCCAAGATGCCAAATCATTCAAGCATACAGAAATATTCATGGTCAGTCTTAATAAAATAAATGTATATGCTTTCAATTTCCATGAACTTTGTCAAAACATGATTTTCAATAATTTCATATTTTTTATTCAATGATCATTTTTTTTTCATTTTTCAATATCTAAAATGATATATATATATTAAGTAATCTCCTGCATACTACCTGCACATTGTCTATTGAAGCTTAAATGTTGTATACCCTAAAAAACACCTCACGATAGCAAGCTCCAGCAGATTGCATGTAATGAAGGATTTTTTTCACTGAAAGCCTGTGTACACTGTACTCTGAAAGACTAACAATTTTGTAGGAAGGTAAACTTTCAGCACATATTGAATCGATAGCTATGAATATTTTGAATATTTGTTCTTTGAATTTGATTGCTATGAACATTTTGAATATTTGCTCTTTTTTCATTTTCAAAAAATTGTGAACTTGTCCTTGAAATTCAATCATACCATAATCATAACGACAAGCAGGATATATACAGAAAATAACAGTATATACATATTATTTTGATTTTGACCTCAAGATGAGATAATTATCATTAAAACTACAAGCTTGGTAATTTGCTGGATTCCATTTCGCCTTTGTCATACATCAGCTTCATGAAACACCTATAAAAATACCATATTTATGGGATGTTTTGTTTCTCATCCATTCTGACATGTGCAAGATATATTGTAAAATTCAATGAAATAATATTTGAATTGTCTTAAAATCCAAATGTTAATTCATGAGAAGTTGCTCAGTTTTATCTTGGCAAGACATTCATAATATCCAACATGTCAAAATGTTTCAGAGGATTTACAGTCTTCAGATATAAATTTTGACATCTCTTTGTTGATAACTACCTTAGAAATAAAAATATAGATCATATTAGTGTTTGATGTGCTGCAGCTTGGAGAGGAATCAGGCACTTTCAGTATGCTGAAAGAAATAAAAATGAGTTACATACCTGTAGTAATGTAAAAGGAAACCTGGCCGTTATATCTAAAAGCAATGAAAAGTTGATTAGTGCCACTGTGCTTATGTAAAGCTTACCCGAGGCTGATAATGTGCCTGCTACTGCTGTTGTACAGGACTCGGTCCAGTCTGCTGGGCCCCACCTGGTTGTTGCTGGGCCTGTTGTAAGATGAGGTTAGCCTGGTAGTGCATGCCTTGTTGTCTGTAGTACTCTGCCCATGCCTGACTATAATCAGCCTGACCAGTCTGTGGGTTGATTGCTGCAAGCACACAACATGTCAAATTATACATCATAGTTAATATAAATTTCAAACACAATGTACATATTAATCTATCTAGTAAGCAAGCCAGGTTCCTTTGTAAAGATCTGTACAGTACACAGAGCTATGTCAGATAATAACAAATCGACACAGTATTTCAGTACAGGTCTGTGAAATTATCATCATTCAATCTTACAATGATCTTTTACAAAGTTGTTCCCTCAGGTGTATCAAGTTATTTTGGAGGTAGAGCTAACATGGGCCAACAGAGACTTGCCGTATCTTGAAAATGTTACCACTGATTCTTGATAGTTCATAGTGATAAAGATCTAACTACAATGACGGCCACAAATAAAGAGCAGTTTAACTTTCAGTTAGCATATATATTATACACACGACATACTTTTGTTTAACCAGACTGAAATTTTTTTTCCCCATTAACGCTTATTTCAACCCAGTTATGGGCAATATATATATCGATGTCTATTTGTTAAAGATCATTCAAATGTCTATGTCTATGAATAGGCCATGATCTAGGTTTTATCTGTTAAGGCATTATGACCTTGGCCTTTAACTAAAGGGATGCAAGCAGCACGTGAGTGTCACATTACAAAGAAATGTTTCATTCTTTTATCTGTATCCACTAGACTCATTACTTTGGAAACAATTGTCAGATAAAACAAATCTTCACATAATTCAGTACAGGTCTGTGAAATTATCATCACACAATCTGTTCCCATAGTTACTATTCGTACCATCAAGACTGTCAACTCTACTGAAGAACAAGGAAATGGCACTGGTATAAATAAAATCAATACTTGTTAGTTACAGTGAGAAACTAAGTGAAGGTTCTCCGATAGCAATATGTATATATATATATAAATCCAAAATATTAAAGTTCTTCATATTGCAGTCTCCTTCTTGGGGCCTCTTACTTACTCTACAAAAGTTGTATGTATATTTTTGTTCCATTTGAACTCAAAACTTTGAAGTGTAATTTCCTTCATCTCAGCATACTGGTGAATTATTGGTGAATAAATAACCCCAACAGTGTTTTAAAATGAGTTACTTACATGGGTTTGCTGTGCCAGCAGTGTAGCCCTGCTGTGGAGTTGTCTGCCCCTGCTGTTGCTGCTGCTGTTGTGGCTGCTGTTGTTGCTGGGGTGCATGTTGTTGTGACTGCTGACCTTGGACACCACCTTGACCATACTGGTTGGGAGCATACTGATTGTAATACTGGGCATAATAAGCTGCCCAAGCTGCAGCATTGTCTTGTGCCTGTTTATCTATGAGAAACAAAGAAGCCATTTTCAATTAAGCTCATTATGATACATCTAAATTTAGAGCTTTTGATCATAAAGTCACCTAATGAAAAGAAACTTACAACCCAAAACCAATGGAAGAAAAAACAAAAAAATTCAGTAATTAAATTATGATCAGATATCATAGGAATAGGTATCTTTTTCTCTTTAGCCATTACATCATTATTTTGAAGTTGCAAGTATCTCTTTGTGTTGCCCATCATCTTATAGATCACCTAGTAACAGTGCTTTTTTTTTTAATATTATAAAGCAATGGAAATTGATGTAAAATGTGAAAAAATAGATTTCATGCATGTGATCAATCGAACAAGGTAATCCAGGCAAATCATGCTGAAAGCACCTTTGTTTTACAAAGCGAAAGCTTTACAAAACTGTTACTTCTGTTGGAGACTTTCTTTACTTGAAACCAATTACTAAAAAACAATGCCAAGGGAGACAATGGAAAAAAGGGAGACAAAAATTTGAAGTCTATTAGTTGGGAAATTGTCTTCTGCATCACATATCTTGTGCACAATTTCATGGAATAAATGGGAAACAAAAAAGAGCAACATGTAAGTTCAATTTTAACCAAACCTGACTAACTTTTATAAGCCAAATTCACTCGTATATATATATATATATATAAATATAAAAAAAAAAAAAACCCTTAAAACCTTTTTTTTGTTCTTGTTTATCAGGAAATTCCGGAGACTGCATATCTATAATAATTGTAAAGAAAGTTTAGAGAAGTAGCTCTCATAATCCCAAATTACAAAGTATATAGGATTAACATAGGATTAACAAGTTCTGGTTACTTAAAAAGCATTTGCTGGAAAATTGAAATTCTATTATTGTGTCCACACATCAAGTTGTGCATAAAGATATGTGATAGAGGAACATATGAGGAAATAAAGACTCCCTGAAAAACAGGAGCATATTCTAATATCATAAAACTGGAAATTTGAAGATTTGAATAAATAAAGCAAATCATAAGAGAAGACTTTATATACTGTGAACATATATCTCTTTTGTTACCATCAGTGTGTGTATGCATGTGTGTAATACTTACTCTGATCTGGCTGCTGTTGATAGCCCTGTTGGTAGTTGTTTCCACCCCATCCACCACCACCTCCACCTTGTGGTCCTTGAGGAGCCCCAAACTGACCACCTGGTGGCTGTTGCCTACAATAGACCAAATTTGCATTTAAACTTTTAAAGGATTTACATAAATCTACGGAAATCAAAGTACTTTACAGTTATAGGATTGACAACTTTTTAAAATGAAAACATTTCTGTTGGGAAAGGTAGTACTCATACAAACAAAAGTTTACATGGCAAAAAAGTTACGAGCATCTTTCAAATAACTTCTCAGGGATGCTGATAGTCAAGTTTTCAAAGTTCAGATTTTGATAACATTAAAGGGACTAAATGGTTAGATTTTCATTTCATAACCGGTAAAACATGTTATAACATTTAAAAGTATGTTGAAAGTTATGCACTTTCTGTTAATTATGAAATTCAAAAGTTTGCAAAACCATTTTTTTTTTAAAAACATAAAAAAAAAAAAAAAAAAATAGGAACGACCCAATGCTAATTCATATCATTATTGTTTGGAAAGTGTAAACAATGTCTTTGCGCATGCGCGATGCGGGAAAATTCAGAAATCTTAACAAAGATGGCGGACTCCAGACCGAAACGTAGGGGTCCTAAGACTCGCTTAACTGAAGGCACAAGGAAAGAAAGGAAAAGAATGCGTTAATTAACTTTGCTAGGACGAGAATTTACTTGGGGGACATGACAGACAGATGGCACCAGCTGAAAGAAAGCGAGGGGAGCAAATCAGATGCACAGTTTGCCAAGGTGCTACTCGACAGGTTACTTCAGACAGTCAATTCACTTTGAAGTTTCATAAATTACGTCACGTGATGTACTCGGCTTTTCACGATCAAAACATCGAATGGCGGCAGACACAACATTGAAAGTTGTCTAAGGATAGATTGAAGCTGGTGATCTTTGCCAGCTTTTCATTAAAAGTGCTATAATTTTGTAAATAGTCTAATTTCAACTCTTGCCCGAAATGCACAGAGAAAAAAACCCCAAATCTTACCATTTAGTCCCTTTAAGCATTTTTGCATAAATTAACATATACAACAAGAAAAAGCAATTCATCAAAAATTCTTTTGTGCAAAAACGGATAATTTCTTCTTTTCAAGCCTGATGTAACAAACTTATCTGCTTTCACCACTAAAGAGTTAGGTAAAACAAGTGAATGGAATGAAGCTGGATTCTCTTTCCATTTGATTGCACCAAATTCAACTGTAAGTAAACAGTTGTCATTAAGCTTTAAGCCATAGAGATGCATATTTCTGACAGAAAAAGAATCAAATAGTGCTGAGGTAGTGGCAGTAAAACAGGCCAATCAGCAGCCCTCATGTTATTGGAGTAGACATGTTACAAATGTAAGCTTCTGTGATTTACATCTACTTGCAACTAAAACAAGGCATTGGGAATGATACAAATCCCCTTGCTCCCATTTATAATGAAGTTATATATTGCTTCTAAGATTTTCTTTATATAGTAATGGAGACCTCAACATTGACACTGGCATGCTGAAACACATACTCGCTCAAGGCATTATGATACTTGACCAATATGTGAAATTTCAGTAAAATAGACCGAGAAATTAAGTTGCTAGAGTGATGATAAAAGAGAATATACATTCATATGAACAAAACGCTATATTCCTTCTGTGGTCACAGTGAGGGATATTGAAGGACCTAAAGTATTCAGTAGCTAATTAAGACTTACCCCTGCTGCCCTCCAAAGCCATCCCCAAATCCTCCAGGACCACCTCCCATAGGACCTCCTGGACCACCCTGGGGCCCTGGACCCCCAGGTCCTCCTGGCCCGGGACCACCAGATGGTGGCGGCTGTGGAAAAGACCATCATTCATATATACAACTAGCATTTAGTACATTCCTTCCAGCTTTTGTTACAATTTTCTATCTAAAAATCAAAAGTTCTTTCAGAACAAAATAATCTTACATTGTAAGTCTGTTCATTACTTTCTTTGCAGTAAGATCAACAACCAAACCTCATTCAACTAAGGTAACAATTTCTATTAGTGTCAGAGAATAGTGTTCCACAGACGGACACATAAAATTAAGTTGCATATCATCCTATACTTACCAAACCTGCTTTTTCACATATAAGTTGAATGGCATGTTGTATCTGTCCTTTATCCCCTGCTCGAATAGAGAAGAGCTTTTCATTGGGATTGGGCCCAGGTGATCTTTGCAACTCTACTCGAGCTCCTGACATCTGGTTGATCTGACGAATGGTCTCACCACCTGTTATAACAAAGAAGATTATTAAACAAAGCATTAGTATTTTGGTAAAAGCATATTTCCTTCCACACTTTTATTGTCTAGTAAATCTTGACCCAGAGAATTTTTGTTAAAGAAACAATACATAAAATTACATCTGCACAAGAGAAAAATATTTCAATTGAGCTGTAATGAATTTTTCAGAAAAGAACAAATATCTGCCAGCCAGATCCATGTCTAAAAGCAAATCAGAAGTGGCTACATAAAGCTAGATTCTGACCAGTTAAGGGAACAAATTATCACACTTAAACCTACCTCTTATCTCTTAAGAGTGACATTCAACCTTAAGACCTGCAAGCCTGAAGAAACTTACTCATGACACAGAAACCTCTTTTAGGCAACAACAAAGTGACCTGTAAATGTTACCTTTTAGGCCACATAAAAATCTGACCAAAAAATAATGTAGCCCAAAAACCAACATGCATTAACATTTAGTTACACAAATAAGCTTGCTCACCTTTGCCAATGACTAGCCCACACTTGTCTGCTGGTACAGGGTAGGTTGTCTCATCTCCTCCTCCAAAACCACCACCCCGTCCCATGCCTCGTCCTCCAGGACCACCGGGACCTCCAAACTGGCCACCTCCCCTTCCTCCTCCACGACCAAAACCTCGGCCTCGTCCCATACCATCTTGATTATCCCTCTACATAAACAAGACAATTGAAACAAGGTTAGTTCCAACACACTTGTCCACAAAAAATAATGCCAGGGGACAATAAAAATTCAGGGCAGTTTATGATATTACTTAGATTTCAACAAGTCTAAGAATGTGTCTTAATGGTAGATCTTTATATTTAATAGATCTTTCTGTGTTGTATTTATCAGTTTCCAAGAAAAGTCAGGCTATTTTCACAGCAAAGTACAAGAGCAAATGATGGTGTGGTGTGATGGTGTGCAACAGTGTGGAGAATTTGGGAATATTTTGTTCACCATGCATTACAGAAAAGGCCTTTTTCCTTCCAGGATATGACCCACAATTTTCTACACCAACTGTCCATTTCAAAAACAATTTAAAAATCATATTTTTGAAAGACTTTTGTTGAAAGGTCTACTATCAAACCCCACTCACTGAATGTAAAAAACATCCTTGTGGTGTTAGCGAATTCCTTTCCATTCAATATTGCACAAGCACTACACCCAAATTACACAAGTAATTTGGGCTTATTAACTGTGCCAATTTTCTCCACTTTTTGAAAATATTCTTTTACTGGTTTCTTATATCATCTTCAGGGCTTCTAAAAAGACTTGAAACCATGTCTCATCTCATAAACCTTAATTAAATCTTGCCAAATCACATGCGTAATGATCTCTTCTTGAATCCTTTTATTGTAAAGTCTTCTCGATTAAAGCTATCTTATCCCTTTTTAAAAAAAAAATCTTTCTTTGCTGTTTTAGAGATTGAATGACTTCCGGTGATACTTAAAGAAATGCAAGGAAATTATGTTACATCACTAACTTTTAAAAAGTAAATTAGCACACTACATTAAAGACTTGATACATTACACCAGGCCTCACTTTTTCTGCCATTACCAAAAGGGCACCCTAAGATGCATGCACACTAAACACAACAAATAAGGGATGAACAATGGATATTTTGTTCACAATAATGAATGATGCATATTCATTCAATCATCTAGTATATGACTGGAGTGCTTTGAAAACTAATAAGAATATCAAAGTTAGTCTAATACCTGTAGAAGTCTTATCAAGTAACTTTGTAGCAAGGTCTACTATCAAACCCCACTCATTGAATGTTTTCACATCCTAGTGGTGTTAGCGAATACCTTACATTTATGTTGCACAAGCTGACACCCCTGACACAAGAATGTATTCAAGGGCTCTAATTAAGTGCATTTAAGTTATCAGTATTTTTTATATTTTCAATACTCACATTACTGGCTTCCTGAAGTAAATTCTCAATAAACTGAGCTGCTTGTTCAATTTCTGATGATGACCCACGGATGGAGCACATTCTCTCTGGTCGAGAATCATCTAGATCAAAAATTCGAAAGCAAAACAACATTGTGAAACCTGTTATGACTGTTAATCCGGTCTTTATCAACTGGTACAACAAGGTAAAATAATAGACAGTATCATTCCTGCTAAAACATCAAATTTTCAGCCCCACCTTATTATAACGTAGTTTTCTTTAAGGTTTACAACTATGAGTAAATTGCATCGTAACTCAGTTGAATCACTTTGGTAGCAGAAATTAATCTCAAATTTGACATAAAATCAAGGTCAAACTCTATCCACAATCATTTTTCTGTTACTAAACCTCCTACAAAAGGATTCATTCATTCATTGAGCTTGGCAATAATCCCTAAATTATTCTGAGTTTTCTAGATAGGAAAAGTTACAATTTTCTCAGCCGACTTTGAACTAGGTTGCAAAAGCATGGAATGTGTGTTAAGTTCCACATAGATCTGCAAGCAGCATTTCTTAAGCCCCTTTTGTTGATTCATTCTGTCATTTAAGTTTTTATCTGCAGCATTAAAAGTTTCCTAGATAAACAAAATGTGGAATTTTTTTTTGATCAAAAGAACAGACTATGGACAAATATGTAGATCAAAGATTATATAGTATTAATATTACTAATTGACACTTATTAGGAAAAATACATCAATTATCGCATCTCCCCCCTGATGTGTCAACTTTTAGGGTCCAAACTATAAATCAAGTCACCTGGTTTGAACTGCACTTTCGCATTAGTTTCTCTCTGAATTCTCTTGATCATATCACCACTTTTTCCGATAACAATTCCAACAAGATTACGAGGTACTGGGATCTGTAAAAGGAAAATTCAAAGAACTAATCAGATATCTATTCACAAACAAATTTTGTCAAGATATTTTTCCTATCTTTACCAAATTAAAGGATTTAACTGCAGTAGCTCTTCTCTACACTGACAGATTTGTGGAAGCTCAATTAGAATCTTGCAACTTTGTCATACATAAAGTTAAGGTGCGAGAATGTCAGGAGGGAGAAAAATAAAGGGGAAAAAAAAAAAAAAAAAATTCCACAAAGTTGGTGCTGAAACTGATCGTGTAGAAAACTTTGTCCTTCCAAAATCACTTAAAAAAACTAATCTGCACATTCAACTTGTAATGATTTTTTCTTCCAAAAATACTTGCCTCAAATGACTGCTGCCCACCCATGCTGTTTCCAAAAGAGTTGTTCTTAAAACCACCAGGCTGAAGGTAAAACATACATAGCGACCAATTAAAAACTGTTTTTGAATATTGTATTACATTAAGTCAATGCATAACAGCTTCCACACATATTGTTCATGTGGAAGAAAACCCGAGAGAAGCAAGATGCGAGTCCATGCCATTCCTCCACTTACTCCCCTCCTCCCCCCCACCCCCAAAAAAAATATTAAAAACACTTGCTTTCACAGCTTTAACAGTTCACCTGAATGTAGCACTGATTCAGGTCAAGGTTTACAAAAATAACAGGCTACACATAAACTGTGTATGTTCATTTCATAAATATTCCTCGTGTACTATATTTTTCAACACCCAACTATTCATAGTTAATAGCTCTAAAGCCCTAAAGATAAGTTTCCTTCAGTAAACTTCAATTAATGAAATATCCGACTGTTTTCTTTTACAAGCAAGTAAATATTCAAATTTGTAATCAGGTTTTTGAAAACTGATTCTTATCCTCAACAGATGTTATGATGTTCCTAGAGATAAATTGAGGACACAATTTTTTCTCCTGTATTTGTTCTCTGGTATTTACAATTTCTTTTCATGCTGCATTTCATAGTGCATTTTTTTAGCCAGAAGATTGAAAAAGGATATGTAAACAAACAAAATTCGACAATGTAAAACAAATTTTGCTTACCGAATCACCCCACATGCCTCCATTATTCTGAAAAAATGGAGGTTAATCATAGCACTTCATATCTTATTATACCAAAGCTATGTTTTGTAAAGTGCCATTAAATACTGGATTCCTGAAGGAAACTACCTTTCTAAATAATGTAACAAGTCCACCACCCCCCTCTCACAAATGCAAGTAAGGAATTAATCACATACATTTGTCATATTTAAGTAAAATTTTTTCATCCCTATCCAATTAAGTCCCAAACGGACTTCAATGCCCCTGCTCTAATAATTGATAATGGTTTGACACTGAAACAAATTTATTTGAGGCATCATCATAAAATCGATCAAAATCCAGTTGCAAGATTGATGTCACTGAATTGAATGAATTTTCTAGCTATGATATTTACGTTGGAACCCCAAAACATGGAAATCATTTGAACCCTTCTCATGGATAGTCATTGCAAAAAGTTGGGCCATAATTATACACGAAATAGTCAACAGAATATCGATACTGATTCAGGACAGACTGGACATATATGCAAGACAATATACCTAACCACGTATTAGGAATGAAGCTGCCAATTACAAACATTCTTTTCAAACCCGAGTTCCCTCGAGAAAAGCTGCCAGACACTCTGATCATTTACAAAATTCAAATTCAATACAATACAAAACACATACTACGTTGTCATTTCAACAAATTTTCACATTCCATCATTCGTTTTAAAATCATTAACCTTACTATTTTTTTTATCAGAGTTTGACTGTACAATACCATATATCAACATTATCTTTTAGCACTGGCCCAGTCAGGCATGTGTTCTCTCTAATGTACATACCCAGATTGATATTTTGACTTGCCCAAAGATATTGTGTGAATTAAGGGAAACATTTTATTTAGTCTAGAAAAAGACCAGTTTGAGTTTTGGTGTGTCTCTACATAATCAATATCTTGTTAGATCTAGACTTCATTAAATGACAACCACATAATTGTTCTACTACATGTACTCATATTGCTGTTTTTGAGCTATTCATCAGAGGTTTTTCCATTATCTAAACTGGAAAAACGGATTTCTCTGTGTCAAGATTGCTATCACACTTTAAAACAATTTTATTTAAATGCTTGACATATGAAAGATTTATGACAACACTTGCTTGACCATGATTACACAGACAAAGAGCATACTGTATGCTGCACAAATGACTTTGGTTAATCATGGCATGGACTACACATAAAATTTAACAATCACTAACAACTATCAATTTTCAATCCACCTGGTTGGGTAAGCCACAAACACAACAGACCTGACCAACATGAGGTATGACCTCCTCTAGGCAGTCAGGCAATGGTTAATGTAAAGCCCTCATTTGTATGAAAACTTATCAGGATATGATACATTAAACATAATACATCTGCTTCCCAAAAGTTTCAGGAAAAATTAGATAGGTTGATTAGAAAGTCTTAGCTTTCAAAACTTTAACTAAGGATATATAGAGAAGATATCCTGACTTATAATAGTCCTTTATAGTTTTAAGGTCCAATTTATTTTAATAACTGTACCTCCATATCTTTTTCCGTTAAAAGTTCCATAACCATCTCTCTGGCTCTCTGAAAATAAAAGCATTATGTTTGCATAATCAATCAATGGCTTGACCATGTCTATGGTTCTGTACAATATCAATATTAAATTACTCGTTATTTCATCAAAACTGAAATTGGCCATTGTAATCTTTCTTCTGACAAGATGTACTTTGAATCTTCTTAGAAATTAGTAGAAAGTGGTAATCTTTCAACATCAAAGCTGCCTAAAAAATAATCGCACATTGCTACAATGACATTTCTTTACTTACATTACACTTATTGGGTTCCCCAGAAATTCGTAGGGGTTTTTCCATAGATGAAGGTATGTTGCTGTCCTGGATCATGACCATTTTGACACAAGCCCGTTCCTGCATTTGCTTGATATTCTCACCTCCCTTGCCAATAATGAGACCTACTTTATCTCCAGGAATCATCATCTCTACCACAGTGTTTCCCTCATTGTGTCCCATTGGGTCTCCAGGGTTGGTCTGACCTTTCATAATGATGTCCTGCATCTGTTGTTTACATGACCTATGATAGGACATAAATTTGCACAGAATTGTGATATAAACAGAGACAACATCAGAAAATGTTTTGTCTTGTTTAACTTTTAATAATAGGTAACAAAGATACATATTTTCTTATAAACTGTTGCTGCTTACAGCTTTCAATGGTGATGTCACTGATGAATATTTCTGATTTCCAACTTCTATTGTAGCAAAATCATTAGCAAAATAATGCTGCAATCCCTTAATAAATCAGAAGAGAGCCTTACGCAATAGATCCAGGAGTTCCTGTCAGAGTACAAGGTCTATCAGGGGAACCACCACTATCTGGAGCAATCTGAATCTTACATCCAGTTTCTGCCTGCAACCTTGTGATCTGTTCACCACCTTTACCAATGACTGAAGCAAAAATTTATATAAAATGCAACAATTCAAGTGGACACCTTAGTAAAACATATCAGAAATTAAATGGACTTGCTGATAATAGACCCCCGTCCCCATATTATGTCAGTCATCTATATTCTCAATACTTGCAGTTCATCTCATCCAATAACATATGAACTAAAAAAACGACAGTTGAAATTGTTTTCACAAGATAATTAGTTTTAACTGACAGCAATGATAAAGACAAATGACATGTATTTGTTGTGAAATGCAATTATCAGAAGAACTTCCTATCCCGATCTTCATATTATTCTAGCACTATCTGGCAGCTTTTTCATTTTATGGCTAATGGTCATCATGCTTCATACAAGACACCATATTGTTTATTACAAGTTCTTAAAAGCTTGCGCAGTCATGTCCTATTAAGCTTTTGTAGTAAAAGAAAATCCCATCATGTGGCAGGGCTCCAATTAATCACTCTCAACTGCCATATTATGGAAAAGGTTTGCTTAAACAGATATAATTGCTAACAAGCTTGAGCAATAAACTAAAGTAATTATCATTATACAGGGCTTTCACACCCCATTTTGGGACTGGGGCCCGGGGCCCTTTGAATTGGGAAAAATAATGGTGTTTTCCTTAGAATTGGGGAAAACTTGGGGTCTAAAGTGGGAAAAAAAGATACTTTTTTGCATTGGAAATCGGCCCCAAATCTGGCAGATCGAGAGCCCTGTTATAACATTCATGTAACTTTTTAATCCATGTGACCTTGTACAGGTTAAGATGAGAGACAAATAATAATAAATGTTGTCCCCAAGGACCTCATGCAAATGTGAAAAAAAAGGCTATTTATTAATAGACATTAATACTCACTGAGGCCAACCATGCGGTCTGGTACGGCAAAGTCCTCTGTGATAACCATTGCTGAACCGTTGTGTGGTATACTTGGGTTAGATAGACCTGAGGGTAAACCTGCCTGTGGGGGAGGTTGGGATGCAGGCCCGATTCCTAACTGTTGATTAATTCTGGCGGCTGCTTCTTGTGCAGCTAATGCTGCAGGACTGAATTGGGGAGAAGAAAAGGATTATAACAAGGACAAAGACAGCAATAGAATTTGACAGTTACAGAAGCACAGCACTCTATATTTAATTTCAATGTGAAATTATTGAAACTTTTAGAGAAAAAAAATTTTTTTGGTTACAAATCAAATTGGTACTCTATCATATATTCAATATAAATGAGAATGGAATGATGATAAAAATAACAAATCAGAGAAGTTGAAATTAATTTCCTTGTCTTACTATTCCTAGATTATATCTTACTTTTTAAAAATATATCTTTTAAAGTACCCAACTTACTTTTGTTGATTTGCTAGGGCTTTCAACTGAGCACCAATAGCTGAAAAGCAAAAAAACACCATGAACCAAATAACAAGAAAAAAAATCCCCACCACTCCCATAACCAATCTTTGATTTAATCTCCCTTTGAAACATGCAATGACACACACACAAGCTGTCTATGAAGCACAGAAAGCAGATTTCTCCCATTTCAAATATTCAAAGATTTAGAAAGGTTTCTTAAAAACACCCTAGTGGATGATAAATATTTTTCAACCAACATTTTCTTTAAAAATATTTCTTTTCCCAAATATACTGTTGGCTGTTAACATCTGAAACAATGCCAATATCTTAAATCAATTCCACACACTATCTTCTTTACTATACACTATTTAATCATCTCTACATTATCTTCTTTACTACACGCAATTTAAATATGTGCATGATGATGAAAACATTTGTGTCCGCATCAGTGCTTAAGGCCACATGGATGAAATATATATGTGTCAGCACCAGTGCTAAAGGCTACAGAATTAACAAGTAAGCTATATTAGCTAATCAAAACTAATTTCCTAATTCTGTGATAATCAATAACAACCATTCAGTTCAGTTTGCTAGGTAAAAGCAGTTTATAAGACAAAGACAGACACAGGAATTTCATCTAGAGGAAAAACATGCACAGTAAGTTCACCAACATTTCTGAATAGAACTGTGTAATTTGCTTTATGTAATTTATATCATGATCACTAACACCTTCCACATAGGATCATGTTGGCTAAATGATCTATATTAGTATCAGAGATTTTGAAGTTAACAATATAATTTAGAATGTTTCTACAAATTGTTTTTAAGACATTTTCAGAAATATGCTGTTGAAATAGGAATTCTATTTTGAATCTTTAAACTGATGTTTCTCCTTTACTTTAATTGCTATATTGAATGTACATCATGTTAATGTTTTCATCTACTTGTAACACAAGTAATAATATCAATAAGTGGACTGATGAAAGATTTACACACATAATTTCACACAGCAGGATCAAAATGAGATAGTAAAACCCACATACCATTCATTGAACAATTATTGTCAAGATGTGAAAATACAGAAAAGAATTAAACTATCACCTATGGGTTCTTGCTTTGCAAAACTGTTCAATTTCCTGGATCCACAATGAAGTTTGTGACTTTGTATATATACATGAGATCATATGACAATAGATCCAAAGTTTTGGTATGTGAGGTTCAATATTACATTTTAATCGGAATGCATTTTACAAAGGTTAAGATGACAACTACTGGCAGGTTAATGTATCAATAACTGTGTGTTAGTTAATAACATAAAATCTCATTCAAACTATTGAAATCTGTAAGGTGTTCCATTGAAAACATGCACATTTTTTATCAAGCATCAGGCATCAGAATGAACATATTCACAACATCATCAATCAATTCAAAAATGTTTCAATGTCAAATCAAATAATTATACAATTCAAATTTCATTGTCATCAAAAGTTAATGATACAACATCAAAAACAACAATTTCAGTTTAATGTAATTTTTAAGTCATCAATATAAAAAAATCATCAGAGTACATGAAAATTATAAAATTGCATAGCTCTTTAATCACTGCTAGAGAAGGAAAATGCATAAACAGAATAGAACACATGTTGTAAAGCATGAAAATTGCATTGATGAGGATTGAACTCCTGAAAATGTTCACATTAGAAAACGTTCACCCATAACCTGTGTGTATCCATTGTCTCTCTTCAATTATTCAAACAGATATTGATCATGGAAAAAAACTTGTAAAAAAGAGGAAAATATTTGTTAAGAACAGTGACTCGTTAATACAAACTAAATTTCAACTAGCATGCAAAAAGGAAAAATCTATCCCTACAAAAAATTGTAGATGAAAAATGGTGAATAGTACAGATACAAAGCTTAATCTAGTATAGAGAAATGGTTTCCTTGCTCAGAAATGGAACTTAAAAATATGAAAAATCAGATAGTTTAGAGCATTTTGGCACTAAAGAAAAGTTGTATTTTCTAAGAAATATAGATTTGCATTTTAAAACAAAGCTCTTTTAGTTGTTTAATGTAGGACTTTAATTTGAAAATGATCAATGAATATGAAGAAAGACAATAGATTCAAAGCAAAACAAACATGAAATGTAATAATTACACATCACATGTATAATAGTACACTTTTAGCCTAGGCATGTAACTTTAACAAAACGTTAATTGAAAGTCTGGCCAATCAAGAGGGTGCTCTGAAGTGTATGTGGGGTTCGTATCGTACAAGGTTTTAGAACACATACGGTCGTTAATAGCAGCTACACTCTTCTTTTGATCTGGTTCACCTGTGAAAAGAAACAAAGCACATGTTGTATGTATCCCCCTCGAGGAAGGAAGGTAGGGTGAAGCCTTTACGTAGATGACTTGGTACAGTTTGGCTGTTGTGACCAGAAAGGTGACCACTGTGTTTTTTTTAGCACTTAGAGGTACACTGTCCTTAAATCTGTATGTAGATAGGGCATCTGAGATGCCAGATTTGTGTACCAATGAGCAGCACAAAGTTCTGTTACACCAACATGACAACCAAAATTAACAAACCCTTTCTAATTGATGACTTTTAGTCAAATTTTTTTTTTTAACTTTTTGGTGAAACAAGGTTTGTGCTACATTATATTGGAACTATTTGCAACAGTATACCTCTAGTTATGAAATATCCAAACTGTATCAAAGCTAGGGAGTGGGAGACTCTGACTGATGTCTTAATGTATCTTTTATTTTGGAATAGTTTTGCATGTCCCTCGATATTTATGACTCTTCTTTACAAAGTTTGAATTTTCTTTACTTTACACAATTTTGTTGCTTTTTGCCTTGTATATTTTTCTTTCAGACAATGTACCTTTAGGTGACAAAATTGTTGCTGAAAATGTAAGTCCAAAACCATATCATGAGGCAACTTAAAAAAGCACACACAAGCATGATACAACAATCTTAAAAGGATATTGGGGACAAGAGTATATATCCAATCATAGTCATTTCCTCAGTAACATTATATTCATACCGTATGCCTGTCCTTCTGAATCAAATGGCCTTTTCAATGTAGGGGGCACTGAAGCATCCCCACCTCCCGCTGCGGGTTGGTTGATCTTAGCAGCTATCTGTTAATTAAAACAAAGAAAACTGTCATATCAACATTTAGTTAATTTGTGATCAGTCCCATTTTCTGGAAGAGAACAGTATCTACTAAGTAATGGTCAATTATATCACTTGACTAATTTATTCATTCACTCGAGTAAAACTGATTAGGATTGAATTCAATATACAAGCCAACGGTTCATAGAGTACAGATGTTGGCATGTGGATGGTAGCTCTGGAACAGTTGGCAAAAATGCAACCTGAATAACCAACTTGGAACAACCAAACTGTAACCCAATAATCAGCCTTTGAACATGAATGAAATGGCTGCTACCCTCTTGTGTAATTTAACAGATTTCATAAAGCACTGCTTGAAAAGTTTAGTCTTGAATTTGCTAGACATGCTTTAGTTTGCGGTAGTGTACACTCTAAATATGTAACAAAATTATACATTTTATTGATATTTACGCCTTTGCTTGAATATTACACACAGATTCAGTTTAAGCTTTCGGTCTTTTTAGATGTAAAATTTCGAATTTCTTCAAAAAACCAGTCGTAATATACAAAGCCGTCTCGCAACGGCCCGACTGCCACGAGTTTCGGAGTTCGTTCCCAACCTGCTGAAAGGTACCATTTATCTTTTGTACAATCCCTGCTCAAAGCTGATAGAAGACCTCGTTTAATGTTATTGTGGATTCAGACATCTACGCCGTAAAAATATCATGGCAGACGGGAGTATAAAAAAGAAAAATAAACTGAATTTTTAAAAATTAAAATGTGGGTTGCGATTTGTCCTTTTTCTTCTCCTTCATCGTTGATGACTCTAGAGAGGGTGCACAAAGCGATATTCCTTTAGAGCTTAGTATCAAGAAAAAATTGTAAAGGTATTTACAGAGTGTTCGATGACTTCCTTGCTCAATTTACTTCCGCGTGACAAATAACGAGGAAAACGCCATGGCGCGTGGTGCTTGTTCCTTAAATCACAAAGACGACTTCCTGTCCTAGTTGCTTTGTTTTTCGCTAATTAACGGCGTAGAAAGTTAAAGGTTACAATTTTCAAACATAACGACATCATAAATAGAAGCCAACTGTCTTGCATTGAAATAAGTTCAAGAATGAATGGATGTAGGTCAAAATACACCCAACTCGGCTGAGGACGCGGGTTATGGCTTCTTTGAACATGCCGACGCAGACCACGCGGTCGAGCTCGGGCACGAAGAACTAATATCTCCGGTGCACAAATATATGGACAAAAACGTTGTAATATAGTCATCTTATTTTTTCTGTATGTGCACTGGCAATTGACGTATCATTTTACCTGTCTTGCACGGGCAACGGCGTCAGCAAAAGCGGTTTGAGCGTCCACAGATCCTTGACCTGCTGATTCCATCTCCCGCAAACGACAAAGATGGCGGCCGAGAAAGGTAAATTGACTCGTTGCAGTAAAAGAAATAGGTGCTTGTGATTGGTTGAAAATGATGACGCACTTGGGTAACACGTCTTTGGGGCTCCTTTAGGGATAACTCAAAGATCTTAGCATTCGTCTTAAGATCTATTAATAGCAGGGGTATTATTTGCATTTTCGTTAACTTTATTTGTGTTGGTAGACAAAAATTGATTGCAAAAACCTTTAGCCAAACCTTAAAAAACACAGCACAGATTGTATTGAGTAAAGGCGTTTTATGTTAGTCGGTGTAATTAAACAAGAAACAACAAAACAAGCGATGAGTGTCATGACCCTGAAATGCACATGTCATTCACGAGATTCAGCAGAGACCGTTAATGAGAGAAAAAATGTACACTATACAGATATGCTGAACAGCCCGTGTTGTTCTTAACAAGATAGGGATTCAGATTCTTTTATTTCGCTCTGTCACACGTATAGCGTGAAACAAGAGGTCATTTTATAAACGAAACTTGTACGTGATTATACATAGTTATATATGTATATTTAAATTACAAAAATGACGTTTCTCTTAATATTAAGTTCAACTTTTCTACAAGCGTTTAAAATTAAACGCTTATTGAAAATGGAAAAGAATCCCTTCATTTAATGAAACTTGAACATTTGCAAAAAATAATTTTGGAATGACTTTGTTTCTATATTGTAATATCATGCATTATTACAGTTATACAGACAATGGTTTCCGTTACCAATTTCATTAGCACAAAATGATGATGATTCCAATGATAGCTTATAACCATATGTTATCCAAAAGAACAAGTTTCTTGGAACTTCCATATAAAGCTCATACCTGAGCTATTAAAATATATTGCACATGATAAAACCATTGAAATTGTCCCATTCCCCCTTTCCGGTTCTTATATAGTAATCTATACATTTTACTACATAACTTGGTAACACTAATGTAGATAATCTTTTCAAATTAACTCTGATTATCGTCGGTAACCCACGGTCCTTACACACACAGAGTCGTGAGGTTACCGACGATAATTACGGTCAATTTGAAAAGCCTTGTGCATATATTTTATCTCGTTAAAAAGAGATTCAATTAATGGTAATGAACTCATTAAAACGAGTAACTTATATCGTTGAAACGTGTTCATCGTCGCAATAATAGCTTTAATTATACCAAAAAATAAACTATCGTGAGATTGGCGGGAATGGTATTACAAAACAGAAATCTCGGAGAGAGATTCCGTATAGTAGCGGTCACGGTAAATATCCTTGAAATTTATAAAAATCATGAACGACTAATATTACTACCACTCTGTTACTATATCGATATATGTTTTTTTTTTACTCAAACATAATTAAGATACTCAATACTTAATTTTGAATATGAATCAATAAACCTGATATGGTTACCAGTCCCTGACAATGGCCATCATCTGTACCAACAAATTTTCAGTTTGGTAAATTATTTAAAATCACCATCTGCCTTATATAGTTTTATTTAAGTCTTGAATTCCTTCCTGTTTCCTTCCCTATCTGCTTTCTTTTTCTCTTCCTCTCTCTAGCCATCTGCCTTCTTTCTCTCCTCTATCTAACCATTTTCTATCATAATCTGTCTCTTCTCTCCTTTTTTCTTATATGTATGTATGTATGTATGTATATATGTAAGGGCGTGTGTGTGTGAACTTCTTTGTGTACATACAATGAAAAAATGCAAAAAATAAAATAAATATAAAAAAAGTTGATTATTTATGCTGTACATTAGATATATGATGAACACTCACAATTTGACAAATCCGTAGATGATGATGATGATGATGATGATGATGATGCATGTTAGTGATGATGTGTATGATGATGCATGCTAATGATGATATATATGTGTATTAGGATGATGTGTATGATAATACATGTAAGTGATGATGTGTATGATAATACATGTTTAATGATGATGTGTATGATAATACATGTTTAATGATGATGTATATGATAACACATACATGTTTAATGATGATGTGTATGAGGATGATATGCATGATGATACATGTTAATGGTGATGTGTATGGTGATGATGTGTATAATAATACATGCATGTTTAATGATGATGTGTACGGTGATGATGTGTATAATAATACATGCATGTTTAATGATGATGTGTATGATAATACATGTTTAATGATGATGTGTATGATAATACATGTTTAATGATGATGTATATGATAACACATGCATGTTTAATGATGATGTGTATGAGGATGATATGCATGATGATACATGTTAATGGTGATGTGTATGGTGATGATGTGTATAATAATACATGCATGTTTAATGATGATGTGTACGGTGATGATGTGTATAATAATACATGCATGTTTAATGATGATGTGTATGATAATACATGTAAGTGATGATGTGTATGATAATACATGTTTAATGATGATGTATATGATAACACATGCATGTTTAATGATGATGTGTATGAGGATGATATGCATGATGATACATGTTAATGGTGATGTGTATGGTGATGATGTGTATAATAATACATGCATGTTTAATGATGATGTGTACGGTGATGATGTGTATAATAATACATGCATGTTTAATGATGATGTGTATGATAATACATGTTTAATGATGATGTGTATGAGGATGATGTGTATGATGATACATGTTAATGGTGATGTGTTGTATGATGATGATATGTATGATGATACACGTTAATTGTGATGTGTATGGTGATGATGTGTATGATAATACATGTTTAATGATGATGTGTATGAGGATACATGTTAATGATGATGTGTATGATGATGATGTGTATGAGAATATATGTTTAATGATGATGTGTGTGATAATAATGTGTATGATGATACATGTTGGACATATGTATGTATGTATGTATGTATGTATGTAAGGGCGTGTGTGTGTGAACATCTTTGTGTACATACAATGAAAAAATGCAAAAAATAAAATAAATATAAAAAAAAGTTGATTATTTATGCTGTACATTAGATATATGATGAACACTCACAATTTGACAAATCCGTAGATGATGATGATGATGATGATGATGATGATGATGATGCATGTTAGTGATGATGTGTATGATGATGCATGCTAATGATGATATATATGTGTATTAGGATGATGTGTATGATAATACATGTAAGTGATGATGTGTATGATAATACATGTTTAATGATGATGTGTATGATAATACATGTTTAATGATGATGTATATGATAACACATGCATGTTTAATGATGATGTGTATGAGGATGATATGCATGATGATACATGTTAATGGTGATGTGTATGGTGATGATGTGTATAATAATACATGCATGTTTAATGATGATGTGTACGGTGATGATGTGTATAATAATACATGCATGTTTAATGATGATGTGTATGATAATACATGTTTAATGATGATGTGTATGAGGATGATGTGTATGATGATACATGTTAATGGTGATGTGTTGTATGATGATGATATGTATGATGATACACGTTAATTGTGATGTGTATGGTGATGATGTGTATGATAATACATGTTTAATGATGATGTGTATGAGGATACATGTTAATGATGATGTGTATGATGATGATGTGTATGAGAATATATGTTTAATGATGATGTGTGTGATAATAATGTGTATGATGATACATGTTGGACATATGTATGTATGTATGTATGTAAGGGCGTGTGTGTGTGAACATCTTTGTGTACATACAATGAAAAAATGCAAAAAATAAAATAAATATAAAAAAAAGTTGATTATTTATGCTGTACATTAGATATATGATGAACACTCACAATTTGACAAATCCGTAGATGATGATGATGATGATGCATGTTAGTGATGATGTGTATGATGATGCATGTTAATGATGATATATATGTGTATTAGGATGATGTGTATGATAATACATGTAAGTGATGATGTGTATGATAATACATGTTTAATGATGATGTGTATGAGGATGATGTGTATGATGATACATGTTAATGGTGATGTGTTGTATGATGATGATATGTATGATGATACGCGTTAATTGTGATGTGTATGATGTTGATGTGTATGAGAATATATGTTTAATGATGATGTGTATGATGGTACATGTTTAATGATGATGTGTATGATGATGATGTGTATGATGATACATGTTTAATGATGATGTGTGTGATGATAATGTGTATGATGATACATGTTGGACATATGTATGTATGTATGTAAGGGCGTGTGTGTGTGAACTTCTTTGTGTACATACAATGAAAAAATGCAAAAATAAAATAAATATAAAAAAAAATATCCTTGAAAGTAAAGTTGTTGAGGTAAATAAGTAGAAATACATTGTTTACTGCATTCAACTGCTTTCACACGTGCATGTTAGTAGATATGTGTTTTATCCTTCCACCAATACATGATTTATAACTAACGCAGGTCGCTAGAATTTTGCGTTTTAAAGGGGAGGAAGTAACTACCGTCCGCGATCAAGTTGAAAATAAAATCGCGAACAGATAGTCACAATTCCCTGGACTAGGTATTATGTACTTCCAGAAATAGATCTTAACGAGATAACTAACCAGTGCGTTTAAACGAGATCAATTTTACTAATCAAATACCCCTATTGGAAGGATGAAATGAGATATGATATTATTACGTAAAAAAGGTCTCTCAAGAAACTCCGAAGAGACAGGGTACCGTTGTCCAGTTCACTCTGAAATGCTCATTCACTATTACCAACATAGGTAACATAGGGCAAACCTGAGAGGAAACGCTTCGTGATAAGAACACTCGTTATACTGTGGAATAGTCTAGACTTGCTACCGGACTCTAAGTTGAAATACTGTATTTTTCTTCATAAGGGTCTGGTCAAATCTTGAAAACACACCCCCGAAAAAGTGAAAGATTAAGATGTAGCCAGGAAGTGGCCAATTGTAGATGTATCCCCTTTAGTGTGGCTGTGGAGTTGGTGACAAAGCAGAAAGGAGTAGGACCTCTGTGATTATTCATGATAATTCAATCATTCCAAGGCATATTTGTCAAGAACAGATTTTTTTTTTAGTTCACCGACTGAGAGTTAAAAGACCTTGGTTTTGATATTATTTTTTTCCTGAAAAGCATAAAAATATCAAGATGGACTTACACTTGTGTAGTGAGGATATCTTATGAGTTTTCACCTCGTCAACTCATCAACTTCATACACACTTATAAAGCATCAAAACATCTTCGAGTTTCAGAGTTTGTAGGTCAAGGTCAAGTTCCTCTTTATTTTTAGAAGCTCGCCTCTCTATAGCTGCTTTATTTTCTCTAAGGATCCTCATGGCACCTCACATACTTAAAGCGCATCAAATTATCTTAGACAATTTAGAGTTTCATGGTTGTTTGATCAATGACAATATCACCACTACCATTTAAAAAAAAATAACGGACAGCTCTAAGGGCGTCGTTTCTTGAGAAATGGTCATCAAACTTAACACCTCTGAACAAGCTCGAGTGTCAAGAGTTGTTTGGACATGATTACTGTAACCCCATCCACTTTTCTTTATTGAAAGAAATCTGTGTCAGCGCTCTATCGGCTTCATTCCTTATGGGAATTTGATCAAGCCATGCCTACAAAAAACCACAATATTTTGGACAAGTTTGAGTTTCAGGGTTGTTGAGTCAAGGTCACAGTAACTATTTTTGTAGAAAATCGTCACGTCCCAAATAGCTGTATACCTTGAGGGAACTACGAATTTTAAGAGTTATTGTGTCGGAACTAAGGTCACCGACTATTAGAAAATCGTTGACAGCGCTTTAGCCGCTTCATTTCGTGGGGGATTCTCATCAAACTTCATATACTTTTTAAGCATCAAATTATCTTAGACAAGTTTATGTTTTAAGGATTGTTGGATCAAGGTCAAGGTCACTGCTTCTTTATTTTATTTATATACTTATTCTCAGCTCTCTAGCGGCTTCGTTCCTTGAGGAATTCTCTTCAAACTTCACCCATTTTTGAACAAGTTTGAGTTTGGGAGTTGTTTGGTCAAGGTCAATTTTACTTTTATTCACTTTAAAAAAAGTGATTTTCATAACATTCTCATACCTTTAAAACACTTAAACATCTTGTCCAAGTTCAAGTGTCAGCGTGGTTGGGCCAAGGTCAGTGTCGCCATAAATGGTTTTAGAAAATTGTTATCCGCGTTCCAGCGGCTTCATTCTTCACAGGATTTTCATCACTCCTCACAGATTATTACTGAATCTGTATTGCCATATATTGCCATACCTATTAATGGAATTGTTCTACTAAAATCATTTACAATTACTATAGTAATCGTACAATATATGTATATATAATTATGTTGGTATTTTCACCAAACAGCACCATCCTCATTGATCATGCGTTAGAGGACACGTATAGCATTAGTTGGTATGCTTGTTATCATAATCTTTTTTCTCATCATTTTTCATATACATATAGTCTATTGCTTCATTATGTCTTTTGTATGCTAAACTATTAATGAAATCACTCCTCTTCGATGCAGGATGTCTAGTGCAAAAATCACTGAATGGCTACTTCTTCTTGTTTATCGTCGAAAATGAAAGTAAATAAAATAAAACGAACATCATATAGAAATTATAAATCTTCCGTAGAACGATTAAAACCGATTGAATGACATACGTACAAAAACTCAGCCTTTTATGATTTTTATAATTACATTCTTACTTGGTTTGAACACATTTTAATTGCCACATTTTGATATTGAATACCTGCCAACCTTCCCGATTCAGTCGGGAGTTTCCCGATTTCCATTTCCCAGCCCCGCCTTCCGATCGCATGGAGCAAAATTTGGGTAATCTGATTTCAGAGTTCCCGCTAGGTAGGCGATAAGATTCAAATGGGTAAGGAGCACCACCTGGCCACATGATCAAGGCCTAGCCAGGTGAGCAATGTCTAACCATCTAATTAATGACACTCAATTCAAGTTAATTTCCAGGATATTTTTTTGGGAGAACACTGTCTTGTATATACACAGCCGATTGTTCCCTACCTAATTCACGATAGACCATTGGTCAGGACTCAGGAGTAAATGCTTGGTTAAGGTGAGGTAATTTTACAGATAACTAAGTTGTTGTTACCATGTTCATACTATCTATTCGGTAAAATAACATTTTCAACAAGAAAACTTTGGGAAACGATCTTTATGATGTAACAATGTGTAAGCGTTCCTCAATCAATCCTATAATTTAACCACATCAATTCAAGAAAACCGACTATGTTGGTAGCATGAGTAAACAATAATGTATAATAAATATTTCATTCACTATGAAGTTGACTAAAAATTCAAGCATGTTTAGTTCTGCTCAACAACGTGATAAGTCAAACAGGAAGTAGCTACAACTATGCAAAATAGGAACGGATCCAGGACCACATTTTCGTATACAGCTATTTTCTAAATAGATATTTCACAATAAATACGAAAATTCCAATATCATGGACCATCAAAACATTCCAAACTCTATAAAAGAATGTATTTCATAGTTTTTTTTACCTCTTTCTATTTTAATAAAATGCCAGCTTAAAATTTCATGAAACGATCAATATTATTTTTTCCTTATTTCAATGAAACAAATTCTTTCAGAATCATCATATATTTGGAAATACATATCCTTACTAACAACCAAACAGATAATCACCAATCTTAATATCTGTTATAACGCATTTATCAAAATAAAGTTAGCTAGATGTATTGATTAAATATACATTAATTAATTTTTCCTTTGTAAAAAATGTCGCGATGCGCAAAGTATCGTGGTGAGTCAAAAATGTTGTTCATGTACTTTTCTCCCCCATGAGAATTTTGAAAAGTGGGCAGGTATGATATTGCAACAGGATTGTTGTAAAACACTGTCCAGATTGTAGTAGGGATAATGGTCCTGAGGCAAGAATATTGCTACGGCTGAGTTTGTAGTTTGACAGGCAGATAACACATATTTAAATTACAAACTCTTCCGCATTTGACCAGCCCACAGTACATCATCTGCGATTACAGTTCATATTACAAGTCTCTGCGAAAGGGAATTTCCCTTTAGTGAAACAGTAGTGCCCGCTTGGTGACCGACGGGTCACTAGTTCGATCGCCTGCGGTGACAGGGTATTTTTCATTACCCCATCCTATTGTTAGGCTTACAGAATATAAAGGTATGGAGATTTACATGAACCGATAGCGACACGTCATTTTACATAATGAAAGGAAAGGCAAGGGGATTTCCAAAAGCTTATATGCTTCTATTTATAGACATTCACTAATTCAATGTTATCATTGTATTACACCACCTTATGGTTGGCAGTATAAAATGTCAGTTAGATATCTTTTTTGATAAAGTAGGAATCAGAACGATACAACTATATCATGTCTGCAGAGAGATACATACTTATTTTGCTTTAAAAATCAAATTACCGTAAGACGCCATTTGTAAATTGTATTTCATTTGTGTCCTTCCGGTGATACAGACTATCCTGAAGAGATCGGCAGGAAAGTGCGCGAGGATTTCTAGTGGTGGTATGTTTGTGTAGACACATTAATGCGGGTGTTTCATGATTAATATTTCATCAGTATTGTTCTTCAATGGTAGAAATTGAGCGAAATCAAAGCGCTCTTGAAAGGAGTAGTCCACGCTGGAACAACAGGAACGCTGGTTGTTGAGCTCGAAGTCCGAAATGGATCTAAAACTTCCATTCATGAGCATCAGATTAGAAAGACCAACATATTTGATCATGTTTTGTGTTTATCTGGCATTTTACACTATCTAAACTCGTTAATTGATAATTTATTATCAGTTTTGATGTTACTGTTTTAGTTTGATATGTTCCAGCAGAGACGTCTCTGGTTCCAGCGATCATTTTATTTTGATGAGTCCTTTTCAGCTTTAATGCTGAGAACTATAGGTATCACAAAGTAAAATTTAGTTGGCTTAAAATTCTATGAGTCCCATCAAAACTCTATGAGTACAGGACTTGTGATAAAATGTACATAGTATTATTGTTTCTAAAAAAAGAGTAAGATATTTTTAGAACACACTCAATAGTAGTGCAATACAGGTCAAATATACCTACAGCTATATCATATGACCTACCGTGTTCATACATGCCAGACATGGCATCATTGGTTTGTATACAAAACACTGACAGATGTTGAAGTTTCAAAATCATTTCATTAACTTAGCTCAACTAAGTTATAAGGTTTTACTAGTACTGTACTGTACAAAAATATAGTATAAATAATTTCATCACGTAACACCCAGATGTTACACAGGTCTAACTATCAGGATGTGTTAAAACACTCTAAGTTGGAAATGTTTACATGTAGCTAACATAGCAAAAGGTAAAAGTATTGACACTCTTTTAGTGAAATATAAAAGAAAACAATGAAGTTGATTATGCACATATTTAACATATAAAGACTGACAGTTAGATACTCTGACTAAGAAACTATACTGCTGATTATTGATATTATAAAATGTCCATGCGAGCGACACAGCAAATAATAGGGTTTATACCCTCTGTAACGAGAAGATGTGTTGGAGTTCCATTTCATCCTTGCAAATCCAAAGATGTTCCCAAACTGTAAAAAGTGACTGTTTGTTAGAAGACAGCGTTGAAAGTATATTTGCATGTTCCATATACCAATAATAAAGATTTTTATTTTTTTTTATTTCAGAAGAATAAATCATACTTGTACAAGCCTGCCAAGTCAACTTTTGGAAAGTGTGTTATGGCAGCCAATGGAGCCTCAAGTCCACAAGGTGGATATCCGGTAGAGATTTTTCCTGGAGCATTTGATGAGAAATTTCGTTGTAATTCCTGCACAAGAATACTGAGAGATCCAGTCCAGTCATTCTGTGGTCATAGATTCTGTAGAAGCTGTATCAATGCAGTCATAAGGTATATCAAATTTGACAAAAAATATATCACATGGTGATGGGATATGTGTTAAAATTGATATGAAAAGTTGTGTCATTTTGTGGTGACTGTTAAGTGTCATTGGACTCTTCATTTTTAGAAAAGAAACTAGCAAAAAAGCTCTAGAGAACCTCCCCCCTCCCCCCCCCCCCCCCCCCCCCCCCACCCCCCCCCAAAAAAGAAGCCAATTCTCAAGCTAAAATTTTGGATTATATCTATTTTTTAATTGTATTTTATTAGCAAAACGCTTGCATTATTACATGTGATTTAAAAATACTTCATACATTTGGCAAAGATCCAACATTGAGCTGACTATATACACCTGGTGTACACCATAATTACTGGTTTAACATACCATTGCAGGTCGCCTTACTAGCCTCACATAGTGGGAATTTCCCTTAATTAGTGAGATAATAGATATGTGGTATCATTTTATGCATTTAAATGATAAAACAACACAGTGTAATATATTTAATCATTAGCTGTCTATTTCATTATGTCATTGTGTCAAAATCAGAATTTATTTTTGTAAATTTATGTCACATTTTCTAAATGAAGAAGTTTTAAAAAAGTTATTAGATAGCATGATATAAACTTATCATATATAGTCTTTGTCAAAATAACAGACTCAAGGTCAAATGGTCAAATTGATAATTTTTGTTTTATTTAGTACAACAGTAACTGTATTTGACTTTTCCTTTTTCTTTTCTTCAAATCTTCACAGTTTAGAGCAAAAGGAATGGATTTATCATGGAAATCATGAAGACAGCAATTGACTACAATTTTCTTAATCATTTCGTTTTCAAAGGATACCTTGTCCTCAGTTTTGTTTCATCTTCAAAATGATGACCAAGAGAACTGCTGGAAAATTAACAACTTTTACAATATCACCTTAATACATTTAAACATTGTTTGTAGGTTTTGATTTGAAGGACCGTGGAATATTTTATACTTCAGTGAATCTATCCTGAAAGTAACCATCTAGGGTACATCCACTTGACATCTTTAATGGCATTGTTATAAATAAAGAGTGTTTACTGTAAGCACTGTGATTTTGTAACTGGAGTTATAACTGACATCTTGATTGCATTAAGATTTCATTAGTTTGCCAGGTGTTTCCATTATTGTTCACTGTGTTCTTATTTGTGAATGTGACATTACTTACTTAGATTGACCGAGAGTTACATAGCAGGAGTCCACAATGAAGCAGAAGACCCATACTCTTCTGGAACACTTGGTCGTATTCTCCTGGTGCTTTTGCAAGAATTTCCATGTAAATTATTCCATTGTTAATATTTTGCCCTCCCTAGTTTCATCGAATTTGAGTTTGAAATAAGATTCTGTGGACATATCGGTATATTCTTTTTTGTTTTGGTACCAAGAGATGTTACTTATAAGTTCCTTGTACTTAAGAAATCATGCTTTTGTTGCTTACAGCAAAGGTGAAAGGGTCCAGTGTCAGTCCTGTATTAGTGAAGGTGCTGGTGATGATGATGATTACAGCATACTTAAGGAGGAACAGGTAAAAATGCTTTGTACCCTTAGTCTGCAATGTAACATAATGAATCAGGAACACAATTCTTGTCTTCAGTCTAGGGCCTCAAAATACTGAATCAGAAACATACACCATCTGTGTTCTTAGTCTAGGGCCTCAAAACACTGAATCAGAAACATACGCCATCTGTGTTCTTAGTCTAGGGCCTCAAAATACTGAATCAGAAACATATGCCATCTGTGTTCTTAGTCTAGGGCCTTAAAAGTACTGAGTCAGAAACATATGCCATCTGTGTTCTTAGTCTAGGGCCTTAAAAGTACTGAATCAGAAACATATGCCATCTGTGTTCTTATTCTAGGGCCTCAAAATACTGAATAAGAAACATATGCCATCTGTGTTCTTAGTCTAGGGCCTCAAAATACTGAATAAGAAACATATGCCATCTGTGTTCTTAGTCTAGGGCCTTAAAAGTACTGAGTCAGAAACATATGCCATCTGTGTTCTTAGTCTAGGGCCTCAAAATACTGAATAAGAAACATATGCCATCTGTGTTCTTAGTCTAGGGCCTCAAAATACTGAATAAGAAACATATGCCATCTGTGTTCTTAGTCTAGGGCCTTAAAAGTACTGAGTCAGAAACATATGCCATCTGTGTTCTTAGTCTAGGGCCTCAAAATACTGAATCAGAAACATACGCCATCTGTGTTCTTAGTCTAGGGCCTCAAAAGTACTGAGTCAGAAACATATGCCATCTGTGTTCTTAGTCTAGGGCCTCAAAATACTGAATCAGAAACATACGCCATCTGTGTTCTTAGTCTAGGGCCTCAAAAGTACTGAATCAGAAACATATGCCATCTGTGTTCTTAGTCTAGGGCCTTAAAAGTACTGAATCAGAAACATATGCCATCTGTGTTCTTAGTCTAGGGCCTTAAAAGTACTGAATCAGAAACATATGCCATCTGAATCAGAAACATATGCCATCTGTGTTCTTAGAAACATCTAGGGCCTCAAAATACTGAATAGAAACATATGCCATCTGTGTTCTTAGTCTAGGGCCTCAGTCAAAATACTGAAAAGAAACATATGCCATCTGTGTTCTTAGTCTAGGGCCTCAAAATACTGAATCAGAAACATATGCCATCTGTGTTCTTAGTCTAGGGCCTCAAAATACTGATCTGTGTTCAGAAACATATATGCCATCTGTGTTCTTAGTCTAGGGCCTCAAAAGTACTGAGTCAGAAACATATGCCATCTGTGTTCTTAGTCTAGGGCCTCAAAATACTGAATAAGAAACATATGCCATCTGTGTTCTTAGTCTAGGGCCTTAAAAGTACTGAGTCAGAAACATATGCCATCTGTGTTCTTAGTCTAGGGCCTCAAAATACTGAATCAGAAACATACGCCATCTGTGTTCTTAGTCTAGGGCCTTAAAAGTACTGAATCAGAAACATATGCCATCTGTGTTCTTAGTCTAGGGCCTCAAAATACTGAATAAGAAACATATGCCATCTGTGTTCTTAGTCTAGGGCCTCAAAATACTGAATCAGAAACATATGCCATCTGTGTTCTTAGTCTAGGGCCTCAAAATACTGAATAAGAAACATATGCCATCTGTGTTCTTAGTCTAGGGCCTCAAAATACTGAATAAGAAACATATGCCATCTGTGTTCTTAGTCTAGGGCCTTAAAAGTACTGAGTCAGAAACATATGCCATCTGTGTTCTTAGTTCCTTACTGAATCTATGCCATCTGTGTTCTTAGTCTAGGGCCTTAAAAGTACTGAGTCAGAAACATATGCCATCTGTGTTCTTAGTCTAGGGCCTCAAAAGTACTGAATCAGAAACATATGCCATCTGTGTTCTTAGTCTAGGGCCTCAAAATACTGAAGAAACATACCATCTGTGTTCTTAGTCTAAGAAACATATGCCATCTGTGTTCTTCAGAAACATATGCCATCTGTGTTCTTTGTCTAGGGCCTCTAAAGTACTGAGTCAGAAACATATGCCATCTGTGTTCTTAGTCTAGGGCCTTAAAAGTACTGAATCAGAAACATATGCCATCTGTGTTCTTAGTCTAGGGCCTCAAAATACTGAATAAGAAACATATGCCATCTGTGTTCTTAGTCTAGGGCCTTAAAAGTACTGAGTCAGAAACATATGCCATCTGTGTTCTTAGTCTAGGGCCTTAAAAGTACTGAGTCAGAAACATATGCCATCTGTGTTCTTAGTCTAGGGCCTCAAAATACTGAATCAGAAACATATGCCATCTGTGTTCTTAGTCTAGGGCCTCAAAATACTGAATAAGAAACATATGCCATCTGTGTTCTTAGTCTAGGGCCTCAAAATACTGAATCAGAAACATATGCCATCTGTGTTCTTAGTCTAGGGCCTCAAAATACTGAATAAGAAACATATGCCATCTGTGTTCTTAGTCTAGGGCCTGAAAATACTGAATCAGAAACATACGCCATCTGTGTTCTTAGTCTAGGGCCTCAAAAGTACTGAGTCAGAAACATATGCCATCTGTGTTCTTAGTCTAGGGCCTCAAAATACTGAATAAGAAACATATGCCATCTGTGTTCTTAGTCTAGGGCCTTAAAAGTACTGAGTCAGAAACATATGCCATCTGTGTTCTTAGTCTAGGGCCTCAAAAGTACTGAATCAGAAACATATGCCATCTGTGTTCTTAGTCTAGGGCCTCAAAATACTGAATCAGAAACATATGCCATCTGTGTTCTTAGTCTAGGGCCTCAAAATACTGAATCAGAAACATACGCCATCTGTGTTCTTAGTCTAGGGCCTTAAAAGTACTGAATCAGAAACATATGCCATCTGTGTTCTTAGTCTAGGGCCTCAAAATACTGAATAAGAAACATATGCCATCTGTGTTCTTAGTCTAGGGCCTTAAAAGTACTGAGTCAGAAACATATGCCATCTGTGTTCTTAGTCTAGGGCCTTAAAAGTACTGAGTCAGAAACATATGCCATCTGTGTTCTTAGTCTAGGGCCTCAAAATACTGAGTCAGAAACATACGCCATCTGTGTTCTTAGTCTAGGGCCTCAAAATACTGGAAAGCCTCAAAATACTGAGTCAGAAACATACGCCATCTGTGTTCTTAGTCTAGGGCCTCAAAATACTGAATAAGAAACATATGCCATCTGTGTTCTTAGTCTAGGGCCTGAAAATACTGAATCAGAAACATATGCCATCTGTGTTCTTAGTCTAGGGCCTTAAAAGTACTGAGTCAGAAACATATGCCATCTGTGTTCTTAGTCTAGGGCCTTAAAAGTACTGAGTCAGAAACATATGCCATCTGTGTTCTTAGTCTAGGGCCTTAAAAGTACTGAATCAGAAACATATGCCATCTGTGTTTTTATTCTAGGGCCTCAAAATACTGAATAAGAAACATATGCCATCTGTGTTCTTAGTCTAGGGCCTTAAAAGTACTGAGTCAGAAACATATTCCATCTGTGTTCTTAGTCTAGGGCCTTAAAAGTACTGAGTCAGAAACATATGCCATCTGTGTTCTTAGTCTAGGGCCTCAAAATACTGAGTCAGAAACATACGCCATTTGTGTTCTTAGTCTAGGGCCTCAAAACACTGAATCAGAAACATATACCTACTGTGTCTTTTGTCTAGGGCCTTAAAAATACTGAATTAGAAACATACACCATCTGTGTTCTTCTTCTAGGGCCTTAAAATACTGAGTCAGAAATATACATGTACCTACTTTGTTCTTCTTCTAGAGCCTTAAAATACTGAGTCAGAAACATACATGTACCTACAGCGCCCTTTTTCTAGGGCCTTAAAATACTGAGTCAGAAACATACATGTACCTACAGCGCCCTTTTTCTAGGGCCTTACATGTAAAATACTGAGTCAGAAACATACATGTACCTACAGCGCCCTTTTTCTAGGGCCTTAAAATACTGAGTCAGAAACATACATGTACCTACAGCGCCCTTTTTCTAGGGCCTTAAAATACTGAGTCAGAAACATACATGTACCTACAGCGCCCTTTTTCTAGGGCCTTACATGTAAAATACTGAGTCAGAAACAAACATGTACACCTACTCTGTTCGAACACTAGGGCCTTAAGATACTGAGTCAGGAACATATATACTGTTTTGATAATACTCAGTGCAAGCACCTTATGTGGTAACTGTTACTACAATATGTGTTGTTGAGGGCATAAGTGTTACCTCTTCTACTGTTATCTGTCTTGGGTAGTTTTGTGCAGAATGCAGAAATGGAGGTAACCATATGGCTATATTTATAGATGTTTCCTGACAATGGTGTTCGGCGTGAGATGGCCAATAAGGAAGTAAGATGTCTCAACCAAGGCTGCAAGTGGACAGATGTATTTAAGAATTATGACGTAAGTACTACAAGGTAACATTTCAACTAAGGTTGCAAGTGGACAAGTATATAAAGGCAATAAAATGTAAGTACTGCAAGCAGGCATACATATATCTTGTATATAATTTTAGATAATTGAAGTTCAATAACAGAAACTACATGAGGCTATGGTAATTAAGTCATTATATAGGCTGAGAGTGTCCATGAGTTTAAACTATGTTTATTCAGAATTTCAGTTTTAAGATATAGCCTTCAATTCATGATTTTTCCCAAGTTTTATAGGCACTTTGTGGGATCAAGTGAGTAACTGTGAAATGTATGCATTATACATACCAGGTATTCCTATACACCAAATTTCCAGTGTACACCTGGTTCCCGATTGGATGTTTATGGTATATGTGTGATTGTCTATGGAGATTTTAACTGATAGCACATCTTGTGTGAAGTGTTTACATCTTGTGTGAAGTGTTTCTGAGTTTGTGGAAATGTTTGGTAACATTCTCTTTCATCCATCATTTTCTTCAATCCACCATCATTAATTTTTCATTGTTACACATATTGCATTTTGTGACTGATTGGAAACTAAGACATCAGGAAGACAAACATCTTGGATGTAAAGAATTATTTTACAAGGGTTGGACAGTAAGTTGTGAGCCTTGTGTTAAGCAGGGATGTCCTTTTTCATCTCTACTATTCCCTGACTATCAAAGGCTGTGTACCCAAAGACTAGTGTCATTTGGTCAGTTTATGTTGAAGAGGTAGTACTCTAAAGCAAACAAGGCAAGTGACTTTTGCAAAATGGACAAAATCCTAAATGAGCAGTGATACAATATTTGCATAAGAAAAGTCAAGCACCTAATGATATCCATACTGAATGGTAGCAATACTGGGGAATGATGCTCCTTCATATGCTACAGTGAAAAGGTAGTTGGCAGAATTTGTGCATGGTAGACAGAGCCTTAGGGATAACGCCTGTCCAGGAAGGCAGTCGCTGTTGCAACTCCAGAAGTGGTTAAAAAGTCCATGATATTGTTATGGCTGACAGGCGAGTTACAGAGAAATATATAACCAGTATAGTTGGGAAAGAGAGTACATTCCATTCCTGCAGAAGATCTTGCAATGAGAAAGCTCTCAATCTGTTGGGTACCAGGGGCCAAACAACAGTCCAAACTATGGAAGCACCCTGGTTCAACCCGCCAAAGAAGGCAAAGATTGTTCTTTTGGCTGGAAAGGCTATGGCCTCAGTTTTCTGTGATACTGGTGCTATTCTGATGGCAGATTATCTGCAAAAGGGAGAACCCTGCGGAAAAAGTAAAGGTGTGTTATGCCATCAGGACAATGCTCCTGTTCACAATTCTGTCATTGCCATGGCTGCCATTAATGATTGTGGCTTTGAATTAATAGAGTATCCGCCTTATATGCCTGATCTTGCTCTATCAGCCTTTCATCCTTTTCCTAAATTGAAAAAAAGCAATTTCCGGTACCCCCTTTCGATCAGACTTTTAAATATGGGGTTCACAACATATCAGTTGTATGTTGAAAGTGATTATAAGAAAATACTTCATGGTGTTGTTTTTTCATTAATTTTCATGTGTCAGTTTACCATGTTCCTTTCTCATATATTTCATTTTGGGATTGTTTAGAACCTAACATGGCTGTCAGGTGGCTACGTTGGATTTTGGTAGTAAATATTTGAAAGCGCTATGTTTTACATGTAAGCTGCTCATGGTCCCTTTTTTATATTGCATTTTGCCAAACTGTAACTCAAAAAGTAAGACTGACAGGCAATCATCTTGGTTTTAGTTTAAGAGTTACACTTCATTGGTTGGTGTGATAAGTGATGGCAATTCTAGAAATATATATTCCAAATCAGAAGCTTTGATTCAAAGAATTTTAGCAGGTTATTTCTAGTCATGATAATGAAATATTTCTGTGTTTTACTGACAGCACCATGCATCGGAATGTGAATACCGATTAATTGCCTGTCCAGAGTGTCAAACCATGGTGGAAAAGGCCAACTTGGAAAAACACCTCAAGGAGAACTGCTTAGGAAGAAAAATGAACTGTAAAACTTGTAACCAAGAAATTGCCATTAAGGACGAGTCAGTATGTATGAATTAAAATTCAGTTAATTTGTCTTTTATTACCCCAAAAATCCAGAAAATATCAATTACATGAATATTCATTCATTTGCTTGCCATGTTTGAAAAATAGATTAACTCAAGAAAAAATATGCTGTGGAACTGATTTGTTTTGAAAGGGATATGGTGATCAACACATTTTATTAGAAATTGAAGAGAAATGTTGTTTACACCCCCAGTCATTTCTAGATGTTATCTCAATACTCTATCCTGAATCTCCTGTTCGACTATTCAAATTGGTCGAAAACTGTCTAACTATACCACTTATGGCTTATATAACTGATAACAAATTTCAAAAGAGACAGCTACATTTGTATGTAACATTAAGAGTAATTTTCGTAGGCAGCAGAGACAAAGGCAGCAATGAAGATCATACCTTCACTTAGAGAATGTGTTATGTATTGAACGACTGGCCTGTAATCCATGTTTAATCAGTTTTACAAAGTTCTTATCACTGATGATGTTTCTTGGACACTGCTAAAGAAAAAATAAAGTGCTTTCCCTGTTAAGTAAAAATTCTCATTCTTTTATTCTAGCAACACAACAAGGTTTGTCCTAAGGCCTTGGTGAAATGTGAAGCTTGCGGAAAAAAGAAAATACTGAGAGAAAAGGTACCAACAGTTTCTAGATTGATGAGCAAATTTGAAAAGTTATTGTTGAGTAGTATAATGATGTTTTAGGAATTAAGAATAATGTTAATTTTCATTTTTTGTACATCATATTTTAACATCCTCTGAAATATAATGTAGATCCTTAAAAATTTATTGTGTCTAAAATATAGAACTAAGACAAACCCAAGCACTTGAATAATTGACTGGAATTAGCCCTTTGTATTTTAATTGGATGTCTACTGATATCTATCAAGGAATACTGTGAAGCTCAGAGGTCTAGGTCTCAATCTCTGACTCAAAGGACAGAGAAGCGACATTTGATTTTGCAGTAGCATTTGAGTTATTAGCAGACCTAAACTTACTGCTGAATAGATTTTGAATCCAACAGATATATTGTTTGAATTTATTTTCAGTTGGGATTCCACCAAGAGAAAGAATGTGCCAGTCAGAAAATCAACTGTCCTGTGGGATGTGATCCTGTAAGTACTAACACCTACAGCTATAAGATTTTATCCTCAATACAGAACTTGATTAGAAAAATACTACAGTGATAAATGTACTGGATTTATTTAACCTTGAACATATTAAAAACAATCTACTCAGAGTCAATGGATTTCTTTTCTGATTATTGTAATACTGTAAAGGTTTTTTCTATGGTTCAAATTATCAGGGTTTTATGTAAAGCTTGAAAATTTTCATGTACTCTGTTCTGCCCCAACATACAGCTTTTCTGTTGTGTTCTTCAAGATATAATCCAGAATAAAATAAGATATTGTCTGATATTACAGGGTTACTCCTGATATTCCTATAATGTATGTTTGTAATATGGATTCCAGGTAGAGAGAGGTGCTTTTATTGGCCATTTAGAGAGAAAGTCTGGTATACATATCCAGTGGATGTTGCAGCAGATAGAGACATTGATTCGTGAAGTCAATGAAAAGATACAGCCTTTAACACCAATTGATGACATCAATCGCATGGTCCAGATGATTACAGTGCTACAGGCCAAGATACAGGAACAAGATAATCAGATCCGGACACTGATGGAACAGCCAAGGGCCAATAATCAACAGGAGATAATTAAACTCACCAAGCAGGCAAAGGCACTTGACTTGAAGACAGGAACATTTGAGGGGATTGTCACGACCCTACATAGGGAGATCGAGAGGTGTATCACTGCACTTGATACCCTGGAGAGACACAGGAATTCTCAACAAGATGTCATTGAAGAATTGAAAAAGAAAACACAACACATGGAACGAGCTATATCCCTAAAGGATGTCACCATCTCCGAATTGGATAGCAGGATCAGATCACTAGAAATCATTAGTTACGAAGGCACACTTGTATGGAAAATAGCAGAATGGTCAAAGCACAGACGAGAGGCAATGGCTGGCAGAGTAACAAGTTTGTATTCCCCCCATTTCTACACAGGCAGAACTGGCTACCGATTGTGTGCGCGACTGTATCCTAACGGAGATGGCATTGGCAAGAAAACACATGTCTCTGTCTTTTTTGTTGTAGCGAGAGGAAATTACGATGCTTTGCTCTCATGGCCGTTCATTCAGAGAGTGACCTTCATGCTGCTTGATCAGAACAATAGAGATCATGTTGTTGATTCCTTTCGACCTGATCCAGCCAGCAGCTCCTTTCAGCGACCAACAACAGAGATGAATATTGCCAGTGGCTGTCCCTTGTTCGTGCCCCTTAAAAGGTTAGAAGAGGTTGGAACATCTTATGTGAAAGATGACACCCTGTTTCTCAAAATTGTTGTTGATTCCGAAAGGCCATCTGGAGGGGGTGGAGTGTAGACATTTAATATAAAGTTTTTAATTTTGATTGGTTTGGTGTAATGTTTTAAGTGTTTCAGGTCTTTAAGCATACAGAGTTTCAGTAATTATTATCATCAAGCAAATAGGTCTGGTTAAATTCAGAAAGTTGATTCAACTCACAGGGACCTGTGGATGGGGCCCCAAAAGTGGAGTTAGACAATAATTTACTTCAAAACGATACTCTTCCTGAATGCTTGAATTGATTTCATTCAGATTTTTTCTGAAACATTTGTAGAGATTAGCAATTAATTCCAAAATTCAGAAAGTTGATTTGACCCCTAGAGACTTAAGGGTGTGGCCCCAAATGGGGAAGTTAGATTAGTTTGCTCAAAATGCTGCTCTTCCTTAATGCTTTAATGAATATCAACCAAATGTGGTCTGAAATATCATTATGCTTATTGAATCATTTCTTCAATTCAGAAAATTTATGTGACCCCTGAGGACTTTGGGGTGGGACACAAATGGGGAAATTAGTCAATATTTAATTCCAAAATGCTACTTTTCCTTAATGCTTAAATGGATTTAATTCAAATTTTGTCTGAAACATAAGTAGAGATGGGCAGTTAACTCTTAAATTCAGAGAGTTGATCTGACCCCCTAGGGACTTAGGGATGGGGCTCCAAAAGGCAAAGTTAGACAATATTTTGCTCCAAAAGGCTACTCCTTCTTTCTGCCTGGGTAAATTTCAACCAAATTTGGTTGGAAGCATTGTTAGGGAATGGCATTGCAATCAGAAGTGCATAGAGTGATCCTGAGATTGTACTGACCAAATCATAATTTTTTGCTTTGGTCCAAAAGAAAAAATATCAAAACTTGCATGATTGCTAGTAAACAACAACAATAATACAAAGTACAGTGTATTATGTACCTGTTGATTCTCACAACAGGGGTAAAACAAGATTTGTGACATACTGACATTACATAGTGATATGGTTTACTAGTAGGTAATTAATTGTTCTTGTAGGAACTCAAGTGTTCAGTTTTAAACAATTTCTTTCTGATCAACATAAGGACTGCTGATACATGTATAATGTGAAAATTTTACATGTAGATATAAAACTACATATTTTACTGTTTGAATTTAACTTAGTTATTCTGATGTTCTATCAACCTTTTTATACTGGTGTGATATCAAATCTAACGAAGACTTTATAAGTACATGTGTATGTATATATCTACATTTAAATATATATATCTTAATTTTCAAGTGGTAGCAATTAATTTAGCGGCCTGTTATATAAGAGGAATGAAACAAAGAGCAGTTGGAATGATACTAATTATCCTGTTTTTGAAAATCAAATGTTTGAGCTTATACAGTGCAGCATCTTTTGGTTTTTTAATAGCTTTCTTGAATCCAAGTCAGTGCAAGGTTAGAATCATTGGAACATATAAAAAATCAATAGGTAAAAATAAGGGTAATATTTTGGCTATGAACAGCTCGTTGTTTGCATACCAATCTACAAGTAGATGTAGTTGTTGGTACCCAGTATAATCCTATTTTTGGATCCATCCATCATCTCATTGAAGCAGTTTATTTTGTAAAACACCATTATTTCAATAAAGACTTACATGCTTTGTTATTAAAGGAAGATGGTGTTATGTAAAAAGCACATTTAAACATGATTAATTTTACAGAAAATTTGCATTTAATGTAGATATTGTTTATATTATCAATGTACTAGGAGATTAATAAAAGGACATAAATGTGAAAGTGTTGTGTTATCAAATTCTTAGCTTAATTGGAAATGTTCATGGTAACAAGAATACCAAGTGCATCACAATAAGATCACACAAGAGCATAAATGCAACTTGAATTTATAGCCATTGAAAAACATGTAATCTTAAAGCTATCCCTAAAGAAATAAGAAAAAATGGGGGTCAACAAGTTGAATTAATTTAACCACTGAACGTTCACCAGATTGTCAATATGAATACAATATAGATGACAAGGCATTAAGAGAATGGCTTTATCTGTCACTAAATAATGACTTATTGAAACTAGAATGATGAAAAAAACTGGTACATTACTGATCAGAAAGCTTTTTACTTCAGAGTTGGTTTTACAATTCTAAAAGTTTTGTTGAAAATGCAAGAGGGAGAAGAGTAGATTGATTTTCTGTGAGATGTTAACAGAGCAGTAGCGATGAATTTCCTAAATGTAAAACTACTTTTTGTTGTTTTACACTAATATAAAGGCCTTTCATAGATGTGACCATGTTTCTTACTCAAAACATGCACTGTGTCAACAGTAAAGAGGACATGACCAGCTGTCATCTGTATGTGAGAGAGACGGATTCCGTTGACTAAATATATTTTCGCATCATTTTAAACTGAAATATGGTGGAAAAATTGTAGCTAAAACCCTTAAGTGGTGTTCTTTCAACTGTCACTGAAACAGGATGTATTCAAAAGATAAGGTGGCTCTTGCAGAAAAATGGCAAGTAACCAGGCACTATAGTTTCATAACTTAACTATTTTGTGATGGTGTGAGAAAAATGTGCAGACCTTGTTATTTTCTATCAAAATTGTGGAAATATGCTGAGATATAAAGATTATGAGAAATGAAACTCTGAACCTTGTGTGATTTCATCTATTTTAATTTGACAGCGGTGATCTACTTCAGAAATGAATGTTACCAGTTACTTTATCACATAACTGATCTGTTTTATCAAGTAATCACGCTATGTGGTAAATATTGTAAGGCTTGTATTAAATAAATAAGGCACGTCTTTATGTCATCATAGTGGTTGTTGTTCGAATTAAGTAACCTGCCTTATAGGGAAATTAATTTGAAACTTTCCATTTATTTTCAGAAGTTTGAGTCTTGTGATATATAGAATCTTACAATTGTGTCCATGTAATGTTGAATTTATCAAATTTATAAAGATTTGACACTCATCATTTTTTTTCAACTGTTAGTCGCATGTTACAACAAAAAATTATTATTTTTTCTCTAGTATATGCATAAAATATGTAATATCTCCTAAATAAAATGGCAATTATGTGATGGATTCATAGTCGTATTAAGCTGGTATCAGAATAATGTTTTACTGGGTTTTTGCCTTGTCAAGTTCCATTTCCATATCAGTCATGCAAGCCAACTAATGTGTGAAAGCACGGACTTAGATCATCCAAGTTCCTGATGAAATTAGAGCCTCTTAATTTTTTAATCTTCCAAACACGATTCATATTTCAATACATTGCTATAAAGCCAGTGCTACTATTGGTATTGACTGATTTAGGATTCAGTCTTCAAAATACAATCTATGTGTTCAACACTCTATACTTTGCCTTTGTTTGGTTTTTTCTTTCTTTATTGATTTATTTGTTTTTGTTTTCGTAGTATTACTTTTTTTTTCTGTCTGCAGATTTCATTTATAATTTTTAGCTCATCTGTATTGTACACTGATTGGTCATGCAATGCAGTTATGATTTCTCCTTTCGGTGTTACACATGAGGTTAATTGATACCAGTTAGTCGATCATAACAGGTCTTAATTTTCTTGATTCTATTAGAATTATTTTTCATAAAAGCGTTAATTACTCCAAAAGCAACGCTGATAATTATCCTCAGTGCGCCACATTTGGGACTAATCTAACGATGATTAATTAAATCATCATTTATTCCAGTGCCACCTGTAACTTAGGGTTAGAACGTCGGACCTCTGGCTTATAATTAAGTCTTCAGCGCGATATATTGTCGGCTGGTATTTAACAGGATTACATTTTACGCCTGCAATGATGTAGTACTACTTAAAGGTAAAGATCATTTCGACGTTGTCTGATTTTAAAGAAAACAAAACCACGGACTTAAATATCACTGTATATTTATTTCTTAGTCTGTAATATAGATCTAGGCTACGTTACTAAGTACGTCCCCAAATGGGGCCTCGATCCGGAAATTAGGCACACTTTGCTGTGAGAGGTCACAGTTGATAAAAAAAACATAACGAAAAAATATTTAACTTTAATCATGGCTATTAGAAATGGTTCTGTCATTTATTGTACGCAGTGGCTGATAATAGTATAAAATGCAAACACTAACTTGTTTGATGTTGCGGTAAAACGACTTCTCCTTTTCGCGATTGAGCATGCGCACTTCGTATTTCCACCAGTGACACTCGTACCAGTTGTGGGAGTAAAAACCACTTCATGTACAAGTGATGCAGATCAGAAGATGAACACGAGATCTTTATTCGACGATGAAACCTAGATGTGTCAGTATGCCAAGTTTTCACACAATTTCAAGTTGTTTTCGTAAAATTCATATTTGCATGTTATCCAACAGTGACAGACGATTTCTCAATGACACCCCCCTCAGGCAGGCTACATGTGTGTTTTAGTGAATGACAAGACCAGGTCATAACAAACTATTAAAGATGAAACGTTGGTAAGTCTGAACAAGTATCAACTCTATGCAGCGGTACAGTTTGAACTAAATGACAGGTATCATGCGTTTGTAATATTTGCAGTTTTATGAACGATATACGGCTATAGATTTATAAACAGTATGCAGAACTAACGTTATAAGTTAGGCTACTGCACTGTTCTAGATTAGAGTGTGTTTATAAAACCATCGAATCTACTCAGAAATTAAAGTTTTGTGCATCAATATAACCAAGAGAAAGAGTAGCTATCATTAGATTATCACCACATGTACTTCTTTTCATAAACGTTAACAACCTTAGAATAAAGCTCGTCAACTAGAATATTGTACAAAAGTCTTTTATTTTTTCATTTGCTAGGCCTATCTCCAGAACAACAACACAAGTGAGACAAAAGTATCTACACAGGGCTTGTAGCAAAGACCATCTGTGCAGGTTGCATAGTTCAGAAATTATTTAGAAATTTCAATACTTTATGATGTGTACACATATCGTATGGTACCAGTTGTTCTGAACCACAACTAGATGATGACGATTAAGGTTTACCATCTCCATGACTCTTCCCTGGTGTTATCCAATTGACTAAAGTCAATTCTCTGACAATATAAGACCAGTCCCTACTAGTTGTTTAGTACCTAGTTAGGTAGTTTCGTACCAAAAATTTAAGTTGATGTATATGATTATTTGATGGAATTAATCTTAACTACTGACTTCTCATTGTCATTGCACATGATTTATAGTCCAAGTGTCTTTGATGAAAAAAAACCTTCTGGATTGTACACAGCCAAAACGTGTATTGTAACAGGCGGACAAAGTTGCATAGAAAAGTTTGGGAATGTATCAACTTTACTGTTTCGTATGTTATGACTCCAGCATTTGTTTTGGTGAGAATAAATAGTAGTACATATCAACTTTGCCTTGATGCGAAAAGTTTTTTGTTATGGAAATTAAAACCAAGGAATGTATATTAATGACCAGGGTTCAGTTTCTGTTGTGAACCAGCTACTTGTTAACTTTACTGTTATGTACTGCAATTTGGTGCAGTTTCTCAAGAAAAACAGAGGAATGTTGTAAAAAGAATGGGTCATATGGCTTTTACAGACGGTAACTTAAATTTTGATTCAAGACAAGATATAGCATCCTTGTTGGCAAGTGCCTTCTCTCTATGGATATCTTTCTTGTCTATGTTGCATTAGGATACCAGATACATTGAGCAGGATGGGTATTGTATCACAAAAGGGACTGAAATGATGATCTATACTATATCAATGAAAAGGGCGATATTTGCTATGAATCTGAACTTCGGAACTTGTCGATATTTGGAGTATCCTTAGTGGTTTTGTTGTCTATCAGCATATGATTTGCTGTTTTTACTTTGAGTTCAGTCCTATGGATAACATGTGAGTTGGCAATAGATGAGATCTGATGTATACTGTATGATGCTTCTGGTCTTTAGTAATAATTATTTTTCTTCAACTGTTAATAGTACACCCCTTCAAATGTCAATTCTTCAGGCATGCCAAATAACAGGATGTTTGCAGATTTAAATGGTATATGTTGAAAACTTTAAAAAAACATCTGTCTCCCTCCCTTCAATAATGAATATTGTGTCACTTCACTTTTGTCATCATGCATGGAATGAGAGAAGACAGTATCATAAAAGTTTAGAGATCTTGATATGGCTACTTTACAGTTAGTTTCAGCAAAACATTTTGCTATAAAAGCATTTAGTGTTATTCAGTACCCGATTTAAACTTTGTCTAGGAGTCATACATGTGCAAACATTTTTTTCCCCAAGTTGTTCCTTAGAGGTTTGTATCTTATATTTACTACCTCATTCCTACTTTTCAATGTCAAGATGATCTAAAAAAAAACCCAGTTCATGTTTCTAGATTTTCAAATAATTTTTATTGTCATGACTATGGAAAAGGTCAAATACAGTACATGTAAACATAAAGAAAAATGTCCTCAATTTTCTAGCTGTTTCCTTTTTGACATGAAAATTTTATGTTGATGAAGAGGTGTCAAGTTTTATTTTGTTATTTACAGTTAAGGAAGTCTTTTCAGCATTTTTAATGTGAATGAATGTCATAACTAAGATTTAAATGGATATCAACATGTTAACAACTTGGTATTAACTTTGTAAACAGGCACTTGCAGTTTTGCGGAAAGGAAATATTCAGTGACATGTAAATGTTGGGGGAAAAAATGATTTATTCAATTTATTGTACAATACAGAGGTGCTTAAGTTTCAGTCTACGTTCAAATTAGGAAAATTATCTGCTTGCTCAATCTTTATTTTCATTGTGAGTTGATAATACAGATTGGAGCAGGATTGCACATAATTTAGACCTGAGTGTCATGTTAGTGGAATGTTGTTAAAATACTGCTGTATATTCATGCTATTGAATTTATACATGCATTAATGTAAAACAAACCTTTACATTATTAATGTACCTGTAGTCTGTGTCTGACTATTCTTTTAACAAGTTCCTATCCCTTAACCTTATGATCATCTAAAGTTGTTTTAGTTCTCTGAGATGAAGCATATAACAATATTTAATGTGGTGCTTACCTTTGTCCATATCCATTGTAATGTTGTCAAATATATACGAGATTGCTTTTAGGTTCACATCCTCTCTTTTTTGGTGAAAAGTCCTATTATCGTGAATGCTTCAAATTTTGAGACAGAAATCACCATAGCCTGTCCTCTGAGTCGCAAATACTAATTATTTTTAACCGCTGAAATGATACCTTTTGATTATCTAAGAGATGTAGAACCGACATTATATTACTCCACAAAGCACAGCCACAGCAGTTGAATTAGAAAACTATCCAATGATTCCATATGACAGGAGTATGTTTATGTAATAATTATGTGTATTGTTTATTTCTTAATGTTTAAAATTTTATGTTGTTGTACCATCATTAAATGATGTTGCTGCAATTGTAACACCAATATTATGTGGTTTTATGTGGTTTAAGAAGCAGAACCATTGTAAATCAAATATTCAACCAAACCATGTTCTGTAATTGTTAACTGTTTGGAATTTCAAACCAACAAGAATGACCAAATACAGATATAACCTTTATTATATGTATTAAAGGTAAAATAACATAAAATTACTATTGATTTAACTTACAATTCACTTTTATCTGGACTTAAAAAAAAGTCAGTTTGCAATTCATTGAATAGAAAGCACAGTACTGATTGCTCAGTACAGAAATTTTATACTTTATTGATATTTTCTGATAGTTCTAATTCTTGAGTCATGAATATACATGTATTATTATGCTCTTGTTATAGCAGAAATTATTATGAATCATGATGATAGTACGGATGTATGTCTATCTGCAATTTACTTGTTATATCCCATGTTTTATTCATATTTTACTTGTATAGTTAGTGTACAAGGTAATGACCTAGACTAAATCATGTACTTTAAAGTTAACACATCTTGTCAGATCACACAGGAAAAGTAAAGTGGGCTGTACAGCGTAAATTTCCTTAATGGCCAGTGACACAGAGGTAATATCAAGTACCCAGAATTCTTCCACCAGCTCTATATAAACATTTATATTTCAAAATGTTGTCATTTTAATGTTGTATTATTGGCTTTAAATATCTTATCAATATCTGCATAAATTGGTGATTTAAGCATGGATCTGTTGTAGTATAGCATTTACATTAACCACAACAAGAAATACAATGACAAGTATAAATAAAAGATTGTGAGATTTCATGGAAATTAAATCCAGGATGAAGTGACAATTGATAAAGTATTTTTTAATATCATTTCCTGTTTATGACAATTACATTGATCAAACATGGAGTACATGTATAAAGAAAACAAGTGATACAGTATCATGAAGATGACAATGTGTAACTTATTATAATGGTCTCATGCTGAATATGTTTTCATGCTGGAGATGGTGCTTAACATGTAGGTTTTTACTCAGTGACTTGCCTTGATATCATGATACATGCATATGACCTGAAAGTTGCTATTTGTCAGATTGTAAAAAAGAAATCTGTCATTCAGCTAGAGTAGATAAACCTGTATCATTAGCATACACAGACTAATATAGACAACTGTTGTTAAAGTGAATTCATGTGTGACTGATTAAAACAGGTTTACAAATGACTGCAGATTTGAATAGTGAACAAGAAACCCTGAAATCTAGCATAGCTTTCCTTACATTTGGCATGGTGTGTTAAATGTGTAAATTTTATACTTACAGACAATACTGGAAGTGACCTGGATTGTTTAGCTGAACTTAAGCTTTGCCATGGAGTTGCTGGAACTTGCTCGCCACCTGAAGCAAGAACAATTGTTTGTGACCTCTGAGCGAACCCAGCTGCAGAAGTTGTTTGATGAAGTAAAGCGTGTTGCTGAGGAACTTTACCATGAATCATGGGTTACAAGAGAACAAAAGGCATGTCTTGACAGTCTCATCTTTTCTCCTCAGAATGTGGCACCCAAAGAATGTTGTCGTAGAGCAAATCATTTACAGTGGACAAACTTTGTGGACAGTTACAAACATCTTAGTTATCATGATTCTAAATATGGAGAATTTCTTAAATTCTTACGAGAAAATTCCAGTCTTTTGGCACACTGTGTAGAGACAGGAGAGAAATCCAGCAATGAGTACACACTCAAAGTGGTACCTCTGCTCGTGTCTTCTGTGTGTGGCAATTGTCTCCTCCTGGAGGATGAACAGATAGCTCTCCAGATGATGACCACATTAGCAGAGCTTCAGTTAGCTACAAATGATGACCCTCGACGGCTACTTCGCAAAGGATCCTGTGCTTTTAGTGTTATGTATAAGCTGGTCTTAGACTCATTGTTTTCTGCCAAACTGTTTCTTACGGCTGCTCTTCATGATCCTGTTATGCGTTTGTTGATGGAGGATGAATGGTTTTATGATATAGATCCACAGAAAGCCCTTGTTCGGTTTCCACCACAGGAACGTGTTAAAAGATTTGGTGAACCAGGGACAGAAGATTATAATAAGAGGTTTCAAGAATACAGGATATTCATTGTTGACAAATTGGTAGTACTAACAAATAGATTTATAAATTCACTCAAGAACAATATCCATTGTTTTCCAGCAGGACTTGGATGGTTAGTATCACAGATTTATCACATTCTAACGAAGGCTGGTAAACTTTCAAGAGAAAAGGTTCAGGCAGTTTGTGCTGACCTTGTTTTCTCTTTGTTCATATGTCCTGCTATTTGTGACCCTGATCCCCATGGTATCACCTCGGACATACACATCAGTCATATCGCTAGACACAACTTGATGCAGATTGCACAGATCATACAGGTGCTGGCAGTTTCACAATGGGAAGAGGGTTCAAGAGTCACAGATCTCTATGAAAGGTTTGAGAAGGTAATGTTTATCTCATTATCTGTACATGTGTATCATCTAATACTTGTTTGAGATTGTTGGAGCCGTTATACCTTTTATTATCTGCACATGTATGTAAGGTTTTTTAAACAATACAGGGATTTTGTGAAGTGTCTTTAGGGTTCAGTTGTAGACCGCATTCTCAAATAAAAATTTAACTTTTTCTTGAATTCAACTTTTATTTTCTCAGTTGGCAGATTGTATCAAAAAAGGTAAAATCTCTAAAGATTCTTTGTGTGAAAAGTCTCAAATAATGCACCTTTGTTATGTAAGTTTACATTTGAGTGCACAAATTTTTGGGGTGTGAGGGTAGGGTTTACTGTCTACTGGTTCTGTGCTGATTGAATACAATACAATACACCCCTACGATAATGAATGCATGAATTATAACTGAAGAAAGGTCGCTTTTCTTGTGTTTTGTGATGTTTTGCTACTTATATTATTGATGTTTTATATATAAGAGGACAAGGTAAGAAAGAGCTTGAGTAATTTGTATAACTGGGAGTTTGTGGTTAGGATATGATGAGATATGAGATATTGAAGCCATTGAAGTTCAGTATTTTATGTAACTATATGTGGAATTTTTTGTATTTTATACCATTCCTCTGTGGGGAATAAGATCTGTTCTTTCCATTTTAATTGACCAGTGACTGAAGTAAAAATGTTGTGAAATAATTTGGGATCATTGATACTGTGTAGAAAAGTCTGTATATTCTGTGGTAGGAACGGGTGAATAATTGGGAGGATATCTTGAGGTAAAAGGTCAAACAGACTATTGTAAACTACAGATATTAGTCCTTGGACCTTAAGAAAATATATACGCAAGTGATATTTTTGTGAAAGTTATTCAAATGTTAAGAAAGAAATATTTTCTGAATCCTTTAGGAGATCAGCAATCATATGCATTCCTGTTCTATGCAATGACTTGTAGAAAATAGGTTTACCTGCGACACTGATATCTTTATCTTGCCAAGAATGATCTTTTTTGTAATTCTTTTATTTCACTGGATTTATTTACTTTGTACCAGGCAATGAAAACTTCCTTCCAAAAATTATTAGTACAAAAGCTATTACATTTTAATACATATTCACCACCAATATTTGATAAAAGATCAATATCTATATTCTTCTTTAAAATATATTTCCATTTACTTTCAGTGCTTTATAATCTTCTTATCCTTCCTAATTTAAAACAGTTTATGAAAGCATTTGAATTAAAACATTTTCAAGCCACCCTTACAAAAATCCTGAACAACAATGTTTCTTTTCACTTTGTCAGTTTTACTATTCCATAAAAATTAAAACAATAACATATCAATTTCTTTTATCACCTTTTCACATGGATTTTGGAAGAGATATGAATAAGTGGTTAGATTGGGATATCATCAATGACTTAATGATATGAATGCTCAAAGACATATTTTAGGAATGTTAATTTAGTCCACATCAAATTCAATTCCAAGTAGTGTAAATTCAGCTTTTCCCCAATTGAAAATTAAATTCTGGAAGCATGGTACCATTGCTATATTTCATACTTCCAATCCAAATTATTTCTGTTTTATCTACATTTGTTTTAAAACCAGATATATTTTCAGAAATATGTTATTCTCTTAAACGTTTTATGGAGTGATTTATCTGATCCATCTAAAAAGCCAGAAAAGTGTTGTCTGCATATTGGGATGTCAGAATCTCAAAATGTTTTGTTTCAACTCGTTTTATACTACTGTTTTTTCATTAAACAAATTGCTAAAAACTTCAGCACACAAGATAAAGATGCAGAGAACTGACACTTTTATCAGTAGTGCATAATTACACATTGAAATGGATATGACAAGCAGGTATTACCTTGGTAATATCTATATTTAGATTGAAGAACTTGACTTAACAAATCATTATGAACGTTCCTGCATTTGGTCCTCAGAACTGACAAAAAAGAGGCTGAAAGTGTCTCCTGTTTCTTGAGCATTGATGTTGAATTTTGAAACATACCAGGTATTCAGTATAGCTTATAAAGTTCAGTGAATTCAGAAGACATTGCACAATATTAATCCCAATTATGGTAATTCTTTAAATTGATACATGCTAACTTTAACAATAGTTTTCTAATCTGTAAACTTGCAGGGTTGTGTGTCAGGATTGCTGGATGCATTAATACATGGTATAGGTACAGAGCTGCCTGGGACAGGGGCAGGACTCGGCCACACCCATAATCTGACTCGCTCCTCTGTACTCATCACCTTACCCCAGCTCAATATGGTGGTACGTGTTCAATAACTTTGTGATTGTCCATACATCTATATAGGACAGTTACAGAAGGGACCTTTTTATAACTGAAATTCAAATAATTTTTACCAGTTTTTGATTTCATTAAATCAAACGAATCTGAGAACAAAATTGAAATGCCATGTGAACGGCTTAGTTTTGATATGTATATAGCAAACAATCTTTTTACATGTGAAAAATACTTAGTTTGGAAAATTTATGGGTGATGATTCAAATTCACACTTGAACATATGCATGTGTACATATTTTAATTACTTTTACTGATATTATTAAAACATGTTTGAATGTAGTTGTTTTGAGATGGATGTGTTTGATCCTTCAGGTTTGTTTTCTGCGCTCTGTGCTGCCCATAGTGGATGAAAGTGTGTCTGAACATAAACAGCTGGAGGATCTGCTTCAGGGCCTACCGGCCAACCTCAACACCAGTACCAATAGTCTCATCAGTACACCCTCACAGACCCCTCCAGATACACCGTCAAGTCAGAAAAAACTCTTCAAAGGTTAGCATGAAAACCACCCTCCCTTACAATGTATCAAATATATTTTGTAATTGACTTGAGTCTTAGCACACCTGTGCACTTTTAACGTCCTTAAAGTCCATGTCGATATACCCTTTAGTTAAAGCAACCCTCACCATGTACAACTCCTGATCAAGCACACACAACATACCCTTGAGTCAAAACAACACTGTCTACATACAATTCCTCATAAGCTCAAAAATTTCTCCTCAGTAAGTCCAGTTGAAATATATTTGAGTCAACACAACTCCTTACCACTTAAAACAAGTCTCGATTAACATAATATCTGTGCCAGGGAAAGAAATTCCATTAATGTATTTACAATAGAGTAACTTATTTGACTTCATAATTTAAAGTCTTTATATTTTGTGTCAAAGTGCAGTGCTAGTTGATTATTTCAGCTTGCCTGTAGAATTACCTAAATTCAAGCAGTAAAGGCTGCACTATCTCAGTGGGTAGATTGTTTAGTAAGGAAACCTCAGTTGAGGATCAGATATAGTTTTGATGTTCCTTAGGAAGTTGGGAAATGGTTTAGTATGTACTGTTGTGGTTGTATCCATGGGCAAGATAATATATTCCAATTGATCTGGATGGCATGCAACATGCTTCCCATGTGTTTAGCAAGATAGTTACCAGCTACTTCATGGAACAGTCACCTCAAAATAACTAGTGCTGTTCGTAAGGAAAGTGAGAGGAAATACACCCAGCAAACAACAAATTGAGCAGTCCATGGAACTTTTACTGATAGAGTAATTACAGTGAATAACATGCTGACCTTTCACCTTTGGGTTTAATACACAAAAGGTATCAGGGTCACCTGCTCAATCATATCAGTTTTGTCTGGGTAGTCTTATTCTATTCCACTTTGTGATTTGCCCAACATGCAAGAAGAATGCTTACTTTATGTTGTTTGACCATTGTAGTAAAATACATCTTAATATATCTTTTGCTGTTACATGTACTAATAAAGTGATAAGAAATGACCTATGGAAGTGATGATGTATGCCGAGTACTAGAGAATTTAGGCAACCAGATCTCTGTCTAGAATTGCACAAATGGGAATATAGTAGGCATTCTGTTGATTACCACACAAGAAAAGCCAAGTTTACTCAGAATTAGAGGTTACACTACAAATGGTCATTGTATATGGTATTTATTTCGGTGGAGCTAGGTTATTTTCAGTTACAACTCCCCCCCCCCACCCCACCCCCTTTCTGTTCTGATTTCATGGTCAGCCAATCAAAACAAATTCACACATAATTCCATGTGTAGTAAAAAGATTTTCACACAACAGATGTAATAATTACTAGTTGTTTTAAACTGGAGGGACATAACATATATTACAAAAACAGGTCCTATTGAACAACTATTTAAGCAATAATTTTCCGTAGATATGTAAGCCTCCATGGCCCCTTTTGATTTCCCTTGCATGACATAAACACTAGAATGTGGGATAAATAAACAACACTACATTAGAGTGACTGACGTTCATGGATATGCCCACACTGCTACCAATGCCTGCAGTAGTTTAGTTGAAATGATTAAATGATGCCTTTCCTGGTGAATAACACACATCTCTTGTGGTAGAAATAGTTCTCTTACACAATAAACACAACTTTTGAACATTTTTTTTACCATTCTTCATGGTCTTAGTTTATTTGCTCTATAACTAATTTTCAATATGTCTCCTTAAGGAATTGAGAGGATGATTTATTGAAGGTATTTTGGATCAATGTGGAGTTCTGACTTCAAAAAGTGAACTTGGCTATTCACTTACAATAATAAATTTTTGCTATGATTACTTAAAAAGGTCCCAAAAAGAAGCTGGCTCTCACCCCTGGCAGTGGTAACAATGAAGATGCTCCATCACCCCAGCCAGGGGACTCAGACTCATCAGCAGGAAAGGAGGCAGAGGATGTACTAATTCTTTCCCTAGGAACAGAAATAGACTGTCCTGGCATGTTGACAGAAAACAAGGTATTGTCATGGGAACAAGAGAACAAGCGCCGGAAAGTGAAGTATCAAACACCAACTAATCTTTTTACTGGAGATGGTCCACCAGTGGAGATCCATGAAAAACGTACTCGTTTCTCGCTTTCCCAAGATCAGGAATCAATAGGTAGGCTGTAGTGATAGGAAAGTCAACTGATACACTAATTTATGTGTATTTGCATTTTGACCATTTTACCACAGCTTCATTTTGAAGAGAAATGTTGATTTTTTCAAATATTCTACAAACATATTCTTTTATTTCTAGAGCTTTGCTTTAACATATTCCATGCCAAGAGGCTACAATATATGTAATATTTATATTTTCGTATGAATTTAACTTCTGATACCTGTTTCTAATTTATCTTATTTTGTATTCCATATCCAGATATGAAGTGATTAGTCAAGGCTTTATTGCAATTTCCAAGTATGGTTTTCATTATATATAATGAAATGAAATTTAAGGAAGAACTCGCAGCAAGAATTGCTTTCACATAAAATGTTATCATTTCAGGAAACACAAGTGATATCCAGGAGGCTATATCAGAAGCTGCCTCCAGTCATTCTGTTGGCTCTGTGGATATGGAAAATGATGATGACAATGATAACTTCTCCGACATGATCTCTGCTAATGTGAGTGGGCGTGGCACCCCTAATATCAGTGGGCGGGACACACCCCTCTCCCAAGCAGAGAGTGAACAAGAACAGGAAGCACCAGCTCCAGCTTTACCAGAAACTGTGCAGAAGTCAAACAGGGTGGATGTTACTGATCGTTTTGGGAAATTTGAATTAGAGCGTATGTATCTTGTGATTGTGATGTTTTATTATTTATCCTTACTGGTATGATATAAATGAGTTTTTATTACCTCGTTTGTGTAATCACTTACAGATTAGTAAAAAAAAATACCTGAGCAAGGGTATGATTTAATAAATATATTTCCAGGTATTGAAAAAAAAATGTTTTCCACTTCTGATATTGATGTTGTATACAGGCAAGTTATGTTTCTGTCCAGTAAACTTATGACTTTCAGTATTCAGATGACATAGACATGGTGTTAAGTGAGAGAGGACATACAAAACAGAGAATGTGTCCACCACTGTATTAGTTACTATATGTAATGTGTTTATATTGAAGGAGATGAGACAAAGTCGACAGTGAGTGATACATGGAGCACTGATGTTCTTGCTAGTGACTCAGAGCCTCCAGAACAAAACCAGTTTGATCGTTTGGAGGAGATCCGTGAGGAGATGGTACGACAGAGTCTGCTGGCTAGGAATGATGTAAGACCTTAACCAGTTATTCCCTAACATTTATGTAGATTTGAATGAATTATTACTATCATTAAGTATAATCAACAAGCTTCATTGAATTGGTTATACCTGAATGCTATTCTTTCTTAATGCTTGAATGGATTTATACCAAATGTGGTCTGAAATATCATGATGGGAATTCAACAGATTTGTCAGACCACCATCTGCAAATTCTTTGGTTTGTCCATTCATTTATCGATTGTCAGATGACTGTTAAGGGCCATGGCCCTCTTTATTTCATTACTTAATAGGCAAATTAAGCCAATGCAACACTGCATGATGTTATTTCCCACTGTTAAATTTAGTTAGATTCCTGTTCACTTGCTTCTTGATGGATAGTTTGTAGGGTCATTAAGGGTTTCCTGTGGAATAAATGCATGTTCAAGGAAGGCTCTGTTTGCTTACAGATTTTTGTAATTGGATTATGGTTCTTTTGAGTAACCTGTTAACTAGCATGCAATTGATAACTCGTCTTTTTGGGTAATATCTTAGATAGCAGACAGTTAACAACTCATCTTTGTGAGTAACCCATTAAATAGCAGACAGTTGACAACTCGTCTTTTTGGGTAACATCTTAGATAGCAGACAGTTTACAACTCATCTTTGTGTGTAACTCGTTGAATAGCAGACAGTTGAGAACTCTTAAGTCTAAAAACATCATTTGTGTTTTACTGTTTGATTTAGATTGTGTCTGAAGTATCAGAGACCGCCAGTGATGCTTGGAGTACAGACGTCCTAGGCAGTGACACTGAAGAAAAACAGGCGGAGATACTCTCAGAATTTGATCAGGTTAACTTCAAATATACTGTTCATATGAAAAATAATGCCCTTTTTTGAGCCTTTTTCAATTTTCCTATCTTCTTACTAGTAGACATAAACAAAATTCTTTAAAGAATTGAAAATTGTTTTTTATTTTATTATTAATAATAATGAACCCATTGCAGACACTGTCAGTGCTGCACAATAGCATACTTCTCTGAAAAGTGTTTGTAAGAAATTGACATTTAAACATCATTATCTTTAGAAAAAAATTAATAAATGTTGTAATCATAAAACTTTAACATTCAAATGAACAATGTAGGTTATATCATCATTTTCTGGAGGGTTTCTTTTGATTTGTAATACAAAGTGGTTGATATGGAGGCTATACAATGAAAAAGTTGGATTTGTAATAAAATTTATTGTTACCATTTTATTTCTGCCTTTCATTTAACAGGCTAAATTTACTGATATTATATTAATATGTAATAGTTAGAAGCTAGAATTTTTGAGAAGGCAATGCACTAAAAGATAAGCAAACTAAAAGTTGAAGATAAGCAAACAATATTTTGTTGAAGTGTTTTGAAGGTCTAGTTTTATGATTTCTTTGATTGATGACAGGATGATGTTGGGAGTGTCACAGATCTTGCTTCTATCTCCGGCGAACAGAGTTTACCAGAGATTCAGGACACTGTTGGAAATGAAGATACTCCTCTTGCCTCTGGTATTTATTCCAACTGGCATTACACTATCCAAACTTGTTGTAATACATTGTAGTAGGTGGGGAAAACCATGAAAGTGTCGTGATGTTGACCAAGTTAACAAGAAGACAGAAATTACAAGGAATACAAGAAATTACAAGGAATAAGGAAAACACAATTCATGTTTAACAAGGCCCAAAGTTCATGATTACTGCCAAGAACATAGATATATCCTTTCATAATGCATTTTAATTTCTTTTATAAAATTCAATAATAATACTTATTAGAAATGGTTGAATCAGCAGGAAAACATTGTTTTGTATTTGATTTATGACTGTTTAGATAAACTTCTACCTCTCTGCACGTGAAGCATTGTTTTGGGTTATACAAAGTTAGCCCTGAAGGGATTAATATTTATAAACTGTATGTTGCAGGCCATCAGAGCCCTACAGAGGACCACCACTTAGATCCTATTGGGGCTGTAGGTGGAGCCTCCTCTGCTGCTAGCTACACTCCCAGTAACCAGCCCCGTCCCAGGGGGAAAAAGAATCCTTTTGCAAAGTCCAACAGTACCCCTTCAGACAGTGTGTTTGAGGATAATGACCCTGGTGTACCAGTCATGCCCTTGAGATTGAGTACCAGTTCACACTTTGACCACAATAAACTGAATGTTCCTGTTAAACAGGGTCGAGGGCACTCGTCTAAATTGGCTCACACTAAACAGTCAAATTATCTGTCTGTGCCAGACTCCAAGTCCTCTAGTCACTCTTCTGACCGTGCTCACTCAACCTGTGCATTTGACTCGCTGTCCTTTAGGAATCCTGTGTACAATGGTGCCAAACCCAAGGAAAAGCAGAGGGCCACATTTGCAGGGTTTGGACCCTCACAACAGCAGCAGCAACAGGGTGGTTTAGACCTGACAGGATTTGGGCCTGTCAGACCTTCACAAAAACAAGTTTTGTCATGGGCTGGTCCTCATTCTGAACAAGCATCATATGCTGCAAATAACACCGAGTCACTAAGTTCAAATAATAGTCAAACAGACTTGGACATACTAGCAGAACAAACAGGAAATGTGAAGCTGTCAGAGCAACAAAATACAACACTGGTGGACACACGTAGACTATCTGCTGCACTGAGTATGTTTGATCCAGTGGTAAGTGGTGACAATGATTCAGGAGATTTACTCGATGATGTGAGTCACTGTAGTGCCTCCTCTAAGGAGATGATGGACTCTCTCTCAAGCATCAATAATGACGATAAAAAGATGGACACCGAGCCGCTAATACAGTTTGCTGATCAAAGTGATGCTGCTTCATCCCAGGCAGCTAACAAAGACTTGAAAATCCCAGTGCCCAGGAGAATATCTAATACAGGTGTTTCTGAAATTCTATCACCATCATCAACCAGTGGTGGTAGCATCTCACTGAATGGTAAGGAGGTGGAGGATGACAGGATGGAGAAAAGGCGAGGAAGTGTGACAAGCTCTCACTCCTCAGAGTCAGAAAACACAAGTGATGGAGCTCCTTTCACCAAGTCTTCTCGCTCAGCCAGCTTCGACAACATGTCACAGAGGTCAGAAGAAAAGGTAATTAAACAGAGCTAATAACTTGAATTATCATCCTGTATATCTGCATCTGTATTGATTTATCTGTTCATGGCACATTTGTTAAGCAACCCACAACATCTACATGTACAAGTTTACAGATTTTTTGTAATCATATGTCACTTTAAAAGAAAGTGATGATTCTGAGAGCACATCTAGATTTGGAAAAATTTGAAAAGTGTCACGAAGTTTGAGGATATTTCTTCATTTGAAGAACATCAAGATATTCCCTAGCTTCTGTTACAGACTAAAGTATGAAATAAACATGAAAACGAACAGTTTTTAGTGAAAATCAATTGAAGTGATATGTTATAATTACAGTTTACTTCATTTGAACAATTTGATGATGTTTGTGTTCTTTGTATACATTTTTGATAACTGTAAGTAAAATCTCAGCTTTTAGTGCAGGCAAGTAATAGGTGACTGACAGTTTTGTTGATGCAGGCAAACATAAGGTGACTGACATTTGTGAGTGTCGGTTCAGGCAAGTAGGTTGTTAGCGCAGCCGTGCATTTCGTGACTGACATTTATTTGTGGTTGATAGTGTAAGGCAAGTAAGTATTAGATGACTAGCGTCTTTGGTGGTTAGTTCAGGCAAGCATTTGGTGACTGACATCTATGGTTGTTTGTGTAGGCAAGCGTTAGGTAACTTGAGTCGATTGTGGATGCAGGCAAATATCAGGTGACTAGAATCTTTGGTTATAGGTACAGGCAAGCATCAGGTGACGGGAATCTTTGGTTATAGGTACAGGCAAGCATCAGGTGACGGGAATCTTTGGTTATAGGTACAGGCAAGCATCAGGTGATGGGAATCTGGTCATAGGTGTAGGCAAGGATTAGGTGACTAGACTCTTTGGTTATAGGTACAGGCAAGCATCAGGTGACGGGAATCTGGTCGTAGGTATAGGCAAGGATTAGGTGACTAGACTCTTTGGTTATAGGTACAGGCAAGCATCAGGTGACGGGAATCTTTGGTTGTTAGTATAGGCAAGCATTAGGTATCTGACTCCATTGGTTGTTAGCATGTTAAGCATTTTTGGGCGAAGGGTAATCATTTTTGCATAAATGATTGGTTTCAACCCCCTGGGGAAGGAGGGGCAGGGCCCAATGAGGGAAATTGAGCAAGTATTTAAAATTCTTTTCTTCCTGAGGGAATGATTGGAATTTGTCCAAATTTAGTCTGATACCTTCATTGTTAGCATGTTAGTTAAACATTCTTAGATTTTGTATAAACATTGGGTCTTGGCCCTCTAGGGCAGGGCCAAATATTGGAAATACAGCAAATTCTTCATAATCCTTCTTTTCCTTTAGTTTAGATTGGTTATTTTCAGCAAACTAAATCAGGTGGTCAATACTGGCCCTATGAGCATCTTGTTAGTGAAGGCATGACTGATACCTCTGTCTGTTCGTAAAAGAAAGCATGACTAATATCTGGTTATTTTTACAGGAAAACGGAGATGAAGATCAAGACGACAAAAGTCCAGACAAGAAAAAAGGATTTTTCAAATCTTTTAAAGAAAAAATTAACAAAGGTATGTAATGTATATAGTATTCATTGATTCATGTTGTTCTGTTCATAAACAAAGCAATTGGGAGGTATTGAATTTTTACAGGATTCCATCCTTTGACTGGGAAAGATGGTCCAGCACTGATAACAGTACATAAGAGAATGACTTAAGTACAGTATGATTTGTGCAGTGTTTTGTATAGATTTTGTAAGGTTTGTATGCACATGAAACTGGACATGATAATGGTAATGAATATAAAATAATGTCACTCCTTTGAATTTAATTTAATATCCTAATGAATGTGAATAACTAAAAAGTCCATTTCATTCCTATAATTTTATCTATTGTTGTTATATTTACTTAGGGAAGACACATTGCAAAAAATGTAAATATAACAGTTTGTTTAAGTATTTTCTTTGCATGTAAACTTAAAATACGTAGTCTCAATCCTTGTCCCTGTGATATCTAAGTCTTTACTGATATTTACTTTGTTTCTTTGTTAAATAGAAGCAGTGTGATTGGTCGAGATTAAGAATTGCAAATTACATTATAGTATAGATGGTTATTTTCATAAGGATAACATTTAATGATAATAGAAATTAAATCTGTAAAAAATGAGACATGTTTATATATGACGTCTTTTTACATCCTGATTGCAATAAAATAAAATTTGATGGTTTAAAAAGAAAATTGTGCAAATTTTGATCTTTGAAAATAATCTAAAATTTACACGGATATGATATTGATAAAGGAAATATATGCAATGTTAAACTGTATGCATGAAAAGTGTTTTAAGTTTAGGTGATATGTACAGGAAAGTATAGATTAAAACTAAATGTAATAAAATTGATATTTTCAATTTGGTTTTGCACATAAAATGTGTAAGTAGTAGCAATAGGAGGTCTATTGATGTATGTTTCACCCTTTAAGATAGACACGATAAACCAAATTCTAGTTACTGTTATTTTTATCTTTATGTTATAACCTTTAAACAAATGAAAGGTATCAAAATCAACATGAAATCGCTTAGATTTTACGTTCACCTCTATCAGTGTCCTTATTGTATATATTACATTGAGGTTTTCAATAATTTTTTGTACATGTTTTTCCTGTACAGTGCGCTCAGTGTATGGCGTGGAAGGTAATTCTCTGTCTGGTACACGTACTGTAAGACCCGTTTACGGTAGTTTTTATTATCCCCGCATGGAGCTTGAAGTACTTAGTTAACAGATGTAGACCTTTAATGATACTTATGTTGTTATTTTGAATAAAGACAAGTATGATTTATTCTTAGAATTACCGCCATACCTAAAATACACGTATGGAAAAATATTTTACCTGCTGTCTTACAAATTAAAAACCAATCCTTAGAATATAGTCTCATTCTGTCTGGCAGCATTATAAACAACCTACAGTCAGAACTCCTAGATGTCTCCATTATATTAATATCACTTCAAAGTACCATACTTCTGATATTGTAGTGAGATTAGTGTCACTGATAATGATAAGCTACACATTGCAGTGAATCAAAAAATGTACATATGCAACAGAGTATCATCAAAACAGATGCTGATAAGAATAAACAAGGATAGCAAGTGCTAACTGCCATTATAGCTGTTAACCCTAAAACAAACATGTCCCTAACATCTATATCTGTTAAATACATATTCAGGGTTTTCCCTGTGACCCTCAAATTCATATAATTTAGGGGTACATTGACTACAATTATAAATGATTTAGTGTATAATAAGAGACTACAATCATAAATGATTTAGTGTATAATAAGGGGTCAGAATGTGGGTTTTGAAGAGTCTGGGAAAAACCCTGATTTTAGTTTAAAAACTAGAAAGGATTTACATGTATTTGAAAAACTTCTCTTTGATAACTGGTTGATAATTAGCTAATATCCAATTGTAGGAAAAGCTGTGTTTATAGTGTCAATGCCCTGTAATTAAGCTTTTGGATCTAATGATGTTCAGATCAGGTATACTGAATGATATATGTAAAGAAACCCATGGATAGGTACATCACTGAAAATTTGTTTAAGGTGGTGGAGGTAAACATTTTTCTTACTTTTCTCACGATATGAGTACAAAGTATTTTGTTTCACAACTAAGTAGAATAGAAATTGTTTTATAGCACACGGTTGGTGTCCTTATGTGTTTACATGTGTAGGGCCTGCTTGATACATTCACTGTAAACTTTTTATTTGTATGACGTGTTTGTCATCCCTTATGAATTCCTACCTATTTTTTACCACATAAATCACTGTTGTATAGAACATTTGATTGGAAGTTTTTTCCAGGCTTTACCTATCATAACAGTGAGTCCAGTTCAAACATAATTCTTCTATGTGTCATGTTTGTGTCTTGAAACTTAATTTTGCATGAATTAAACTTACCTTTTATTATTGGAACTTTTTTCTGTTTTGTAAAAAAAAAGTAAATACATAATCATTAATTAATTGTTATAAGTTTAAGGGATCAACATCTATAATTTTGGTTTTACTAGTTCTGTTTGAATTTTTACAAAAAAAGTACTGGTATAATAATAGATATGGTAGAGATCTACTGTATTTGATGTTCTTTATTAAAGTCAGAAATTAGTAAATATTTGTCATGATAATGTCACAGTGCATTTTCTTTGACAAAATGGATTACTTTTTAGAGAATATCACAATGATAAAAAAACGTATCCTAGTTCAGTTGGTATTCATGACAATCAAGGTATAAAAATATTGAATATATGTACTTTGAATTGGCAAGTTCCTATAAATTCTTTATTGTGTGTTTTATCCATTGTTCACTAATTTTTAATTTTCAAGTTGTTGTACAACTGAGATGAGAATGATGCTCAGTCCTGAAAACTGGCACAAGTGGCAGAAAGTCCTGGCCTCTACCTGTCTCAGTCTTTAACCATTGTAATAGAAAATAATTTCTAGCTAAACCACAACAACTATGACCATTCTTATACATTTTTGACATATGTTTGACCCCTGCAAGGTTCAACATTAAATCCTTAATTTTTGAAGGATAGGTATTATATAAGTATATAGACTGACTACATAAATTAAATTATCAATTTTATAATATCAATATTTCTTCTGTTAACACCATTTATTTATCTTCCAGGTATAAAGAGAAAAGGCAACAAGCATGAGTTATCCCGAGATGATCCAAGTTAGTATAATTGTCTAATGTTACTAAGTTTGATTCATGATATACTCTATCATAGTGTTGACTTGGCCAAATCATCATCCTTTAAGTTTGTAAATGAAGTTAATGATCATTATTATGTCACTTTGAGACTTAATTAATAAAGGTAGATTCAATCGCAACATACCCAAGTGTCACAGATTAGTGGGTGATTTATTCTGGTGGACTAGTTTTGTCGCTAAGGGTGAGGCTTTATCAGGACAAATTTTAGGACAATTTTCACCCCTCGTGACTTTATGTAGTAGTTATGATATTCTCTCTGTCTGCTATGTGTTTTAATGTCTAAACTTTCAATTCTGGAAGTTATATTAGAGTCCAGAAATGTATTATTCTTTAACAATTCATTTGTTAAATATACTGAAATATGTAGATCTGCAAAATGGTGTCGGTAGCTGTACTTTGAATCTGTCTGAAGAAATTAATTAATTGTATTATCTTGTCTTATTAGATGACTTGAACAGTTCCTTGGTCAGTAACGGACATAGTGATGGGTCCAAGACTTCACTTGATAACAGTTTCAAAGATGGTAAGTACAAGAGTTCTTCCATTACGCTTGTTGTAAGGTTTCAGTCAAGCAGTTCTTTAAGAGAAAAAAAAAAAAATCACCAGCAGTTATTTCCCTTTACCCACGCCTGTGATTGACATAAACTCCTTGACTATGTTAACATGTCAGACAAATGTTGCTTCTGATGTGAGACGTCAACACCTGGATTGAAATACAGTGGAATATTCTCAATGCATTTGCAAAGTTTGGTTTAATGAGTTGATAATAAATTACTTGTTTACGTTTTAGAGAGCACAGATGACATTTTGGCCAAATACAGGAAAAAACCACAAGGAATTTTGTCATCTCAGAATAATGAGTCTGGTGGTGCCACAGGAAGCTCAGTAGATGCTGTTCCATCAACTGTAGCATTTAGCAATAACCCTATCAAAGAAAAGAGGTTTGTAGCTTTATTTTTGGTAGTAAGATATACAAAATGTGGTTTGGAACAAGTCTGTGATTTTCTGATTGTAAAGGTTTCTGTGTCAAAGATTGATTTAAAATAAAAAAGTTATTTTCTGGGTTTTAAACAAAGCTATTAAAGCCATCTCCTTTGAAATGTTTAATTGTATTAAACAGAACATGCTTTTTAGCAATATTACATACATTATTATTGTCTCTTTCTCTCTCCAGATTTTCTATTCGGGATGAAGACATGACAGAATCACCTCACTATGATCCAAGCAATCTAGAAAATTGCTTTGCATTCATTGATGCTAAACGAAAACTTCGAATTGTGCTGAGTTCTGCTGAATTCCAGGTTGGGTACACTCCACTGGACCTAACCTATGGAGGTGTGTCTGGGTCATTACGGGAAGACAACAACAGGAGGGACAATGAGTTGGTGAGGCTGCTGCGTGCTCAGCTGGCTGAAGCAATCAACCTGCAAAACAAAGACCTCATAGCTCAGCTTCACGAGGCTATTCGCTGTGTTCGCATGTTTGATAATGATGGGTAGGTCCAATTCTTACATGTATGGAGCCAAACTGTTGGTTTTTTTTCTGAACATAAGTTTTGGATTTGTAATGGCATTTTTGATAACATTGGTTAGGGAACACTAATCCATTCGAGTAAAGTATTAATTTATGACTGATGTGTAATATGGGCTTGCTAGTTATTGTTTTTCAGGTGTGAAGGTCAAAGGTCAAAGTCACTTGTTACTTTAAACAGGAAATTTGTTTTTGTACAATAACCTATCAAGGGTACTAGCGTGAGATTGCTTTTCAGGTCAAAAGGCCAAAGGTCTAGGTCAGTGAAGCTGTAAAAAAAAATTGGTTTTGTGTGATAACGTGAGTTTCCTTTGGACAATTAGACTCAAACTTCAAACAATGTTTCTTGACAAAAGAGGCTTGTTTGAGATTGCTTTTCAGGTCGGTTGTCCCTGTTCTTGCAATATTGGGATCAAAACAGATTATATAAATGGAATAAATACAACAAATATTTATGACTATTGTTCCATTAAACTCATCTCCGGAAATCTAGCTGGGCAGGCAACACATCCACTTCTGTGGAATTTTTGTCTTACCTGTTCTTCAGAGTTATAAATTGAGGATCTTAAATGAGTTTTCCTTTCATTTGGAAGTTATCATTTTTGTGAGGTGTGACAAGCAAAAATAAAAAAAACTTTCACATGAATTTCATAAAATCATATTAAGTAGAAAGCTGTTTTTACATCTTCTTTATCACATAACCCAGAGAAGTTGCATTTTGACATTTTAAAGACAAAATGTGGAGGACAAAATTAAATGGAGCGACCATTACTCTGCCATTTTTAATTCATGATGTAACATTATTGTCTATATTATAATATTACAATCAATTTCTTACTGGCACAGCCAATGAACAATAACCACATAGCAGGCTGATTATATGCATATATATTCCAACAAAAGACAACTAGTCCTTTATTCTACCATAACGATTACCCATGAAATGATATAGTGTATATATCTCATTCTGTGTATATATTTCAGTCTGAAGAAACTGGTGCGTTCCCTGCAAGATGAATACCATAGTCGATCTGCCTATGTTTCCTACCTAATCCGCTGTAGACAGGGTCTGCTGTCCACTCTGTCACACGTCACACGACTTCTGAACAGGGTCAACAGGTACATCTTAAACTCATTTTACCATTAACATCTTAATTTCATTGTCTTTAATGCAAATGGGAGAAAAAAATAATCACTGTCTTGGTGACATCAATAATGTGCAGTCTTTTATAAACATTTCTTCTCCTGAAAGTCCTACTGTGGTGGGAAAATGAATAAAAATTCCCTCAACTTTAAGGTCCATATAGATAGGTCTTGATCCAAAGGACAGGATTCATAGGATTCCAGCTTGTGATTGCTGTCACTGTTATTAATGTGTTATATTCAACTTGATATGTAGGTGAGAATGTTTTGAAACAAAGATACAAATTTTATATTACAGGTATAAGGACGTGTGTAGTCGGCACCTAACAAGTGTGCTTGTCCGCATGTTTATTGAAAAGAAGGAAACAAGCGTGATAAAATTCATATCAGACTTCCAGAAGTTAAGTGTACCAGATGAAAAGGTAAATTTAAAAGCAATACCATTAGTTGTTTTCAATAACTTAAGTTAAGACTATATCCTTTGTTTTTCTTTGGTACGTTATGTTTTGCAAATACAGCAAATAATTTCATGCTGGGATGTTTAGAAAAAATTTTCCATGTTGAATGTTTCCTAACTCAGAGGTGTCAAGATTTTCCTGAACGATAAACATTTCTGTTTGTTACACAAAATCGATATACAGTAAAACATATTTATAACAAACTCTCTTATGGCAAATTGATGGTTATAACTTAGTGTTGTTCATTTCCCGACAGATACCATATCCTTTGTATGAAAATTTTGAAATGTATAACAGATTCCACGTAGCAAATAAATGTCGATCATGAAGCAGCTTCTAGGTCTTCTTAGGTAAATAACAATACAAATTGGTCACCATATAACATAGTGGTCCTGGCCACAGTGATGTAAGAACTCTGACACAAAAGTATATATCATACATATGTATACAATAATAAATATGTGTGTCAATGTAAGTGCCAAACACAGGTAAGGTAATTATAAATAAAGGGAATTGTTGTTATAAATGCCTCAGGTATTCTATTGCATTTAGAATTTGGAGTTACTCTTTTTGTCATACGATAGATTAGCACATACTGTTTTAGATGTTGTTAGTTTGGAAATGGATTTGTTGTCTCCATCTCCTAAGAAAAAGGCTATTAATCTTGAAACTAAGTATCAAATTATCAACAAAGTTGACAATAGGACCACTGCAATGGGAAATTGCAGCCAAGTTTGAAATCCTGGCATCAACACTCAGTACAATTTTGAGAAACCACAGTGAAATTTTGAAAAAGTACTTGACTCTAAATTCATCGCTGAGCAGGAATTGGCATCAGATTGCTATGTATGAAACTTTTGAAAAGGCTCTATAGCAATGGTTTATAGAAAAAAGGGATCAAAATATTGTTATCTAGGCCTATTTTATTGGTAAAATCTGACAGTTTTGTTAAACAACTTGGATACAATGACTTCAAATCTAACACTTGCTGGTTCAAATGAGACATGATATTGTGTATCATTCAGTATGTGGGGAAATTGCTGTTGTTAATTGAACAAATAGAGTTTTGTCTGCAGTCGCATTGTTATTTATTTTTTTATACCAATCATGCAATAATGACCTGTGTACATAATGAACTGATTATCTTGATCCCTAGAGCTTCGTGATAAGTGTGTTTTTTCTGTGTACACATTATTATAAGGTCAGATCATAAGGAAATTGATTATTGGGATATGTTTCAAGAAATTACAAGTTTACTATATGACATTTCAGACTGACTTCGTAGAACAATTCCTGCAGTATTTGTACCAGAACATGAACCAGGACCAGATATGGCAAGGTAAGATACAATAATACCAAAAGGACTTGATTTTATCTAAGTCATTGTTTTTTAGCCTTTATGTAACTTGACAGAGTAAGCATGTGTCACATAGTTTGCTTATAATTTCTGATGTAGAACAGTCAGCTAAACATTTCTTCATCATAAAATTTTCAATACACTTTATGTCAGTATTACCAGTAGTCAAGGTTTTACTGTCAAAATCCATGAGTAATTTGATGGCTGGGCAATCCTGAATTCGAAAAAGTTTTTGAAACACTAGCTGCAAATGGAAAATTTGAAAACATTTCTGAAGCAACTGCGGAGGCAGGTCTTTCATTGCTATACACCAATAAACAGATCTTTGAATACTTGAGATTTCCTTACTGTGACAGCTAGATTAATGATGTTTTACGTTTTTGATCCAGCTTCCAATGACAGTCAAATGGAGGATGCACGTGTGGTAATAGAACGTTACATCATGAGTCGTATCTACACTCATGCCATGTTTCCTAATGGAGACGGGGACATCATGCGGGACCAGTGAGTTTACTTCAGGACTTACCACTTATCAATGTGTATCTTAATATCCTAGAGGGAAACATTTAAATAAATGCATATTTTTTGTTTTAGCTCATATACTAATGCATGATCAGTGTTAAGAGATTTACTTGGTATTTGAAGGCAAAAATATTGAAAATTGACAATGAATATATGATATGTTTTCAAAATATAGAAAGTACGCAGTTTAAGTGGGTACATCATTTATATATTATCTGTTCTACTGTTAGGCTTAAATATAGAATTTAAATCCAATTCATAGATTTTATCAAATTTAAGTATAGCCCTAGTGGTAAACCTCTTTAATATTTTTTCCGTTATCACTGACAGGCTTTCGATGATTCAAAATTCAAAGATTGAATTTCTGTTTTATGTTTTTCATCTCAGAAAATTCATTGTATAGGGTTTATGAATGGAATTAGACAGCAGATCAAATTTATGAGATCGTTCTTTTTGATTGTGAGTGGTTTCCAAGATTAAATATAAAATCAGCATTCTGTGATTTGTTTGACTGGTATTGATTTCATCCATGGTTATTTTAGAATTCTGCACAAACATATCAAGATGTTGAGCCAGGTTATCACACCTACACACAAGGACCTTGGCATTCCGAGGATGTATCACTTTGAATGCCCCTGGACAGCAGCTCAGAGGGAAATATACATGTTAAATGCATATAAGGTATGGCCAAAGAAGATTTGAAAGAGATGCAAAAACTCTACATCCATGGATTTTACTTATATTTTAGATTCAATATATTGCCACTTATTCTGATTCAGAATTAGGCTTATCCTAGAACAATTATTATGATTATTGCAGTCTTAACAGCACGTCAACACATAAAAGGTCATCAGGGTCATTGGCATAGCATTGGTTTATGACTTTAATGAAGAGCAGTGTATTTTGATGGGTTTATAATAATATTATGAGAGATGAGCTTATTAAGATACTCAGTTTAAACTCAAAATGTCATAAGCTTATTATTTTCGTCTTACAGACACCAAAAGACAAGCTGCAATGTGTACAGAGATGTGCTGCTACCATTATGAACTTGTTAAGTATGGCTAATGAGAAGTCTGTGCCTGCAGCCGATGACTTCATGCCAGTGATGATATATGTTGTGATCAAAGCCAACCCCCCTTGTATGTTGTCTACAATACAATTTGTTAACAGCTTCTATGGGGACAGGCTATCTGGTGAGGAACAATATTGGTGGATGCAGTTCTCGTCGGCTGTAGAATTCATTAAAAACATGGAATACTCCTCAGAATAATTTTATATTTATTAAATTGTTATCTTTGTATCATCACATATCCTATAGACCATGCACTGTTATAAATTTGTAAATTATTAAATATCAATATCTATGTGGATTTTTTCTGAACAAGATCCGTGGGTTCTTTATGCACAAGCTTCACTTCAGGTAATAATTTTTCTTCTTAAATTTATTTTTCTGTTCAGATGTTTTGCATATTTTTCATTTTTTTTTTTAAAAATTGTAATATAATTTTCCAGTAGTTTATTAAAAACATTATTAGTAGGAAATGACAGCTGCTTTTAATTTATTGAAGTTTTTTATTTGATAAAGAAGCAATTTGTCAGCACTACATTGAGGACACAAGGCTTTGTTTTGTTCCAAGATGACACAACTTAATATGCCGTCCCTATGTAGACATTGTCTTAGTCTAGCTATTTTCGCTTTTAGGAAAGAAATTTTAAAATCACAACGTTCCAGTCAATATTGTAGTTTTACAGTTATTCCAGTAAATCATCTATTCCTCTCCAGGACTCTTGCTTTTGTTTAGGGATATCACCCATAGATTTTATTGATAATTTGAACAGAAGTAATAGGCAGGAATCTGAATTATGGATAGAAGTGAGTCCAGTAGTTGTGTTACTCGGATAGCTCTTGTTCACATTTGATATTTTGCTAAATAGGATTTGTGTTATATGAGTGTGTTCTGACCAACTACTACAATGTCTAAAGCTTCAGTGGAAACCTCTGTGATCAGTACAGAATGGATGTTGTGTCAGCCCATTGAAGTTTATGATTTGTTGTTGCAAGGTAAAAATTAAAAAACCTGATAAGTAATGTAAGTAATTTGTGGTAGAGGTGACAAAGTTAAAAGTTAAGAATATTATTTACACTTAATAGAGGAAACTCATAAGTAATGATTAAAAACAGGTATTCAGATGTTCCACCAATACAGATTTATACCTTAAACTTTATCACACTGGTTTCCCCTTTTGTTTTTATGCAGAAATCGGTTTTTAAATTGTACATTTGATTTCCTATCTTTGACATTAGAACAGGTGAACCAATAATAGTGAATTTGTTTGCATTGTATTGACTGTGTATCTTTTTTTTTCTTTTATTGGAAATATTGATGCCCTCATTATTGAACGAAAATAAAAACACATCATTTTTGAGTTTATAATTAGTGTGATACGAACAGTTTTAAGGAAAACTATTGATTTTTAGTTATTTGACAATAACAATTTGCTCAAATGTGACTTGGCTTAAGTGATATATGTAGGTAAAAAGTTCCCTGGCACTTCTTCATCAGCAGAGTTGCGTAGAGGACATCATGGGCCGATGTCTCCTCATATCAGTATTACAATGGTGTTATCACTATTTCATGTTTGTACATAGCTTTTGTTTATATCTCCTTTATCATGTTTGAAGTCATCAATATTTGATTTCCTTGGGTTAAATCTGAATTTATATTCATTAATTATGATTAGATAAGTAATTATATTTAATTTAATATGTACATTATATACAATATATATATTTACATCCTATCAATTTGTTTACAAAACTTGTATTTAATTAGTGAGGTATACTCAACTGTATATATTAAGTGCTTTGTTGAAGATTGGAAGGTTTGTGATAAAATATCTTGATGCATTCTGTATATTGTTTACTGATTGATGTATAGTGATTTTTTATCGACATATATAGCCATAAATGTGAAATATCTGCTGAATTGAGCAGTACATAACCTTTTGCCTAAATTTAATCATTGAATATTATTTTTCTTTACAGACATTTAATCAAAATAAATGTAGTGTGAGACATGCATAAAATGCAACAGATGAGTAATAATACAATGAGATTGGGTTGAAGTTAAGAAAAGATATTTCAGTGTAATATATATCTTGTGGGACATCCTGTCTAGCTAGTCATAATTTTACTGATTGCCATACTAATACAGTAAACAAGTTTTATCAGATTTGAAACATTACCCATATTGTAGATTTTTTTTACTGTGATTAAATATCATCATTAAAGTTCTACTAATTGTGTAAGATATACAAAAACCCTGTTTATACAGTAGAAATGTTTTAAGATTGTCCTATTTCCGTTTCCAAATTCTGCTTATCCTTAGGTTACTTAAAAAATTTGACTCACTACTATGTACTATTTCCTGGCCTATAGATAACCACTGAGGACCATCAGATTGTACTTTTAATCAATGAGGGTGCTTCAGTTGTTTCACAGAGATACTGCAACCCCTCCTATATGTTGAGTCACTCAATCTGAATGTGTTGTCAATTTATTGTTCCTTTAGCCAAACAAACAAGTCAGAAAAATATAGAGATGAACAAATGTGACCTGTAAATGTAAATAATTAGCTTCCTTTTAATACTTAGATACACTAGAAACAAATACAATTACTATGCTTTCAACTTTTTAAATTTTTTCAGTGATCATCACAGAAAATTTACATCAAAAATGGTAATAGTGTAAAATATGTAACATCATAGAAAAGTATTAATAGGTATTCTTATTTCTTTGCTAATGATATAAATGTGGTTGATGAAACTGACAAAACCTTTGTCACGGTCCTCTCATTCTATGAATTCCAGCTTGTCTGAGTGTGATTTATGCCATGATGTGGCATCTGTCGTCTATTTCCTTTTTCTTTGAGTGACCTCATACCGACAAAACATGATGAAACTTAACAGTTTTGGTAACCTTGACTGAGACCAAAGGTTACCATAATCAGACTTTTTTTAATCATTTAATGTTTTGCAGACTTATATTTCAAAGTGGATTTAGGAAACTTATTTAGGCCTGTTTTGAAGATCAATCAATGTTTTTTCAAAAAACATTAAATAAAATATGAAATGAGCAATGAAGGACAAGTTGCCCAACCTCAAAATGTGTTTTTAATGCAATAAACATTATGATTGACTGTAAACTTCTTCATAACCATGTTGACGAGCGTACTCAAGTTTGTGTATTGCTGTCAAAAGGTGAGAATTCTACATTTTCTTAATGCATAATATTGTTTGAGAAGGCAATAATACATTGGAATTTTTATATTGACTACCATGGAATTCATTTTACTTCTTCTGGCTTGTTCACTGGTGCTGCTTTCAGTTTAGATTTAACTACACATTAAACTTGTTTGACATTTATGTGATCAAAAGTGGGAAAAAAAGAAATGATCATTCGAAAATTATGTCCATTCATTAAGTTATTCTTCTGAAATCTTTTTATTTCATCCTTTGATCTACAACATTCCAATCGATCAGTGACATGCTTTTTCATGTTTCCATCCAAATTTGTAAATTTCATCATATTTGCTGAATAATCTTCATTTGAGGTGAAAGCTTTAAGAAAATTTGAACAGAAATCTGCTGCTGGTGGACTGAATGATTTAATTCCAATGTCCATGAGTGTGAGTGATTTGAATGATTATAATTTTTGCGGTATATCACTGTCTGTTCACCATAATTCCACTAGCTCTGAAGACTGTATGCGGTGTTTTTACAATGGTGATACTAGCTCTATATCATATGCACCATATGTAAGGAAGTCTCAGACATTTATTAATTTTAGGCAGTATTGATATCTTCTTGTACTTTTGATAGAGTTATTGTCCTGAAACTGTCAGACTTGCGAGCTTGGGTATTTCACCAGTGCACATACTGATGAAACTCAAGAAAAGATTGTTTCCTCATTAATATGTGTAAAACAGCATTAAAGCAGTTGTGCTTGTGATAGAGGATCTTGCCCGAGTTTCACTTCATACAAGATTTGTTAAATGAGTGTTAGAATATTCATTTCACCGTGCATCTGTCAAAGTATAATGAACAATTCATGACAAGTTTCATGCATCTCACATTTACAGAAAACAAAATTAAAGATTCTGTTTATCACATAACTTAAATACTGTTGCAACATTCTTAGATACTGTTGCAACAGTCATGAAATAGCACACAAATTCTGTATTGATGATTTTCTCACTCTATATATCTTCATTTGGTGATGTCACAATGCATATGACTTCATTAAGTTATGATATCACAATAACAATAATTGGGATCCTTCAGTCAATTAGTTATATCAAATGTGTCATTATGAACATTATTTAACTGATGTTATAACATTGAAAATGGGGTAATTATTTAATGAAGACAAATTTTGTTTTGTTACAACATATCCTGCTTGTGGAAAGTGGGATTAATAAACAGTTGCTTACGGAGTGCCACATTAATAATGTAAAGTTAGTTTATAAACCAAATTCCTTTGCATGTACTATGTAAAATAGGTGAATTTATTTTAGTTACATCTTGAAAATCTTGATTGTTAGGAAGGCGATTTAAAGGTACTGTTTGGTGGATACCATTCTTGCATACTGCAGGGAACTGTAATGTTAGGAAAAATTAATGATGTTACTTATCAAATGTGATGTTTAAAAATATGAAAGAAAGAGAAATAATTGCTCTAAACCTGATAGAAATATTGAAAAACAATTAAAATTAATTCCTTACTATTTGTAATGGAGATGCTAAATGTGAAAAAAACATGTAAAAACACTTGCAAAGTGTATGAATTTATTTGCAAACTATCTATATACAATTTCTTATGCTGTGACTGATTATTGTAATGTTGCATATTTAACTATATATACGGTGATATTCTGACATATATGTGTGTGTAATCCGTACACCTTTCTTGTACAATTTTTTGTTGAGAATTCTTGACCCAAGCATTCCTGGGTTTCATGCTATAACATAAACTCCAAGCTATACTTTGGAAACACAAGTTGTTGTAACATTGCCTGTTGTAGCTTGCAAACATGTTACCGATAGAGGAGTTGTTGACCTAATGGGAATGCATAGGGTTGCAGTATCGTTTCAGGATGATATGTTGTTACGGAAGAAAAGTCATTGTTGCTCGTTGGAAATAAAGGCGGTTTGAACTTAAAAAAAAATCAGATTTTTTTTGTTTTTGTTTTTTTGATAGAGTAATCCATGACCAGGTTGTTTAGTATTGGAGACAAAGTCTCAAGTGACTTGTTGTGATTGATTTCTGCCTGTCTTCATGCATCAGTGTACAATTTACGATTTTGGCTTCTCAAAAGCCCAAGAACCATTTTTAAGTAAATAATGACAAAATTTTTTCTTAGATAAAGTGAATCAAACAGATTATATGATCCCCACCCCACCTCACCTCAGGGGTCTCCGGGGCGGGAGCAAACTCTCCAATTTATGAAAGTTGAGTTTGTAAATAAGGGAGTGGATGCTATAAACAGCAGCAATATTTTGCACTAAGATTTGAAGCCACCATTCTGCCATACTTCCAAAGCAGAAAGACCATAGTAATTTCCTACAGTTACTCCCTAGTCCATCGCATCCGAACTTTTCAAATAAAAACAAAGGCTGCTCCAACTGAATGTAGATGAAGTTAGAACTGGTCTTCCGTTCGAGCTCTACTGCTACTTATGGTTCAACTGTGCGTGTAGTAACTGGTGATTTAAGCATTTTTAGGTCGCCTGAGCCGAAGGCTCATGTCGACCTATTGCCATCATCGCCTGACATGACAAGTATGTTATTGTGCCTGCAGTTAAGACGTCCAATAACTTGATCAACGTCTGCAAACAACAATACATTTCCTGTATACAAAAAGAACCGGGTTTGCTTGAAGAAAACTTCACCAATACGTTATGCAATCTTTCAAACGATGGAATATTTGCTAATTATGCTTCGGTATTACAATAATTTAGATAACTAATTATAAGGATACGGACATTTTTCGTTTATATTGGGCTCTTGAGCTTCACAAGAATCCATATTAACAATGTTATATTTCTGACTCGTCTAGCTGTTTAACCAAGCCTTTGTCAAAACTACCAACCACCATTCTAAGTACTATCATACTGGGTCACAATCTTATTGTATGTGGATTTTTTTAAGTATTCCAAAGAGCTTTTGACCTATCTTCAACATTTTTCTTCCAAAAAAACATGTCTTCTACAGGAACATTTGAGTTTTCCACCCTGTACACCACCATATCCTATTATAAACTGAAGGAACGCCTTGTTCTCTTGTAAGGAGAGCTGTCTTCTCTAAGAAAGGTGGACGGTAGTGTAACTTTATGGTTGTGAACTGTACTGAAGCGTATTTCGTTAAAAATACGTCCTAATCAAAGAATAAATATACGGATGATGAAATTATGAAAATGATTGAGTTCCTGGATGGCAATATATTCGTCAAGTTTCGTGGTAAGATCTTCCAACAGACCATTGGCATACCTATGAGAAGTAACTGTCCCTCTGTTGGCCGACTTGTTTTTGTTTTCATACGAAGCTGTATTTATTGAGGGGCTTATCAAAACAGGTCACAAAGACATTGTAAAATTTGTCAGTTTCACTTACAGATATATTGATGACGTTTTGTCTTTATATAACAAGAAATCTATCGACCACGTCCATCGTATATACCCACCAGAATTGAAAATCAAAGACATAAGAGACTCTCCTACGTCAACTTCTTATCTCGATCTTTTCCTACAACGAAACCAACATGGACTTCTTTCCACCAAGTCGAATGATAAACGTGGTGATTTTAATTACCCTATTGTGAATAATCAATTTCTGGATAGCAATATCCCAACACCTCCAGTCTATGCTACTGACATGTTATAAGTTGATTCGACATTCAAGAGCCTGTTCCCATCATCACGATTTTCGTGCAAGAAGTCGTCCACTGACGGCAAACTCGTAACAAAGGGTTTCAAAACATGCAGCTTAATGAAAATTATGGGGAAGTTTTATGGCAGCTATCGTGATCTATTTTATGTCTTTGTGTGATATAAAGCTGGACGTGTTTGATGCTCATTAACTTGCCTGTTGTATACTTTGTACTCACATGACATTACTTGCTTGGATTGACCAAGGTTTACATGGCGGATTTCGTCCATAAAGCAGATGCCTACTCTTCTGGAACACCTGGTCTTATTCTCCTTGTACTTTTTCAGAAGTCTCCGTGTAAATCTTGCTTTTGTCCATTTTGCTCTAATTTTATGGAATTTGTGTTTTGGTTATGATGATGTTGCCATGCTGGTATTTTCTTGATGTTTACAGAATACCATACACCTGATTGACAGTGAGGTTATGTTTGAAGTGTTCTATATAAAGAATAATATAGTTGTAGCGCAACAAAATGTTATTTTCTTGGCTTAAGCAATTTCTATATTTTGTAATAACAGTAAGTTCAAGTTACCTTGTTTATTTTATGTCGAAATAACAAAAAATGACAGTTTTCATATAACTCAGAAGACCTTGAAAGCTCTTTCGTTTAGAAGAAACTTGGATTAATTTCCTTCCTTTGTTGTCCGTCTAAATGAACAATGTTGCAATACCCAACCTCAAAAAAGGCAAACAATCCAGCCCTAAATTTTGTCCTGGAGTTTATTGTTACACGACATGACAAGTCCTGTGAACTAAGCTGAGGTTTAACCTACGTACATGTGGGAGGACGGGTACACGTCCGTGTTACAATCGTCAACAGTGCAACAGAAATGACACTCGTACTTCCCTGCTATGTTCACTTTGCCATAGGACAGACAGTAGTCGTTGTCGGAGGAGAAAGACAACCACTTGTCATTGCACGTAGTCTCGTCAACACACCTAAAATTGCACAAAGATAACTTTATATTCACAAAAGTAATAGATTACACCTATGCCCAGCTGTATTAGATTATACATATATCACATTTATTGTGTACGCTTATTGTTGAATGCTGAGATTAATGAGTGTCTCCATCAATATTCTAACATTTACTTCAGCTGCGTCTTTCCAAACTCACTTCCTGAATTTTAACAAGAAGAATAGAACTAATTGTCTGATACAGTTTAATAATTATTTAGGTTGTACTATATATAAAATAATTGGACCAAATTTAAATTGAAAGATGTAATTTACTTGTGTGTCATTTGTACCATTCTTTGAAGTTGCATGTTATAGATAGCGTCACGGTTCAGAATATACACATGAACTTGAAGTTCTTTGGAAAAACTCTAAAATAGAAAATTTCGGTTTATGGCTATGAAAGGTTAGATCACCTTCCATCAGCACTCTATATTTCCACACTTCAGTCCCAACGCAGTACAGATGAATCCTGGCAGGACAAAACGCGACTGTGTCATACTACTGAATTTTGTTTCTTTTGCATATCATTTGTAGACTTAAGTTCCCACGGTATTGCATCTTTTTTTCTAAACTATTTGAAGAGTCAGCAATGAAAGGTACAGGTAATTTATCTATTTTACGGGTTTTACCATCCTCGATACTCCAGGGGTTACGATCACTTTCGCTCTCTGCACCCCTGGAACATGTCCTCGATGCTCCAGGGGTTACGATCACTTTTGCTCTCAGCACCCCTGGAACATGTCATAGCAAAGTGGAAGACACAAGCGAAATAATTTGGTTGGTTCCAAGAGAAAAAAACAGACCAACCACAGGCTGATACGCTCATTTGAAGATTATAATGGAGAGACAGTCAGCTTCAAAACCATTACAATATACCGTTATGTGACCTAAAGATTCGTTTGATGTTCATCAGAAGATCAATCTAGTTTTTACGTCTTGTCCACAGCGTGTCGCTCATGGAACCTTCGATTTTGTCATGACATGTTCCAGGGGTGCAGAGAGCGAAAGTGATCGTAGCCCCTGGAGTGTTGAGAATGCGATTTTACGCCCACTATTACAACATTTCGGCCTTTCACTGGCCAAGTAAAGGTAATGTTTACGGCTCTGTAATATAGAAAGAATGGCAAGAAATGTCCGATTTTTTTTCACAAAATCCTAATTCGAACAAATTTTCTCTGACATTTTGGAAAGTGTTGTAAAGGAGAATAAACAGTTTCAGGAAATGCAGCATTGCAGATTCACCTGTTGTCACCAATACAGACTCAAGATAGGAAATAAAACATTCTTGGAACTTAATTGTGCAGATCTCCTCGTTTGTTGTCCAGCCTTGGATTTATATTTGCAGATAAAACACAACAAAGTAAAGGTAATTGTCTACGTAATAAAAAAAACACAACAGGTACAACCAATTGTAATTGTGGAATCAAATTTTCTATAGGATCTGCGCAATAGAAATTATATCATGGGTACTTTGATTCCCACGATTGTAACTACAAGGAGAGCGAAGACTAATTTCACGATGGTAACTACAATGAGAGTGAAGACTAATTTCACGATGATAACTACAATGAGAGTGAAGACTAATTTCACGATGATAACTACAATGAGAGTGAAGACTTATTTCACGATTGTAACTACAAGGAGAGCGAAGACTAATTTCACGATGGTAACTACAATGAGAGTGAAGACTAATTTCACGATGGTAACTACAATGAGAGTGAAGTAATTTCACGATGATAACTACAATGAGAGTGAAGACTAATTTCACGATGATAACTACAATGAGAGTGAAGACTTATTTCACGATTGTAACTACAAGGAGAGCGAAGACTAATTTCACGATGGTAACTACAATGAGAGTGAAGACTAATTTCACGATTGTAACTACAAGGAGAGCGAAGACTAATTTCACGATGGTAACTACAATGAGAGTGAAGACTAATTTCACGATGGTAACTACAATGAGAGTGAAGACTAATTTCACGATGATAACTACAATGAGAGTGAAGACTAATTTCACGATGGTAACTACAATGAGAGTGAAGACTAATTTCACGATGATAACTACAATGAGAGTGAAGACTAATTTCACGATGATAACTACAATGAGAGTGAGTGAATAACTACAAGGAGAGTGAAGACTAATTTCACGATGATAACTACAATGAGAGTGAAGACTTATTTCACGATTGTAACTACAAGGAGAGCGAAGACTAATTTCACGATGATAACTACAAGGAGAGCGAAGACTAATTTCACGATGGTAACTACAATGAGAGTGAAGACTAATTTCACGATGATAACTACAATGAGAGTGAAGACTAATTTCACGATGATAACTACAATGAGAGTGAAGACTAATTTCACGATGATAACTACAATGAGAGTGAAGACTTATTTCACGATTGTAACTACAAGGAGAGCGAAGACTAATTTCACGATGGTAACTACAATGAGAGTGAAGACTAATTTCACGATGGTAACTACAATGAGAGTGAAGACTAATTTCACGATGGTAACTACAAGGAGAGCGAAGACTAATTTCACGATAACTACAATGAGAGTGAAGACTGATTTCACGATTCAAGGAGAGCGAAGACTAATTTCACGATGATAACTACAAGGAGAGCGAAGACTAATTTCACGATGATAACTACAAGGAGAGCGAAGACTAATTTCACGATGGTAACTACAATGAGAGTGAATACTCATTCGACAATGACAGTTATATAGATAATTACGGCTACAAGGAGATTATTTCAAATTTTGTATAAAACTGTTTGTCTCTAAGCATTCTTTTGATTTAGTTCTTAAATTGATGGAATTAAGGTAAGGACAAAATTGGTGTGTACAGGAGCGCTACTGAAGCTGAGAATGAACAAGTAAAAACATTCTTCCCACGAAGACAACGATAAGATATGACCAAACTAAATTAATCTTGGCATAGATTATGTTATAAAGAAGGTTATTGTTTCTTGAAATTATCTATAGATGTGTTACACTGATATGAAACTAGACGATTTTTCAGTGATTTCACAACTGTGCAAATGAAGTGTCTTTTGTATAACAACATTGTTATGTTTGGATTTGGTATTAGAGACATCACATCTCAAATTGTCCTTACGTTTTGTATACGCTTGAATATCCGGACTCGTCCACGAAGACTGACGTCATACAGAAGCTTTTACCAGTGGGACACTGCCGAGAAGAGTTGTAGTATGTTTGTCGCACAGTGCACGGTAATCCATCTGCTTCGGAGCCACATACCATACAGTTACGACCAGAGTCTGTCGTTAAATAAGAAATATTACATATATGAAAACAAAGAAATTAATGTAAGATGTAATTTTTAAGATCGAATGATTGTATGAAAATTCCACACAAAGGTTAACATCTTTGATTTGGAGGATATCAAATGTTTAAGATTTTGGTCTAACCTTCTGTAAAATTAAATCAAAATATTTTATAGAAACATAGTGATTTCGCTAAATACAGACTTTTACCGACTTCAGAAAAAATATCAACCTCTGAATCCGTCCTTAGTCATAGAGAGATTTAACGGTGTGTGTATCCAATTAAAATACTATGACATCATCGCTAAGTGATTACTTATAATGTATCGATAAAGTGATCTATTTGATCATCATTCCGCGTTAGGGAGAATTAAAACAGCTATACATGTTACTGTTCTGAGTTGCTCTTCTGTCATATTGGTAGTTTGTACCCAGTTTTAAATCAATGACTTACTTGCTGGGGCAGTCGATTGTGTTGTCGGTGGCTGTGTGGTTACAGTACTCTGACCTGTGGTCAGAGAAAACATCTGTGATCTTTCAATTCATATGGTCGTTTTTAACGTTCAGGAATTAATTTTCAAATCAAGTATCTAAATTCGAATTTCATTATTGCTCAATACATTCATGATCACTCCAAAGGTAGCGCTTGTTTGCACTGCAATGTTTAGACTGAGTAACTTGCTACATTAGAAAACTGATGTAAGTCAATCAGTATTCACTGTTAATGGGATAAATCAACACAAAATATATGCAGTCATTGAGGAATGTACCTGACTAGCAGTTTGGTGAAACTCTTCGATAATTTCCCCAACAAAAGACTTATTGATCTCTCAGATGAACAGCTTTATAATCAGAAATGTCGTAAAAACGATTTACGATAGTGACTGTTTTCATGTCACTACCAATGAGGTATCTATCTATAAGCCCAAATTAACTATGTGACGCCCGTGTTCATGAAACACTTAATAAATCAACAGTCATTCCTCTCTCTATTTATTTGTTGTATATTTATTTCTCTTCAAATTAGTGTGTATCTAATAATATCAAACAAAAAATATTGATTGAAGTTTATTATTATTCTAGTGTTGTTTTTGCTTGCTTACTGAATTTTGAACCTCCCTTTGGTCTGAACAAGGTCGAAGTCACATTAATTCACTAAAGACGCTTATATCGGTAACATTGTAATGTGGCAGCGATACCACGTACCTGATATGGGATTGTAGTGTTTCTGGCAATCTGAAAGTAAAAGGATAACATTTTAACCATGCACAGGTCAACGTTATGGCTGACTCAGCAATTTAACCATGCACAGGTCAACGTTATGGCTGACTCAGTTATTTATGGCGATTAAGATATAAATACACCCAAGTGGAATAAGAACTGGAGGTGTATTGAAGTAGGCCTTTGCACAATTTCTCGAACTTCTGAGATGTCCTATATGCATTAGAGATTATGCCATCATAACGCAAGGGGTCAGATTAAATAAATTACAAATATATAGAAAAAGTCGTAAATATTAGCAGCATATGTCAGAATTGTGGATATCAAATACAGTTGACCCTTTCTTAAAGAAATCATTTAATTCTATTTTTCACTTGAAGACGGTACTATTTTCAAAAATATACGATAATAATGGTCCTCTTACATTCGTCACAAAAGCCACAGTACTGAGGACACTTGTCTACAGCGAGGGCATGACCTGTGGAGCTTTGCCACGAACAGAGGTCGTTCTCTTGGTGGTATTGTTCACATTCAAAATGTGGAGGGTCGTACTGGTCAACACACATCAATGTACCGTTTCCTGCAGCGACACATAAATATATGCGTAATGATGATATGTATAGGTATGTCCTACATAAAGTTTAAAAAATCATAAATAATACCAAACATAACACTATATACAAAATTAACTGAAACATAAACAATATATAAGCACATAGAAAAAAAGATGTATTCGATATCATGAAGAAGTCTTTTGCTTAGTTATAGTTCTATAAGTATTGTCATTGATTGATTAGAAAATGTTTATCACCATAACTACACACCTAACAATAACTGTGCTTATAGCCATAACTACACACCTAACAATAACTGTGCTTATAGCCATAACTACACACCTAACAATAACTGTGCTTATAGTCATAACTACACAACTAACAATAACTGTGCTTATAGCCATAACTACACAACTAACAATAACTGTGCTTATAGCCATAACTACACACCTAACAATTACTGTGCTTATAGTCATAACTACACACCTAACAATAACTGTGCTTATAGTCATAACTACACACCTAACAATAACTGTGCTTATAGTCATAACTACACACCTAACAATAACTGTGTTTATAGCCATAACTACACAACTAACAATAACTGTGCTTATAGCCATAACTACACACCTAACAATAACTGTGCTTATAGCCATAACTACACACCTAACAATAACTGTGCTTATAGCCATAACTACACACCTAACAATAACTGTGTTTATAGCCATAACTACACAACTAACAATAACTGTGTTTATAGCCATAACTACTCAACTAACAATAACTGTGCTTATAGCCATAACTACACACCTAACAATTACTGTGCTTATAGTCATAACTACACACCTAACAATAACTGTGCTTATAGTCATAACTACACACCTAACAATAACTGTGCTTATAGTCATAACTATACACCTAACAATAACTGTGTTTATAGCCATAACTACACAACTAACAATAACTGTGCTTATAGTCATAACTACACACCTAACAATAACTGCTTATAGCCATACTTGTCTTCCTCGCAATAACTATACATTTAGCCATGCATATGCTTCTCGCAATAACTATGCTTTTAAGTGTAGCTATGCTCCTCGACGTAATTAAACTACTATTCATGGGTATGCTACTCGCAAAAACTATACTTCAAGTTATAACTAGGCTCTTTACCACAACTATACCTCTAGTCGTAGCTATGCCTCGCCTCAGAACAATAGTACTCTCCTTCCGCTCCTAACCAAAACTATGTTCTTAGTTATAACTATATTTATTCGGTGCTAAATTTTTTAATGAGTGATTCATCTTTCCCTTCGTTCAAATCTGTCATCACAAACGACAATCAGTTGGTTATAAAATCAAGTTACGAGGTAAAAAAACATGTGCACTGTTACATGTGTTTTTTGTTAAGTTCTTATTAACTATACCTCCAAAGAAACAACTAATGAACTCATACATGATATTTATAATCTTGTAGTTCAACAATCAAACCAGCGAAACAAAAGCTTAACTGATTGATCTTAAATAATGGACAATTAAGCTGGAATCGATGATTGCAAAGTAGAACATTAAACAATCGTTTCCATCATTTTTGATATCATTAACATGAAATTTTCCTATAATTATATATATATATACATACCTTCCTTGCATGGTGTTGGTGGGCGAGGTGTACCTATTGGAGATTTTTCGAAACAAACTCATGATTAATATCATTTCATTTTTCCAACACTTGTTTTGTTAAAAATTTTGAAATATATCATATAGTTGTTCATGTTTTTTCTCTAATTAGCTTTAGTGTGTAAATAGTTTTGCAGTGATTATAATTAAATGATAATACATTTTATATGTATAACATTATACTTACTTCGAGTTGTTACAACTGGGACTGATGTTGTAGAAAGACTGGCCGATTTTAAAGTAGAATAGGATTGTTCTGTGGGAATTGTGCTGGCAGTTGTACCGCTAGTCTTTTGTGTTGTGGGAATTCGTTTTGTGGTTGGAGGTGTGGTTTCGATTATCGGAGTTGTGGTTGTGGGAGCTGTGGTCGTGGTTGTGGGGACTGTGGTTGTGGGAACTGTAGTCGTGGTTGTGGGAGTTGTAGTCGTGGTTGTGGGAGTTGTAGTCGTGGTTGTGGGAGTTGTGGTCGTGGTTGTCGGTGTTGTGGTCGTGGTTGTCGGTGTTGTTGTCGTGGTTGTCGGTGTTGTGGTGGTGGTTGTCGGTGTTGTTGTCGTGGTTGTCGGTGTTGTGGTCGTGGTTGTCGGTGTTGTAGTTGTAGTGGTCGTTCTAATTGAATCCAGTAATTTTTCGATTTGAATGAGATGTTGGGGTTCTGTGAAAGTAAAATAATGTCCAAATTAGAGAGGAATGATCAGGTTTGAGGGCACAAAATCCTCCCCCTTATTTGAAAATAATAAAAGTAAAAAAACAAAAACAAAGACGTTTTTCGATCATTTAATATAGTTCAATGTTCAGAATTCATGCTTTTTCTACTGCATAGTCTTATTGTTCACGTCATGACATCTCGCGCGTTTTGTCATCTGATACCACACCATCTATTTCATTATATCAACGTAATATGTAGGTAAATTAAATCGATTGTGTTTATCGAATACATAATTATATATATCTAACGCGTCAAATCTGATATAACAGAAATAGTTTGCAAGGAGAAAAATGAGTGGTGTCTTTCTGTCTTTGGATGTACAAGAAGAAGCATCACAACAAGATAAAGTATTGTTAATATTACAAATACAAGGATCAATATTTTATTTTGTGTATGTTAGGATCCATTCATTCCAAAATATATTTCGTTGAATTTACCGTTAAATGTAATTCACATCGTACACTGCTGAATTTATCATATCATAAAATGCATTACACGTGATATTACACATTAAATAGTTGTAACTGATCTGTTCGCTTCTCCGTAAATTTAGGTTGTCTCAAAAGATTCTCTTCAACTCCTTTAATATAGCAGTGTTGATGATTCTCTCTATATTTGTCTGCAATTCTTTGTTGTTTATGTGATCTGTCAAGCCAATTTTAAAAGTTTCACATCAAAAAAAAAAAAAAAAAATAATTGATTTGCTAGCCGTTATATTTTTTTCGTTATTCACATATTGTCCACAGGCAAGTGTTGTCTGACTTGATAATATATTCTTTGAGTGACAGTTCCTTTTCCATATGTTTTCTAGAGATTATTTTATAATCCAAGTAGTTGTCGCTGCCTATGACATTTTTTATTTATTTATCGGGAACGCTAAACTCTAGTATATAAATGATATATATAACTGAAGAAAGTGGTCTAAAACCTTTTATCGTCACATTTTCCTGTTTTTAGTAACACCAAGAATAGATTTATATATCGACATATTTACATAATCTTAAATCAAACTTAAATTCGATACAATTAGGGCAAAGATGAAAGATATAAATATTCACACGGACGTCCATGTTTTTCTAGGACGATAAGACTCGTCTGCTTCATCGAGGACAATGGCAAGACAACATTTATTCAAAGAGTAATGTTGATCTTGTGTTTCACCAAATAACGCTTCTTATTTGATATAAGAAATATTATTTGTAGACTGCAAGTTCGTGGCAATTAGAAGGAAAACTCGTTTAGATGCTTCGGAATGTTCGCTTAATGGTACAAGGAACATGTTGAGAAATGTAATTTGAGGCGGAGCTGTCATGGTTCTTTATAAAGTATTATGGGTCATACAGAACAATAGAAATATCCTATCAATGTGGTGATTGATTAACATAATTTGTCTAAACACATTCGAGTACCTTGTGACAATGCTCAAGTTCCTGTATAAAATATTTTGTATAAGATTAGTCTTACTATATCTGATACATCAATATCAGACATCTCATATACTATATCAGCTATCTTATATAACTAAATATGGACCTACACTGTTTCTGTGATAAATGATAACCTGGTTTGTTATAGAGGACATCCGACATCTAAGTGTAGCAGAAAAAAATCAGGAAAATACCAATATGTCAACATAATCCAAACTCGTTAAGACTTGATGAAGTAAAAGCTACTCCTGTTACATGTTAAAACTTGATGAAGTAAAAGCTACTTCTGTTACATGTTAAGACTTGATGAAGTAAAAACTACTCCTGTTACACGGTAAGACTTGATGAAGTAAAAACTACTCCTGTTACACGGTAAGACTTGATGAAGTAAAAACTACTCCTGTTACACGGTAAGACTTGATGAAGTAAAAACTACTCCTGTTACACGGTAAGACTTGATGAAGTAAAAGCTACTTCTGTTACACGGTAAAATTTGATGAAGTAAAAACTATTCCTGTTACACGTTAAGACTTGATGAAGTAAAAGCTACTTCTGTTACATGTTAAGACTTGATGAAGTAAAAGTTACTCCTGTTACACGTTAAGACTTGATGAAGTAAAAACTACTCCTGTTACACGTTAAGACTTGATGAAGTAAAAACTACTCCTGTTACATGTTAAAACTTGATGAAGTAAAAGCTACTTCTGTTACACGTTAAGACTTGATGAAGTAAAAGCTACTCCTGTTACACGTTAAGACTTGATGAAGTAAAAACTATTCCTGTTACACGTTAAGACTTGATGAAGTAAAAGCTACTCCTGTTACACGTTAAGACTTGATGAAGTAAAAGTTACTCCTGTTACACGGTAAGACTTGATGAAGTAAAAACTACTCCTGTTACACGTTAAGACTTGATGAAGTAAAAACTACTCCTGTTACACGTTAAGACTTGATGAAGTAAAAGTTACTCCTGTTACACGTTAAGACTTGATGAAGTAAAAGCTACTCCTGTTACACGTTAAGACTTGATGAAGTAAAAACTATTCCTGTTACACGTTAAGACTTGATGAAGTAAAAGCTACTCCTGTTACACGTTAAGACTTGATGAAGTAAAAACTATTCCTGTTACACGTTAAGACTTGATGAAGTAAAAACTATTCCTGTTACACGTTAAGACTTGATGAAGTAAAAGCTACTCCTGTTACACGTTAAGACTTGATGAAGTAAAAGCTACTTCTGTTACATGTTAAAATTTGATGAAGTAAAAACTATTCCTGTTACACGTTAAGACTTGATGAAGTAAAAGCTACTCCTGTTACACGTTAAGACTTGATGAAGTAAAAGCTACTCCTGTTACACGTTAAGACTTGATGAAGTAAAAGCTACTTCTGTTACATGTTAAAATTTGATGAAGTAAAAGCTACTCCTGTTACACGTTAAGACTTGATGAAGTTAAAGCTACTTCTGTTACACGTTAAGACTTGATGAAGTAAAAGCTACTCCTGTTACACGTTAAGACTTGATGAAGTAAAAGCTACTCCTGTTACACGTTAAGACTTGATGAAGTAAAAGCTACTTCTGTTACATGTTAAAATTTGATGAAGTAAAAGCTACTTCTGTTACATGTTAAAACTTGATGAAGTAAAAGCTACTTCTGTTACACGGTAAGACTTGATGAAGTAAAAGCTACTTCTGTTACATGTTAAGACTTGATGAAGTAAAAACTACTCCTCTTACATGTTAAGACTTGATGAAGTAAAAGTTACTCCTGTTACACGGTAAGACTTGATGAAGTAAAAACTACTTCTGTTACACGGTAAGACTTGATGAAGTAAAAGCTACTTCTGTTACACGGTAAAATTTGATGAAGTAAAAGCTACTCCTGTTACACGTTAAGACTTGATGAAGTTAAAGCTACTTCTGTTACATGTTAAGACTTGATGAAGTAAAAACTACTTCTGTTACATGTTAAGACTTGATGAAGTAAAAGCTACTTCTGTTACACGGTAAAATTTGATGAAGTAAAAACTATTCCTGTTACACGTTAAGACTTGATGAAGTAAAAACTACTTCTGTTACATGTTAAGACTTGATGAAGTAAAAGCTACTTCTGATACACGGTAAGACGTCATGAAGTAAAAACTACATCTGTTACACGTTAAGACTTGATGAAGTTAAAGCTACTTCTGTTACATGTTAAGACTTGATGAAGTAAAAACTACTTCTGTTACATGTTAAGACTTGATGAAGTAAAAGCTACTTCTGTTACACGGTAAAATTTGATGAAGTAAAAACTATTCCTGTTACACGTTAAGACTTGATGAAGTAAAAACTACTTCTGTTACATGTTAAGACTTGATGAAGTAAAAGCTACTTCTGATACACGGTAAGACGTCATGAAGTAAAAACTACATCTGTTACACGGTAAGACTTGATGAAGTAAAAGCTACTCCTGTTACACGGTAAGACTTGATGAAGTAAAAGTTACTCCTATTACACGGTAAGACTTGATGAAGTAAAAGCTACTCCTGTTACACGTTAAGACTTGATGAAGTAAAAACTACTTCTGTTACACGGTAAAATTTGATGAAGTAAAAGCTACTCCTGTTACACGTTAAGACTTGATGAAGTAAAAACTACTTCTGTTACATGTTAAGACTTGATGAAGTAAAAGCTACTTCTGATACACGGTAAGACGTCATGAAGTAAAAGCTACTCCTGTTACACGGTAAGACTTGATGAAGTAAAAACTACTCCTGTTACATGTTAAGACTTGATGAAGTAAAAACTACTTCTGATACACGGTAAGACGTCATGAAGTAAAAGCTACTCCTGTTACACGGTAAGACTTGATGAAGTAAAAACTACTCCTGTTACATGTTAAGACTTGATGAAGTAAAAACTACTCCTGTTACATGTTAAGACTTGATGAAGTAAAAACTACTCCTGTTACATGTTAAGACTTGATGAAGTAAAAACTACTCCTGTTACATGTTAAGACTTGATGAAGTAAAAACTACTCCTGTTACATGTTAAGACTTGATGAAGTAAAAACTACTCCTGTTACATGTTAAGACTTGATGAAGTAAAAACTACTCCTGTTACACGGTAAGACTTGATGAAGTAAAAACTACTCCTGTTACATGTTAAGACTTGATGAAGTAAAAGCTACTTCTGTTACACGGTAAAATTTGATGAAGTAAAAACTATTCCTGTTACACGTTAAGACTTGATGAAGTAAAAACTACTCCTGTTACATGTTAAGACTTGATGAAGTAAAATTTACTCCTGTTACACGGTAAGACTTGATGAAGTAAAAGCTACTTCTGTTACACGGTAAAATTTGATGAAGTAAAAACTATTCCTGTTACACGTTAAGACTTGATGAAGTAAAAACTACTCCTGTTACACGTTATGACTTGATGAAGTAAAAACTACTCCTGTTACATGTTAAGACTTGATGAAGTAAAAGCTACTTCTGTTACACGATAAGACTTGATGAAGTAAAAGCTACTCCTGTTACACGTTAAGACTTGATGAAGTAAAAGCTACTTCTGTTACACGGTAAAATTTGATGAAGTAAAAGCTACTCCTGTTACACGTTAAGACTTGATGAAGTAAAAACTACTCCTGTTACATGTTAAGACTTGATGAAGTAAAAACTACATCTGTTACACGCTAAGACTTGATGAAGTAAAAACTACTGTTACACGGTAAGACTTGATGAAGTAAAAACTACTCCTGTTACACGGTAAGACTTGATGAAGTAAAAACTACATCTGTTACACGCTAAGACTTGATGAAGTAAAAACTACTGTTACACGGTAAGACTTGATGAAGTAAAAACTACATCTGTTACACGCTAAGACTTGATGAAGTAAAAGTTACTCCTGTTACACGGTAAGACTTGATGAAGTAAAAACTACTCCTGTTACACGGTAAGACTTGATGAAGTAAAAGCTACTTCTGATACACGGTAAGACTTGATGAAGTTAAACCTACTTCCGTTATACATAATATTAAATAAAATCTCCTTACACAAACAAAATAAAACCGTTACACAGTTTAACTTAATAAAGTGCAACCTACTTCCGTTGGTATACGATGTGATAATTACCTGCATTACACAGTTAGTCTTAATGAAGTAAAATCTACTTCCGTTACACTGTTTGACCTCATGCAGTTCAGGCTACTTCCGTTACACTGTTTGACCTCATGCAGTTCAGGCTACTTCCGTAACACGTTATTATCACATGGGGTCAAGCCTATTTCCTTTTACACCGTTCGACATAACAATTAGGCATACTTCTGTTGGATATTATAAATATGTCAGGTAAAACCTACCTCCGTTACACAATTTGCTGTTGCATGTTCTTGTTCCAGAATTACTCCCATGGTTTGGTTGACTGCAATGGTGACCGTTCAAGTTCACGTTGTTGGATTCCCACTGTAAATATTCGAATTTGATTTGATTTTAATTGATTAAATATATTCATTGTCAACACTTAACAAGGGATGTGGCACAAGGTACTTATCTACGCCTTCTCTAATACACATTTAATGCATATATCTACAATAATAACCACTATTAAGATTTAAAAATGTAACCTAACTTAAGGAAGGACTGCACCTATATGAAGATATTTAAATTATGGTCTACAGTAAAATGAGGATTCAGCATTGTATCTAAATTGAAAGCAATATTCAAGTGTGATATTTTAATCAAATATTCCTTTGATTTGTTTGATAATGACACCCTAAAATAGGTAATGAGGTTCTCACAGGCATTATTCATAAGGTTTACCCTAAAAAATCATCTATAATGAACGGATGTCATTGGTGTTAAAGTCATGGTGTAGAAATTCAACATACGGTCACCGAGATAAAATGCACAGATAGGGAAGATGGTATACCAAACTTCAAAGATCAATAGATTTAATGAGGTAGTGAACGAACCGCATCACTTCAGGTCTCCTAATTCTGAAGACTAGAAGGTAAAAACGACGACTAGGTAAGGGAGAGTCCAGGAATCCATTTGTTATTATCTTCACCCAAAGTATGTAGATTATTTTCACTAATAAGAGGTGCTAGTAAAAGGTACAAGATGTCTTGTATAACAGTTTTCATTTTATTCCAGTGGCAAGAAAATAGTCCGCCAGCCTGTTCATAGTTTAAATCATCAATACGGGAGTACAATGGAAGATCTGTAATAATAGGGACAGCTTCTCTCTACGCTTTCTCTAATTTTCAGATTCAAATCTAGAACACAAATCCGATAACCCACAATGATATTCAAGGTCTGGAAAGATGAACGTTTTCTAAATTTACGAAAAAGCATCAAGACTAAGTAAATGTTTAATTTTCCTTAACGTATTTATTGTTCCCGTAACAATACCCCTCTACCTTTTAAATTTTTTCTAAATTTTATTCCAATTGTTTTTGGTGATCTAAAGTTTAAGATTTACCCCATCAAATTCTAGGTCTGTATTTACATCAATATCTACAGAATGACTAATCAATGGTAACTTATCAGCATCAAGTGCAATCGACCAATTTTAGACCACGTGTTTAACCTTTCTAGATCTCTATTCAAAGTTTCTAGAAATTTCAAGATAAGTCGACGACTATTATAATGATATATCAACTACATAGCTGCAATATCATCATTTTAAATTAAAAACAAAAGTGGATTAAGAGGAGATCCTTGACGAACGCCAATTTCATTTGATTACTTTCAAGTTTATAACATTCCTAATTGGAATTGTATATCATGTAGAAATTGACATCATAGCTTCGATTAACACGCTCGCCTTTCACCTAGACGTCTGGGGTTCGATCCCCGGAACGGACGTGATAAGGTAAGGGGTCACCCGGGAGTTATACCCAGATACTCCGGTTTCCTCCCACAACAATACCCCTAACGCATTTATATCATGGTCAACAAGGGTGATTAGTATAAGCTGAAATAACTTGTTTCGTAATTGTTGTAAGATAAATAAGGTTTATACTGAATTTGTGACACATTTGTTAGTAGCTTTTTAAATAAAATGTATTTAATACGTACGATACAACCATACATATGCCTTGTGTGATGATCGTCCGAATGCGTTTCGTTGTAACACACCTAAATAAACACATAGATAATGATAATAATAAAACAACAGGTAACAGTCAGACTGAATATAAGGTTGTTAGAGCCATATAGCCTCGGATTTTCAAAAGTTTAAAATTTGAATGCTTTTTAACTTTCTGATATCAAATTATGAACAGGATTGAGGAATCGTGACTGTACTTACTGTGTGTGGATGACAGGCGATGACGGTGTTACATTGACCTAAAAAGTCATCCTCGGGACATCCAAAGCATAATTTCACATTGCTATTTAACGCCTGGTCTAGAATTCTTAACGCTACAAATACAAAGCTTTCATGAACTCATAACATAGATAATAAAGTAACACAACTAATAACAAATTATAAGTAAAACGTGTTGACGATTCTGTTGTTTTCGCAAATATTTTATACCCTCAGATATTTCGTACAAATAAAAGTGGACATATATCATTGAAATTAACTGTTTCACTTCACTTCCTGCAAATATAATTCATGATTTCTTTTCAATATCTTTGTTCCCGCTCTGTTTACATCAATGGTGATTGAAACTGTACGTTTCCTTATAAGTTGTCTCAAAGTGGCAAAACGCAATTTTAAAATATACTACAGCAATATCGAATTTGTGCATTAGGTTTTAAGATTCAGCATTTTGGATTTACTCAATGTCCAGATTTGTTTAAACATTGTCATATGATTACTCCCCGAATAGGAAAAGAATATTTGGCTGGAAAACATGAAAAGTAAAATGAAGTATTTAAGCGGAAAGTGTAATATCAATCGAAGCGTTCATTTTTGGAGGAGCAGGTCCATTAGGATTCCAACAATTGGTGGGTAAGAAAACACTTAAAGTACATTGCTGGCCTCATTAAATACTCTGTACCAACATTTAATGCTGATAGAAAATGTGTTACAATGTTAACATAATTGATCACTTGTTCTTCGTATCGTCCCCAAATGTCGTGATGCGATCAAGCCATAGCATGTTTGACGTTCCCTGCCATTGGCACACCACATTAGCAGTATTTTCAAGAATTATCTCTCAGATGGTGATTTTCCCTTGTGTCATAGCAAAGTTGTTATAGTCTGTATAATGCAGGGCGCTATCCAAATGCTAGGCATGCTAGTCAACGAATGTTAACATTTTGAAAAGAAATTCTTACTAAACGTGATCTGCATATTCCGATACCCAGTGGATGGTTAGTTGGAAATTACTGAGGAGAACGACAGCAGTTCCGTTATGTATTCATAGTATATTACCTTGGTAACCACGCAATCCAGGTAAAAATGGTGTCGAATCAAGCATGTTCTAGTATAGTGATATAAACTTACCTGTTTCACTAACAGGCGTAACTGCAAGATCTGCAATGGTAGAGAGGCAGAAAGTCGTTTCATTTTTCTTTTTAATGATTTTTTGATGACGACTTGTCGCTGTTTTATGTTGTTACAAGTTTGGAGTTGAATATTAGAGGTGGATATATTTTTATCACCCTGTATTGTACCAACTTTCCTTTAGATATCATAAATAGAATCTGCACCCTCGCTTTATCTCCGATATATCAACCCCATGGTAAAAGTTTTCATTTTTTGGGGCTGAAATTGAAAGAAATATGTATCCCCTCGAGAGTTGATGTATGGTTGTCAACATTACTTAGAAGTATTTGTCTACTCTTAATTTTAAAATACTAAAAGATTTATCGTCGAAATCAAGGCATGTTAACTGGTTTATTCACGTGTGACAAAATTGACGGCATTGTCTGAATGGGACATAAAGTGATGAGCAAAACCACATGTGAAAAGTTGAAGGAAAAAATCTTAACGCAAGACACTTGCATGTACAAATTTACTCACCTATTCTGCATGCGAGGTTCATTTCAGCAATATCATGGCTGTGGGCTGACAAATAAAAGACATGGAAGGAAAAGACTTACATAAATATAAACAATATAAGTGATCCATGGAAAATGATAAAAAACGGTAGAAAAACGTATTGTCTCGCTTTGCATTTGGTTTCCGTCGTTAAAGGTAGGCGTCCCTTCCTCTCCAATGCAACGCGTTTTGATTTCTTCTGATGAAAACCGTCTGAATCTTTCGACGGTGATAACAGTATGTTACGTGCCTGGGGTCCGTACAAAGTTATACTTAAGTCCGTGTTTACTTAATGGTAGATAATAACAGCTACACTACAGCAGCAGATATATACAGATAATATGGTAAGTGTTACTCCCTAGTAACACCACTGCAAAATACACGCACTATATACATCGTATGTACAACGCCTCAGAGTATCTCCCAGAACCTAATGTTGAATACAATGACAATTACCAATACATATACAGAATATAACATAACTAGGTGCGGAGCTATCTTACACCCGCACACCAAAACTAATTCGAGGCACCCTTCACGGCTACGTGATGTACATAAACTGTCGCCAGCTACTGTGTTGCGATCACACCCGAGACCTATGTCCGCCGAACACTGTGTCGAGATGCTGCGGACATAACTAGTTTAAACACACTCGTAGTACCGTTCTATCAGTAAATGGTACAGATCAGGGGAAGGATTATTCAGTCACTTTTATCCTTCTGTGCAACACCTACCAAATAGTGAAATAACTGCGATGTTAATAACACGACTTGCTACCCTCTAGCTGTCTTTGGTTGGTAACGGACTTTCCGTGTCTCTGACTCCTATCTCTTGGCGTTGTCTTACCGACGAATGTCAGCATTCTGGCTAGGTTTCTCGCCGTGGTTGGTTGGCTGGTTGGTTGGTTGACAGGTTTTTCGTCTCCGCGACTCCTCCCGTGTCCGGGTATCGTCTCGCGGACGAACATTACCATTTTGGCGACGTGAGGGAGGCGACCTGCACCCACCTCGTAGGGATAGAACCATCTGTAGTGATGAACGTTTGACTATGCTAGTTTTAGAAGACGGCTCCAGGGCATCCTAACTCTCGATTTTGATTCATGTCCAGAAGTGAAAAGAAGGAATTGGGGGCCTACATAGATTTGGTTTAGGTAAGTGTAATTCTTAAGTCCGTAAAATACTTTAAAATAATTATATATCGTATTACTATTCATAAACCCACGGACAAGTGTTATTATGCATGCCCTTGTTCGAAAAGCCACACAGGGATCTTCAGCGTGCGAGAGTGAACAGTCCTCACACGGACTTTCTCGTCGTTTATGGCCTTCTATTTCATACCAAAGGAGGAAACAACATCCACTAGTGGTGATTACAAAAACTAGTCACCGGTCATAGACAAGCTTTAATAAGACAGAGAATAAAGCATTTAGCATATGTACACAGAATTATTTACACATGGCACCTCTTACTTGAAGGAAGACGTATTTTAGTACGAGTGTTATGATACTTTTTGTGAGATTGTTAATAAAATCACGCTTATTGATAAGTTTGTACTTACAACAGTCTGCTCGCGGAGCGGCTTTTCCTGAAAAAAATAGATATGGATGAATATACAGGAGTAAATTCATTGTTTTCTTAGATGATTAAGTATTCTTACTAAGGCAACATTGTTACAATTTCTAGATAAAATCATCATTGTTTTCCCGCGTTTTCCACTAGTTCAAGAACACAACTTTTTCAACGACAAGCTTATACCAAAATATCATCGCTATTGGCAAAATCATACCAAAACGTCAAAAATTATTGATTGTCAATGACTAGAGGAAATCACAAGGATCGACAATCAACGACAAATTTATATAGATATATCGAAACATCAATAATTAATGATAACATTGAAAGCATTGTCAATATCAGAAGACAAAAATAGAAACTCAAATAAAAATTCTTATCCACAGATAACACTTAATGTATTACTGGTCTTAAATTACTTAACTACCCGTCCCAATTTCCAGCCATTCTGTCCGCGGATAGCACTCGTCTGCATAACGTGGTTAACTATAGCAAAATCACGCATTCGTATCTATTTACAGTACGCGTATCAATTAGTCATAGTGACTATTAGTGTACACGTTTAAATAAACCTAAGATTATGTTTATATTAATTGTAATCATTCATTGAAGTATTCCATGTTATATACAATATATAATTTAGACAATTTATTTTTATTATATAAATCAACTGCCACATGACTGAACTATGTTTAGAGATTGATTTTGAAATAGTATCTATGTGAGAGGACCATTTCCGGTTTTCATTTAATCTTGCACCTAAATGTTTCTGGAAGTCACACGTTTGTAAGTCAAGAGAACCGTGGAATAATACACTTCGCTTTGATTGGGATGAAAACTAATTTGCCACTGCTTTGACCTGTTTTCAATAACTAATATGTTAAATATAATGTTCAATTTCTAACCGGTTACTAAAGAATAAGCGACAGAAGTATCACCTGCAAACATTTAAGCAAGAGAATACAAGTTGTCTGCTATGTCATTAATAAAGATTAGAAACAAATATGGCCAAAGTATCGACCCTTGTGAAACTCCGACATTAATGTTGCCTACTGATGAACATGTTTCTGTAATGAAACCTTTTGTTTGCGACCACTCAAATAATTTTGTAGCCATTGTAGAAGATTACCCTGGATCAAAAAAAATTTATTTTTCAACAGACCCTTGTGCCGGACTCTGTCGAAAGCTTTTGAAATTTCAAAAATACCATACATGTCTGGTATTTGTTTTTTAGTGCTAAGCATAAATTATCATATATTTCAATCAGCTGATATACAGTAGATTGACCAGGAAAAAAACCTGATTGATATTTTTATAAAGGTTATTGAATCATTACAAAAGTATGAAAATGTTTATATACAACCTTTCTAAGACTTTACTTTCAAAACTTAATAATGAAATTGGCCTATATTTTGCCGGTGAAAACGTTCATTCTTTTTAGATAAAGGCATAACTACAGGGGTTCCATTGTTGCGGAAATTTACACTGATTTAGAGATAAATTAATTTTTAAAGATATTTTAAGAGGTTCACAGACTGCCTCAACAGTGTCACATAACAAATGGCTATTTTATTATATCCAGATGCCTTATTTAACAGTGTCACATAACAAATGGCTATTTTATTATATCCAGATGCCTTATTTAACAGTGTCACATAACAAATGGCTATTTTATTATATCCAGATGCCTTATTTAACAGTGTCACATAACAAATGGCTATTTTATTATATCCAGATGCCTTATTTAACAGTGTCACATAACAAATGGCTATTTTATTATATCCAGATGCCTTATTTAACAGTGTCACATAACAAATGGCTATTTTATTATATCCAGATGCCTTATTTAACAGTGTCACATAACAAATGGCTATTTTATTATATCTAGATGCCTTATTTAATCTCAATGTCACTTATTTCGTCTTTTATAATCAGTGTTTCGCACCTGGGAAGAAATTCTGAACATTCAAAATTATCATCATCGATATTCGATATGGAGCAAAAGAATCTATTAAATATATTATCTTTAGCTGTATCGTCATACACAATTTTTGCTATGTCGCTATCGTAGAAAACAAGACTTGGAACAGAACTACTTGATTTACCTATTAGTCGATGCATAACACGCCAATATATGACTTTTGAATATTCTCTCATGCTCTTTACCTTTGTTTCTGTGGGCCTTAACTTTTATTACGTCACATAGACGGTTATATTTACGAGTCGTTTTATACAACTTGTCTCTCTTTCGTATTTCCTTACGTAATTCAGAATTTAACCAAGAAACGTCCTGTTACTTCTTTTATTTTGATATATTTGCGACATTACATCTAAGATTTATTCAAATTGTTGAATACCTGATAATCTCCAGGAATACTGCGTACCTTTAAGGTAAGTCATCTCTTGTGCGAGAATGAACCCATGATCAAGTTTTGATCACGAGCAGTACAATTTGAAGCGGCAAATTTCCCCAGTCTCACCCTCACTCATAGAATAGACGTGGAGACAGGGCCACATGCTTTAGGGGTTTGACATGGAGACCTGTCATTAGGTGTCGCGGGAGTGATATCACATGATCTGACTTGGAAGCGACTGGTTAAAGACGGCGAAATCTCCTTAGCAATTTTCCTTATATTATCATGTATTCATCAACTATCCTTGAACTTACCTGTAAAAATATCTTCACATGACTGTGCCTTTATTCTTGTAAAAACTGAAATATTATATTGAAAATATTTTACATGATCATATATTTGCTAAACATGAGTAACGACAATAATACTATTACGTTTTTAGGTATTGCTGATTATAGCGCAACCAATAATTCCTTAACTGTGCTTGTGTATTGTTTTACGTATTGCAAAATTAATTTACCAATGTACATCATCTATCATTTTAAAGTCTTCTTTTAAGCGAGAATTTAGTCCTATTTCGACTAATATCTGATGCCTTCAATGAAAGGTCTGTATAGGTAATAATGCTCAAACCTGAAAACAAATTGATTCACCAATATAGTTTTGATGTAAATTTAAAACATGATATTAAGATCGACGAAAGTAATACTGATATAAAATATTCAACGTACCAGAAATCAAGACTAGAATAGCCTTAAAGTAGGCCTTTGTGACCGACATGTCCTCGATTGCGATAGTGTTTCGATGTATTAATCAGCAGAGTCTGTAAGATAATGGGCAAGCGTATATACCTAACAGGAATATTGTACACATGTGTTGTACACATATGCTATATCAGCAAATTGATAATATGTAATCATGAAAACAATGCCTTGTTGTATTGAAGACTGGAAACATTGCCAGGTGTGTGGTTAAATAAAAAAGAGCTTTATATCACTACATCAAAGTGGGCGTTAGATTTTTACTCTTCAAATTTAAAACCAAGATGTTGTCTTACACGGCCCTTCGGTGTTCAGTTGAACATAATCAAGAAGCGAAGACCTGTAACATTTGTCGTACCTGTTATCGATGGAATGAATAGAATTTACCTTTACATTATAATTCTTCAAATCTAGTCACAGACAACTAATAACAATGGTTAACAGTAAGTTGTTTGTTCAATTCTTGGAAGTAAAATCCATAATTGGATGATACAATTTGATTTATTGTTGCAACAATTATATTTTCCTAAGTAATGAATGGATTAACAATTCACCTTTATGTACTGACGATCATGTTCAAGCAGATCAAATGCTGATAAACATACAAATAAATAATGATTAGCAAGTTCCACTTGTGGTTTTGTCTTCGATGTACCGAAAGTACAGTCAACTGAAGAATTAAGGATCATTACTTAATTGATAAGGACCTACAGGATTTTTCTGTTTTCCTTGACTGTCGCTATCATCTATTCAGATGAATTGTATAACATTTTATCTTATCATTCGTCCCGGTTTTGTGACCTTAACGGAAATGCTTACAATATCAGAACACTCACCTTTAAACGGTAGTATTAGTTTAAACGGTGTTTGATTCGTATATATGACGTATTGTCGGCAAACAACTATAATAAAATTAATATATTTATATCAAATAAATGTCTATTGATTATCTACCATTATTGACAACATGTTGACTGTGATTATCAATCAAATAAATGAACGGTCGTATTCGGTTGAATGTCATCCTACATTCATTACCTTTATCTAAAACGGAAGATATATAATGACAGGTAGTTAGATTTATGGCGGGTCACTAGATCTGTAACCCGACTGACAAAAAGTAGGAAATTGCCATATTGGTAGTTATAAACATATTTATATGCCATATTTTTACCTATGATAAAAGATAGACGGAATCTTAATTTGATGCAGGTTGATGAAAATTATAGGAATGATTTATGGTCGCTATAGTGATGTCAATGAGAAATATTCTTTTTCTTTGTGCGACATGAAGCTGGACGTAGTTGTTGTTCGTTAGTTTGCCTGCTGGTTCTGTTGTTGTACACCTTGATCTCATCTGTGAACGCGACATTACTTGCTTAGACTGATCAAGGTTTAAGGGTGTCGTCGATGAAGACGAAGGCGCTTACTTTTCCGGAAAACCTGGTCTTATCCTCCTTGTACTGTCTCAGGAGTCTACGCGTAAATCTTTCTTTTGTTCATATTTTGCCTTAGCTTTATGGAATTTGAGTTTGAATTATTGTTGTCATGTTGGTATTTTCTTAATATATTTATGTCTTCTTCCATGGCAACGGACAAAAAATGCAAGTAGTGAGAAAAGGATTGAATAAAGTTTGAAGAGAGTAGCTATGGACATTGACTGCTTTGTTGAAGGTATATAATATCAGGACCAATAGCCATGAGAATGTAATACGTCAAGTACAGCTTGTCGAGATATAAAAATGTCAAAAAGAAATTGACTATAGATATGTGTAGATCAGAAGGATCAACATTAATGTCGTTAATAGTAGTTTGTGAGGTGAAGCAACTGTTTAAAACATTGACTTTGTCGAGGTCGTCTTGTATAAAGTTACTGTTATCGGAAATAGGAGGACTGTATTGTTTTCACATGTGTTGGCCATGAGACGATAAATAATCTCCCATCATTCCTTGTCCGAGTCAAAGTTAGAAGGTCTATCACGGTATTCGTCGTTGTTGCAAAGGTCATATAGTCACAATTTACGTCTTAGCTTGGAAGATGGGCGACGGTGTTTCCCTACGCGATGATGTGAACTTTCCACCTCATCATCCTTGAAAGGTATATTACCCTTCATACACGCCACATTTACAATAGATATCGTGTTCTCAGGACAATGTACACGCAATGAAAACAATACAGAGCTGCGTCAATCATGACCGGCCCACAGTATTTACACGACATATAAGTTCATTCCAGCATTATACAGGTAAACCAACTTACCTACATACCAGATGTCATAAACAGCTTGGGCATAACATTCCCGGAGTAAAGTTAAACAATTGACAAAAAGCACATAAAAATGTTTGATAATCTTGATTCATTAATTTCTACGTTATGAATAGTAAATAACTAGATCTTGATCGTGAATCATTTCCCTCAGCATCACTGGCGAGACCTAGAAGGAGGAAACAGCTTATGATTCAGTTTAATTGATTGTTTGGCTCTACTGTAATTCATTGTTTGTCTCTACTGTATCCATCTTTATATTTGTACTAAAGATACTAGTCCTATTTTTGTCTTTTATATAATCGAGATTGCATGTGGTAAACATTGATGAGGTTTGACGTAACCCGCATGCCACGGTTTAATTCATCCGAATGGTGACATCGTTTAGAATAAACACATGTACTTGATGTCACTCTTAAATGACTAGATATATGAAAATTACGAAATTATTCAATCAAAGGCTAGCACCACTGACGAGACTTCTACGGACGAAACAACTATATGATGAAGTTTAGGTTATTGTTTGGCTTTACTGTAATTAACTCTAAATTGTATAAAGAGGTGTGTCTTTTATACAATCTTCAATCATAATCCCACACTCAAAGTCAATAAAACTACTTGAAAATATGCACAAAAGAAAGATTTACACATCAACTTTTTGAAATTCCAATGACGTATTTATGTTACACGCAGAAAAGGCTTAAGACCACTGACAGTTTTTAGAACTTTGCAGTCAGATAAGTCAACTGATCTGTAAATCTAACAAATCAGATGGAATCACATATCATTTAATGTAAACTTACTTGGCATTTATAACCAGTCTGTCACCAACAAAACCGAGAAAATTCTAGAAAGAGCAAGGATTTGTTTTAGGCGATTATGAATTCGATTTTACACAGTTGTTTTGCAAACAAACTCCCCTTTCTTGAATATAAGAAAATTCTAACATAACAAACAGATGATAACAAGTCTCAGGATTGTATACAAATATTGATAGCGTAGATCCTTAGATATGAAGATTTTTTTCCTTATCATTGATGTTTCAAGTATAATATTTCGCAAACATGGCTTATGTTTTTTTGTGATGCCATAGTTGTGCAGCAGTATCCATATCGCCTTTTAGGGTTGTAATAATATTACTTAATAGCCATTTTCTGGATTTACCATTGATAACTAACCTCTATTTACCATATGTTATGTACTTCTGCATAGATTTTGCACCACCGTTAACTATAGATTATCATGTACTTCTGTTAACCATAGATTATGATATTTATCATAGATTATGTTCTTCTATTTACCATAAATCACATACTACCTTTACCTGGAATCATGTACAACAACCTGTTCCACTTAAACATAGTTGACTGTAAAAAATAAGAAATGAGAATTAATCTTTCACAACTGTCTCACAACTAATGGACTCTTGGAGCGTGGTAGGGAGGGACAGCTTCTAGCAAATGTTTCTTGGACTGATAAGTTTAATTATATATATAGTGGATTTTATGTTAATGGCTGTATTTTTGTTCAACGAATAGAATAAGTTAAAATAAAAAGATTCGTTTTATTGTCAGTATTCTATTGTACGTTTTGTGTTTCGTTAATGCTTACTACACTATGAGTGTAAAACACAACGATAATGGTAAACTTTGAAGATCTAAAACAGTGATTCACTGAAATCACAATTGGTGTTTCAGGTAGGGCACGAGATAAGCAGCTACTCGTATTGAAAGCCGTGACGTTTACATAAAGTCGTTACTATTTCTTATGTTCGTTTTACTAGGGTTTCAATGTAATAATGTATAATTGAAAAAACATTTCAGTATGTAACTATTATGGATTGACCGAAGTACATATCAAGATAAGTTAAAACTACAACGGATTTCATAGAAATTGTTGATGGCCGAATTCTTCGAGGATTCAAAGGTTTACAAAAGACACAGGTGAATTCAAAATAAGATAAGCTGTTTAGTCCTTGTCAGTGATGCTCAGGGTCTAAATTATCAGATCTATTGTTAACAAATGTAGGTCACTATCAAGTAGACAAGACATCGACCAATATATCCGGCGTAACACTGCCATATACACAAACACACGACCACAGTGGTAAGGCATGTCTGCTGTCACGATTTGCACCAGGACAGTGCTGATCCTTATTTCCGGTAAGAGGACGGTTTGTTTTCAACATGTTAAAAATGTTTGAAAAATGAAAAAAAGCATTTTTGCACCGACCATTTCATTTTGTTTAACTGGATGTAACTAACAGAACCTTTAATAACTGAGCTGTATAAATCTGATGATTTCAATTTTAGCTATGGTACATGTCGCAGTTGATGTAATATATTGTTACTTCTGTCATGACCTCCGATATAGATGTCCAGAGAGACGGTTAAATACAGATTCAAGGCATGCAGATCGATGAAAATATGACCTTTTTATTGGAAAATATTGTTTAGCGCTATATCTCAATATTAAATGATTCAGCTGTTATTTCCACTCCATGGTCTCCCTTTTAAGGCCAGACCTGTACATATGTAACCAGATTTGTCTTTATGAGTATGTTTGTATTTCCTACTGAAGTCAGCCTCTAATGTATGCATACATTCCTTCCTGCTGAGGTGAGCTTGTGCTAATGTGTACAACTTTGGATATCTGCTTGAATCATCTTCTACTGAAGACAACTTTGTGTGTATGTTTATATCCTCTGCTTCTATTTGCTTGTATTCTCTCCTGCTGAAGAAGGCTAAGGATAT